AGAACTTTATAGTATATTTATATATATTCATATATTCATATCCCTTAACTTATTTATTTCCCTAGGTAAGTGTGTATGCGATGCAACAAAGTGATGAGTCGCTCATACAATACGCCAATGCTATGCCAAACCCTATGTAAACACCCAACCCATCCATAGAGCCATGGTTTTATTTCCAAGTTCAAAACCAAAAACTCCTATCAAATGCAATCACTTCATGCCAAGTCGTCAATATCATCATCATTCCACCCTAACGCCTCATAATATGATATCTCTTTCTTATAAATTTGTGTAGGTTTCATCTTTTCTAGTGCTACTGGCACATCTCTTAAATTCTCTTGATCTTGATTTGAAGGGCCAAACTCATTCTTTTGGCCCAATTTCCACTCTGATATCTTCCCTAGAGGTGTTTCCTTGACCGGTGTTTCTCTCAGTGGTGTTTCTTTCATTGGCGTTTCTTCTATGCCATTATACAAAGTAGAGGATGAAGATCTTTTTATTGGTGTTTCCAAAATACCTCGTGGGACAGCTGAGACAGGTCTTTTTACCACAGAATCAGGAATACTGTTGAATAGTTGTGCGCTAGAACGACGCATTTGCAATGGTGAAGAAGGTGGTATTGCATAACCGGCGTCATAGTTCTTGAAATTATCCATGGGCATAGACGCTGTAGAAGAGGATTTGCGACTTGGAGTTGCTTGTATGGAATCCCGAAAAGGATCTTGATCGTATGCTAGACGAACCTTGGATTGTGGTATGGTGGGAACGCTTGATGGAGGGACGAGACCAACCTCCATCTGCTCCGATCCACCGAGAGTCGATTGGGATTCACCGAACACGTCTTTCCGACGATTATTCTTGGGTGTGGCCTTAATCTGTACCGGTTGAAATCCTTGGAATAAGGGATTCCTGATAGGCTTTAAAACTTCCGTGGATGTCCAGCCGAGGCAGATCTTCGTTCAGCAGTCTCGACCAAGGATTTGCCAGCTAGCTCACGATTTGGCTTTTTGACTGCTGAAATGGCATCCTTCAGCTCTGCGTCAATAGCAGCTTGCTTCTTTGCTTTTGAGTTAGCGTCCGGGACAAGTGTACTCATATCAATTTCTCTTTGTGAAAACCTTTTCGAATTCAAAACTCCACCTCGTGAATTAGCATGAAGGGGTTTGAATTCGGCAAAGGGTATGCTAGACAAGGATGGCGCCTCACTGGCCTCTCTCTTGAGACCAGGAACAGTAGGATCGGTAGCAGACCTCATTAAAGAAATTGCTCTGTTCGACCCTATTGACATACTACGTCTCTCCCTATCATCTGTCAACACACGCTGGAGGCTTTTTCTTTGTTTTGCAGGAACAGGACGCTTAGTGACTGCCCCCGGTCGAGTAGGTGTATTTGAGAAACTTGCAGATTTAGGAATCCTAGGTTTTGAAGCAGATTTGGTAATTGGTCCTCCAAGTTTGCGATTTATGGTATCACAACGATCAGGGAGACGTGCAGAGAAGAAAGGCGCAATGACTTCTATGCAAAAATCCTTGAGGATATTGTCAGTGTGATTTACGGTTTTGGCAGCTGTTGGATCTGAGCTTGTTTCCGGAGCTTTGATGGCTTCAGTTGCAATAGACTGCCAAATGCATAATCGATCAATATGGACATCAATGAGCATTGTGAGATGGTCCTGTTTTCTAGTTTTGGGTGTCCGTTCCTTGCTTTGAATAATATCATAACTTGGTAGACTTGGTAAGCCTCCCTCCACGTTCTCTGTTGTTGAAGCTAGAGGTTGTAGGGCAAGAATCTCAAGAATTACAATCATTTGAAGTTGCGTTTCGCGAATACGTAAATTGGCTATGCGAGTTTTTGCCATCTCGTCTTTTGATGATCCTGGAGCTCCGGACTCGATCTCCTCATCATGACCAACCCACCATTTTCCAATGAGTGATTCCTCATTTGGGTACAAACCATTCTTTCCAGGTTTCATCTTCTTATTGCCCTTCCTTTTTTGGGGTTTAACTGTCGCATCGTCGGCACTTTGATCTTGGATATCAATGGCCGAGACACAGGTAGGTACACCATCACGATATTTCTTGTCGAGAAGAGTACTAGATAGTACAAGGCTTTCTAAAAATGCAATGTGATCATTCATATCGAGATTTGCGTCAAAATCGAGGTGGAATGCTGCACGTGCTCGTGATAACGGACCTTTGGCAAAATATGCCAGTGAGGTTTTCGAGAGATAGAGTGATTCGAAGTACTGATTTCTGATGTTATCGAATATCTCAGGAGCTGTGGCTTGTGTTTTCGTTTCCAAGGCGGGCAAAGAAACCGTTGCTTGGAAGACATTTTCAGCCTCAGGTACGGGTAATGATTCAGGAGCAGCTGATTGAGGTCGGGGCTCTGGTAATAGTGGAGTAGATGGCCGTTTGATCATAGATTGTATCGCTTCGATGGCTAGTCTTTTCTTCTTATTATATTTGCTCCCCTCTGGTGTGATAAATGACTCTGCCGAGGCTCCCAAATGGGCGGAGCCTAGAAGCATTCCCTTCACTGGTACATCTGCGCGCTCGGTCTGGGCGACAACAGCCGAAGACTTCAATTGATGTATGTTGATCCAAGAACCGAGTTGTAAAATGACATATAATCCTCGCGATTCTCTCTCGACTGCGTATAAAGTACGATTGTCATCCAATCTAGCTATGAGAACCATTGGCTGATTTCCCATTCGTTCTTCCAATTCCAATATCTTAACATGAGTCTCAAAAAGTCGCGATTGAGGCAATGGGTTAGTTGTAGATCCAATGTCTAGGTATGAGAGAGGTAGATGTGATCGTGATAACAGTATTAAAGGTTGAAGGCTTCGAGGTCGGGTGTTGACTTTAGATGGATATGGCTATTTTCAAATAAGATATATTGCTGCAAAAACACTCAATTGAACTACCTACCTTGACAATAAAAGTATCCTTAAGCAAGTCCTCCAAAGAATTGCCATCTCTCTTCCGCTTCTTACTCCCTAAACTCCCTCTATCATCCTGACCAATTGATTGTGAGCTTGGAGTCAAGACAGCAGACTGTCGACGCGCTTGGTGAATCGACGCGTCGGAGAAGGGGAATGCATCTTGACTTGACATAGCACCCGAATATTGATATTTATTATATCATGAGGAAAGTATTGTATACAGAGATATCTAATTGATACAACGCAAAAACTGTTTTGAAAAGTTATGTTGTTGATGAACAATGCTATGGGGATACAAATCAATCAATCACAATTCAGCAATATGATATTTCCATGTCCACACGCGTTCCACACGAGACCATAGTTTGACAGGGATTAAGCACTTTAGCTTTTGAGCGTCGGAAGCTTTTCTCCGATGCATGCGCACGGCACGATCGTTGGAATATTTATTCATTCTTCTTTGTATTATTAACCTATTATATTAAAGCAGCCAGCTCCTCGTCGACCTTTCTGATCTTCCGGCTCGCATAGTTCGTACAGTTCGTACTAACTCCGTGCAATCGATCAATTGATTGATAACAGAATACTGAATAGAACTGGTTGACTTGGCGATTGAAAAGAGAGTTTACTTATTCACAATTGTTGACATTACTATTTTCAAGCCAAGCACCCAGACCAACCCCTAGGATAGCTCTCCGCGCTAGAAATGCTAAGATGGATGAACGGATCAAGAAAACAATTAAGGTCAAGGGAGGGGAGTACAAGTAGTTCACACATTCATCATCTTCATCTGTGGCGTCGGTGCATACCTACCTGACTTGAATACAGCAGCATATGTGCTGTCCAATTTGGCTACATCAGCCTCAAAATTCTCGAGCCTCGATACATCAATATCCTATCAGACATTCTACAGGCTCGAGTAAAGATTCCCCGATAGTGGCATCCATGGATATCAGTGCACCCCCTTTTCTCGCTTCCATTACTCCAGGTGCGTACAGTTCCTATATGGAGTATGTATAGAGTTTGGTAAGCTGTGGCTTGGCTTTAAATGATTCACTTTGAAACTCTGAAAGTCTTCATAAATGGGTATCATAGAAAGTGAGGGACAGGATCGTCGCAGGGCGGAAGTGGCAAAAGGGACAGGAACAGGATGTCGCGGGGTTGATTTGTTTTGGGGTGGTGGTCCATATTTTTGGTAGAGTAGAGTACGGAGGTAGAACGGGTAGAGAAGGATTTGATAGAGAAAAGACAAAGAATATTTATCTAGTCTCTACTATCTACTAGACGCTACATAGGTACCAAGTAGTAGAAAATAGTATTTGAAATTATCTCTCTATTAAGTACTGAGTATTTGACTAACGACCTAGGTAGTAGGTAGTAGGTAGTAGGTAGTAGGTAGTAGGTAGTAGGTAGTAGGTACCTAGTATCGACCTTGGTACTTTAACTCAAATCATTCACTTCGGTATTCGGGTGTCGATCAGCAAATAAAATCGTACCCAATGCTCTCGTAGTGGTAGTCTACTAGGTCTAGTACCATGTGCCTAGGTACAGCACTCCGTAAATTCTGAATTCGATCCGTTCACGATCCATATTTCATTCACGAAATTGTTATCCATAAATCAAAATCGGATAATTTTGTCTTTAATCGGGCTTTTAATAATCGTCGATTGTGTACCAATCAATAAATCAATCACATTCTGTTACCTGAGCTTACTATACCCTAGCGAGTAGTACCTAGCAGAAATAGTTACCTACCCTTCACATCTTTTCTCTCGAAGCTTTTCAATGCCTGCACAGTGCATACATACTTATTAGTAACTTAGTAAGTAGTAATAAATTATCTTTTACATCCATCCTATAATTCCTATCTACCAAATAATATCCATCTGCCCACCCAGACGCTACTACTCCTGCACCTACATTTTCCCCTCGATTCGCCTTTTTCCTCTATATCTCCCCGGGATCTGTGCTTTTAAATAATCTCTCAAAACATTGGATTCTTTTTCTTCTTCTTCCTCGAAATTAAGGTTCTAGGACTGACACCTGCTAGAACCAGCACTCCGTACCACTTCACTTCACCTAACTCCATATGGACTGCACTGTCACACACCCCCTGCTTTATCACTACCAGGATGACTTCCTATCGACGCTAGACAAAGTTCTAATTACTTTTGGCAGCCGCAACATCTGACTTTTCTAATAAAAACTCAGTGCAACTGTTGGTCATGAGCTCGGAGATTTCACCTCGTGCTGTACGCTTTACACACGGGGACGACGGTCAAAGATTTGAATCATTGAAATCTTCGGTGATCATGGAGCGTCCACATATTGAAACCAGCGATTCCGCAGGCTCAGGCTCCTCTGCAGATTCACAAGACTTTGTTCAACATTTAAGCCCTGATGCTGCACACGATGTGCATCCCGATGCCTTTCTTCCCATCGACCCTCGGCCTCAAATGAATAGTATGAATTCAAGCATACGAAGTCGAGGCAGCAATCCGGAAACAAATGGTGCAATATATGGTCGCGAAACTGCCTTCAGTAACCCACAACAAACTCCATTGAATGGCGCAACGGCCAGATCTCAAAGGCCCACGGCACCAGCCCGAACTCCTTCGAGTACGTACGCGCCTGCGCGCAGACCTCCACAGGCTCCATACATGTCAATCTCGGATCGCCATCGATCTGGCTCAACCTCCTCAAGATTTAATAGACAGGATCCCAGTGGCGCATATCGTGCGCAAGAAAGGGCTTACGTACAACGGTTAAGGCAAAATGAGCCGTTCGAATATTTTGAACCTTATACCCCAAGTCTTGGATATGGAACAGGATCAGATACCGAGGAGGAATCACCATCAGAGCTACAATTCGATGCCGACCCATTCGACCAAGAGACCGTACTTTTCTACAACAATGATGACATACAACCGACAGCAGAAGATTTGAAAGATCCCGCAAACAGAGAACGTCTGGAATGGCATGGGATGTTAGCCTCTGTACTGACGGGAGACGTGGTCAGGCAGGAGAAGAAACGTCTGATTGGCAATTCAGAAAATAAAGCAGAGAATATTGGAACTGAGATCTGGCTCGGGATACGATCGAAAATATGCGGAAGAAGTTTAGGAGCCCAACGACGGATACTAGAAGATACAAGGGCTAATCTCGATACCGTCTTGGAGGAGATTATTAAATTTCAGGTCCAAGGTGAGAGTGAGGCTGGAAAGTCACCCATCGATCAAGTAAGGGACATAGTCGCGAAAATTGAGAAGTGTGAAAGTCTATACCCATCTCGCACTGGCTTAGAAATGGCGAACAAATTGGCGGCGTCGACGCAATTCGCTGCCACTTGCGATGCTGTCATATCATGGCATAATACTACCGAACTCATCAACATTGAGCTTGCTATCCTACAAAACTGGGTAGGGAATCCGGAACTCGACTTTAACAAAGTGAGACAGCGCTCGCCCTCAGGGCATGGACTTTCCGACGAATCATCGTTCATTGATAGGTTGCTCAAGGAGGATGGGTTGAGATCTTTGCAGGGTGATAAAAGCATACTTCTCGGTGTCTCTGAGGTCATCATGAAAGCTAAGAATACACTTATTGAGAACTCAGAGGGGTTCGCTAAACGTCATTTACCTCCTTACATCGAAGAATTACTCACACTCATAAACTTTCCTTCACGCCTTATCGAAGAGATCATCAAGGTTCGGCTACAGTATGCCAAAAAGATGCGAGATTCCACTCAACAAAACGCCATGATGGCTGAGCAAATGATTTCACAGTTCAGAATATTACTCAAACTTGCCATACTGATTAAGCAGGAGTACCTAACCATATCAAATCCTGAGCCTGGGTGGGATTTACCACCTTGTATTGATGAGTCTTTTGATCAGGTAGTCCTGGATGCGCTCAAGTTTTACTTCAAGATGCTCAATTGGAAACTTGGTGGAAACAAAAACACTTTCAAAGAAGCGGAAGTTCTTGAGCAAGAATGGGACTTTTCTAATGAGATCGGACGACATCTACAAGGTGGTGATGTTGAGGTTGCCGAGCAGTTTAGTTCTCTGACCCACAAGGCCTTCTTTCGTCTGAATACCACTTTTGAAAAAGAAATGGTGAGAAAACCAAAGGAAACAGCTGCCGAGATGACAAAGCGTTATAAGCAAAGTCTAGACTCCGTTCGTGTGCGACAGCGTATGTTACAACGATTCTCCAGGGTTCTGAGTGATCGTTTCGAAAACTCGACGGATTTCAGCATTGCTATGAAGCAGAGTGGCTTGCAAGAACTGTACTCGAGACTTATTGAAACTGGTCACTTTTTAGTTTATACTGCGAGCATCGAGCACGATGGTATTTTCCTCATAGCCTCTCCTTCTTTGTACAACCGACCTCAGGACATCCAATCCATCCTAGGGACTTGCTATCACACCGAAGATGTACAAGAAGATACTAGCAACCCTTACATATTAGTTCTTCGCCCCGAAGTCCCAATAGGATGGGATGGTCGTCAAGTTGATTCGGCTTTGATAAACATCAACATCGATTTGAAAGTGGGACATCTTAGACTTATCGCAGATGGGTCACAAGCCAGATTATCAAATGCTCGTTTGGCATTCTTAGACTCCATCGGCTTACATCTAGATATGGTGGTTGAACAAAGATCACATCTCAAGAAAGTTCACATCAAATTGACTGACATTAAGAAAGTCGTGTATAAATTATCGAATCTGATCATGGACAGTGTAGAAATTGTCCGAAAACAAACACAAGGGCTGGAATGTCAAGAACTTATCCAAACCTGTTTCATTTTCGCTACTGAGTTTGGTCAAAGATCTTTACCTTACATGGATCGAAACCGAAAACAAATGAACAACATCAAGCTCACAAAGATTGCCCTGGATTGGGTGAGCTTCATTTGCGATGACTGTGTTCCGACTGATCGTAAAACTTTCAGATGGGCGGTTCTTGCACTTGAATTTGCCATGGGTATGACCCAAGGTCAGCATATATTAGCGCTCGGAGAAGACGAGTATACAAGGCTTCGATCGAAAGTCTCGGGATGTATGTCTCTATTGATTTCACATTTCGATATCATGGGCGCAAAATCAAACCTGGCCGCTCAAGCAGAGAAACAGCGGGTGGAAACATTGAATGGCCAGTTTAGGAAGATGGACATTAGGGCAATGGCTGACGATGAGGAATCGGCGGCATTTGTTCTTAACCAACGCCTTGAATTGATAGCTGATCTTGATGAAGAACGAAAGGTCATAGAGGCAGAAAGGCAAGCCCTTGGCAGAGTTCTTGAAGAGAATAATGAAGCAGATCGATCTCTCACACATCTCTCTGCTTCTCCATCCAATATCAATATGCGCTGGCAACAAGGAAATTTCGTTGGTGGCGGTACCTTTGGATCAGTGTACGCTGCGATCAATCTGGACTCGGGTCATCTTATGGCTGTGAAAGAAATTCGTTTGCAAGACCCTAATCTTATTCCCACAATTGCCGCTCAAATATCAGATGAGATGCACGTCTTGGAGGTTCTCGATCATCCCAACGTCGTTTCATATCACGGTATCGAAGTTCATCGCGACAAAGTCTATATTTTCATGGAGTACTGTTCTGGTGGGTCACTTGCAGGTCTTTTGGAGCATGGGAGAATCGAGGATGAACAGGTTATAATGGTATATGCTTTGCAACTTCTGGAAGGTTTGGCATATCTTCACGAAAGCGGTATTGTTCATCGTGACATTAAACCAGAAAGTAAGTTTTCTCCCGCCGCCTTCAAATCACGATCATTTATCTAATCTTGGCCATAGATATTCTCCTTGATCACAACGGCGTGATCAAATATGTGGATTTTGGTGCCGCAAAGGTTATTGCTCGTCAAGGTAAAACCCTCGTTGCCGCGACTACGGCTACCCTCGCCAACAGAAATAAATCCATGACTGGTACCCCTATGTACATGTCACCTGAAGTAATCAAAGGAGAGAATCCAGGACGAGCTGGTTCAGTCGATATCTGGTCACTCGGCTGCGTTATTCTTGAAATGGCTACAGGTCGCCGTCCCTGGACGTCTCTCGACAACGAATGGGCCATCATGTACAATATTGCCCAAGGCAACCCTCCTCAAATGCCATCACCAGATCAACTCAGTCCACAAGGTATTGATTTCATTAAGAAATGCTTCATTAGAGACCCCAAAAAACGTGCTTCGGCGCCGGAGCTTTTGCAACATGAATGGATTGTTGCGATTAAGAACCAAGTTTCCATTGAACCACAAACACCAAGCGATAGTGGAAGCTCTCAGTCCAGTGCTAGGGGAAGTTTTATGAATTGAGTTCCGATGAGTACTTGCCTTTGACTATTCCTCTCTGCGGTTACGATACCTTTCTTCTACTTTTCGAACGGAAAAATCTTTCCTTTGTATTTGCATTTGTCAATATCATTCTTTTGGTCGTTCGGGAAAAGCGCAGTACATGAAGCGTCTTTGGGGGGGATTGGGTTTGGCACAATGGTCGAATCGGAATTGCATGAGGGATATACATAAACACGAGAATTTTTCATCAGCGATGAGTTGGGAGTTGGTGTTTTTCTTAGCATATATGTGTTTATGGGAAGCTGGGACTATTTTGACGTCTATTTGATTGTGTGAATGTGGATGTAGTGCCGCGTTGATATTGAGGGGCTGATCTGGAGAAGAAGTCGGAGGTTGATCCGAGCTGTTTTATGGATGAGTGAGTGTAAATACATGCATATAATCAAAGGACAAGTCGAGATTGGTTTTAGGGGGACGGGGTACAGGTGGCATGAGACTGGTGGTGATGGGTGTCTATTGGGAAGTATAGATACTGTGGTGGAAGGAGTGGCAGGGAGTAGTGACTGTAGGGATACATCAACAAAATAATGGAAAGAAATAATACTGCCGTTATGGCGGTGCTGTTACAATAGTTTCCTTCAATCCCCGTTTCTACACCTCACACATACATGTCATGATAATCCATCTTGAAATATCCTTACTATACTGGGTATAATATTCCCAAAACGGAAATACGTATACCGAATACAAGATGCGTCGGACACTATTCGGACTCTTGGTGTCCACGTCTAGGAGTAGAGCCCCACTCTTTTATACTGCGAAGGCGATGGATCGATGGATCTAGTTTATTTATTTTTGGTAACATCCTTTTATGAACTTGGAAATGATTTTTTTTTTTGAATATACTCGGGTGGGTATATTGTGGGATTGGATTGTGGATGTGGATGTAGAGACTTTAGATATGGGAGGGGATTTTTTTTGAGGTGGGGTGGAGAGGGGTTATCGATCTTTATGATGAGTATATTTCATGTAGATTTGGAGGGAATTTTTTCTTTTTGATTTAGATTTAGATTTAGATTGAAGGGAAGGTGAGAGTGAAGAAGAAGGAGAAGGGCATCAGTCGACTTTAAGTGAAGTTTTGTTGGATAGTTAGTTCCTGTGAAGATTCGCGAGATTTGGGATTGAATGGGAAGCCGGGATGAGATTATGGGGGACTGAAATAATCGTGAGGATATTTTTGATAATGGCTGGTTCACAAGATATTGTCGGAGAGAAAGATGTGACGATCATTTGATGGGAGAGTTAAGAGATGTAATCTTAGAATCAGATAATGAGTCTACCAACTCTAGAGCTGGATCTATATGGACGATTTCGGGATCTGTGAGTTTTGTTATCTACAAGGTAGTACTCGAGAATAGTATTGATAGTAATACTAGGCAATAGCGAATTATTCAGATGGATACCAGCAGTGTCTAATAAATTTCTAGAAGTCCTTGAATATCATAATATTTTATGAAATACTGTATATATATATATATATATATATATATATCAATAACAGACATCAAGTAAGTACAAATGTAATATTCAAGTACCTCCTAGGAACCAAAATCTACACTTCCACAGTACAAACAAACTCAAATTTCTAATTTAATGAACGCCCTTCTCATTGGCTCCGTTACAGGTATTGGAACTGGGTTATACTATACCTCTGATAAATTCTCTAGAAAATAAGGTAATATGTTATTTATATCCTCTCTGGCCATAATCGGCTCTCTCCTCTCTACTCTCTACTCTCGCATTCCAAATCCATCCCTTCCATAATATACTCTAGTTCCTCACCATCGCCCGAGATATCGCAGGCATAGGCGTACGTAGGAGATGAATATCCCACCTCTGCAGCCGCAGCACTCGAAGGATCAGCCGATCATCTCGATAAAAAAAGAGGTCCTGTTCAAGTTCTCATCTCTACCATGATAGCTATAACCAACTGGTTCTCCTACTTGCATATTTAGTTATCTTCTTTCTCTCTCTACTCGCTTCGAATAATAATCTCACCGTCTCTTTCCACACTATCTATAGAATAAGTAAGTAAATACTATTCTCCCACTCTTCATCATGCTCTCCCGTCTACACATAACAGATAGAAAACCCATCCAAAATTCTAATCTAATCACAAAAAAACACGCCATAATACCATGACGAGTTCATCATCCATACGCAAATACGACCTAAGATAGGTATCTAGACATACGCACTAGTACCCCATTTTCTCCTCTAGGACTTTAAATCTGTCAATTCATTTCCCAAATTGCATTCATCCATCCATTATAAGCGCCAGTAAGCTATCATTAATAATCGATAATCTCGTGTCTGGGGGGAAAAAAAACATCCGCACAGGTAGCTCTATGCATATGGCACTTTAGATATCCCCGTTATCTTATCTTCCTCATTCTAGATATCACATCCTCCTAGTGATGAATCTCGTGAACTGCATCTGCAGAAAGAAAGAAAAGAAAAAAGAGAAGAAAAATAAATAAGTATTCTCGGTTTCGGCGGATATATATATCATCCTTGGTTTTAGTATAGGGGGTTAGTTATACTACTTTTAATAGTCCCAAAGATTCTCCTGGTGTTTTTTTATAGTCCTCTTGTATGAAGTTTTTGTTTCGATGGGGTATATGGGCCGGGAGCAACGGTTGGACTTGTTAGTGTGGAGGGTTTTCGATGGTGGTGATGGGGGCTGGGGTGTGCGGTTTGTGATTGTGCGGGGTTTGGGAGGGGGGCGGTGGTGGGGATGCAGGTTTTGGGGGGATGGTTTTTGTGGTGGGGGTGGGGGTGCTTGGAGGGTTGTATGAGGGGAGGGAGGTCGATTTGAGGAGGTTGGATGAGGAGTTTGAGAGGGGGTTAGGGGAAAAGGAGGGGGAAGGGGTGAGGGGGAAGCGCGAGGGGCGAGGGATGGGGAAGTGGGGTGATAGGGAAGAAGTTTGATAGGTTTTGGTTTTAAGGGTTATATATCTGATCTAGCCTATACTCCGTCACCTTACACCTGATCTGAAGTTATTTCTTATATTGATAACCCAAGTGCAAGTGAAGGAAAGCAAAAGAAACATAGCATGTTACTACCGTGGTATCAACAGCACTTCACAAAGATGTATCAAAGGTATTTGAATTTGAATTTGAATTTTTTTGTGTAATCATAAAAAACTAAGTAATACCTAGGTAAACAAAAAAAACGAAATAAATTACGGACCAAGAATCAAAGATATTGATCAAGACCATTAATTGTCTACGCGGAATCGGCGCTGTAAGTCTCTCAAAAGACAAAGACAAAAAAAAGAAAACACGAGCGACGAAAAATCCAAATTAAGGATCTAAAATTTTAGGCTTCCATATCTTGAGCCGAATGTCTTGCTTCTTTTTCCTGACGAGGTGAAGGTGTAGCGGCATTTTCGTGACCAGAGTATTTACTTCCAGTTTCTGACACGTCGTTCAAGACCTCACGAGTAAGCTCAACATAATCATAAGCGAACTCGCCAATCTCGGCGTCGTCGATACCGAGGATTTCAGCTTCTTCGGTAGCGCGGAGAGAAAGACCGGGGATAAGGTTCATGACAAAGAGGATAATGCATGTTCCTCCAAAAGCGTAAACACCACCGGAAACAGAATCAGCAAGTTGATATCCGAGTTGAACCCAATTTCGGTTAAGCCATCCACCTGGGATCTCAGTGAAACCATCAAGATGAGCTATGTAATCGGCGGCGAAGAAAGCAGTGAGGATATTACCGATGACTCCACCAACGGCGTGTTCAGCGAAGATATCAAGAGCATCATCGACTCCAAGAACAAACTTGAGTTTGGTGGCATAGTTAGCACCGGCGGCTCCGACAACACCATAAATGACGGCAGCCCAGGCAGGAACGAAACCAGATCCTGGTGTAATAGCAACGAGACCAGCAATAACACCAGAGCAGAAACCGACAGTGGACCATTTGCGTTCAAGACGATAATCGAGGACACACCATGTGATACCACCGACACAGGCAGCCAAGTTTGTGACGACCGCGGCCATAATAGCACGCATGTTAGCTGCAAGAGCAGAACTAAAGAACACTACAGTTAGCTTTATTTCGGTGAAAAAAGTGTGGCTCTCCAAATGATCTGCAATGAAACATTACGTAAAGTTACATGTTTCATCACACAAAAGTAAGTCAAGCAAAAGAAGTTAGATAAAACATACCCAGCATTGAAACCGAACCATCCAACCCATAGGAAAACAGTTCCAATGACAATGTGTGTGACGTTGTGTGGGCGGTAATTCAATTCGTGAGTACCATGTCCACGACGTTTGCCCAACATGATACTGTATGCGAGAGCTGCACAACCCGAAGAAATATGCACAGGAGTACCACCAGCAAAGTCGAGACCACCCATTTTGAAGACCCATCCGGAGGAATTCCAAGTCCAGCAAGCAATTGGATCATAGATGATGGTTGACCAAACGAACATAAAAACAATGGTTGGAAGCATGCGACCACGTTCTGCGACAGCACCAACTGCAAGAGCTACAGTGATGGCGGCGAACATACCCTGATAGACGGCGAACATGAGATCAGGAATTTTGGAGGAACCCACTGATGGTGCTGCAAGGACATTTCGGAAGCCAACTATGAAGATTTAAGTGGTTAGTGCCTACTGTTGTGCAATGTTCTAGAAGAGGTTGTACTCACTATTTTCCAAATCACCAATGTATTTTCCAGCGGTGTGAGAGAATGCAAGAGAGTAGCCCCAGAAGAACCATTGGAAAGAAACAACTGCAGTAGCCATGATTGAAAGCCAAATCAATGACAGAGCAGACTTTCTTCGAGCCAGACCGGAATAGAAGAAACTATGAAGATCAAAAGATTAGTCTCTGTAGTACAGATATCCATGTTTTCTTCAAGTACATACCCAACACCAGGAATCATAAGCAAGACCAATGCAGTAGAAGTGATCATCCAGGCAATATCACCAGCCTGTCGAACGAGTTAGTTTTCGGCAATTTGAGGGATGTTGTGCGTAAAACTTACATCATAAAATATGTTGAGATCCTCAGTTAAGGAATTACCTCCAGCTGCATTGGTACCATTGTAGGGAACATGAATTGTGTAGTTGAGAGCGTCAAGATCGACGCCATCGACGATTAAGGACATGTTTAATATTTGACCTCAGTCCAATGGTAAACTTTATTTCAGCAAGCAAGGTGTAGTTGCTTTGACCTCAAAGTAATAGATCGTCAGAAGAAAAGAGTGTTAATTGTAGTTGCTAGCAAGGAAAGCTCATAAGCTAAGAAGCTCACAGATCGAAGGTTGTCGAATTGGAAGAGGTTGCAAGGGGAGAGGAGGAATGTTGTAGATAGTAAAAAGTATTATCGAGAGATGGCCGAGGTCGGATGGAGTACTGGGCTATGAATAGGGCTGTGGGATTTAGGAATTGAAGATGGGATGAGATAACGGGCGAGGTCGGGAAGAGAATTAATTATATTGAGGAAATTATCTGAATAGTTGCAATTGGAAAAGTGAGGCTCGTGTAGGAGGAACCTTGTGGGTGACTTTATTATTCCGCCTTAATATAAAGGTGTTGGTGAATGCGAAATGAAATGAATGAAGTGATTTATTGATGTTGTTAAATCACAGATAAAACTCAAGTCACTAGGTATCTATCTGACACCTCTGGAAGCACAACAACGGAAAAAAGATTGAGGGGGGGGAAGTGAAGTAGTTTTATGCATTCAGGTCAAACAAGCCACAAGCCGGCCATTGATCATGACATGCAATGCTAGGTATGTATGCCATGCGATGCTTACATACCACCTTGCCCTCACTGTAGCCTGGCTGTGCTTGCAGATAGGGATGTAGATGTGGATGTGATGTGTATCATGACAAGGAACGGTTATTAAAGTAAATAAAGGATGAATGTCAGCCCAGAGATAAGTAAACACCAGAAGCACTAAAAGCACTAAAAGCTTCGAATAGAGATCTGATTCGTCTTTCCCTTCATCTTTCATATTTCAAATGAATGGCCAACAAGGACCAACGGTTGGTCTATTTGTTCGGGCTATCTATCCGAACCTTTATTCTTAACCTTTCTTAGATAAAACACTATAAAAGATACCGGTACCTTTCTCCATTGGGTTTTGGAATTCCTGCATATGGATCGAATTCCGATATTGAAAGTGATGTTGAAAATTAACTTGAATTTTCCCATCTTTGCTTCAAATCAAATCACTTCTTGCAATGTTTTCTATGTCAGCTGTTATCTATCTTCTTTTCTCCCTTCTATCACATAACCCAAGAAAGAGAAGAAAGAAATGATTTCTTGGTCAACACTCCTCCTTGTGTAGCAATCCATTTTCAGCCTGCCCTTCAAAAAAAGAGCAAAAAGGTAGAGATAGGAAAGGTCAAATTACGCGCTTCTAGCCTATCAAAGCTCATCAATTAAGTACAGGGATAATTGAAGTAGTTTCCTTTTATAGTTAGCTTTAGATAAGAAGATTCGACTGTTGGTATCCATTCTGATTGGTTCATTTTTGGTATTCCCCCTCGTGGAAATTGACTTCGAAATGTCTTTTACTTCTAAAATATGTGTGGCTCGCCAACATATCGGGAGCAAATCAAACTAAGGGGAACTATCAGCCTTGAAGAACATGTGCCAAGATCTTAATCTAGTCAAGGCCATTAAAGGTTCACATGTTTTTAACGAGACAAGAACATGATTTGTGGATGAATGGGGAAGCTTTCTGGGGGATTGATCTGATGTGAATGAATAAATGGAACATTTGGGTTGGTACTCGAGTATATACTATGAAGTTTGAAAAAGACGTGAGAGGAAGAAAAGGCTGTAGATCAAAGTTGAATCAGCGAATCGGATATGATCCATTCAACCTCACCTACTACCACTAGACCTAGGTACCTAGATACTAGATACTCTTGTGCCTTGTTGCACAACTACACAACTACCCACTACTACACATCTCACTGATTCTTACAGCTTTATGGTTCCACGACTGATAGAAGCGAGGCTCACTGCTTCTAAAAAGTTGTAAGTGAGGATTTACTATATATATACCGTACAAAAGTCAGCAATCCAGATTTAAAGCCTCAATACCTCTACAAAAGTAGGTAGTGCCGGTAGGTATATGATCCATCATCCTTCTTGAATCCCCTCAGAAATGATGAAAGAGATATCTCTAGCAACATCCCGAGATGATAGCAGTCCTTCTAAATTGGTCTAGTCCAGCCGATATCTATAATTGCTGACAAGTTGCATTTATAAGTGGGAAATGTGTGGGCCCTTTATTCGGAAATCAATGGATTCAATTAGCTTTATCAGTGGATCTCGTTGGTCCAAGAGTCTACTCCGTAAAAGGTCAATACAGCACAGACAATATCGATGAACGGTGGATGATGACTTGATTTTAACTTTTATTTGAAACTAAACTTACCAAAACGCTTTCCAGAACTTCTATAATTCCATATTTGAAGAATCATGGTGCATCTAATTGCATTGCCCTTGAACAACGTCGCGTTCAGACCGTCTTGAGGCTGGATAATCTACACACGAACATAGGAACGATGGCTTTTACTTGCAGAGCAGGGACAACCTGACTGTACAACATGCATGCATTCATAAATAATGCTCCAAGAAGACGTTGGATTCTACCGGTTGATTTCTTTTCTCAAATGAATAGCTGAAACATAAGAGCTAACTCTGCCCCCTCGGCGCATCTTTCATTTGGTGTGTTCGCCCGAACCTACTAGGAAACATTAAACCATCTTTGTGTACGAATACATACATCGATGCGAATACTACGTCCCGGGGACAGTCAAATTTCAAAAATATCCACCACAGATCATCGACAAAGAAGCTTAAGAGACGGGAACTTACAGTAGTTTCATTCATAGAAATCTATTCTACGCCTCTTCTACACGGGCGGTTCCGCGTGAACTTGAATTTTAATCATTTGCCACGAGTCCTCGACATTATCGACGCGCCTTCATTTGCCTCATATCCGAATTCCAACAATCTTAGGGATCTAAATGGCGGGTCCTCCCATTTTTGGAATCCTTAAGCCGCTTTACCGTGCTCAAGGGAAATAGGCCGCGATAAGAGTATTCTGAACGACGTATTATGTTTCTGACCAAAAATATCGAGTCATGAAAAACTCTTCAAATGATTCTCAAGCGATAATCATAAGGCATCAATAGAAAAGGAGTTTTTAACCCCACGAGATTCATGGATTACCATGTATGTGTAGGGGTTACAGAGGGGCCTGGAATTTACCTTGTCGTGCGCCCATAAGCAAGTTGAATGGATGTGGTCTCATTGTTGTGCGAGCTTATTGGTTACAACCTTTAGATTGTACTACAGTGGTACAAGGCTTAGACAAAGTATCAGCTCGAGATTTATCTATGACCTTGTGGAGTATATTTACTTCTATCCCTTTTTTCAACTCCTTTCTGATTTGGATCAAGTGCTCCAAAATTCTTAGTATTATTTCTTTGATCTCATCCTGCAAGTCGAAGGACGGACTACTCCAATTCCTTACTTCAAAAGTTTACCCCACATGATGAGACTGCATTAGATAATATCACAATTATGCTATTATCATAGATCTCACTTTCACTCTCCTAAACTTGAAGCCATCTCATCAAGTTTCACGGCACGTGCCGAGGCTGAAAGATGAGATGATCGTCCCGCAACACACAAGTGGCACTAAATCTATTTTGTGTATCTAATCCCAAAGCCTAGGGACGGGAAGATTGATTGCATAACTTGGTTTTTCAAAATGGGGTTAATAGTTGATGATATAGGTTTAGTTTTGTTCATATGATCTCATTCGGGGTTTGATATCTTTAGTCTTGTACTAGCTTTTTGTATCACCGGATCTTATGTTACAGTACTATCTATCTATTCTAAGGGATATTATGGTGGGAGAATTTCTTTAGTGTTGTTGTAGATACTCGAGATATTCAGGCTTGTACTATTTTCAGTGTCTCTAGATTTGATATGGTGATACTATTATTCCAAGTAACAATGCCACCACCAACCAATCTCATTGTACCTTTACTCATCGCCCTCCTTCCTTATCCTTCTACCTACTCGAGTAGGTAGATTAAGTACAGCAATAGTAAACATATTCCGCAAATATACTCCACAATTTCCTAGATCATTAATATAATCCCTTCACTCTTTCTTCCTGAAGGAAAATCCTTACATTTAATTTTATTCCCTATCTTCGAATTCTCTCACTCTTCGTCACAACACCTTCCCCGCATCCTCATCATCACACACTAATTATCTATAAATCATTATTTAAGCATCAACATACTGTATCACATGATACCAAATACATACTAACTATCCCATCATTCCATCATCCCACCATACCACATGTGATAATATATCACCCCTTCCTTTTAAGTTTCCTCCTAGCATCTCTTTTTTATGAAGTCATTACTTATCCAGATCTTGATAAATACATAAATACCCGAATATTGTGTTTTGGAATCGAGTTTTAGTTCTATATTGCGTTTGGTGTTATGTAGTTATATGCTTTATTGATTGATGTGGATAAAATATTAAAGTGAGATAATAAGATAGATAGATTAAATATCAGATATTTTAATCAAATGATTAGTTTTATAAGTAAATTTATAATTTTTTAAATATTAAATAATAAAATATTGTAATTTTTTTATTGATGAAGTTGTAACGATACTGTACTGAAGGCAGCGGCTGCCTAAGGTTTCGTTTGGTTGGTAGTTATGGGTTAAGGCTGTTACGTCGGATTCCACAAGCCCATTACCACGTGATCCAATCACGTGATGGACCTACATAATATGCACGAAAAATAAAGGTCCAACATATTCTTAGGTCCAGGACCTTTCGGGGTCCTGAAGGTCCATAGCATGAAGGTCTATATAGTCAGGACGAATTTCCTTTGTATAGAGCTTCGTGCTCAAGATCAATCATTTAGTATACTCTACTATTAGTTACGAATTGCATCATTGTCATTACTTAAGTCCCTGCTTGACGCCTAGTTATAAACCACCTCGAGAGCCTAGAGCACTTCCACGTAATCTAGACGGCAAACCTCGTAACAAAATCTATATATAGGAAAATATAATTTTTTATTAAGATTCGATGGTAATTCAAATGATATAATCTTATAATAAGCAAGTAAATTCTAGAATTTTTATTATAATCTATTTATGTTTTAGATGTAGATGAGAGGTTGTACTAGGGATCGGGGTTGAGGGTTGAGGGTTGAGGGTTGGGGGTTGAGATTGAGGATTGGATTATTTAAAGAGATGAGTGGGGATAGGTGGGAGGTTGGAAGGGAGAGAGGAGGAGAGGAGGGAAGGATGTGGAGAGGAGGGGGGGGAATGGGAGAAGAAGGAGATGAGGGGGATGAGGGAGATGAGGGAGATGAGGGAGATGAGGGAGATGAGGGAGATGAGGGAGATGAGGGAGATGAGGGAGATGAGGGAGATGAGGGAGATGAGGGAGATGAGGGAGATGAGGGGAGGGGTGATGATGATTTCCGGATTTAGAAAATGAGGTACTTTTTTTAATTTGTGGGATGGTGAATGGGTGAATGGGTGAATGGTGAAGGGTGAGGGGTGGAATGAAACGTTGATATGGTATTAGGGGGAATAGAGATTTTGGGGAAACATTAAGATATTTGAGTCAAGATAATTTATGTACCGAGCGAAGCATTCTTGAAGATAGACATATAGGTACCTACCTACATAGTAGCTCCTGAAAAATACAGCACCATTATTAATCACACAACCCCCTCCCCTTTCCCCATAGGAACCCAAGCACCCAAAAAACCACTAGCCAAGCACATCAAGTCCATGCCATAAAATTCCATTCATTCAATATCTAAACTCTACCCATTCCATCTCATCCTCCCAAAAAAATCTAAACAACAATCAAAAGTTAAAACAAAAAGTTGGCTCAGGCTTGCCTTTACTACTTCATAAACGCCAGTGTGTATCTCCAACGGCATTCCAAATCTCTCTCTGGTTACCACTTCTACATAAAAAAAAAGTAAAAGTTTAAACACTGGAGAAGAAGATCATGTATGAATGAGCTCCCGTTGGCACACTAAACGATTCAGCAGTATCTGGTTTTTCATCATTGCGCAACAGGACAAGTGGGAATGATTGTTCTATGGATGGAATTTTGATGGGAAAGATTTTTTCTGATGGGAGAAAATGTATGAGAAAGTGTAAGAATTTATGAAATTAATGTAGTTCCTTTCGTTCGTCCAATTTCCATCTTTGCTGTTCGGGCGCCAAATTGTATCTGATGGTGTAAGTAATAGTTTAAATGGAAGGAATTAGATAGGAGGAGATACTTACAGCGCGTTTCTTTTCTATAGCAACTGATTTCATACCTAAATCATAAGCTAGAAGTCTTAACACTTTCTTGCCCGGCTCTATATCAGGTGTTTCAGGGCCTTGAGATCCAGATGTAAAACCACATTTATCCCATATAGGAGACTCGACAGCCCATTTGACTAAATCTTCATCCAAATATGGGAATCGAGCTTCTCTTCCCCAATATGAAATTACACGATCATCTCGACCAAGATTTCGTTTGCCAAGTCTATTCACATCTAACTCTAGTTCATCTAGAAGGGCAGAAAAGCCACTTCGATTGAATGCTGTTGCGTGACGTATATAGCCACCGAACAACTCATCTGCGCCAAGTCCGGATAGAAGAACACGTGCGGGCGTTGTATATAGAATTTCTTCTATGTCATCTTTTGTCGATGCTAGACCAATACCGCGAGAAGCAAAGTATAAGGCGAACGCTATTGACAAATCCATTTCCGTATTATGTGGATGAATTAAATCTACGATTTTAGCTCTGTGCTCCATTGTCTCCGCGTAAGGAATATTTATCTAGTTTGCTTCAGTTCTTGCCTTCCAAATTATAGTTTAATTATTGACTCACTGCAACAAATTGCCATGTTCGACCAAGACAGATATTTTGAAGCTCTTGATGAGCTTTCCTCCCTGTTTCTCTATCAGGGCAGAGCTCATATGGAGAAGCTATATTGTTCGAAATTTCGTTTGCATCTAGAGGCGGGGGTTGCGCCCCTTTCTTCAGCCGCGGCCCGTTCTGTGCAGCTTTGATAACACGCGGATTCTCAAAAGCAACATTGAGTAGATCAACCTGTTGGTCTAATGGTAGTAAATCATGTGCTAATCTTGCTAAAACTGTGCAATCAAGTCCACCTGAGAATAAAATTGCCAGTCTGACATTGTGAGAGTGACCTATGCTTGGAGGAGTAGGAATAGTTAGAACCCTGGGTCTCAGAGACTCACATAGATGATGCCGTAATGACATCACTGATGGGGAATCAAGGTTGAGAATATGAGTTCCGTCTTCGAAAGTTCTGTTGAACTTGCCGAGTGAGGGAGCCTGCGATTTTCGAGTTAGTATTAGTCTTGTTATAACATAATTGCAGCCGACATGTCAAGGTTTGACAACCAAAAGGAATACCCACTGACGCATCGGCCTCGGAATCCTCCTCCCACTCAAATCTTTGATATGGCAATGGTGATGTTGAGATAGAAAGGTCAAGAGAATCTGGTTTTGAAAAAGAAAGGCTAGTCTTATCATTACAGGAAAATATGTAGATGCCATCTGCTTCTATTTCTTTCCAGTTGCCTTTAGCAGGATCTGCTGTACTAGCAAACTCTATATATTCAGATTGTCCCATGTTTTCGGATTTGTTATCAACATTGTAAAGAAGAGATCTGCGACCAAGGCGATCTCGGCCGCAATATAAAGTACCATGAACATTATCCCAAAAGACAAATGCAAATGGTCCAGAAATGCCTCGTAAGACCTTAAGCACAGCTAGTGTTGCATCTGAGGCCGAGGCGGCTGTTGAAACAGCTTTTACAAGTATGTCATATATGACTTGGCCATCATTACCATTAACAAGCTCGCCACCAACCTTCCATGCCTCACCATTCCAGCAAAGGATTGAGCCGGGATTGGGGCCAGGTGCGTTAATGATAGCTGAACCATCAAATGGTTGTGCAGTGATGTGATCTCCTCTCAAAGCTAAGACTGTTGATAAAAAAGATAAACAATATGGTGTTCCATCACTTGCAGTGAAATTTGTCTGTGCCGAACCTGTGTGATCAGGACCTCTGTTGCAAAGGGAATGTTTCAAAGCATGACTTGGAATTTGCAATCCTCGCGTGGATATCGACGCGTAAATACCACACATCACTGATTTGCGAATCTATTCGATTCGGAAACTCTTAGGGTGATAAATCCATGTACTTCGTGGATAGAATATATTATTTCAAGGTTGTGGTGTTGTTTGGTGTTCAGTCTTATATTGATTGACATTGATAAGGATCAAACAAAATTTCTAAATTTATTTCAAGTTCAATCTCCAACAGCTTGGCTGCAACCGCGGCTCGTCATTTTAGCGAATCAACTAAATTGCTTCACTGTCGAGGGCGAGGAAACTTACCACCAAATATAATCGACTGCTTCTTTTTGTCCGGTGAAAAAGGAAATAATAGAATTGATGTCTTATCCCTATTATACTTCCAAAGATACAGTGTCCGACTTTACCACGCTTCCTTCCGAAACTCAAAAATACCCGGAACATTGAAGCTCGAATACCCCGCCAATTCTACAGTTTCGCAAACGCCGACCAAAGGCGCTCGCGGATGTATGTCTTCTCCTAGACAGTCGGCAGAAGTTTTAGAACCCCGAGATGGAATATCACAGGAGCCTACATCGGTGGTGAGACCAAAAGATGAGCCTGGCATTCACGACGTTGAGCCAGCCTCTCCAACCAGTAAGGATATGAAGGACCAGGGTGTTGAAGAGGAGACACTGTTGGCAGACAGAAGCGAGCCAGCAGTAGACAATTTTCCTATGACAACGGACGATGCTTTAGATTCACTAAAAGATAAGGGGAAGAGAAAAATTACAGAAGGAAACAGTACGGACGAACTACGGACCGCCACCAACGAGCAATCTATACCAGACATGGAATCCTCTACTGCGACTTTGAAGCCAATAATAACCGGACCCCCGAATGTTTCTATGCAGAACATGTCACCAATTGACCAAACGTATTTAGATCCTACCCCCAAGACACCTGGCACCTCTCGACCTCCATCAAGATCTGCGTCGAGTGCAGGAACACATCATCTACACGCGGAGAGGTTGGATAGATCACCTACGAGATCCGATGCAGGGTTTGACGAAAAAACCACTGCGAGTGAGGACGAACGAGAAGGAGATTCTAGATCAGAAATAAAAAGCATAATGGATCAATTCGCAGAAGATGGACAGGGCCCAGGGCATGAAGAAGTTATGTCTCCTCGTCTTGAGTTTGCTGGCCCGCTTCTTGGCAGTCCAGTACAACATCCACCTCGCAAATCGAGTCTGGAGCCTATAAATGCAGCCGTTCTAAGCCAGAGTATTGGTGATTTGCAAATATCATCTGCTCCTTCACCAGGCCATCGAACCAGGAACGATTCTGACGTCGGCCCAGCTGTCCCACCTAAAGCAGACTCTATACATAGCTTTGGCATAATGCAGGATGATCGTTACTCATCTGCAGATACCCCATTATCCCCTGCCTTACATCGCCCCCCACCTCCCGAGCCAGAGCCTGAGCCGGACCTTCCTTTTGACTTCCATCGATTTTTAGAACAACTGAGGCATAGGACTGCGGATCCCGTAGCGAAGTTCCTACGGTCGTTCCTACAGGAGTTTGCAAAGAAACAGTGGATGGTACACGAACAAGTTAAAATAATAAGCGATTTCTTGTCTTTTATCACGAATAAAATGGCTCAATGCGAAGTATGGCGTGAAGTCTCTGATGCAGAGTTTGATAATGCGCGTGAGGGTATGGAGAAATTAGTTATGAACAGGCTATATACACAAACATTTTCTCCAGCAATTCCTCCACCCCAGCCTATTCCAGGCTTAAAGCCAAGAAGGCGGGGCGCCGATCGTCCCATGGGTCCCGGTCGGAGAGGACAACATCAAGAGGATGTCGAGAGGGATGAAATTCTTGCTCAGAAAGTTAGCATTTATGGTTGGGTGAAAGAGCAGCATTTAGATATACCACCAGTTGGCGACAGCGGAAAACGTTTTCTGATCTTGGCACAACAAGGTAAGATTGAGAGTCATGTAAAGATGAATATCAATGCTAATGGTGATAATAGAGATATTGAAGATCAAAACCTACAGAGCCCCACGGGACAAAATAATATGCGTTCTCAACTGCTGCAAAGTGATTTTTGGTAACTCCCCATGCTGGCCTTTTAATCGATGTTCTTACTAAATTTACCAGGGCTACTTAAGCATTCGAAGACCGATTCATCGGCAGATTCATTTATGCCTCTTCTGATTTATGTTGTCCTTCAAGCAAATCCCGAGCATCTTGTGTCAAATGTTCAATATATTCTTAGGTTTAGGAACCAGGAAAAGTTGGGAGGAGAGGCAGGATATTATCTTTCGTCGTTGGTATGTAATTTCAAGTCCTTTTTGGGATTGCACCACTAACGCCTATGAAGATGGGCGCAGTCCAATTCATCGAGAATCTGGATCGAACAAGTCTTACGATAAGCGACGAGGACTTCGAACGGAATGTCGAAGCGGCTGTATCTGCTATTGCCGAAAAGCATCAAGCAGATATTGCCTCAAGCCCTGTCGAAAGCAGTCCACCTACACAACTTTCCGAGAAATCACCTCCAAGCCGACATTCCATGGAAGGCGAATCATCAGCTTCTAGAAGGTCAACATCGTCAAACGAATACGAAGCTGGGGATGGTATGGATGAAAAAGCTGCTATGAGCGGTCTACTTCGTACTATTCAAAGGCCGCTTTCCTCTATAGGTAGAATGTTCTCGGATGACCCCTCCCCTTACAGTGGGCCCACAAGGACTCCCAATCCTGGGAATACACCAGGAATGACTCCATCCCCACGAGTAAGCATGGAGGGGGCTCAACCCCCACAGCGAAGGCCTAGTGGACGTGAATCGATCAGGAATAGGATGACAGCCGAAGATGCAGCTGCCAGGCAAGCGAGTGCCGAGGCTGCAGAAGCACATCGCCTACAACGTGCAGAGCACGAGAATGTTGTAGAGACCCTTGCCGGGATGTTTCCAGATTTAGACAGGGAAATCATTAGCGATGTAGTTACTCAAAAAGAGGGAAGGTAAGGATCAAAACCTCAAGGAAGACAAATCCTAAACATATTATACTAATTGTGCATTCAGGGTTGGTCTAGCAGTCGATGCATGTCTTGCTCTGAGTTCTTGAACAGTAACCAGGCATGGAAAACTTCGTTATCATATTATCAATTTTAATATATCTACAGATTTTATGCATTGAGCGGGTGGAATCATAGCGTTGCGTGGTGGCATTGGCGTTTTCCTCGTGTTGAATCTTCTGGTATATCCCTAGCGCGAGTCAGCCTCAGAAGATCAGTAGCGAGAAAGTAGTAGAAGTTACGACGTGATGTCTAATATAGTCGTAATTACCCGTTGAAATAATGAAAGACGATTTTAAAAGCTTTGCCGTACTTTCACAGTGAATCTTTCCTTAATGAAAGGAGCTGTAGTCTGAACGATGAACATATTCTTCATAGCGTGCAAAAATCTCGGTTGAAATTGCTTGTGCTATCATTCAAATTTTGTCCCGGGAGGTAATACCATGGAGTATCCATATCCAATATCATTGAAGATATATCCTAACTATGGCAAAGAAGAAGAATAAGAGCGAAAGCAATGGCGATTCTCCAGAGGCCCAAATCCCCGCGAATCCCGCGCCATTACCGGCATCAGCTACATCAATGCCAAAAGCAAAAAATCCCAAGTCCGCCCAACAGCCATCAACATCTGCACTTATTATTTGTCGCAACAAGTATGTCAAGTATTTACAATACTGTAATCCTATTGCACATCATGCGCGGATGCCATTGCTGGTTTCGCAGATGCGATACTTGAAGTTATGAGGCGAAATTGTGCATCAACAATATTTTTTCATGAATTGCTTCAATGCGCGTCCCGCATTTACATTTGAAACGTCCGACTAACATATCCACAGGCATTGGCGTTATATCTCCTCCTTCCATGGGCCATGGCTACAATTGCCTCCAGAAGTTTTAGAATCTCTCGCAAATAACAATTATGCCCTTCCCCGGCCTCGGCCGATTGACCCCGCGGTCTTCTTCGATATTTTTAAGATTCGTCAGCTCGTTGACGATGCTACGAATCTGGCGGTGCGCGCCGCCAGCGGTGTAACATCATCTTCTCTTTCAAATTCTCTCAATGCTGGGAATGGATTATTAGGGAACGGCGGCACGGCGCTGGGTCTGGGGATTGGGGGAGGAGGCGGGAATGCGAAATTAAGTAAAGAACGAAAACATCGGATGCGGGAACAGGCCACTCAAAAGCTATCGAAGGCATATCATCTGGATGAAATTGCATGTAGTGTTGCGACCATGCAATCTGCGTCTACACTGGAGGATGTAGCCCAGCTTGTCCTGCAGAGAAATCCCAATGATTCGGATGCCAAATACGTTCACTTTTTTCATGAGAAGATCCCTTCGCGGCAGTTGGCAGAATGTACAAGTCTGCAACCTCTGGACGAAGCCATAGCAGATAGTCCGAGCGAAGGCGAGATATTAAGGACTCGAGCTGTTACAAAAATATTCAAGGAGGATTTTGTGGGAGCGGCACAAGATCTTACTTCTGCTTTACAAGTCTGTAGATATTATCAGAACCAGCACAAGGCAGGTCGACAGCAAATTCAGCTAGCAAGTGAAGCTGCAGCTGAAGCTCAGCGAAAACAAAGTGGTAGATGGAGAGACGAATTTAAGTTAGACGAAGAGGACCACCCAAGTAGTCTTGAGACCCAACTCCTGTTCCACCGTGCCGGTGTTTACTTGACTATCGCTTGTCAACATGTTGATGCTGCTCTATCACATACGCACTCCCATGGAGACTTAATTTCATGGGAAGATATAGACAAGACCATGAAAAGTCCTTGGCCTTCCAATGAAGATTCAAGTAATGGAGAAAAAACTAATGGAAAGACAAACGGGACCCATGATGCCGCAAATGAAGCACCCGAGATAACCTCAGCCGAAAAAGAAGCACATCGAAAACGTATGGAGTCACGGAAAATTGTGAAGACAAATGCGAAGAGGGCATTAAAAGATTATGTAGCATACTTGTCGCATCTGGATTACACCCCTGGCCTTCCAGCCGAGATCACTGAGGAATTTGTGCGCAAAGTAAATTTAGCTGCGAATGGTTACAAAATCCCTCGACAACCTCAAATCAAGCACAACAAGAAAGGGCTGGATTTGGAAAGTAACGCATCATTAAGTAATGGTCAACTTTCTGATGCACTTGTACCTCATACTGGCCACAATGGAAGAAGTCGGCCTCAATCTAGTACTTCTCGACCGCATGATTTACCGTCTCTACCTCCACCCAAGGTCTACCAAATATCGTCCTTATTCTCTGCAACCCCGCCCGCTGATCTTCCTCCTTACCCAGAAACAGCCACAGCCTTAACAACTAAGCAGCAACTTCGCGCGTCCCATTCCGAGGCAGCTCAGCATATACTTGCTCAAGCCGATTGCCACGAAGCTCTTACCTATCACCCCCTCTTAACAGATGCGCTCCATTCTCTTTTACTTTGTCACTGCCTTGTACAGACCTCTGCCCGTGAACTTCAACGGCACGCACACATGGTCGCGCGACTAGCCCGTGTTTGCGACGGCTATCCTATTTTTCAAGCATCAAGATCTCCATCTCGTGCCGACTGGATTGAAGTAATACGCCGCAACGATAACTGGATCTCTCTTGCCGCCTCTTGGGAAACTCTTTGCGCACCTGCACCATTACCGGGCCAAGCTTCAAGTAATCAACAGAAAGAAACGGCTGCGGAAAAGAAAGAAAGATTAAAACAGCAAGCCATAATGGAAGCACTTGAGGATGATCGTGTCCACGATGAAGCAAGTTTTCATGCGGCAGTAGCAGCTAGACAAAGGAGACAGGAAGAGGAAGCTAGAAAGGCTGAGGGAAGAGAACTGCCAAAGAGGTGGGCACAGGAGGATGGAAAGGAGTATCCTATCAGTACTGATAGGGCCCAGGCAATCGTTAGATGGATCCGAGAAGCTCCCGTTGGGGGTGATGGTACTGGGCTAAAGAAGAAGAAGAGAGGTGTTAGAGGAAAGGGGAAAAGCAGCTTGAATGGAACAGTGGCTGGTATACAGGATATAAAAGCCGATGGCGAGACAGAAGGCAATGAAGAATTTGAGACGATTGAGGAAGAGGTCGATTAATTACTTTCCTTTATTCTTATGAAACACAATTCTTCAACTATTGTGTTACAAATACAAGAGACCCAAAGCGCAATTCTCGTGTTCAATCATCGACAAGCAATAAGCTACGATACACAAAATTTTAGACATGGATTCAAATGGATGGGAAACGGAGGCATATCAGATTCATTCTGCTATATGCCATAAGCGCGCCATCCTATAGGGGAATGGCAACACTTATTTTAGATTACCATGATTCGGAACCTTAATCAATCGTTAAATTAGCAAAGAGAAATAAGACATTAGTGTTAATTCCGTGTATAAAATCCCTTCCTGTCTATTGTGCATAGGATTAATAGATCAAATGATATGTAGTGCATAGGGAGCGCTCTGGAGTCTGCGCTTAACATACTTCATCTCCACGTCTTTCCTAGGTCTTCCCCTTGCGAATTCAAAAGCTCAGGTGCTTTTGTAGTACCATGCGTTTGTTACATCGATGCCGTATTATAAACGGGCCTTGTAGATCACGTAGATTGCCTAGCTAAGTGCTACGTTTATAGTCATCCATCTCATCCTACATTTCATGATATTTTCCCTGATCTCAAATAACCAAGAATTACAACTGGATCTTGAAGATATATTAAGCTAAAGTGAGAATGATTATAGATATGCTTTTATCCCTTTCTATCGTTTCCGGGAAATGTGCTTCTTTGATTTGTGTATGATGTCTTTTACTCAAAGTAAATTTGTCTCGAGACGAAATAACCTCGTAGAATACAAAAAATAGAATAGGAGAATTGACAAAATAACCAATGAGATTAAACAAAAATGGCAAGGAAAATGAGTCCTAATGATCCGAGAATACTGAGGGACTTTAAATTATTAATTATCTTTTGATGTACCTATATTTCACCTTGATGAAAAAAGTAAGACGTAAGATCTTGCACTTCCATCTTCTCATTATCAACCACCACCCAAATCTCCCAACGCCACAAACACCACCTCCAAAAACCACATCCCAAGCCCCTCTACCCACAAACCCTCCACCACTTCCATCTCTTCCATCTCATCCTTCGCTGCCTCCCTTCCCTCCCCCTACTCCTCCCCCTAACTACCGTACCCACCCCACCGATCTCGATCTCAATCTCAATCTCAAAACCGCCTTCTTGCACCACTCAAAAAATACTCCTTCCTTCTTGACCCGCATCCCCCCATAGCGTTTTCCACCCTGCAGAAATTATACATATATAGATATTATAAACTCATAATCCTCTCGAATACAAATGAGTCTATAGCTAATCCTTACTATTATGAATAATATGGATCTGGATTGCGGGGCTGTGTATGGAGTTTGGGTTAATAGGTGAAATGGAGGACAGGATTATAAAAAGTTGAAGGATGAAGTCGCTTATGCATGAAAGTTTAGTACTTAAGGGGGGATGGTTGATACAGTAGAGAACGCGTCTGGGGCTAAGGGAGAAAGAGTATGAGCATTAACATACTGCAGTAATATGCAAATGCAGGTAGTAATATCTGTGTTTTGGAATGCATTAAATGAGTAACTATGTAGTACATTTTGTAAGTGAAAGATTTAGCTAATGATAAAAGGACGCCAAACGCTATCAAGTAAAGCCACGCTGTGAAACCTGACACCTGACACCTGACACCTAGTAACGATTTCATAGCTCGTCCGCTCATGTCGACGTGGATATCAAATAAAAAGTAAAAACGCAATAAAACATTCAAGCCTCCGAAGCTTGACTATGGTACAGACATCATTATCTACTCGTCTGCTCACGATCAAAACCTAACAATGAAGGTTATTCATCAAGTAAATTGTTGCTCATATTTGATGGGGTGCTCATACTGTGGGACGTGATTCATAAAGTTGTTAATCTCCGTTAACCCTTCAGTCTCTAAGCTGTGCATCAATTCCGTTTGTTGCTCTTGACTCAGACTACCCGTCCTCACTCCCATATCGAAGCTGTCCGGTGAGAACAAGTGGGGTGGAAAGTTGTAGTATTCAGGTGGCGAGAAATAGGATACATTAGTTACCAATGGATGTTGCATGGGTGGTAATGATACTTGATCTGGTACTTGATGCTGCTGTGGGTTTGAGGCAGGGGCCCAAGGCAAAGGATAAGACTGCGGCTGCTGTGGCTGTGTGAATTCTGGAGGAAAGTAGCTGAATCGACGATTAGATTGCCCACTAGAGGGACTTACAAAGATTGAGTTGGACCGAAAAGAAGGTTGGACCGGAGGTAAAGGGTGGCTGTAGTCATATGAAGGTATTTGCTCCGGCGTTTGGTTGAAAACGTGTCCGAATTGTGGTGGTGTTTGATACGTGTTGTTATGTTGCGCATTATGCTGCGAGTGAGCAATTGAGGCTGAGGTTGCACTAGAGTATTCGGATGCGGAGGGTGAGTTTGCGTCAGTCAGCGATGGAGAAGTGGCAGAAAATGATGAAAGGAAATTATCGCCAAGTTCATAGCTCTTGAGACAGGCTTTAGTGAGCGTCATGTAAAGTTCTGCTGTTGATTGAGTTCCTGGCCACCGGTCGCGAGAATGCGCAACAATGTCTAGAGCCAGAGCAATATGTTCTTCCAGCTCTTCCTTTGTGTGAAGGGCGCGCACTTCGGAATATGAAATACACCATAAGATTGTATTTATAGCCATGAAGAGAGATAGAAGAAATGGCCACGTCAAGTCAATCATCCCTGTTTTTAATTGCTCGCTTTGGATCACTATATTTCTTGAAGCTGCATTGTAACACAATATCGCCGAACGATGAAATGGTTGGGGAACTTGAGGTGAAGGACGAAACAAGAAGATTATCATCGTGTTGTACCTCCCAGTAAACCTAACAGTATATTAGCACGGCCTTGTTTTACGAACACAAAATATTCGAAATGGCCAAGCTGGTTTGTAGAGCACTGAGTAGTGTCACTTACCAAATTCTGCTCCACGAAGGATTTTCAGGAGAAGACTCGAGCCAATCCTTCAACTTTTGAACCATTTGATCATACCAAGGATGGTCCTCGTTCTTTGGCTCGTCTCTTTTCCGCAAATAGAGCGTCCTCCGGATCTCCGCTTGCAACAATCTCATTCGAAAGAAGTGGATGGCTAGGCGCTTTTTTTCCGACATTGGACCAGGAAGTATGCCATCGGCAGTGATGTACTCATCGTCCACTGTTTCAAAAAATTGTATGTCCAAATGGTCCTTCCCAGTTGCGAAAGCATTAGGCCTCCCCATCGACTGAGCTAAACCAAACTCCATAGATAAGACAATCCAAGCCAGCCTTCGTCGCATATCAAGTTGTAGTGGGTCTACTAAGCCAAGCGATACTCCTTGAGTAATTGTCTTCTCTTCCGCCAGGCCTAGCTGTTGGCACAACCTCGTGGCAAGCCCCACGATGTAGTAAATAGCGGTACGGGTAGGGGTTAGCATTGAGTATTGAGCGATCAGAACGAGGCACTGTAGTGTCTTGATGTCTTTCGGTCTTATTACATCTTCAATGTATCCCATGGCAGCCAGATAGTAGCTGTCAGCAAGGCCAGCATACTGCGCATCCAGCTTCTGCATACTTATCGCTAGGACCATACGAAGTACGAAGTTTTTATATGGGTCCGTATCTCCATCATAGACTTCTTGAAGATTCCTGGCGAATGTAGGCTCGTGTAAAGTAGGGAGCATGTACTGTGCTGCAGGATAGTTAGCGAGGATTACAGGAGTTGGAGTCCACAATGAAGATGAGGGTTTAAGCCAAAATTGAGCTCACAATCGGCTATATGTGACAAAGCTTCTTCGCCAAACCTTAATTAGCAGTCTGAAAAGACTTGTATATCCTCGAGGCTTCATTAAATTCACCTTTATCCTTCAAAATTTCCATTGTCGTGTCAAGCAAACGAAAGAATGCAATAAAGCATTTCACTAGTCGGCAGAGGAAGAGAATTCATTGACTGACCTTTCTGATTAAATAACTCCACCAATTTGTCGGTCACAAGGCGGCTTGGTAATGTTGGTGCCGGTACAGCAGATATCATAGGATAAGATTTCTTTCGCTCCGATACTGCCTCTGGCGATTGTGCAGGAGTTCGACGTTGGCGCACTTCAGGCACGAGCTCTCGTATACTCCTGGTATCTGTATATTTCTTTGCCTCTTCCATCACTATCCGAGTCATCGCAATCCCACTCGAAGGACCCAGGTAACGTGGAGTTTCGTCATCTTCCCTAAGTCGAATCAAACCTCCAGGACGTACAATATCTTCCGAGTTTGGGGGATTTCCTTCTTCTTCAAGCAATTGACTCAGTTCCGTCTCCAATGCCCGAACTTTGTCTTGCAGCCTTATCACATATGCCCTAGAGATCTTTTTGCCTTTCGTTGTATCGAAGTACTCGCATACTGCACCGGCACGCTCACAGGGCAGGCATCGTGGTAAATTGGGATCACATCTTGTTTTCCTCTAAAGAATGACAAAAATGTCAGTTTATTTTGTATTGCGAATTGGTAAAAATAAGAGCGTATTACAAACCTGGCGGCATCTACAGCAGGCAGTCAGGGTATGTGCGATCCTCCGCGAACCATCCTCGCTTTCGTGCGAGCTCTCTCTTGCGCGAAGGAGCTTTGCATCGCGGGCTCTATTGACAGAGCCTAAGGCTTGTCGAAATAAATCTGCTGGGTCCATTGACAACGAGAGAAGCTAGAATGGGTAAGTTGATTTTTGTCGTCGTTATAGCGCCAATATTTGGCAAGGCTTATCATTGTCAGGGTGGGTTATCGTTAAGGATTCATCATCAGAAATGAAGTTGTACTGATCGTACTATCCATCCACAGATTGTCGAATGAAACTCCAAAAACACCTGACGTTATTTTAGTCACAGAGCTTATCGTGGGAGCCCATAAGAGAAAGGTATGCCGAATAGAAATGGCCGTTAGAAAAGGTACGTTAATGGTAGGAGGTGGAAATCTTGACCGTTAGGATGGATTGCCCTTACTACATTGGTAAGTTTGGGGGGGACGGCAATTACGATTAAAGATTTTACGAATTAAGAAAGCTGCCCGAGCAAAACGACTTTGAGAAATTATCCCTGCGATCAATATGTGGCCCTGTGGAGCAAGGCAAAGTTAAACCTGGTAAGATACGGTATGTCAATGTCAATACCACGAGGTTGCAGAAACATGAAATATTGATCTATCATGGGCATACAAACTTTACTCGAGAAACAAAGAAATCCCCTGCCTAATGCAGGAAACACCTGACAAGTTAACGTAATTCTAGCTCCAGTCCTAGTCCTATAATGATTCAACGAATACGAAGAATTGGTTTAACAACTTCTTGACAAGAGCTTCTTCCAACATCGTACATAGGTGACTGCATGTTGTAAGCCTGACTAATTGACAAACTATCTGGTTAGACATAGATTCCACTAATTATCAAGATATATACGTACCGGTAGTCTACTCATCATGAGAAGCCCGATCAAAACCTAGATAGTCCACCAGTCTAATCGAGCGAGGTCCCAGCTGCATCAATGAGGATTGCACCAAAGGATGGATGATATGATGTTGAGAAGGAACTGTAACAAATGCTGGGTACCTACTAGGTAGTATACATCACCAACGAGATTGATTATTGATCATGTAGTACACAAACATTCATGGCTGGAAACTTGGGTAATCCTTAAATAGGGCTCTATTTAACTTCTAGCCTTGAAATGATTGTCTTACCGAGGACATTGAGGGGCAGATTATGCCATGGATAAGACTTGGGACTGATGAAGGATCGATCATTGTTGTTGTATTATATCAGAGCTCGGAGGTACCCAAGACTTTCTTCCGAGGTTGATGAAACGAATGAGATAACATTGCCTTATTTATTTATTAACTTCTTTGCCGTCACTCCCATCCTCCCTCCTTTACTTTGTCTTTTCGTGTTTGTGTTTGGTCTGCCTGTGCGAAGCAGGAAAAGCAATCATCATGCCTCATTGAAACACATGCCCGCAACCATGAAGCATCGGATGGTAAGCTGTACTGCGTATGTAGCTGCTAGGTAATTATGCACATCGGGCGGAACTGGCAGCCTATCAATTGATTGGAATTGACTAAAAAGAGCGACTTCTCCGCGAACGTTCTGCTCCTGGAATTGTTCTACAGCATACTGTCGACTATAATACGTCTAATGTTTCTCCGTAGTAGGTTTGTGGTCACGGGAGAATGATTTGCACGTCCGACGATTCTACACGATAAGAGCTGGTCGGTCGTGCAGAATCAAATAAGCCGTCTTCCCGCTGTCTGTTTCTTTGTTTTCTTTCTTCCCCTTTTGCAATCCTGACAATTAACAATTTTTGCCCTGCAGCTTTACCAGCGCTCTAGTGGGGCGTAGAAATCAAAAGATCATTAAACGCCAAATTCTACCTGTCCGTGAGATTTACCGATTACCGAAGGAACGGCTGTACGGAGTACGTACTCAAGGATTCTGCAGCAATCCACCATCGAGGTGCCCATTTCAGTGGGATAATTGATGCAAGTCGTTCGGAGCCTCCGAGCATCCTCAAAGCACATCAGATTCGGACCCTCTACGGCTGTTGGTGTCGTGATTACTGACGACTTCGGCCGAGGAAGAGTAGTTTTCAAACAGGCGACCTTCAAATATCCGTGGAGGCAAACCCGGCTTTCGACGTTGAAAACAATAATTCTTCGGTCATATAATGGAACGGAAAATCGAATAATTAAGACGGCCAGAAGTACTCAGTCATCTATCGATAAACAAGGGCATGAATCCTGTTGACTACAACTTTCCTTACACCCTTGGACACCGCTGCGAGACGATCCAGACGGATTAATACTTTTACTTCCGCTACAAGTCTACGGAGTAGGCGGCAACTCCGTTGGTCAGAATTGCGCTTGTTCAGAAGGTGGGTTGAAATATTCCACTTTTGTCTGTGTTAGTGGATCTTTCCACCCATATCGTTGCGAAGTGGTTGCGTTTGAATTCGTATATTTGAATTCATCCGTGTGTGACATACTCTATGCTATTTTCCTAGTAAATTTATGTACTTGTCTTTATGGCAGCTGCGATATTCATCGATTCCTAAGCGCCGCAATTACTTTACATAATATAGAAGCTTCTAACGTGGTTGCTTGCATAATCTGCAATATGGTCTTGAGGAAGGTACCTCGAAGTATAGGCTCTTTTCCCTTGGACTTGCACTTTCCATCATTAAATAAACTTTTGAGTTTAACCATGCATCCGTATAACTTCGCTGACATGCATGCGTCCATTCTGTAGCAACTTTTTTAATGGTAACGGGGTTATGAGATATCAACACTGAGATTCTCTCGCATAGAATCCTAATATTGGTATTCAAGTGCTAGCGCAAGGATGCATCGAAGGCAACTCCCAGCTGATACTCCGCTTCTACGAGTATCCAGACCCGTCTCAGCATGTTCAAGATGTGAGCTTATTCAGCGAGCAGTTTGAGGGCAAATAGCTAATACATACTAGGTCGAGCCGCAAAAGTCAAGGTCTAGAACTTTTGGCCTTAAATAGAAGTCAACTAACATTTATATAGTGCGATGGAAAATTACCCGCATGTAGTGCGTGTGAGAAATCTGGACGAGCGAGCGAATGTTCGAGTGCAAATGATCAGTTCGCGAAGGGAAAGGAGAGGAGGTGAGAAGATTATCCCCCAAAAATTTAGTCTTGTTTTTTTATAGCTAACGGCCAAAAGTTATGTTGCTTCTCTTGAGTCTCGAGTCGAGAAGCTCGAAAAACGTTTGGCATATGCTAGATTAAGAAAAGCATCTGTTGCGATGCATGATTTAGATACGCCAACGGAACTACCGGATCGGAAAGACTCTCTGGCTACCATAAGAGCCGTGATTCACGGCAAGGCGGCAAGAAAGAGGGAGGCTGCTGATGTAAATGAGCTGGTTTCCGATTTTGGTTTTCTGTGAGATATTCACATCCCTCTTACATGAACGATTTATGCTGACCCTGTAGATCTGTCCATGCTACTACGCGTGATTTCGAATCCTCTACAACTAACATGACATTCGCCAGACTTATTCTTTCGGCGGCCAATCATGACGAACTACCTGAGCCCCGGTCTTTACAATTGCCACCAAGACACGCGGCAACGAAGTTGATTCAGTATTATCTGGACAACATATTTGCTTTGTATCCGATTGTCTCCGAGACTGCTCTATTCAATGCATTAGATAAAATTTATCCCGGCAATAGTCAACGGGTCACTGATTTCGAGAATTGGATGTTCTATATGGTCCTAGCCATATCATCTACAGCTCAATCCCGAAGTTATTTAGACTCCAAATACGAGGAAGGTGTTTCTTGGGCTGGCCGTGCGCTTGCATATGCTGACCATGTTCTCATGCCTGGTCATGTCTCGCAAATTCAGGCCTTGGTTCTATTCGTTCAATATGCAATGCTTGATCCAGCTCACTTTGATAGTTGGCAGTTGATGGGCTTTACTTGTCGAGCAATTGTTGATTTGGGATTCCATCAGGACCCACCTGGAGAGCAACAGCCCGACAGGAAGGCCTTAGATATGAGGAGGAGGATATTTTATTGCGTTTATTCGCTCGACAGGTAAGCGAATCCTCCGCATCAAAAGAATGAATGTTCATAAAATTAGATCCATCAGCATGGTCCACGCAAGGGCATTTTCTTTCACGGACGACTCATCTAATGTGGAATATCCGTCCGTGTCGCCCACTTTCCCTTCAATGGATCACAGGGATTCAGTATCTGGACCCCATTCTATGGAAGCTGCCCATTTGTTATGGCAATTGAGGCGTGCTCAATCGAGTTGGTATCAGGAGCTGTTTCAGTCCAGTCGAGAGCCATTACCACAAGGCTCGACGTATCTCTGGAAGATGTGCCGAGAAATGCGAGAGTGGTCTGAGTCCTTTCCCGATTCGCTGCCACTCGTCTTCAAGGATTTCTTTGATTTGGAGCTACTTTATAGTTATGTCTATTGTCTTGCCCCGTCATGCCGAGTCCACGTCGTGTCAGACTATGCGAAGAATTTAATCTTTGAATACGCAATAACGTATATGCAGAGAATTTTCCCTATCAGCCAGGATCCTATCAACAAGGCATTTTATACTTACCACGACGCACTACGAGTATATTTTATTGGCAGTCAATTGATGGCTGTGTTATCCGACAGTCAAGATCAAATATTTAACGGATCACGCATTGCTAGTGGGGCGAGCTCTTCTTCCCTACCGCCTCTTCCAGCAGTTACTGGGCTTGGTCAAATTGACCGCAGCATTAACTGTATAAATCATATCAAGGAGTCCCTGAGAACATTTGGTCGACGATGGGAGGATTCGAAAGCCCTTCTATCTAGCTTTGACGCTCAAGCTGAGCCAATTATCATAAGCTTACACATGAGGAAACAGCAGCAGCAACAGTATACCAAAGAAGAATCCTCTATGGGCCACAGCCCAAATTATATGCCACCAACTGGCTATGATCATACGGTTTATCAAATGGAGAACGAGTGGCCAGGTATGAACCTGATGTATTCGAATGCAGACGTCTCGGGGTTTAGTGGAGTTGGTCATGGAGCTGGACCACCCGGCCTGTAAAATAGATTAAAATACTCGACGAAACGTCGACTAAAATCTATCACAGTTTTTGGCCTGATGAAATAAAGTACACGTTTTTCAATAAATGATTGCCATCACTACCCCTCGAAGTTTCTCAAGATAGACAAACCCAACTATTATGGAAAGAGTGACCGCTTATTCCTGGTCATTCATTTCAACGTGCTTCTCGTGCTTTCCTCGCGTTGCAAGATTCATTGTTTACTTTATGGAGTAGACCTATTTCCGTGCATGTTTTCTTTTCCTCTCATGCTTCTTCTGCTCATTCGCAATTTTTTCAGACACAACTGTGTCGTATTGTTAACACACTTTTGGAGACAAGTATCATTCTCAACATTATAATAAAGTATTTTAAATTATCATAACTTCTTTTCTCACCGTTGAACTGGCTCTCCAGCCCATCTTTCAGGATGCCGCCGTTTTTTTCGTAAGTGAAAACGTTCATTTCAAACCATGCCAACTGACATTCTTAGGCCAAGAAAACCAAAGGCACCTGTTCGCATTGATACAGAGCACCAGGTTGCCAACTCGCACTATTATACAGCTTTTAAAGTTGTCTTGAAGATTACAGTGATTGCTCTCGTCATTTGCATTGCTTTCTTGCCATCAATAGCACTTCGCAATAAGCACAGACAGCATTTGGGCGAACCTGTCGTGAAAGATTTGGAACATCCTCCAAACTTCTCGATATCGAAAGAACTCGAACGTCAAGTCACCCATGTTCCAATTCGTTTTGTCAAAACTGCCAAGCTACTTGTTCAACAATTACGCATTCGAGAGTCGACATCGGATAAGCCAGCGAACCCCTCTGCCAGCGAACAGGTTGAACGCTCCGAGCACGTGAGTGACGACACTGTGGACGGTATTCAATATGGTGATTACACACTTGATGGCTCGACACACCAAGCCAAGTCCAAAATCGAGCGGTTGCAACATTGTTCTGCGGAGATAAAAAGTAGAAACGGAGGAAAGTGCCCCCTACGACCAATTCTCCCAACTAGAGATGATGACCGTGTATTTCCCGGACGTTGTTCTTGGCAAGAACGACGCAAGTATGGTGGAAAGTGTAGTCCCCGTAAATGGCGACCTACGCCTCGCTCTCTAATTGTGAACGATGATGACGCTCCTCTCTCAGCTGAACCTCGTGACAACAAGCACTTGGATCAGCCAAGGAGTACGTCGTCAACTTCAACTTCAACGCGCAAACCCACGCCCACGCTCCAGGTTATCAACACTTGTTCTTACGAAAGTGCAGTTAGGAACGGAGGAAGATGTCCTCACGGTTTGGTAAATGGACAAAAGCCAGCAGAAAACAAACCAATTTCTATCTCCATCAAAGCAGAACCTCGCGAACCCAATACAGCACAACAGCCCCGTGAAGCGGCAGTAAGTACGGAGAACGAAGTCAACTACAAGCCTTATCGGGCTGATGTATGCAAACCTCGTTGGGTTCGTACCACTGATGGCTGGTGTGTTTATCGAAGTGGCTTTGGGCCTGATGACGATAAACCGGACTTTTATCCACCCGTGTCTAAAATGTTGGTGTCGTCGAAACAACGACGCCATGAAGCGAAAGTAAATGAGGAGGCTAAGCTCGAACCCAGACCATATCCGGCTGATTCCTGTCCAGAATTCTGGGTTCATACCACTGACGGTTGGTGCTATTATCGTGGCTCATCAAGGCGACCCTTGGGATTTGGGGGACCTGAGTCTCGGAAATTGGTATCTTCAGAACAAAAACGTCGTGATGTAACTGTGAGTGATAAGAGTGGAGGCATAACTGCAGCCGATCCGAACGATTCATTTCGCTGGCTTGTTAGTGTTGAAGACATATGTGTTCCTCGAAGCGTATTTTCGGCTGATGAGGATGAACCGGGATATTATTCTGGAGCCCACTCACCTTTTTATTCGGAAATTCATTCGCCTAAGTCTCTGAGGTCAAAACTGCCAAAACAATGTATTGGCGTAGCCTTTCTGGCTGAGGCGCGCTGGTGTCCATCGCCTTGGCACCACGATGATGAGGATAATTGGTGCTTTTATGTTTGGCAAGACAGTGAAGATACATCTAAGAGATCTTTTCCGGAGCTTCTGGGCCCTGAGCATCAACCTCGTGCTGAAGCTGTGAAAGATGAGGTCAAAGGTGTGGGCGGAGACTATCCTGCTGATTCATGTTCATCTCCTTGGACTTACGTTGATGGCAAATGCATTTTCAATTGGCAAGATGGTGATGAGCCACTTAAGGTTTCTTTTTCTGGTCCTTCAAGTCCAGAGCTTCAACCTCGTGGTGAGATTACAAGCCAGAAGACGGAAGTCACTACAATTTTGACTCCGGCGCGTACCTCTAGCCCTGCTCTCGAATCTACTTCTACGTCTGTCTATATCTCTGCCACCACAACCATTGTTATCGCTCTTCCCACGGCTGGAGCGTGTGAACCTCCTTGGATCTGTACTAAGGATGGCCGATGTTTCTTCGACCCCAATTATCAACGCCAGCATCCTCAAGAACCGCTGTCCCGCCCTCGCAAGCAAATACGTCAACGACGTGGTGAAATTCCAACCGAGAAGCGTGGTATTGCTCCTAGTTGGCAAGCTGAATCGTGTGAGCTGCCTTGGATTCGTACTTCTGATGGCTGGTGTATATACAGACCAGATTACCAACATGGGACACAGAGTTCTTTGTCTGGTGCTCCAGCGCAATTTAATACCACAAATCAATTGAATTCTACAGCACAACCAACTATCACAATAGAACCAACCGCCACAGAACAAGCGACTGTCACAGAACAATCAAATTCTCCAGTGCAAGTTGCGCAACCAACCAGCACAGATCACCCAATTGACATTAAAATCTTCCACTGCATCAACGATCTACAAGGAAATCTTAAATGTGGTAAGTTTTTACATGGAGATACAAAGTTTTCATCCGTTCATAATCGTCGAGGTTTCTGGCCCGATGATTGGGTACCACAAATAGAAGATGATTGCGACCGTTTCATTGGAAACACATATATGCACTACCAATGTCTTCAATCAGTCAAACACAAGAACATCGGCCTCAAACTCATCATGGTCTTTCTGATTCTCGCCGGCTTTGGTTCCCTCGTCTTCCTCATCATTACCTGTGTCAATCGAGCTGCACGTCCTAAAGCCCAGCCTTTTAGACAGGTGAGCGGAATTATAGATGCACATGGAATGACGGAACATCCAACACCCATGTGTGGACATTATCCTTGGAATGGGCCGACAAATTCGAAACCAATGAGCGGAGAGAGATGGGCCCGAAGTCCTCCAGCTTACGATCCCATGAGACAATTGACACCAGATCATTCAGGTAGTCTCGTCGCTTGTTCCCGTGATCGCAATTGTGCGAGTGGTAGTTCGGGTTCTAATGGCACGGAAAATTGGATTCGTAAATTGTGCAATAGGTGTTTTAAGAGTCAGAGTCATTCGTCAGTTTCGGAGCATTCGCAAATGGTCGGTGGGCTTGGGAGTGGAATTCTTCGTTTAAGGAGTGATGATCATAGGATTGATACGCTTAAATTGCCAAATGCAAATTTGGCGACGGTTAGGAGGACAAATGGTTTGGTTCTTAGTGAGGATAATGGACATGCGAATGCTAGTGCGGATACGGTGGTTGTAGGGAGCGATTTTGGGAGGGCTGCAGGTAGAAGCTCCGGTTCTGCTGTTGGTTTGCATGAGGTTCCTTCGGGTAGTTGTTGTGGCGTGGCTGGTGCTGAAGGGGGAGTTCAAACTGGTTTGACGCAACATGGAAATTTGAGTGGTGATACGGTTATTGAGCCGGAAGCTGCGATGATTAAGTGTATAAATGGAAACGGAATCGCATATGAAAATGGTAGTGGAAACGGAAATTTGAAGATGGGGTGCTTGAAGACTAGTCACTTGAAGAAAGTCGGGTTTGAGGGGTTGGAAGGACTGGAGGAGGTGGACGGTTGGAGAAATGTTGATCGGGTTGAGCCTTTGAAGGTTGAGAAGGAAAATTCGAAGGGAATGAGGAGTGGATGTGGAATGGGTGGTGAGTTGGAGGAGATTCAGGAGGAGAGTGGAAATAAGATGAATTGAAGGTGAATGAGGGGGTGAGGAATGGTAGTATTGTTTTTGTTGGTGGTTGTTAAGATGTGGAATGGTGGCGAGTTTATTTCTTTCGAAAGGTGTATGGTATAGGTGGATCGATGGATCGATGCTTCTGTTGAGATAAGATATTGGTCATTCGTTTTTCATTATTGCGAATGGCTGGCTGGCTGGCTATGAGGGGCAGATTTGTCTTTTTAGTAAGGTTATATTATTATCGATGAAAGAAAAGTAAAAAGATGAGGAGGAATGGGGGCGTGTGGATCAGCTCATCACGCGCTCGATGGAAGGATTGCTCGGCTCTCACAGGAGGGTAATTTTTGTTCTGTTTTCTCTTTTGTTGTGTTTTGTTTCCGGCCATTCGTTTAGATAGAATTATAGTATTGAGATGGCTAGATACTAGCTACAGTGTAAAAACAAATGGAATTGTTATACTCTCATTCCCTTACTCGATTTAAAGTGTGATTGTTAAATAATGTTTTGCTTTAGCTCTGGTATTAATCTAACTAGATATACCATGGAATATTGCAATAGTCCCCTTCATTTTAACCCTTTCATTATCCCGTCTACTTTCCACCCCTTTCTCCCTCCCTTCCTCTCCCTCTCCCTACCCACCACCAACCCCCGGCTCCCTAATCATCGCCCAATTCCTCCCCACCCCACAAACCCCCATATCCACCTCCATCACCTCAACCGTCTTGAATCCCACACGCTCATATATCGGATACCCCGCAGCAGTAGCTTCTAGATAACAACTTTTTGATTGGCTGTCGGCGAGACTAAGGATGCTGTTTAGGAGGTAGGTTCCTAGACCGAGTTTTTGGTACGTGGGGGAGATGGTTAGGACGTAGATTACTGTTTTGGGGGGTGTGTGTTAGTGAGAGGGGGGGTTGGATGGTGGGGTGAAGGGTGGTTGAGGGGTTGAGTGGTGGGAAATGGGAATCGGGGATAGAAAAAAGGAAAAAGAAACAAGAATAACGAACAATACATATCCCCCCTCCTATACCACCTCTCCCTCAACCCCTTCCACCCCTCAACCTTCGCCTCACAAATCTCCACCACAGAACCCACGGGAAACTTTTCCTCCCCCTTCTCCTCTCTCTCCCTTTCCTCCCTCTCCTCCTCTTTCTTCTGCGATTCTTCCTCTTCCACACTCACCTCGTGCGCGGGACTCCAATGCGTCCACCCGGCTATATTCCCCGTGGAATTTTCAACAACTTTCCATGTCATTGTGTGTGGTGTTCGGAGATATTTGGCAAATACGTTGGTGATCCAGGGGTTGAATGTTGAGGGGGGGACGGTGGAGGCGGGCCAGCGGGCGAGTCGGAATGCGTCGTTTTCGAAGGAGTGGGTGTAGATTTTTTGCATGGAGGGGAGGTCGGAGGGAGTGCAGGGATGGATGGTGAAGGTTGGGCCAACATGGGTGAGGGGGGTACTGGGGGGTGCTGTGGTCATGGTTGAGTTGTTTTTTTCTCAGTGATACTTGTACACGGGATAGATAGATGTCTTTAGAGAAAAGCAAAAAGATGATATGAAAACTTGTCCGGAGTATCTGTAGGCAACGTATATATAGATATTGACAACTTGTATAAGGACTTCCAAATGAGTATAAACTTATGACTCCCTCCCACTCTCAATGGAGCTACTGAACATCTCATGACTCATCCATCCACCGATATCTGAGAGATATCCTGCCGGCATAACGTCCAGATCTCATCTTCTAACATCTTTTGATCGATATGTATTGTACATACAGTAGAATTACCATTGATCGGAAAGACTGTTGCACCTCGCCGGTAATATTTCGACTGCGTATTATATACGCAGTAGGTAGTTAAGGTTACCCCTTAATCTGGCGATCTTCGGCAGCACTTACTCACTCAGCCTTGTAGAAATGATATTTCATTCCGATCCATCAGTATGTCGCCATAATTCGGGATAATGTGTTTGATTTCATATGATATGATATGATATGATAAATGTTTAATACAATAGGTAGTGATTAATACAAATTAGAGAAGTTGTGTTCTTGATTGAGATATATTACTCAATTAAACTATAATAATGTGTTTGTAATAATTTGACTTTAAGCCCAATTTCGGAAATTTTATATCATAACCGTTTGGATTTTTCCTTGGGCTGTAGGGTTTTTTAATCTATCGTCAACCTTATATTCGTAGTTTTTGGTAAGGATCTGATGGGTTTCTTCTATCTGACATATTTCGTTCCGTTTGACACTTGAGGGATTGTCTCTTGAGTTTGTGGAAGGAGATAATTGGCGATTTGGTATAGGTAGATAGATATTATTTATTCAATCTTATTTTATAAATTTGATGATCATGATGATCAAAGTTTCAATTTTTCTTCCCTTGAAGTTCTAGATTTGCATTTCGATTTGCTTTCGATTTTTCTATGGAGTCAAATTTCATGGCCCTTGACTTTCTGGAGTTTAAGGTTGACAAATTGACAATTTATTACGCGGTACATACATACGCTGCGTACATACATACATAAGTTTATATCAACGTGGGTGGGTTTACAAGGATTTTTCAAGAGGGCTAACTTACCAAGGGCTGATTTGTGGTTCCCGGAAATGGCAGGTGCTTGTTCCTGTGCCTGTTTGCTTGTATGTTTTCTGTTCTGTACCTTGCAGTGGTTGGAGGATGGGAATCCTAATAAGTGATGGTAATATGGTAAGGTTATGTATGTACAGGTACTCAGATAATATGATTAAATTGGTCAATTGATAATAGTTTGGTTGCAGAAACTTCTTTGTGTCTTCTATCTTCTCCACTCATCGATGTTTATAACATCAGGATAGACAATTGAGAAGAGAAGATAGATGGATGGAGGAATACTATCTCACTCCGCTCTTTATATTCCACTTCCCCTTCCCCTTCCCCTTCCAGCAAAGATCTTCAAACACCATGGATGATACTCCGTACCTGCAATAATGCTAACTATGGCATTGGCAAATGAGATATTAATCTGTGGAACCGATTTCTCGTAATTAAGAAAAATCCCCATACAATCTCATCTCTGTACAGTTTGTGATCCGTGGATTGTCCTCGAAATGTCAAATCCACTGATGTAGCTGATAGCTCCCTAGAAGGTATGCCAGGATTAAATACTCCGTACTGGGTTACAAAGTAGATACTGTGCCTTCCTGTACCTGGTACATTGGTACTGTATGTAGGTTATGTCCGACATTTATTTTCTCGTGGGGATACTTATTAGGTACTGGTGGTATTAAATATCTAGTAACCTATACAAGTATGCGAGCGAATGCAATATTGGAAATAAGCACATTTATTCACATCAATACATCCTAACAAGGTATTGTGTACGGAGTATACTTACATACCTCTTGTCTTATATTCTTCATTCTCCTAGCATCTCCAATTTTCCCTTTTTCCAAATATTCACCATGATTATGTGAATTAGCTGCAACGTCGTACGACCATGATATAGGAATAATAACACGAATGGCCCCTATCCCGAATCCTTACGAATTTTATATCAACCTATCAATAATCGCCGACTTATAGTACTACCAACGACTTGCGCCAAAAACTATCCACAAGAACAAGCAAAATCCTTCATTGGATGGTCAAATGTCAAACTTTATACAGTTGTCTTTCCAATTCGCAATTTTAGACCAGAAAATAAAGAACTTCTGCTCTCATGGTAGCATCTGGCACTAGGTCATCATGCAGACTCAATCCTCCACCTCCAGTACTACAACAATCATGGCTTATCCACCTCGACCTGAGTCACAAAGTCCTACTTTAACGGAACCAGATATGATTCTTCCATTACAAAATGAAACGACTTATGATTCTGAATCATCTTCGCGGCATACCTCTTTTCAATTTGCTTCCATGTCGGAAGATGCATGGCAACGGCCAGCCGATTCCAAATATCAAAGTGGGCTGCCGTCTAAGACACCAACTACGCCGATTATATATGGGAATGGAACAATGTTATCAGATATAGGCGAGGTTACAGAGGCGGAAAGTACACCAGCGAAGAAATTACCTGGTCCTGCCGAGCGAAGGTTTATCAAGCAGCAACAACTTCAAAACGGTCATCGAGTAAGCTCAGTATCATTGGGACATGAATTGAGAAGATCTGGAACCAAGACTGGAACGCACGAGAGGAAAATATCTGTGGAATCAGCAAGTACTATTACTTCAGAACCACAATCTGCGATGTTTGAAGATATCGATGATACAGTCAGCGTGGATGATAGTAATTTCCAGGGTGATGATGAGGAGAGTGTGGCGGAATCTTATACGGACACTTATCGCGAAGAGCTTGTCGAAACGGAAACACGTAGATTATCGCGCAGGGAAGGAAATTTTGAAGATGGGGAGGATGATCAAAATTCAAGTGCTGCTTTGAGTAGAAGGGCCGAACAAATTTTATTGAATGCCAAACGTCGACTCAATGTGAGTTGTGTAGATTCAAACCAGGTTCATCCACTAACCATTGCATTTTAGAATATGGAGGGGAATTTAACACGAGCGCGAAGCTCCCTTTATGTAACGCCTTCTATTTCCATGCCTTCGATTTACAGCAGTAGTCCTTTAACCAATCCATCTCTCTTACAAATCGACCGGCGCATAAGTGGTGTACCTTCAAGACAACGATCATTTTCTAGTTTCCATACAAGCTCGGCAGCTTTGAGTCCTGGTCATTCGAGGGTTTGGAGCGAAAATAATATATCTCCCTCACGAGCAACGGCATTCCCAGTTCGTGCCTCAAGCGCGGCAGCTACGTATAGAACTAGAAGTAGTATGGGCTCGCACGCATCAAATCCAGCATCGCCAGGTTCCCCGCCAATCATCAAGGAGGAGAGTAATGGAAATATAAGGCCAATAGGATCCGGTCGATCTTCACCACATAACAGGGTATCCCCCTCTCAAGCATCGTATCTTGAACCTCTGGTCGAGGATGGGGTTCCCGAATTTGATGACAGGACTAATGGCTGGACTAATCCTGATAGAGATTATTCAACCGTACGAGAAGGACGCTTGAGTCGTTCTTCGTCAACTTCAAGCATTAGAATGCAGGATATACAGCATCAAATGCATGACCTGAAAGGAAGATTGTCAGCTTTGCGAGATCGTGCGAGGGATGATAATATGAAACGTCGCAGTCTCCAAAGTTTACGGACGCCTAGTCCATTCACGGCCGGGGAGCAGTGGTACAATGGAGGTGTTAATGGTCAGGACGCAAAGACAGATTCAGTGGTAGATCACGGTCAATCGAATGGAGCTCAGAATGGCGATTCTTCCAAGGATACATACTCTGTACACCTGTCCCAGTCATCTACAAGACAAGCTCCAAACTATCCCAAATCAGATGCTACGAGCATATATGAAGATGTGGACGAGAGCCAAGTGAAATCACCTGAATTATCGAGCCCACGTCAAAATCATACACCGATAGTGGAAGAAGAGGGCTATGACACGTGTTCAGAAGAGTCGGAAATTTCAAGCAACCATAGCTACAATGACGATCGTGAAGAATTCAATGAGTTTGACCATGAGGACAACAGTGATGCATCAATTTATCACGAATCAGTGACCGAGCAGATATCACACGAGGATCGTGAAGATGCATTTGATTACGAACATTTCTTCCTACATAGCGCAATGGGTACGATGAGTCGGGAAAGAAGAGGAAGTATTACCTCAGAGGATTCCGTAGAAACAACACGAGGACCAACAGCTCCAATGCCTCTTGTGGAGAATGATCATGACCCTAGTCAACGATCATCCGTGGTTCATCTTAGATCCGACAGTAACGCTTCTATTTCTACTCTAGCCACTTTTGCGACTGCCAAGTCAAATATGGACGATGAAGAAAGTAGTGAAGATGAGGAATATCCTTTCGATTCAACAGCTCCTTATACCGATATACGTAATCATAACGCTCCGGACTCACCCACAATCGCTCCTTATAATTCAAAAAGAGCCGGTTCTATTGGAAACAAAAGATCAACATTTGGCTCTTTGCCCAGAAACACCGCAATCCATGACTATAACGACATTGGAATAGCTCGAGGCTCTGGATTATACGATATTGACATCAGACCCGACCTACACTCTAGAAATCGCTCCCTCGATTCTGTTACCTCTAACAGCACTGCTCGTAGCTTCCCTCTTTCCACCAAACTCAGAGAATATCCAAATAACTTCACCCCACCTGGTACCGCCTCTAGTACCCCTTGTCATCCAACACGCACCACATCCCTAGAAAATAATCGCAACAAGGCACGAACTTCACCAACCCAGATGCTTTCCAACGATGATCAAATTCTCGTCGAGCGATTAGTCGCTAGTCTGGGAAAATGTATCTTGGGTTTACAGAATACGGAAGCGGGAAATTATGATTCTAGAATTTGGAGACGAAGATTAGATGCTGCAAGGAGGGTTTTAGACGGTGAAGAGGGAGCTATTTAATAGCATATACTCATTCATTCTTTTTTATTCTACCTTTTTTATGTTTTTTTTCGATTTACGACTACGTTGCGTTTGCATTATTGCCGCCACATACGCAAAAGATTTTTAATTTATTATTTGTCATTTGACAACTGACAATTTTTTTCTTGATTCTGGAGAGAAAATGGGCAGGAAATGGGAGGCAATACCAGAAATAGGTGTAAATGCGAAAATGGACAGGACAGGTGCATTTACAATGAAAAACGCTCTATGGCCATAATTTTTGGGGGCTGGTTTCTTGGGAGGGACAATTCTTTTCTAAGTAAGAGGATGAATCAGGTTTTGAGTAGGTAGGTAGTTGTTGGTTGGGTTGCAGCTTCTACCCTTGTTATTCGGGTAATACGTTTATATAAATTTTATTTTTTATTTTTATCCTTTGTTTTTTTTTGGGTTGGGGAGAGAGGGAGGGGAGGAGAGGAAGTGGGAAGGGAAGGGAAGGAAAGACCTCGTTTCTTTTTTACTTCTCTTACTCACTTGGTTGGTTACTTACTTACTTACTTACTCTTCTTTGATACCCCTTATGATATGATTATTAGTCTTTTAGTTGTTTATTATCTTTTTTAAATTTGTTTAGAGTGTGGGGGGGATTGAGGAGCGGGAAGAGGAAGGAAAAGCGGATATGTGAAGGAAGAGAGGTAGAGATGAGGTGCTTGGATTTGAGGGAGGATTTGATGAGCGGTTGATAGAATTGATATGTATGGATAGGATAGGTAGATAGACAGATAGATGGATGTAATACATTTGATGATGTCTACTTTTTCGTTTGTTGTTTTGTTGTTATATACTTGAGTATACTGACTTATCTTGTCTTGTCTTATATTATATTTCAATACAACATCATCTAAAATCATATGTTGAATATAATTATCAAATATTTTAAACACTCAGATAGATACTAAAATACTCATCTATTTATCCGATAATCTTAAAAGGGGGAAAAAATACTCCTTATGTATATATAAAGATTATCAGATTGAAAATCTTATAAAATAAAACTATTTTTATATCTATATATACTTCTACTCCTAGATTTATTTCTACTTTAAAACAAATAAGGTTATCAAACTTGGGAATTTGATTACTTGATTATATTTTTTGGGGGGGGGGATGATTTTGTTAAAGTCTTGAGTATTATTTAATGTATAATGTATAACGTATAACATATCTATAAACCATACTGTAAACCATGCTATAAAGAAAGAAGAAAGAGAACAAAGTTATCTATCTATTTGTCTACTACACTCCACCTCCAACCCTCTCAAGGAGTTCAGTATCCTAAACCTCATTTCCATCGCAATCCGTGTTTCATATCCCATATCCAGTATTCCCAATTCGTATGTCTGATTCGTAACCCCATTCCCAAATGTAATCCTAAACCTAGCCCTAACCATAGCTCATATCCCCATCCTCATCCACATCCCACAATAACAACCTACAACCTATTCCCAATCCCCCCAAACTTTCCTTTATACTCCCCTTCACCCCTCCCCTCTCCCCCCCAAAAGGAAACCCTCACCTCAAAACCCTCTCCCACGGTTCCCTCCACGGAACCCCTAATATCTCAAAAATCCTCTTCTCATCCCTCCCCTCCACCAACATCCCATCCGTAACTTTCTTTCTACTGTTCCATCTCCCTCCACTTCCTCCACCTCTCCCAACTTCATTTCCTTCTCCTCCCCCACTCCAACCACCCCTCATCACATCCTTAAATAACCCCCTCTGATTCAACCGCATACCTTTCTTCCCCGCTAATAATCGCATGCTTCGATTAAAGATGTCGTCACCGGTGAAGTAGATCAGTGCAGCGCCGAGTTGGGTGGAAGGAACGATGAGGAAATCGATGCGGCGCCAGGGGTTGTGGTGAGGATCCCTATGGGTAGTAGGAGAGGAGGGGGAGGAAGAAGAAGAGGGTAAAACACAACATCCATGCCATTTTGATCCTTCATTATTATGCGGCACAGCGAGAGCAGCTACCAGAAACTGAGAATCTGTGAGAATTTTCACGAGAGAGGTTAGAAATGGGAATAATTGTGTTGTAGATATCGTGTGAGCTTTCGTGATTATAATATCGATATCACCGGATGATTTAGCACCGCGACGATAAGATCCCCCGATTGTGATTTCGATATCCGGATCGAGAGATTGTGCTGTTTTCGTGATATGGGTACCCAATTCTTCGATTTCGGCGCGGGGAATTCGTAGTTGCAGGTCTTCGTAATGGGTTATGCCGATTTGTTGGCTGGGGCTAAGTTTGATGTTTTGTTCTAGATCGGCAAAGGTGCGATGGCCTTGGGATATCCATTTTGAAGCTAGTTTGAAATTGACGCCGTAGATACCCATGAATAATTTGAGGATTTTATCGTCGGGTTCTGCTTCGGCGTTTTCGAGACGGAGGAGTCGACCTGTGAGGACAATTCCTTCGATTTTTTTGGCGATGCGTTCTCCGATTTTGGGAATTTGAATGGCTTCGTCGTAGGTGCGGATGAGAGTGAGCTGGTTTTTGAGTTGGCAGCATGCTTGGAGATAAGAACGGCTTCGCCATTGGTCGCCGATTCTTTCGTAGTACTCGCGCATTCGGGATAGAATTTCAATGGTGTGTTGGTTGGGATTGGGTCCTTTGGAAGCGGTTCCACCTGTCATGCATTGGAAGTTATTTAGACTTCCTTTTCCTGCGAGAACTGCTCGGCGGATTTTGGTGGGAGCTTTTAAAGGTGAGCGACGATCGTCTTCTGAGTCGGGTTCATCTATAGTATTGTCAAAGTCACTAGTGGTTAATGTTAAATCATCGTCAGAGTTATCATGGTCGAGTACACCTTCAGTTGCTCTGGCTAGTTCAATAGCTTCATTCAGTATACCGAAGTCTACTTGTTTTGAATTTGCAGTAGATTCTTCATCCAAAAGTTGCAAGCTTTTCTCTGTCAAATGGGTCAAACTTCCTTGTTGTGATTGCCGTCCAGACATTGGAGCTAAAGGGAAAGAGATTGGATTGACGGTTGGCATCAAATGTTGACTCCGCTCGGGTGTCTCTACCGGAGGTACGTATTCCCACTTATTCGGCTTTTTAGTAGAGGCTTTTATCTGTAGTGATTTGTCCGACTGTTGTGACTCTGATGGTACCAATATTTGTTCCTTTTCAATGACTGCACCTGGATCTTTGACCAAATATTTCTTCCCAGATGGATCATAGAGATATTTCTGCTCGATGCAGTCCAATAACCACTCTTCATTTACCATGCTGGCTCCTACCGGTAGAACTTTGAGGTAGGTAATAACATCTTTTCGTGTTAATGATCTGTCGATGATCAAATAGTTGATGGGCTCGTTGATATCTCTAACCCATGTTGCGCCGCGCTCTCTTGCCTTGGTAATACGAGCACGTCTAACAGGTGACTTATCATCATTAGGAAGAAAGAAAAACTTGAGTCCTTCGAAGACCCTATCTTTTGGAGGTACAAGCTTGAGGGGTTTCTCCTTCTTTCCGGTGGCCTTTTTGGCCGTCCCCTTATTCAGGGTTTCTCCCTTTCTCTTTTTGCTAAGCATTGATGCTATTCCCGTGCTGTTAGTAAGAACCAATTTAGCTGGTGTTGGGTTTGATATGCTGCATTGATCTATGGTTGGTCTTTTGGTTGAACCATCCGCACTTCTTATAGAAGATGAAATCTCTTTCTCAAAAGAACTACTAGCAGAAACCGTAGCACGCGATTCGCTTCGAAGACCTGACCGTTTACGAGGTGACTCTATTGACAATTCTGCAGTAGCAGTACCATTCACCATATTCTTAGCCTTAGTCACATTCCCCTGTGGCTCAGATTGACTTCGCTGTAACGAAGGAACATTTTTGAGAAGTGGTTTATACACCTTTCGAGGTGGCAGTGTATTGAATTCCTTAGACCGGGGAGGTAGCAAACTTTGCACTTTTTGCGAAGGAGCATCCAGTATTGGTTTATTGCATTTTTTCCAAAACTCTCGTGATTCATTAGGCATTCCATCATCTGAATCTGATTGATTCAAGGCATAGAGCTGCTCGAAAAAGCTAGCTTTGTCTGACTATTTCCCAATTGTTAGATGAAGAGTCTTTGGATTCTTTGATGACTTTTACTCACCATGACGACAGGCAAACTGTAAACTGATGCAAGTAGCTATTTATATATATAAACTCATAAACTCCCAAGGTCAAATACGAGACGCCTGATGATTACTATTCAATTGCTTGTTTATACAGAGTAGGTCTCATGAGAATTGAAGACATTGTATTGTTGGTATTATTGCTTATCTCGGACTTGGTTCTTTGTTAGGACATCAGGGCCCGCCAAAGGGAAATGAAAGCTAATAACTCTGTACCTAACCTCATTCTACCAGGCCCCCGATCATCCCGCTTCCTCCATCAAAACAATTTATTATTTATTTGATATTTAATATTTATTATTAGAATCCTACGTCACCACCCAACTCTTATATAACCATTTCCATATATATTCGATATTATATAAATATAAATACAAATATAAATGGGAGGGATATTTGAACATTGATACTTCACCTCTGCATTTTATTGGTTATCGCACTCTTCCAACATCTCACGCCGCTCGAAGCAAACATCTTACATCTTCCTTCAGGATTTGCTTACTACCTTCCCTTGCCTACCGACCGACCGACCGAAACCTCTTATCGATATCATCCTTACTGTACTCGTACTCTCGTACTCGAGTAGTTCCATCCATCCAATCATGGACCCCCCGAATCCCCTGAACACCCTGAATACATTTCCCCGGTTCTCAGACTTACCTTTCGAGTTGAGACTCGAAATCTGGGAGCTTGCCGCTTTTCACAAACGCATTTTGGAGTTGAATTACTGCATCGTCGATAAGATATTTCTCAACCTTGGTCTACCTCCCGCGATACTTCATACGAATAGAGAATCGCGTAAAGTAGCTCTCCGCTTTTACAACAAGTCCTTCGGTACGGATGAGAAGCCTGGGAAGATCTACTTCAATCCCGTTTGCGACACGATATTTTTCAGTTCGAGACAATATGATGATGAAATTACGGCGGTAGCAAAGCATTTTTCTATTCAAGCGCCATCTTTACCTTATCAACATCAAATCCAGTCAATTGCTCTGGCTGAAAGATTTTGGGGTGAAACTCACCGGACTCTTCCATTTCGTCTTTCTGATGCTTTGGGAAATATTGCTAGATTTCGATCGGCTTTTCCTCACTTGAAAAAGGTCCTCCTGGTGAGAAATACACCAAGCGAGGAAGAAGTTGATTCGTGGTCTCGCTATTCAGGCATAACTTTGTTAGAATCAAATATGAATGCATTAGCGGAAGATTATATATTGGATATTGTCATAATGGCATTTGCGGAAGATTCGAAGACGCGACCGGGCGAAGTAGTAGACGTGACGGTGATGGAGCATCCCCAGGGAAAGATGTAATTCTCATTTTGTCATTCTTATTTTTTCATTCCTTTTTCATTCTTCATTGTTTTGTTGTGGTTCTCGGTGGGACAATTATCTTCCTATTTTTTAAGATACCAAGAACATTTCATATGAGAATCATGCAATTTCAGTTAGTCTTACATATTATATTTTATCATGCCATGTTTTTTATTGGCTCCATATCAACCAACTCTTTTTACCTATGAAGAAATTTTTATCTCATGTCAATGCTGGAACAAGTGAACACAAACTGCACAACATCCTTCGCTTGTTACCGGTCACACCGAGATCATCTGCCAAAAGGATCTCTGTATTCGTACTTGGCATCTGCACGGAATGTAGAAGATTTCCCTTATTCTCTGCGTTGAGGCTCCCTAGTATGTACATCAATAAACCGAAATTGTCTGCAGCTGCAGATTTTGGCGCCTTTGAAATGCAAATACGCGCGTTCGGTGCCACGTGGCGCTTCTAATATTTTAAATGATCCAATCCAATCCTCTTTCACGAAAGATTACGGAAGTAAAAAGATAATTAAGAACAAGAGTCCACACTAAATAAACCCTTTGAGAAAATGATCCGCAGGAGGCTAGGGTTCAGAAATTTATTTCGCACCGATAAAATTTAAACGGAGTATATAAGATTCCACTATGTTAAGGTTAACGGATTTTCAGATATTCCGACATGAAGAAGTGGAAAAAACATCGGATTTTAAAGATTCCGTACCCCTACATCATTGCGTATGTTCTTCTTGAAAGGGTTTAGTGGGTGTTCTTGTAACTAAGTTTTTACGATAACGCTTGCTTCATTGATGATGATATATTTTTGGCTCGCAATACGTAGTGCGGGGTTAGCGTAGCGCTCCGTACGGAGTATTGCATACTAATCATTTAATCGCTGTCTCCACTGTGGGTCGTGAGATTGGAAAAGTGTCAATTGTTTGGTATTGACATTCGCGGTTGTGGTGATATTAATATTGGTGAGTGTTTCACCATTCATTGCATTTTGTCCGGTTAGACACATGTGTAGGACCAACAATAGACTTTGGAGTTTCTACAGTAGGTATCTCCTCCGATTAAAGAGTACATGTAACATAAGAAACTGTACTGAAAACCTATCCCAACTATCATTCTCGTTGATATGATACTAGAAATGATATGACTTACATTGCATTGACGGGCAAAAGGAATCAAATGCAAAATAAGCCGGGTATCGACCAGTTCCACATTCCATCCATATATGCACCCTGCCTCGTGGACTACAAACTTAAACAGTATGCAGATTTGAAATGCGATGGGATATTCCGATCCAAGGGTTCGGGATGCTCTTCTTGATTTTCAAGTGGGAATTTGAATGAATAGTCTATTATTTCTCTACATGCATGTCTTGATTCGCGGATTTTCTCTAGTCGGATTGTCCATTTGAATGGATCCATCATCGAAGCAAAACGTTTTTGAGGTGGGTGCGGATGATTGCAGATTTTCATCGGCCAATATTGGAAGGTCCCAGTTTTATTGGCTGTAATCGTGTTTTGGTTGCTTTCTTGGTCGTTCATTTGTCATTTTGAGTTTCATTGGCGTTTATAAACTCTATGGTTAGGCTTCAACGAGTGCGGGAAATGGTCTGTAGTTTCGCATCCTTGCTACATCTATCATGAGCATGTGCAGATCTAGTATATGTACAGCCATAAACTGCTTTAGATGCGATGCTCGCGCTAGTGGTATGTGGAGTCTTCTCGGAAGTTCTAGTGGTCAATATTTCTCCTTAATTTCTACTAAACACTCTTCCACTCTTCGCTGTAGAGTTTTCTGTTATAGCAGGAGGTATCACCATCGATACAAATACCCCTATCTCTGCCTTATTATCAAAAACTTTCGGTCTTAGTCGACCACAATGACGAGATTCATGCAGATATGACGAGAATGCCTTTAACCGCACCACCAAGCTCATGATATCTCGCTCGTCGCAGTATTATGTATAGTAACTTACTTTATGGATATGATACTTCAGTATACAATTCTATGCATGGCTCAAAAAACTAGACAGCTTACTTCAAGAGTCTAGTATATTCCCCATTCAAATTGTGAACGCCAAGGTCTAACGGAAGATGAAAGGACACTGAGGAATTGGTGCAGTCAACACTGGCTATACATTCGGAGTCATCATCACTGGATTCTTCCTTGACAACCGAGTGGCAGATTGGCTCCGTAAAAGACAGGATATGACAATCCATTGTTTCGTGACTATTATCACTACATTCATTGAGACATCATCTCTTCGAGGACTGCTTGGATGTTTTATTGCCGGATATATACTTAATGGTCCTGGTCAGGGTGTTGCGTTCGTTGAGTATGCTTGTTCAAATCATATTTTACTTCTCGATTTGGAGGATATTAAAGAGACCCGTGTGTATACTGGAGTGCTTGTAACATTGATGATTAGAGGGAAAGTATATAAGATTACTTGATCTCTTTATATACTTATTATAATAGCTAACCAGGGGAAAAAATATCATGACTTTCTACCAATTATTTTATACAGTTGCCTCATTCATTGTTTACTGGATCAACTAGCCTACGCTTGTCAAAAACATGTTAGGAAGCTTGATGAATGGGGTAGGATGCTCAGGTCTTTGCATATACATTCCGCAATTCTCAAATCCGCTCAATTATTTCAACTCGTGTATCCTTATTAACCCCCCCCCCATAAATATCGAGCTTCTTTTCTCCCAAAAGACCTCCACAATATATATTAACATTCTAGTCCTGTAGATGGGAAAATAGACATAATCTCCCAAATACTCAATCAAATATATATTAATAATCCCACGCATACTTACTATCCTCTGTGCCCTCCTTCCCATCCATCCCCTCTTCCCAAAAATTCCACACTACTAATCTTAATTTACATCCAAAACACCACGCAATCCCAAATCCCAATCCCGCACATACATCACTCCAAATTCCTCGCGTCCCCCACCCCCCAACTAAATAAACAAAAAACAACAAAAGTAAATCAAAAAAGCAAATCAAAGACAAAATCCTTCTATCCTTCCAGTTATCTATTTTTAATTTCTTTTTTTTTTCAGAGGGAGAAGAGAAGACAGAAAGCTATCTTTCCCTCCAACTCGCCATCCCGTGTATAAGGAAATTTCTTATATAGGATTTTTTGATCTGGATGTATTATATATATTGCCATTGGGTGTTAGTTGATAAGATGCAGGGGATATTAATAGATATAATATATATATTATGAATCTTATATTAATAATATATATCAATAATTAATAATCCCATCCTCGGTTATAAAAATTCTAAATATAAGATTAAAAGTAGATATCTTATTCGTATTACGTATATATCATATTGTCTAGAATAAATGTAATTTTGATATACTAATTACATTTTCGTTTTTGTTTTTGTATCTATTGGCTCTGGTTCTGTGTTTGCTTCTATTTAATATTTGATAAACTATCTTAGAACGCTACGAAGTAGATTTGGACGAAAAGGGTTTTAGATCTCAGTATGAATTCCTAAGCAAATGAATTTTTTGGTCGCAGAACATCGGGATTCGGTATATAGAGTTAGATATTAGATGTTAAATACAAAAGGAAATATGATTGAAGTGTTGGAGGTTCTTAGAGAGAGGGATAAGTTGCTGATTGATCATTTATTAAGATGGTGAAATTCTATGTTTTGGTAATTCCTATCATATTTAAGGTTATATTTCCCTCGCTATTTCCTTTTCAATTTCTCTTTCCTTGAACTAGAACCTAATTATAAATATAGATACAAACTAACTCAAACCCCATCGCTCTTCTCCTATCCTAAAATAGTAAAAATGAATTCTACTTCTACTCCTCCTCCTCGAGCTCCTTCTATTTCTTTATCCTACTCCTACCTCTCCCCCAGCATCAACATCAAAATACTCCATAGATATTCATATTCATTCCCAACCCTCACCCTCACCCTCACACTCTCTATATAACTCCTCATCCCCGTCATCTCCAAGATTCGCCAAATTCCCAAAGCAAAAAGTATACCACATAAAACTATCACTCTTATTAATTATCACTTAGAAGAATCGATATAAGATGTGGATATGTGTGTGTGTGTGTGTGTGTAGTAAATCAAATCATACCAAAAATAAGATGGAAATCTGCTAAATATATATATATCATAACTAAAGGATGTATATTATGCTCGGATCGATGGGGATGATAATATAGATAATGTAGTAAGTGTAGGGAAAGTATGGGGGTTCAAGGATCAAGGGAGATGTAAAGGGAGATGAGGGGATGAGATTTGTATGGCTGGGTAATGGAGGTATGAACCGATAGACTGATGATATGGAGGGGGAAGAAGAGTCGCTTGAGGTAGAGCTGGACCACATCACAACATCATGGGTGTATTGGGATACTGAGGATAAATATTGCTATTCAATATGAAACCCCTTATGCAAATCATAACACATTATACCAAATTGATTCGATAATACCGTTTGAAAATCCAACAATGACTATTTACTCCTTGGGCTCAGGTTTAACGACGATCGTCGGTAAATCCTTGATATCTACATGTTCTTGTGTTCCCAGATCTACTACCCTTACTGCTTCTACCCCAACAATACCTTCCTTCAATGCCATGAATTTAAGTTCAACTTCGTAGCATGCTGATGGTGCAAGTGGTCCTATACGGGTATCTGTACTCAGGCATACAACTTCGCTTGATTCCATGGCGGAATTTCGTTGCATGGCATATATTATGTTGTCATCGAGGACAGCGTCCGCAACCTTTGGATCTCGACGTGCGCTTCCATGACTAGCAGAAGGAGGCCGTGTTATTCGAGCTTCAGTTCGACGTCTTTTTGGTAAGACAAGGAGAGCAAGTTTGCGAGGTCGATCGGATCGATTCACTATGAAGATAGACCAGATGAAAGGGTGACCTGGATATATTGAAGACGTAGATGGGGAGGAGAATGTCATGGTAACTCCAAAATCTGGGACAGAGTTTTGATGTCGATGATGAGAACGTGTCGGAGCGGTCGCTTCTATTGTTGGAAGAGAATCGGGATGAGGGACTGTTAGGGTTGAAATTGTTGGAATACTATCAAATGTTGCGCCGATAGACAGTGCAGAGGGTCTATGAGGTCGTTGAATAGGTTTCGTAGGTTGACCAAAGCCGTTATTAATAGGAGGTGTAAAATCGAGGGATGCAGACCATTGCATCATGATCTGTGGTTTACAGACACTACTGACATTTGCTGTGGCAGTGATGGAAATATCGATGGCTCGAATTTGAGACTTATTAGTAACGTCAATGTCATCAGGTAATATTTGATAGAGGAAGGTAATATCATCTTGCGGCTGACAAGTAATTGGGAGTATTAGGCCGGGAGTTTGATTTAAATCTTGCACTTGTCCGCCGCACACCTTTATTTGGATATCTGTGAGGACAATGTCACAATTTACAAAAGGGGTAATATCAATATCTAGCGACGCTATTACTGAAGTATTGCTGGGTGTACCATCTGGCCTCGAATATCGGACGCGGGAATTGATAGCTGGGTATACTTTAATTGACTGCCGTGAGATATTCTTAAAAGGTCGAGCTAAGTCGCGAGCGATTTGCGCTGCTGGTGCGACTCTGGCGACTCGTAATGCAGACAATCGTGGTTTGATACCTTTGAGATATGCATCGCCACTGAAAGCTTCAAGGAGATTCAAGCCTGATGGAACCTGACTTGGGAGATATTCCTGGCGCAATGCATCTGTATCGACTTGCTCGGCTGCTTTGAGATTTGCCGTGGCCACAAATACTACAGAAGGGCTCTGCAGGCGTAGCCGTGGTCTACCGAGAAATGCAGAAAGTTTCCATATCAAAAGTATATGACCATCATTATTGGCATCATCAGCCTCATCTGAGCCTTGTACAACTATCAATGGCTCGTCGGTATCTTGTACAGAACCCTTGTAAATAAGCTCACGTCCCGCCGAGCCATCTTGATGCTCGGTATTCGCATTTATAACGTGAGCTTCCAAATTTATTATAAGCCTATTGAGATAGGATCGAAGAGATCGTTCGTCAAAGTAAGGTGTTTGTAGAACGACATAAATATTGACGGTTTCATCTAGCATCTATGAATGAGTAAGATAGAGAGCTTTTTCAGTAATTCAGAGAACTAACCAAAATAGAGAGCGTGTCTTTGAGGAATGGCAGCTAGTGGAGAACTATGGCCCTCATCGAGCTTTTCCACACTCCCGCTCAAAGCCTCCTCTATATTCAAATCACTAGCCAACGGGATGATTGTGTCCAGAATTGAGCTTTCAGTGAACTCCAAGCTGCCACGAGGAACTGGCTCTTCTTGCGACGCAAATTCCTCCATCATTGTGATTGGGATTCTAAAAGAATCATAAAATGTGTAAATTGTTACTTATAATATATTTGTAAACCGCATACTTTGACGAATAATTGAAGGTGTTTTATATGTCGTTAAAAAGTTGAAAGGAGTACTGGCTGCGTACGTAGGTAGTTACAGTAGCTTCCCATGGAAAACGCGCTAAATAGCGGCCGAGCAAAACCGCGAACCTTTTTTTGAATTGACAAATGCGATCTTCATCCTTGCTTTTGGTAACACTCAACCACGAATTCGTTATTTCGTCTTCAATTTCATCAATATGAACGGTATTAATGGTCACGCAGCTGCCTCTGCGCTCTGGCAGGAAGCACGAAACGCAGATGGGCGAGTTTACTATTACAACACCATTACGAAGGCGACGCAATGGACCAAACCCGAAGATTTGATGACACCTGCAGAGGTATAATTCTTCACTCCATTCAATCATCTATCATATATCTTTTACTGACAACTTTCGCAGCGTGCGCTATCGAATCAGCCATGGAAAGAGTATACGGCCGAAGGAGGGAGGAAATATTGGTATAACACTGAGACGAAGCAAAGCTCATGGGAAATGCCAGCTGTATACAAGGAGGCTTTGTCAAAAGAGACCGCATCGCCGGCAGTTGCTGCTGCATCGTATGTATATCTGAGATACGCTTTGAATGTCATTCTAACTTTGGCTCAATAGAGTACCAACCTTCGTTGCAGGAGGTGGCTTTTCGGCATCTCAGTATGACCAACCACGAGACAGAGAACCTTTAGGAGAAGCTCGTCAAATCGCATATGGCAATGATGTTAATGGAAGTCGCGCTCAAGCTTTTGTACCTGCTAACAACGATCCCGATTATTCCACTTTTGAAGAAGCAGAAGCAGCTTTTCTCAAGCTTTTGAAGCGACACAATGTTAAACCTGACCTTACGTGGGAAGAAGTTATGCGATCGATTATCAAGGATCCTCAATACCGGGCCCTCAAAGACCCCAAGGATCGAAAGGCTGCGTTTGAGAAGTATGCTGTTGAGGTTCGGCTGCAGGAAAAGGATCGTGCAAAGGAGAGGCTTGAGAAGCTCAGTTCTGATTTTGCTACTATGCTGAGAAGCCACCCAGAAATTAAACACTACACCCGATGGAAGACAGCTCGACCCATCATCGAAGGGGAGACGATTTTCCGCTCCTCGAATGATGATGATGAAAGACGTCAATTATTTCAAGGCTATATCATGGAACTTAAGAGGGCGAATATGGAAAAAGAGGCCGCAATGAGAAAGGCAGCGATGGACGACCTCGTTGATCTTTTAAAAGGGTTAAATCTTGAACCATATACAAGATGGTCAGAAGCACAAGGTATCATCCAGTCACATCCGCGTTTCCAAGGTGATGAGAAATTTAAGACACTCAGCAAGTCGGATATGTTGACAGCGTTTGAGAACCACATCAAATCTCTTGAAAAGACATTCAATGATGTTCGACAGCAGCAAAAAACCCAAAAGCTCAGGAGGGAGCGTCAGAATCGAGATCGGTTCATAGGTCTTTTGCGGGAACTTAAAGCTGGAAACAAGATCAAGGCAGGATCAAAATGGAGTCAAATTCATCCTTTGATTGAGAATGATGACAGGTACGTTGCTATGTTGGGTCAGTCAGGTTCTTCTCCTCTGGACCTATTTTGGGATGTGGTTGAGGAAGAAGAACGCGCATTGCGTAGCACACGAAATGATGTATTGGATGTTCTTGATGTAAGTTTGGTAGGCTTTTTAGTGCGATGAAACTCCACTGACCGCCTGCCAGGATAAACGGTTTGAAATCCAGCAAAAGACTCCATTTGAAGAGTTCCTAGCATTAATGCAGAATGATCGAAGAACTGCTAACATTGACCGAGACTCATTGTTGCTAATATTTGATCGCGTCAGTATTCCCTTTCCTTACCACAAACGACCCCCTTAGCTTACTTGAACAGTTACGTGAAAAGATTTCTCGAAGAAACGAAGATGATAAGCATCAAGCAGAGCGCCATCAACGCCGAGCCGTGGATAACTTGAGATCTTATATTAAGCATCTCGAACCTCCTGTTCGCATTGGCGATGAGTACGAACGAGTTCGCTCTCGTTTTGAAGGATCGGAAGAATACCTTGCCGTACCAACCGATGAACTTCGGCGCTCTGCTTTTGATAAGGTAATTCGTCGGCTTAAAGAGAAAGAAGAAGACGCCGAGAAGGATCGTAGCAAGCGCCGTGATAGAGCTTCAGTTGACCGTCCAACTCACAAAGACCGTGAACGAGACCGAGGACATCGTGGCTCCGCTCGTCATGATAGGCGTAGCCGCTCACCAGAACCTGATGCATATGAAGCAGATAGACGAAAAGCTATTGCAGACCGCGAGAAGAACTACCGAAAAGGTGGCATGGCTGACACCTTGCTTTCTCCAAGTCGTCGTGATAGGCGTGATCCTGATATCCATGATCGTGAACGCGAGCGTGATAGACTGATGCGGGATCGTGATCTCGATAAACCTCGGAGTAGACGAGAAGATTCAATGAGTCATTACGAGCGAGAGAGGAGAGATCGCGAAGACGAGAGAGAGAAGCTCTACAGGAGACGAGGGGATCCTCGAGGTAGCATCGATGAGTTGCCTTACGGCGATGAACGATCAAGTGCACCCAGAAAAAGGAGAGAAAGTGAAGTAGATGTTCGTAGGGATAGTAAGGTCAGTCACATCAACTTGTTATTTGCTCTTCGTCCACTCAAAACTATTGTCTTTACATTCAAAAACTAACATAGATTCCGAGAACAGAGAACCAGAAGGGAAAACACACCTAAACAACGTGAGCGCTCCCCAGTTCCCCCACGTGAACGGCGTCACAGGACTAGGACACCACCGGCTGCGAAAATCCCCGCCAAGGAAGAGCCTGCTGTCCATTCAGGTAGCGAGGAAGGCGAAATCGAGGAAGAATAGAGGAATTAATTGGACCTCTATTTTAAAGGCCAAGGTTATCATACACCAATTAGATTGAAGAAAATCCGCCATAACTGTACGTATCCGCACGCACCGTACTTCTATTTTTGGCTTGATGATATTGGCAAGCAGGCAGTTTTCGACCATATGGTATTCAGCAAACGAGTTGTATTGCTCGAGTTTGAGCAACGGAAACCAAAGATCAAGGGGATGTAAAATGATGGAGAAAAACTGGACGAGCATGAAAAATTCGGTGTGTATTTTTTTTCTTATAATTATTTATTGATTCTTCGCACTCAATATCCTTGTTGCGTAAAAGCGTTCAGATATCATTCAACATGCAAAATAATAAGCGTCCCCCAATGACATATTCTATGAATTGAATTGCAATTATATTGCATGTTGCCTATCCGCATCTAGCATTGCGATCCGTGATTTCACCCATCTTGACGACAGTCATCCAGGACGTTCGATACCCCTCAATCTACTTGAATGAATCACACTATATGCCGTATATCCTTCAAATTTTGGTGGTCATCAAAGTAGGACCAGGCATCAAGAGATAGACTGTCGTCGCCTTTGTTAGCCGCCTGGATCATCATCCTGGTCGGAAGACCCTCCTTCCATTACCATACCTTGCCCATCACTTTTTCCAGGCTCCTGAAATGCCGACCCCTTAACGCCATGCAATGCATTTTTAGGGGGAGGAAATGAATCATTCTCAGAGACGCCTTTAACTAGTAGCAGCTTTGTCATCCTCGTCCAAGAAGAACTAGATAATATTAGTGAAAATGCTTGAGATTTATTGGCGACGATACTTACGTAGTTACCACTCAACTTCTGTTCATGGTCCAATTGGGAGTTGAGCTTGTTGATACGAGGTCTGTAGTTACTTGGATCACGACGGAAAGTGACATCGAGGTTCTTCAAGAACGTGTTGCAACCAGTGAGTAATGACTCGGGAGCATTGGCACGAGCATCAATACCAGGTTGGCCGTCAAAGACAATAACACGATCAGCGAGGTAAGTAGCCATGATGAAATCGTGCTCGACAATAAAAGCAGTCTTCTTCGAGTGCATGATGAATCTCTTAATGACACGGGCGGCAATAACACGCTGTTCGGAATCGAGGTACGCAGAGGGCTCATCAATGAGATATATATCGGCGGGTATACCAAGTGCGAGGACGATAGCTACACGTTGCAATTCTCCTCCGGACAAGGTCTTCACTTCTTGATCGATGAATTCCTCGAGCTTAAGGGGCTTAACGACATCCGTTTGGAACTGAGGCAGGAGGAAGGCAGTCTTGATCTTCTTGAAAAACAATTGTCTGACAGTTCCCTCAAATTTTGGTGTGATCTTTTGAGGCTTCATGCTGACCTTCATTCCTGGAACCTTTTGATTGCCATCTGGTTGAGTAGCGCCAGCAAGCATTTTACAAAAAGTGGTTTTACCAGTACCGTTCTCTCCCATCATGACGACGATTTCTGAATCGGTGAAATCTCCAGCCTCGATGGACAAGTGGAAGTTGCCGAGAGTCTTTTCCATGGATGGGTATTGGAATGCTCTAGATCTGTCTGCCATGAATTCATCGGCAGCCTCGGCAATCTTGAATGTTAAAGACTCCTCTCGGAATCGCAAGTTCTCAGTTGGGATGTTACCATCCAAGAAGATATTGATACCTTCTCTGACAGAGGCTGGGAGAGTCACAACACCGTAGACGGCAGGTTTTCCATACAGTACGCAGATGAAGTCCGACAAATAATCCAATACTGAAAGATCGTGCTCAACGCAAATAACATAATCATCAGGTCGCAACAATGATCGAATAATTCGAGCAGCGCTAAGACGTTGCTTCACATCTAGGTAGGAAGAGGGCTCATCAAACATGTAGCTAATTATAGTCAGTAAGAATTCATAAAAGCTCTGTGAACACCACTTACACATCGGCTTGCTGTACACAAACGGTTGCAATGGCAAATCTTTGTAATTCTCCACCGGATAAAAGATTCACATCCCGGTCCATAATGTGATTCAATTCTAAAGCAATGTCAGTAGAACCGAAATGCATATATGGCATTGAAACATACCCAAAATGTCGCAGACCTCCTTGAAGTTATCCATTGTTGCAACACCTTCGATCAAACCTCGCACAGTCTTATCTGGTCCCTTAATTGCTCTTGGAATTCTGTCAACATATTGGGGCTTCACGATCGCTTTCAAATCATCTTCCAAAATCTTGGTGAAATAGTCTACCCTGGTGTAAGCGCATGTCAGGAATTATTAAGAATTTGATCAACATACTTTGCAATTCAGAACCACGGAAGTATTTGATAACATCTTGCCAGTCTGGTGGGTTATCATATCTACCCAAATTTGGCTTCAATTTTCCACTGAGAATCTTGAGCGCTGTACTCTTTCCAATACCGTTGGAACCAACCAATCCCAAAACCTGTCCTGGACGTGGTGTAGGCAATCTGTGCAGCTTGAAACTGTTGGCAGAGTATCGATGAGTTACGTGAGACTCCAAATTTGTCGGCAAATTGATAATGTTGATAGCACCAAATGGACACTTCTTAGGACAGATACCACATCCAATGCACAGATTCTCCGAGATGAAGGCGATTTTTGACTCAGGGGTGACTTCAATACAGAGGCGACCACTTCGAACGACCGGGCAGGATTTCTTGCATTCTTGTCTACATTTCTGCAAATAGACGATTAGCAACATGTAGAATATGCGGAGAAGAATATATGAGCATATTTACCTTTGGCTTGCACTATTTAGATGGAGGACATTGTCAGTGATATTCATATGGCGGGGTATCTGGTGGGGCGGAGCTCAATGCAGAATTTGTCGCACCTTGTCAGTACTGATGATAGCAATACTAGAAGTGAGCGGATCAGCAAATTATTCAATACGTAGCTTTTGACTGTGGCAGAAGTAGGAAATGTAATATTCGCGCAACATTGTAAACTTTGTTTTGTGACCAGGAGAAGGACCGCGTACCGGGTAAGTTTGTCAGACATCTTGGACGCTGTTGCTCCCACCGAGCACTAGAAATTTGTGGTGAAAGAGAAATAACAAAGTTTTGTGAAGAATCTGCAGATTACGTTGAGTTTGTGCTTCTTTTCCCTTGTGCAAGAAGACTGAAAATGGTGTATAGCTAGAGGCTTGCAGATGGGTATGAGGTCTGATCAATCTGTGGATAAGTATTTTAATATGGTGGTGAAAGGTTAAAAAGTCTTTAGTGTTAGATCACATTGAATTTCGATTATTACACAATAAATATCATTGGTTGGGGAGATCAAATTTCATAGGTACGACTGCTGCGGTACCCACTAGAGCCCAGAGAACAATGAACGTTGTAAGCACCTAGTCCGTAGATATCAGTTCAAATGAACACAGTAAATCCGTATAAATCATCTCTCATTTTCAAAATTATATATCAAATCAATCATTCAAGATTTTTACACAAAACCAAGATAAATATATTGGATTTCCCCTTATTTATAAGTAACACTGATTTTCAATAAATTCATCTATTGATAAGGTATGATATTATATCATTAAGATGAAAAGAACGTATTTTCTGATCTCATGGTTTTATTTCAATAGGGTTTACTATCTTAGTCTGGAGTCCCGGCGCATAAGTACAGTCAGAAATCACGTGAAATAACCCCAAATCGCCTAGCTCTTCTCGGTTAGGTACGGTAGCCTAAAATCATATCCTGAGCAGCTGCTCATGTTAATCAGTGTGGAAATTCATCATTGATTGTAGACCTTCAGATCCGCTCTCCAATTTTAACGTCCGAAGTCTCCAACACCACAACATTGCTTAACTTGATACTCTTTATTTCACTGACTGTGTCTTAATTATTTTGTATCAAGGGGGGCCTTTCTAAATATGGCTTGTAAGTTTTCCCGTTCTCCCACAAATTCCACACAAAACGTGGTGTACATGTACCCAATGTCATAATGGATCTGCCATCATCGACTGCCATCATTTCCATCTTCATATCTCCTTGTACAGTCTTCGGACTATATAGAGTGTCATGATCTCACTCATATCACTCTTTCGTTGCTGCTTTCTCCCACTTATCGCGTACTCTGGCACACAAATGCTCTCTGAGCTGGCCTCAATCGACTGGTGTCATCCATCGCCCTTCATCGCGAGATTGACGTCAAGCACACGAGAATGCGCCGATGACATTCAGCATGCCGTTGTTGCTGTGTTCTCTGCAATCGCGGTGTATATATAATCGCCGACTCTTTCCCTAGACATTCGTGCGATTGTCAGAGTTTTCACTACACACAACCATGAGGTCATAACGTTCATTGCAGCTAATATCGTCGTCGCAGCCCCGCAGAATACCTTTGAAGTCATGAACTCGATATCCCCGCTACATATGTCCAATGGACGCGATGAATCATTCGCGAGATCGTCGCCATCGAATGATGACGCTCCGGGCGAAAGCGAGTCCGAACTGTCCGATGTTGGTAACCCTACCGTCGACGAACCCTCGCCGGCCCCCTCAAACCACCAACCCGAGTTTGGTGCTCAAGATTCCGATGCCTCTGAAGACTCGTCGCCTGAAGATCAGGAGCAATTCGATGATGCAGACTTTGATGAAGAAGATACTCCTGCAGCAGCAGCTTTCAATGGCCAACGATCGGAGCGTTCGAGTACTGTCGAGTCATCGCGTCCTGCTAAACGCAAGTCAGGAGGCATGGATCAAGATCGGTACATGCTAGAGAATCCCGAACTATACGGCTTACGAAGAAGCGTAAGGCATTTTCACTTCCATATCCCCGAGAACTAATGTTAACGAACTTTTGTAACTATAGGCGCGTCCAGTACAAACTCGGACTATTGTATGTCGTCTTGATTTATCATATTCCTTTGCACCATATAATACAACTAGATACAAGTGCTGATTATTACAGGTCGAGTCTGATGATGAGGAGGAAGAGGAGGATTCCGATGCCGTTGCAGTTCATAGAAATAAGCGTAGGAAGCCAGAGCGTTCCCAACAATGTAGGAGCCTTCCTTGTCATGAATAAATTGGCTGTTGCAGAATGCTAATGTCGTACGCAGCTTCCAAACGCCAGACGCCAGCTCTGCAATCTGCAACTGCTTCTGATACAGACGAAACCGATACCTATGGTAGTTTACGAGCACGAAATACCACCAAAAAGAATCGCCGTCGCCAACTAGAATCCGGCAATCTCGCTCCGCAATACCAAGAAAAGAGGTGGAATAGTCGACGTGCTGCACAAGTCACGACTGGTGCTTACCAAGAAAGTGATCCCGATCTTGAGGATGAATCTGAAATGATGACACCAAATCAATGGGCAGAAGATGTTGAAGATACCTCGCCATATATCGATGTCGTCTTGAAGCACAAGATCAAAGATGCAAAAGATGCAAAAGACGAAGAGCTCACCAAGGATGATTTTGACTACTACATCAAGTGGCAGGGCAAGTCGCACTGCCATGCAACTTGGGAGACCACAGCATCTTTGGCGGGCGTTCGTGGATTCAGGCGCCTCGAGAACTACTACCGAAAGATCGTCCTCGAAGATATTTACATGACACAAGGCGCCGATATACCGCCAGAAGAAAAAGAAAAGTGGATGCTCGATAGAGAGCGCGACGCAGATGCTCTAGAGGACTATACAAAGGTTGAAAGGGTTATTGGCTCGCGAGAAGGTGATGAGGAAACAGAGTACTTCATCAAGTGGAAGGGGCTTTACTACGAATCTTGCACATGGGAAACTGCTTCATTCATTAGTGAGAAAGCCCAAGATGCTATCGACCACTTTTTGGATCGCAGCTCTAGATCTTTGGTCTCAGACCGCAAAGAGTCAAATCCTGATACCAGAGGTCCCCATGTTCCAATTCGTGAACAACCAGATTACATCAAGAATGGGCAATTGCGGGATTTCCAAATCACTGGTGTCAATTTTTTGGCGTACAATTGGTGCAGGAACAAGAATGTTATTCTCGCTGATGAGATGGGACTAGGCAAGACTGTCCAGACTGTGGCATTTATGAATTGGCTCCGCAACGATAGATGCCAAGAAGGCCCACATCTCGTCGTAGTTCCTCTGACTACCATTCCTGCTTGGGCTGATACCTTCGATAACTGGGCTCCGAGTCTCAACTATGTCGTCTACAATGGTAAAGAATCTTCACGCCAGGTCATCCGTGAGTATGAACTACTGGTCGATGGAAACCCCAGGCGTCCAAAGTTTAACGTCCTTCTCACTTCTTATGAGTACATTCTGGCAGACTCTACCTTCTTGGCGCAAATCAAGTGGCAGTTCATGGCCGTCGATGAAGCTCATCGTCTGAAAAACCGTGAATCTCAGCTATATGTAAAACTGCTTGATTTCAAGGCTCCAAGTCGTTTGCTAATTACCGGTACCCCGGTTCAAAACACCTTGGGCGAGTTGTCGGCCCTCATGGACTTTCTCATGCCAGGTGAAATGGACATCGAAGATGATATGGACCTAACTGATGAAGCTGCCGGTGAAAAAATCGCAGCACTTACCACCAAAATCCAGCCATACATTCTCCGCCGCACAAAGCAGAAAGTGGAGAATGACTTACCACCGAAAAGCGAAAAAATCATTCGCGTCGAGCTATCAGACGTTCAGCTGGATTACTACAAAAATATCCTTACTCGCAATTACGCTGCCTTGAACGAAGGTTCTAAAGGTCAAAAGCAGTCCTTGTTAAACATCATGATGGAACTCAAAAAGGCTAGTAATCATCCCTACATGTTCCCCAATGCAGAGGAGAAGATCCTAAAGGGTAGTGAGAGGCGGGACGATCAGTTGAAGGGCTTGATTGCCAGCAGTGGGAAGATGATGCTTCTTGACAGATTACTCGCCAAACTAAAGAAGGACAACCATCGTGTTTTGATTTTCAGTCAAATGGTGAAGATGCTTGATATCCTTGGTGACTATCTTCAACTTCGTGGCTATCAATTTCAACGGCTTGATGGTACTGTTGCTGCGGGCCCAAGACGTCAAGCCATTGACCATTTTAATGCCGAGGATAGCAATGACTTCTGCTTTCTTCTCTCCACTCGTGCTGGAGGTCTCGGTATTAACCTGATGACCGCTGATACGGTTGTAATTTTTGACTCTGATTGGAATCCCCAAGCTGATTTGCAAGCCATGGCTCGTGCACATCGTATTGGACAGAAGAAGCCTGTGAGCATTTACAGACTTGTCTCGAAGGAAACTGTCGAAGAAGAGATTCTTGAGCGTGCTCGCAATAAGTTGATGCTAGAGTTCATTACCATACAACGAGGTGTCACCGATAAAGAGAAGAAGGAGCTTCGCGAGAAAGCTGCCAAGGCCGGTAAAATTGATGATCCCAAGTCCTCCGATGATATCTCTCGTATCCTCAAAAAGAGAGGCCAGAAGATGTTCGAACAATCTGGAAATCAGAAAAAGCTTGAAGAGTTAGACATTGACTCTGTTCTCGAGAATGCCGAAGAGCACCAGACTGAAGTACCAGAAGGCATGGTTGCAGACGGTGGCGAAGATTTCCTTAGGAGTTTCGAATATACCGACGTCAAGATTGACTTGGAATGGGACGACATTATCCCAAAAGATCAGTTGGAGGGAATCAAAGCTGAGGAAGAAAAACGAGCTCATGAGGAATACCTCGCCAAGGTCGTGGAAGAGAATGCGCCGCGTAAGGCTGCCATGAAAAACACGGCTGAGGTCGAGCGAGAGCAACGTCTTGCAAAGAAGCGCGAGCGTGACCAAGCCAAACAAGAAGAGCTCGAGGAAAAGAGAGAAGCTCAAGCAAATCGTTTGGACCCGAAGCGTCCTCTCAATGAGAAGGAAACAAGAAACTTGATGAAAGCTTATCTTCGATACGGATCAATGGAAGATCGTGGTGAAGAACTTGTAAAGGAAGCCCGGCTTGTGGGGCGCGATGAGGAAATGATGAAAGCCACATTGAAAGCCCTTACTGAAGAGAGTAGCAGACGTTTAAAGGAAGAGAACGAAAGGGTCGAAGCACTGGAGCGTGCAACCAATAAGCCATTGACCAAGAAGGATAGAAAGGCAGTTTTGTTTGACTACTCCGGAGTAAAGAGAGTCAATGCCGAGACTATCATGGAACGTCCAGGCGAAATGAGGATGCTAAGAGATGTTGTCGGAAGCACTCCCGATTTCAAAACGTTTCGCGTCACCGACGCATCCAAAGGTGCCCACTACTCATGTGAATGGGGTGCTAAGGAGGATGGCATGCTTCTCGTGGGGATCCATAGGCATGGCTACGGTGCTTGGACCCAGATCAGAGATGATACCGACTTGGGACTTGGAGACAAGTTGTTCCTTGAAGAACATCGCGTAGACAAGAAAGAAGAACGAAGCAAGGCAGATGAAAAGGTCGCCAAGGCTCCTGGAGCTGTTCACTTGGTCAGGCGGGCGGACTATCTACTATCTGTCTTGAAAGCCAAGTACTCTGATAATCAAGCTGCCAAGCGTGCCGTAGAGAACCACCATCGAAACAACAAGAAGCACGAGCGGAACGGATCCAGAAGATCTGAGCCAAGAGGCTCTGTTTCTGCTTCTCCTGCTCCACCAATCAAGAAAGCATCTCGACCATTCGATCACAATGGTCGTGATCGAGAGCGAGATAGAGCTCGTGGTCACAACGTTAATGATTCGCGTGATTCTCGTCGAGAAAGCGGAGGCTATGGTTCTTCAACGCCTGGTATGAAGAGGAAGTATAGTGATGGAGACGATGAGAAACATCTAGAACGTCGTCCTAAGTACCGCAAGTCCGACAATGGTGAACCGGATCAGAACGAAATGCTCCGTAAACTTTTCAAGCCAATCAAGGAAAGCCTTCGACGTCTCCAAAATGGCACAGCCAAAAACATTCCAAACAAAAAGGAACGTGCTGGGGTTTTGAAAGAGGAGCTGTATAGTACTGGACTGTTCATTGACTCTATCACCGCGCCTAAGAAAGATGGATCAGTTGATAATAAACTGAAGGATAGTCTATGGTTGGTTTCTTGTCCTCCAAATTTTAAACAGTGCCTTTGCTAACATTTTCTAGGGAATATGTAATGACCTACTGGCCTAATCCAGGACAATCCACACAAGCAGTTGCATCTATGTACACGAAAGTCAGGAAGGAAAGGGTAGAGTCAGAGGCTTCAAGATGAGAGTTTGTGGAGAGGATGTCAGAAGTGCTTTAATCTCACAGCGAGAGGATCTAATGTCTTGAAGAAGGTTGCACTGGCGTTTAGACAATGGGATCATCATATTTTACACTGGCTCAAATCACGGCATGGGTTGGCGTACGGTTGACTGGATCATGGAAGGTTAATGGTGGGTTGGAGTTGATAAAACTCATAGTATGGGAGAAGGGAAAATCATTGTGCGAATTGCACCGGCGTTTCAAAATCAAGAAACTTATACTAGTCAGTTGATAAGCGACACGACACGAGAATGTACATAAAGTACGAGCAGCGGAAGTGTCGAGTACCATTTACTTCTTAAGACTATGATAGAGCTAGCTAGTTATACAGATATTGAGACAACTGCGAACAAGTTTTGACGGACCTCAGATGTGTGTTTGATAATGAGTCAGTAAGTGACTAAAGGATTAGAATGTATTAGCTAGTACCTAGATATCATTCATATCATTCATATAATATTTACAGTGCAGGAGTAGAGTTGTTCAGAAATGAAGTGATATTCCCGAGGTTGCTTTCGCTTCTTCTCTCCCGAAGAATGCTGAAGTAATCAATAATTGTATCACGTTCGCACCGCACATTTCACCCAAGTCACCTTTTCCCGAAGTCACCTTTTCCCGAGGTCCACCAGTCCCAGTGTATTACCTTTCCCAATGCAGTGATTCAATTGGATCAATACACACATAGTAAGATCTTATTACATAATCATGAACAGCTAACCCCAGAACGACCATCAACCCCATCTTACGCTAACCTTAATCTCCGCAAAAATGGAATGTCTCCACTCCACGCGTGCACGATCATATTTGGGCATCACATTCATCTAGCTTTTCATCTAGAACCGCCAGTGGACAAACCTTGGAAAACCTAATATTCACAACATGTGGGATGGGTAAAAAGTCTTCAAGCCTCGCATTCGTTTACATTGAACTATCTGTCCATCATCGAACCATATTCGAAAGTTATGTGCAACGATGCTATACTCTACATTCACCGAGTTGTACCGTAAGTTCTGTGACTTCCTGGAGCTGGTGTTCAAGTTGTATTACATTTTCGTGTGGTACGAAAAAGGACTTGGGGTGACTGATGAGGTGAGGTAGGATGCGATCCTGGCACGATAGCCAAATTTCGAATAAGGGACGCTTACTGCAATCGATTTTGCCAGCATTGTTGGGAACATTAGTGGCCAATGGAAAAGGAGGATGAAATGATGGGATAGAGGAGATAAAAGGCATAGCGTTCTGGTGGATTGATGGAAGGATTACGATTTACGGATTTTGACAATGCTTGACTTTATCCGTAATGTAATTCGGGTTTGAGGTGGGATGTTTGAAGGGTACTGGCTGGCTGATCGCCATGAACTCAAACATTTTCGTTCGTTGGTAGCAATAACGACTAGGTATGTTTATTCCCAACACGCTTTGCTGAGCCCTAGATCTCGCGTGACTCATGTCAATTTGAGTTTGTTGAAGCCTAAATGAATCAAGTGACAGCTGTGCAAATATTTCCGACGGCGAAAGCTTTTTATAACTTACAACATGAAGAGCTAGGGGCGGGCTGACAAGTTGTACAATACTTTCTCGCCTGTATTGGCCACTCATATTACTACGCCGCACTTGTACCTCAGTGTAAGATGATCAATTGAAGCTAGAAGAAGAAGAAATAATGCCAACTATAGTAATAGGACCGCTATTCGGTGAATTGACCGATGCAAAGGCTTGCAGAATTTGAAGCCTTTTTACTAGTCTACTTACGCAAGTGCATACATAGTGGATTGAGGCATGAGTTCTAAGCTTAGTCCGCTACGCATTATGGATACAAGTCTGCATGGTAAATTAATGGCCAATTGGGATTCATCGAGGGATAAGCTTTTCCACCACAAAGTTGCCAACCCCGGCTATCTGTTCTGCTGCATCAGTCAAGACTCTTGACTGTTGACTGAAGAGCTTGTTGTCAAACTAATGAATGCCTACTATTTACCAGCACTGAATGTTATTCTTGTACTTGTTCTCGCCTATTTTTGCTAGTGCTTTATTCTTTCCTACTATACAACGATCTATTCCTCTTTACTCTCAACTATACTTGTCAAATTCCGTGCTAAATTCGGTCCGACTTGCTCGTTTTACAAGGAGTTCAGTAGAAAGCTACCCTGGTATATTGTATGGTTTATATGACAGCACTTCACCCCATGTCCCCCGCATGTCTCAACCCCCGAGCTAGTCGATCTTCCCCACGAGGGCAACACCTCCGCATTCTATTTTGCATGGTATTGTTTTGTTTGAAGCCCACGAATCTATTTAAACGGTTTAACACAGATGAGATTGTAGGAGGGGGAGTGCAACGATCATGTATGTCCCTGGTTACCTGGCAACCGTGTATGAGGCATAAGCTCATGGCCAAAGATTTTTCTGGGAAAGGGATACGGACGTACAGAGCGCGTGCACAATTTATCAGAAATTGGGTGCAGCCTCGCAGGGGGTAGCTCTTTTGTGGCTTGTTTCTTGCCGAATCGAGGGATTATTTCGATTCAGTTCATGGATGTTGACTGGTCAGGGTACGGCCGGTTGGACTTATACTGTTCAGCTATGGGCAAGCTTAGAACTTTCTGTGCATAAATAAAGTGTGGAGAATCCCCAGGTCTTTACGATCAGTACTCTTGGTCTCTGTTGATCTGAAGAAGCCTGCATCTCCATACTCTTACAGGCAGACCAATAACAACTTTTCTTTCTCAATTGAATAGCAACAGTCTTCGTCATGCCTGGAGGAGCAGTTGTTCATGGCACAACGGATACGTCCCGTGTAAGTAATGTTTTCTTTTAGCTGCTATCTCTTTGTGAATTTGTGAATATCCATCAAGTGTTCTCGAGGCTACTGTCTCGATGGCAATACATCATTGGTTATTATCGAATGTCTATCTATGTATCACAATGCTAATAGTATGGGTTTTAGATCGAGGCGCCAGTAACTGCTAAGGCATACTTCATGTAAGTTCCTTATGTCAATTGCGAATCTACGAGCTCAAAACAATGACTGACACTTGCCTAGGTGTGCTTTTGCAGCATTTGGTGGTATTTTCTTTGGATATGATACAGGTTGGATGTCTGGGTAGGTTCTTCAATACCTTTATATGCTTTACCCATATGTTAATGATTTGAAGCGTTTTGGCAATGCCTTATTTCATTACTCAATATACTGGATTACCCAAACCTCCTGCGGATGCCCCCAAGGCAACTTTGGACGCATTCGCCATCTCTGCTAGCAACCAATCTTTGACAACTTCTATCCTTTCTTGTGGTACTTTCTTTGGGGCTCTTATCGCCGGTGACGTGGCCGATACAATTGGACGTCGGTTGACGATAATTACTGGTTGTGCAGTCTTCTGCGTCGGATGTATCATGGAAACTGCCTCCACTGGTCTTGGGCTTATGGTTGCAGGTCGTCTAATTGCTGGTGCTGGTGTTGGATTCATTTCTGCGATCAGTAAGTCTCATTCAATATCAGCTTTCAGCTTCGACTTGTCTAACCAGTTATCAATCAGTCATCTTGTACATGTCAGAAATTGCTCCGAAAAAAGTACGTGGTGCTCTGGTCTCAGGGTATCAATTCTGTATAACGATCGGAATCTTACTTGCCAATTGCGTTGTCTACGCTACACAAGATCGCACTGATACTGGCTCCTACCGAATCCCAATTGCACTTCAGTTCTTATGGGCAATTGTCTTGGCAGGTGGATTGTTCATCCTTCCCGAATCACCACGTTACTATGTTAAGAAAGGCCGTCTTGAAGATGCTGCCAAGGCTCTATCCAATGTTCGTGGTCAACCAATTGAGTCGGAATATATTCAAGTAAGTGCATGCGAACTTTTTACGTGCGTCTCCTCCTAATACTGCATAGGACGAACTTGCGGAAATTATCGCAAACAATGAATACGAACTCTCGGTCGTGCCACAAACGTCCTACATTTCTCAATGGACTAATTGTTTCAAAGGTTTGTGACTTCGGTTTGTCCGAGACCATTATCTTTTGCTTACGCATATGCAGGATCCATGTTCGATGGGTCCAGTAACGTTCGAAGAACATTTACTGGTATCATGCTCCAATGTATGCAACAATTCACTGGTATTGTAAGTGATATACCGACATGCCAATTTCGCACTTCCAAGTTACATGATTTTATCTGTTGGATCAGTACTAATCCATATTTCGTAGAACTTCATCTTTTACTTCGGAAATGTCTTCTTCAAATCTCTCGGGACGATCAAGAATCCCTTCTTGATCTCCCTAATCACTTCCTTGGTAAACATGTTGACTACCCCTCTTGCATTCTGGACTGTCGAACGTTTTGGTCGTCGTACCATACTTCTCATTGGTGCTTCCTGCATGATCACTTTCCAATTCCTAGTTGGTATCATTGGTGTGACCGCCGGCGAAGCCGACAGGCATAACAACTCGGCTGTATCAGCTATGATCGCTTGTAAGTATCCAACTCTCTATCCCTCATACTTGCACAAAAATTCACCCATCATGACACATACTAACCCCGCCCAAAGTCATTTGTCTCAATATCGCCGCCTTCGCCACAACCTGGGGCCCAGCCGCCTGGGTCGTCGTAGGAGAAATCTTCCCCCTCCCCATCCGCTCCCGCGGCGTCGGTCTCTCGACCGCCTCCAACTGGTTCTGGAACTGCATTATCGGAGTCATCACTCCATATCTCGTCGGCACGCAAAAAGGCGATGCGAATCTAGGCGCTAAGGTCTTTTTTATGTGGGGTTCGCTTTGTGTCTTGAGTTTGCTGTTTGCGTATTTCTTTGTTTCTGAAACGAAGGGGTTGAGTTTGGAACAGGTGGATAGGATGTTAGAGGAGACGACCCCGAGAACGAGTGCAAAGTGGGTGCCGCATAGTACGTTTGCGGCGGAGATGGGCTTGACGGGCGAGGAGAAGGTGGGGCGTGCTCATGGTCGTGGTCATGCGGGGGCTGGGGAGAAGGGGAATGTGGTAGATAATGTGGCGCAGAAGGAGGTTAATAGTGAGGTTGTTTGAGGTTTTGGTGGCGGTTAAAGGGGAGAGTGGAAGGGGGGAGGAGGAGTCATGGAATATCTGGTTTAAGCTTCCGTTTATGGCACCAGAATATTTTAAACCTTTTAGTGAGGAAAAGAGAATTAATCGTTCATTGAGTGCTTGAAAGCGCGGAGGTGTATCAATGTTGCATTGGATTGGATACAAATACTACTTTGCTCTGTAGAGTGAGTAGACCCAACCTTATTCCTTATGTGTAGAGGAGAGGTTGAATATGCCAGGCCTGGTGATCAATCGACTTCTTTACTTTTAAGTTCTATATTTTTTACTTGTTTGCTTGTCTTGTCTTATCTTATACTACTACTAAGTTATTGTAACACTATTAATAATTTCCTACTTATATTTTATTCTTCTAATATACCATCTTCAGATAATCAATGAGAAGCAGATATAATTAAATAACGAAATAGGAGGGAAATATTAAAGGAGGATTATTATTTATTGTACCTAGTGATTATGATATTTTAAATACTCTCCGCGTATAACAATTCAGGACTCACTATACTTATAATATACAACATCAGGCTTTATAGGTAGTTAAAGTGAATATCCCCCTGGTAATAGAATATTAAAGTCTGGAAGTATAAATATCAGCTAGTTCCCCATATAAATAATATTCGTAGAAATAATAAGATATGCAAACCCATCTCTGTCATTCTTATGTTCTGTGACTACGTATCTCGATGGTACAGACGAGAATGGATCTTAAGATGTGGTTTGGAGTAAATACTTTCCGATCTTTTTGGGATTGCTTGGGGAAGAGAAGGGAAGGGGGTATATGTGTAAGTTTAATTAGTGACAATATAAACTTACAGAAGAATGATGGTTATACTTGTGGTGATGATGAAGAAAATTCGTGAAAACAGAATATAAAAATCGACAGTAGAATATATCATTTAATACAGCAAATAATTAGTTAATAAAAAGATCCGAAATCTATCTTTGAGTCTTACAGAATATTTAGAAATTGAAAGTATCAAGTATCAAGTTTTCGGTTACATGGTCACTTTCATCCCCTCCCCTTTCTTACTCCTTCACCTCTTCCCATCTTGTTAAAACTCCATCCTCCCCCCCTATATCTCTCTCCTCCCCCTCCTCCCCTCTCCTCCTCTTTTTCCCTCCCCTGTCCTCCATTCCAAAAATCCCACAAACTTCCAAAACCCATACTCACTGCATTCACATAAACATACACATAAACATACACATAAACACACAAACCCAAATCCCCAATACTCCCTCAAACTCATATCTGAACCTAGATTTACCACCATATACATAATAACTACATATTCAACATCCAATTCAATATCCTATTTTATTCTATATAAATTTGAAAAATTCAGTTTACCGAGTCTAAATGTATTCGCTTACACTTACACTTACTGAATTGCCTTTTTAAGAATTTAAATAAGGGAGAATTAAGCGGAAGAATTAGAAGTAGAAGAAAGAGATAGAGAAGATCCGATAAGATGAAAGAGAGAGAGGTTTAAAGTCTTACTATATTTATTTATACATCAGAACTCAAAATATTCGATATTTAAACTCTCCATCCAGCTAGGTAGGTACTTTGAGAAACATTAATATCATTGAATATTCTCCATACGCTAGCGCACGTTTGTGCAAGTGCCTTGAGACATTTCATTACGAATGTATCTTAAGGCTGTAGAGATACTCTCATTCCTCTTCCCCAAATCCTTTCTCTTCCTTCCTTGCTTGATACTAATATCTATATCTCGGTCTTTTGCATCTCTCCATTCATCTAACTTTGCATGTGATCAAATCCATAAAACAAAGTTTCCCATCACACCCATAAGAACATAGGATTTCTCTCCTCTGCCCAGCAATGCAAACATCAACCCCATTTTCTCATATATTGACATGAGATAAAACATTCCCCCACACTCTCCCTCCGAGAAATGAAAACTAGAAAGCAGCCATGTATTCGATACCATGAATAGTGACACCAAAAATCAAATATAAGGTTACAGCATTGTTTGTATCTTTTGTGCATATACCATGCTACGTCGATACATATGACCCGTGCATGTATTAACCCCAATACGCCGTGTATAATGTAATTCGATACCATATCATGTCGTAACATTTCGTATGATCATGTATGTAATAACGCCGGAAACTCCAAACCATAAAGGTTTATGATAGGAAAATTGTAAAATGTCAGTTACAAAACGTGAATGTTCTGTAGTCGACGAATAATGTAACAAAAAAGTGTCTTATGTACAAATGAGGAAACATTAGAAGGTGTTGAATAGCACCGAACATCGTTTTAATGATCAATAAGAAGATCCATGTTTTTGGGAATTGATGGTGGAGTGATCGTTTCGTTACGATCAAAGGTTATACTATTCGGACTTCTAGAAGGACTGGGTGTCTCGGGGATGGTGTGCGTGTCAGATAGACGCGAGGATTTAACTCTTATAGGAGGGTTATTTTCTTGACGACGATTAGGTAGGGTTGAAACCTTTCTAGGTAATGTAGTTTCTGGACGCATAGTAGGTAACGGTATAGCTACTACTGGTACAGCAGGTTTCAGATTTGGGAATAATGCGGAAGTATTTGATCCTAAGAATGGATTTTCTAGTTTGGCTGGTTCGATTATTTCTGGTTTGGAGGGTAATTTCTTCCTTGGATTGTCCTTATTCAGGGTCTTGGCCTCCCCAGCACCCATTGATTTGGTAGTAGTCATAGAAAGCTTCAAATTTTCTCCAGGTAAGATTTGTTTCTTCAGTTTCGAGCTCGTTTTGGGCTTTGGAGGTGCCCTCGGTTTCTTGACCTTCGGATCGGTAGACGCCTTTCTCTTTGTCGACTTTGTAGCAGTTGTCTTCTCTGCTGGTCCCTTTGGTTTTGTAATTGCCTTTAACTTTGAGAAAGCGTTTGTAGGTGTCGGCGACTGCATTCGTGGGCTAGCTCCAGGTGTAGGGAATGCGTCCGCCGCTGCAGTAGCGTGAGCAGGTGTAACCAGCACCTTGTCAATTCCACGTTTCTTTGCAGATCCAACTTCATTTGCAACCACGGTATATTGGCCAAGGTCTTTGTCGTCCCATTTTGGCAAGCCTGCATGACGAGCGACCTCATCGCACTCACCCCGCACAATCATGTCCCAGCAATCCTTGAATTCTGGACCACCAGGCTCACCGTCCAGATTTATCCAGGCAGTAAACCCATTCTTGCGGTCCCGCGTTGTGCTGCACATTTCCTTAACCAGACGACGAATGCCAGGTATCTTTAGACTAGTACCAACAACAATGACTGCATCTGCCACTTTCTTCAAGTCCGCTGCACTGACTGCGCCAATTGCTTCCTCGTCTGGATTGTATTCGTTATATAACACCATTCTAGGTCGCATCCGGCCAATTCCGTGCCTCCGCGAACCTGCGGCAATTCTGACCGAGTCGATTTCCACACAATTGTCGCAATCTGGCGCTTCCGGACCTTCAAAAAGTGCACCATCAAAGTCTTCCAAGTGACCACATTTTGAGCAAACCATCTTTGCTAGCCCACCGTGAAGTTGAATCGTCTTGGGCCAAGGCCCTTTCGTATTCAATGGAACCCTAGTGGCAAGTGGCTCTAGTGATGTATCAATCCCATCCACATTCTGACTGTAAAGTCGCAATAATCTGCCTTCTTCTGCAAGTGTTGCTAACATATGGTGGGAACGGTGTAGGTTTCGCATTTTTCGTCAAGTGCGATAACTCGCGGACCATGGAATGGAATGAGGTTGTTGAAGAATCGTCTTTATACACCGACGCGTCAAAAAAGTTCTTTCCCGGATGATTTTAGTTTGTGTTGAGACCGAAGGCTAGAGAATAAGCCAGTGGAAGATCGAAAGTCGGGTACTATCATGTTGTTAGCAAACATTGGCATTAGAGGAATTAAGCCGACATACTTCCAGCGGAAACTGAAATCCCAGCACCAGCCACGACCACAATCTTCCGCTTGCCTCGCAGAACCCTTACCAAACGCTTCATTTGCGCATCTTGCCGTAAGATTTGTTCTTCTGATCCTTCACCAAAGTTACGCAAGTCGAGATACTCGGTTGTTCTGGCTTTTGGCTCTGTCGATTTTGGTTGCGTCATCTTCCGGCGTTTGGCAGGTGGAGGACCGTCGCAATCTGGAGCATCACCGGCCTCAGATGGTACTCTAGTATCTGGAACACTACTACATGGTGGAGAAGGGTAATCGCCCGTCGGAGAAGGCGATGGCGGTTGTGATATGGTGCCTATGCTGGAAAGAGGCGATGAGAGCGGTGATGAGCTGTTCATCGTTCCTGCCAGGGTAATTGAAGGAAGGGAATTAGGTGAAGTAATTGAAAAAGGGGGATGTTCTAATGACTCCGAGTGATCATTTTCTTTTCTTCGATATATGCCGAGAATATTGTCGAGTGCTCAATTCTGCGGGATTGGGGATTTGTTGTTGAGGTAGATGTTGGTGTCGGTGGTTCGATATGGTGGAATAGAAAGAAAGATATAAGGTCATATTTCTGGGAAGTGCAGAACCTTTAAGTTTGATATGCCACTAGTTGGTTATAATAGATCTATTCTGGATGGTCTCGCCTAATCTGGAATGATCCGACAGCCTTTGTCATTGTGACAGTCTAGGAGAGGATTAAACACTTGATTGTAATAACAGATTGAATATATATCTCGATATGAATTAAAAAGGAAGAATAGTAGGAGGTGTATTATATTGTTCATCATTTCATAATGTTCTAATTTTGATTGAATCTATTTCCAAATGGAACGAATCGCTCTATTCTACATGGGGTACCAAAATCATTATCCCCATTGTGCCAGGTCTATGATTTGGCTTACTACCCCATCATTTTTAGTTCTGTACTGTTATGCACATTCTTGGTACCGGCAGTAGCACATGAACTGCACTGGACCCCCTAGAAATGACGGAATTCTCATTCGGAGGTCTCCTGAAGATCTACCTGGTGTTCATTCCATGAATCCGCTTAAAAAGAAGGAAATAACCTCAATGATTAATAAGATATCAATAACGCCTAATTGAAATAACATTATGATTAGGGCTCCGAAACCCCTCTCTCACGTTTGCAAATGGTTTGTTTATCATGATTTTTCACATTTTCGCCTTCTATGACGCTTCACTCCATTTTCTTCATTCACCCAGCAACATCTTCAGATCCACTCGTGAATCAGATTTGGCATAGTCTACCCGCTTAATCCTTACTAGCCCATGACTTTCATGCAATTTGGCGAGGTGGAACTTTCCAATTCATACTTCACATGAATAAGGCTGGAACAACTTTAAACCTCATTTTTATCATCACGCATTAGCCTTATCATCAATTTTTTGGGGAGCTACTGGGTAAATCGTAACCATTCGTCATATACCCTTACTTTAATTTGCGGGGAGCATGTTACATAATATTCAATAATTCTATTCTCTCGACTTTATTAAAGGACGTTCAAGTTGTTAGCAGCTATGAAAGCTTGAAAGGACATTCATTCCTACATTCCATAATTACTCGAGTTAACCGACAGACCTACACAAAGAATCCGCTACCACAATTTAACCACCATTAACCTGTCGCTCAAAGGTTATGCCACTCATGATGGAGGACGTTGAAAATATGGATGTTGATATGGATGATCTCTTTGGTGATGGTGCTGGATTATCTTTACCTTCTAGACCACCACCATCAAAAGAACTTCACCAGAGGATTGATGAACTGAGAGGAAGTGGATGCTGCCAGTGAGAATCCCGAGGTTCCAGCATTTTACCCTACTAACTTTGCTATGTGAAGAGGTATTGCTTGGTCTAAATGGGGAAGCATTGCTTCTATAGCTCCAAATGGTAATGGTCTCGAGTTGAGGAATTTACGCTGTCATCCTACAGATGGTACATGGGGTTTAAGTAAGCCAACCTTAATCCCTCAACTGACGAATAATCTCGATGGTGGTCCATTAAAGCATCTTTCCTGGAGTCCGACTGGCTCAGAATTAGCCGTCATCGACTCTGCTGGCCGTGTAACCATTTTGCAAATATTCTCCTCCTTAAACAAGCCTGGCATAATACGTCCTTGTAGCCCGGAGCCTGCAGATGATCTACATGCAGTTGTAGGTTGCTTCTGGTTAAATTTAGGCCCATTTCAAAATCGCCCGGTAAGGACTTTTCTTGACTGATTTTTTGCTGTCCTAATCCGTTCTCAGTCCGGTAGACTACAGCACGGTCCAGCGGTTAAGGAAGCATCAGGCTTTCGGTACGATGCTTCTCAAGCTCCCATTCTTGGACCTAGCCATCCTATTCCCTCCAAATCGGCATTTTTATATGTCACTTCCAATGGATCATTACGACTCTTGTGGCAACAAGGTAACAATAAATGGTTTGAGTCACATACTGAACTTGAGAGCATTGTTTCATCTGATGACTTGATCACGCACGCAGCAATATGTGCGGAAAGAAGTAAGTGCTGGTGTATGATTATGAGAGGAATTGACTAATCTCTTTCGTCAGCACCTTCGCTTCTGATTGCACTTGCTACCGGGTCCAAGCAGTTGCGCATAATCCGAGCTGGTATAGACTGGGGCATGCCTCAAACACAAGAAAAAGTAAACCAAATGACATTATCCCTGAATGCATCGCTTCGAATCAAGCCACTTACTGTAACAAGTTGGATGCATGATGTTCCAGGAGATACTTTGAATCCGTCACACCTAGAATCTTCAATGGTGCAACTTTCTCATCTCAAGTTCTTATCGCCATGTATAGATAGTAAGAATCATATGACACCCCCAATAGTTATGGCCGTTCGTTCCTATCTACCTGGGCCAACCTCTCATTATAATCAAGAGGTCTATTCCACTGTGGATAGGTGGGAGTTTAGAGAAAGAAACCAACAACCTGTGCATTCTGCCTTTGAGCATTTGTCATCGCGTAAGGGTACCGATGGCCCACAATCGACAAAACCTGTGGTACGTTACATACTTCATTTGATATAAATTGTGCTCACATTTGTAGTATACTGCACAGCTTAAGAAGCTTGAAAGTTTCACAGTCAATAAAATCGTCGTTGCCATGCAAACTATATACATTGGAAGGGTAATTTGCTTTGCATATAGCGATAGTTCGGTGGATTACCGGGATCGAATCACTATGAATGAGACATTTAATGATGGAGATTTGGATCGAGTTTCTCATCTCTCTCAGATTGGATTTTCTTACACCGAAGACGAGCCTTGTGAGTGTTAATCGTATCATGTTGGATTATCTAATATGTTTTAGGTTTGCAAGTTGTGTTATCTCCAAGTACCTGCTCGTTGGCTCAAATTACGAACGATGGAAAGGTCAAATGGAAACAATTAGACTATCATCTTGGAGAGATTGGATCAAGTATGGAGGATCGTATGTTAATTGTTTGTTCTTTCTGTGAAAGAGTTGCTAATGAGATACAGCACGTTATGCCGCGATGATAACTGCTCTATCCACATCTTGTTCTACGTCGGTTATGATTTTCATAAACTATGATGATATCATTGCGACTGCTCATAGTTTTGCAAAAACAAAAGACAGTAAGCTCATTTTCTAGTCACAATACTCTGTTCACTTACTGATGTATTCAAGACCTTGCATATGACTGGCTTAACGAATTAGCTAAGATTTTGAAGATCACTGTTGATTATTCGGAAGAAGCACATTACGATGTGCTGATACGAAATACTACCATACAATTGTGTCTTAGCATCCAAAACTCATTAGGCTTTAGAGGAGATTTTAATCCCCGCAAGTTTGCCGGAAAATTCTCATGGCTGGTTCTACAATTAAGAAACATTGTTGTGCTTGTAACTATGGCTGCAAATATGAAAGTTCCCGGTCCAACCCACGACAAGACCTCAACACCCTTAGATGATCCAGGTATTTACTATTTTCATCTCATTACTTCAACCATCTAACAACATCTTTAGAGGTAATCAGTGCCCTCGCTGGCTCCGTTCGTTGGGTTCTCGATCTTATGGCATGGATAATCGACACCCTCCTTGATCTTCCCAGCAGTCTACCTGGAGAACTATCTTTGACCGATCCGGCCAAACTTTCACTGCCAGATCTCCTGGCCCATCTCCACACCCAAAATAATGTAACCCTCCATCTGCTCCTTTCCTCCCCTACGCGCGGCTTCCTCACCGCCATCTGCCGTCGTCTCCAACATCTCGACTACGTAGCTCGCAAAGCTATTGCGACGAACACTAATGCTCAAAACCAACCAGGAGGACAAGGACAACAAAGCATTTCTCCCGCTTTGAGAAGCTCTTATGTACAAATTGCCCAGTTGACAAGTAACTGCATAGTGCGCATTAAGACGTTCGAAACTCTCCTCTCATCCCTAACTTTATCAGTCAAATCAGCATACGCAAGCCATAAACCACCACTCCCAGTCAATAATTCTAGTGGGCCATCACGTAATGGTCTCGAAATGAAAATGCTTTTTGGCGGAGAAATCCCAACGGCATTCAAACCCGTCATCATAGACCTCTTCAAAGGAGTGCAAGATAACAAGAAAAGTAATGAATCCAACACGGCACCAGATAATGCAGGAACCGGGCACCTATCCGCCGTCCGCCTCGAAATTGAGCCTTCAGACCTCTGGTTTGCAGATTTCACAATGCTAGAAGTAGAAGAGGAAGAAGAATGTGTAGCCCGACGAAAAAATTCTGGACTAACAATGGATTGTTTTAGAAAAACATGGCTAAGCAATCCTCCACCTTCCTCCTCCAAATCTTCCTCGACCAAAAATGCATCATCATCAGCAGCAGCAGTATCAGGAGACAATCACCTAGCACCAATACCCGGATTCGCAGCCTTTGGACTTGCAACACCAGGGACGGCAGGAAATGGAAATGCAAACGCAAACGCAAATGCAAATGCAAATGCAGTAACAACGATGACAAAACGCTGGAGAAGATGCGCGAGGTGTGCGGCGGTTATGGAAGATGTGTTGAGTCAGAGACCTACGTTACAGTGGTTGGTGATGCAGCAGAGGAGATGCTTTTGTAGTGGCTATTGGGATACGCTTCAGCAGGGGGAGATGGCTGCTTAGATTTTTGGTTTGTTGGTGGAGAGGGAGAGGAGAGGGAGGAGGGGGAGGATGGAGCTGTTGTGAGGAGAGTTATTTTTGTATGCATATGGATGTGTATTAGTGGGTGAATATATAGATATAAGGAAGGATACTGATATAAGAACTAGGTAAATAAAGATGGATGTGAAAAATGAAATAAAATGAAATAAACAAATAAAAGTTGTAGAACCTATTAATTAATTTACTCCGATGGAAATTTATGTTTGTTTATATCTATACACACACGCACACATACCCATACTCACCCACTCATATTAATCAGTCTTGTCTTCTTCTCCTTCTTTTCCAACGATCATACTGCTACAACCATATCACACCCGTATACTCATTTAAACTAAAAACTACCGAGGTAGAGATATCATATAATATAAACATCAAGGTAAAACTAGATAGAATATTCTTTGTGTAAAAATTTCACTCCACTCCATTTCATTCTACACCGAAGAATTTGAATCTTCCATCATATCGCTATCCCCTCTTCCTTTCAACCAACCCCCCTTTTCCCTCCCATCTCAAAAATTAATAGAACCGGGAGGTAGGTAGGCATATAAATAGTCCAAGAACAATAGCAAGATAAATAATACACGTATTGAGCGGCTTCAATCCAATCACACAAAATTCTCTATTATCTTAAAAATTGCTGGTATTTGTATGTATCAGTAACCTAGGTACCCGTACCTATCTGTATCTGTACCCAAATCGTAATGCCACATTGCAGGGTATGATTAACTAATTGTTCTTTTCCCATTCAAAGGTCCATCCATCTGCACGTCCTCCATAAAATCTCCCGTCTATTCAAACCCCCATTCCATCCCATCCTAAGGTAAATTATAACCACCATTAACCGCATCAGCTAATTCACTAGTATTTGGTCGATTCATTGCATATCTCTCATAACTATCGATGTACAATTCATCCATACTAGTGGTAGCCTTAACAAACTCATTATTCTCGATGGCATCGAACCAAATTGCCCATCGGCTACCTGGTTGAGGATCTTGCCAGCCTCGATAATGTTTAAGAACCCGACTGCAGCGAAGGATCCAGGGTGCAAAATGAACATCAGTGTAAGAAAGAGTTGATCCGAGGAAGAATGGACCTTGAGGATCACAAACATCAACGATTTGAGATATTTCATCGCGAAGTTTCCTGGTACTTTCGGCTTGCTTATTGAAGTCTTGGTTCTGGAGAAGTTGATAAAATGCGGGGACGATTTTCCGATCAATCTAGATATTTATTAGTGGTGTGATCTAAGCAGGAAGAGTTGGAGCAACATACATGGTCACTCCAAAGTCTACAATGAGCTTTAGCTTGAGCATCCTGAGGAAGGAGAGGTGGACCAATTTGAAGATCCTCGAGCTTTGAGATATCAGCATTTTCCCATTTAATCATCGACGGAAAAGCATTTCCACAGATTTCAGTAGAAGAGAGTAAGTAAATGGAAAACTCACATATTCCATCAATACAGTACTTTCACCACAACCCCAATCTCCATGACGAATAGCGGGAACCAGCCCCCTAGGATTGACTTCTAACAAAGATTGAGGCTTCTTATATGGATCAACTTCAATATATTGATACTGAATACCCTTGGCTTCTAAAGCAATCCATACTCGCTGAACAAAAGGACTGTCACAAAATGTTAATTGATTGTGGGGTTTCACTGACGTCACATGGCTTCCATGAATGGGGACTTACCAAAAGCAACTGGCGAATAACTTCAAATCATTCTCCTTGGAATGTTTCTTGACGGTGCTCAGAGCTAAACCACTAGCTCTCTTGTGGTAAGTTTTCTGTTTATCAGTCGTGTTAGCCATTTTGTTCAACAAATATCAGACTATTGCTTTTGTAGGGATGGGAGGAATATTTAGGTGAATCTCCACAATCATGCTTTGAAGATATCCACTGTTTTGAATGAAACAATGAGGATTGGAATGATGTAGTTATGCATCACGCCGCTAGGAGGGGTGGTGGCAGTGGTAATGGTAACCGAGACGTAAAGATCTACAGTAACCCAAGTCTCGTGGCTGTATTCCCCCAGTGGTACATGTTGGGTACAGTGGTGCTAGTATAATCGGTAGCTCTTACCTGTGTCTTCTTATCTTCTTTTTCTCTCTTTTGAAGAAATCGTACAATACTGTTCTTCTTGATCTCATCACTTCTCTTCAAATCATGCTTATGAGGCCCTGCAACACCATCACCCTTACCATTGCCACCATTCCCATTGACACGTTGAATTGTATAGTATCGTTGGCCTGTTGCGCCTGGATGATTTGGTGGGATACCTATACCATTTAAAGGAAGAGCAAATTGTTGTTGGTGAGCTCCAGCTTGAGCAAAATAGTTATTGGCTTGAGATGGATCTCCTGACGGTCCTCCATCTGGTTGAAAGTCTGCTCGCAACATAGCACCTGGAAAGTACTCTGTAATCTTAATCTTGACATCACAAAGATCTCTTTCTCTTGCAGTGCGCTTGCGCTTCTTTTTATTCGGGTCATCAGATTTGGCAGTTCCTGGTGGTCGACCTTTGAGACGACAATCCCAATAATGAGAAACAAAAGGCTTGCGCTTATACTTTTGAGTAGATCGATGAGAATAAACATTATCGACGTGAGGAAAGTAAGTGTTATATCTGAAATTAATTAGTTAGCACATCCTCATTTTTGACCCAGATATTATGAACATACTCTTCTTCACTCAAGGTGATCATCTCATCAACATTAAATAACTTTTCTCTCCATGCTTCCAAATTTGGAGGATTAGGGATGATCTTGTGAGAATGATGACCGGTACTTTTTTGATCTGATTCATCTGGCGTGCCAAATAAATCATCATCTTGCTGCAAAGTTTGCTGCAATCTGCCAATGGGATTGTGATGAAGAGGAGGACCTGCAGTCAAGATTCCAAATTGACCTTGTCCAGGATGCTGCTGTTGTGGGGTATGCGGACTACCCGTGTTTTGAACATGCATCTGTTGGTGAGCATTATTTCGATCAAAAGGAATGGGAGAAGGATATTGGTGAACCACCGAATGTCCCGTATTTGGATCCTGCAAGCTTCTCAAGTCTGGATAGACGGAATTGTTATCATCTTGGACCAAACCCGACAGATCGAGACCCTGCTGTGATGCAAGAGTGTGGTGACTGAGATGAGGTTGGCCATGCTGAAGAGCTTGTTCGGCTTGCGGCTGTAGTTGTCTGTAGGGAGTGGGTATCTGCTGGTGTAGACCTGAATTTACTGACTCCATTTTGAAAAGCAGCACGGAACATGCGTGGAAACACAATACTCGCTGCTTTACTGTATTATGATGCTTTGGCGCGTCGCCGCTATCCGATCGATGGAGTGGAGTTTTGTAAGCCAGCACTAAAAAGGTTAAGTATTGTTACCAAAACTTGGGTTTGGGGATGCACGAACCGGTCTTGTCGCGGGATCGGTTAATCTTCGGGCCGTTCCTTGACAATTGATAGATGCCTCATTGATCTGTGAGGTCCTATTAGGATAACCTTACTCGTATATCACAGCAAAAACATATTAATATAACTGGGATGTTAAAATGAAATAATAACCTAGGTCTTGGTGGAAATTAATCGTAATCTTTTTATTTCATTATAATATACCCATCCCTAACGCCACTTTCCATACAAACATATCACATCATAATATGGGTATCATCCATCCTCTCCAAACCTCCTATATCCTAAAATCTACCACCCAAAACCCTCGGCATGTAAATAAATCCCCTGAGCTCCCGTCCCCTTATGAACCGCCCTATCATTACTAAATCTCGCCACCGTAGTCCTCACACTACTACTCAGCCCAAGAGGCCCACAAACCGCAATCCCAGTTTCCCCCTCGGCTTTCTCCAATAGCTCGCCTAAAAGAGGATGGAAATCAGGTCTTCCGCTATGAAACACCGCACATGGTAGAATCGATGATCGAGTTCCTGAAGTGATACTTGATGCGCTGGTGGTTTTTGGTTTGGAGGTGACCTTGTTACCTTTCTCATCAATGGATGTAATCCCATCGTCATCCGTATCAGAATCAACAGATATACAGCAACAAGGACCAAGACTTTTATCACAAGCACAGCAGTTAGCTTCAATGTTATCGTCTCCGGTTGTGAAATTGTTGTCACAAGTTACGTGGATCCGGATTGTGAGTTCGATACCGACGGCGTCCAGCTTCTCGGCTGCTGAAGTGAGCTCATCTGCAATCCAAGAGGTCCATGATGTATTCTTAATGATCCAAACAAACACTATTCGCTGGACTGGTAATCGGGCGCTTTGTGCACGAGATGCGATATCAAGAAGGATTGGGAGTGTATAAGTTGTACCGGTTGAGCCTGAGATAAGAAGAACAGTATCGAAAGCAGCATAGTCGACAGTTTTACCATATGGCCCATCAATACGGGCTTTCCATGATGAATTTGATGCTGGTGAAAATTCTGCTGCGTACAATAGGCGACCTGTGAATCCTTTGTGTCCTTTAAGTAGGAATACAAGCTTGCCTTCGTGCGATGAAGGCGTGGAAGCAATTGTCGCCGGATGAGATTGGAGAAGTCCAAGTTGAGGTATTGAGAGGAGAACGTGAGAACCAGGCGTCCAGTTCTTGACAGTTTTGCTTTCGATGCAAACTCGAGTAACACCACCCTCTAAAACTGTCAATGTTGCTGTTGGCGTATGAATGTTGTTCCAAGCATATCTTCCGGTGCGGATCATCCTATCGATTATGTACAATGCGATCGGGATATAAATGTAAACTCTGGAGTATAGAGCTGTGTCAGGAAGATGAATCATAACGGCAATGATGAATCCTAAGAAAGTGATGATGTGCTGGACCACGAAAAACTCATAGGAGAAATTTCTAATAGGCGCACAAGTGCTGATGTTCATCCATATCAGAACCGCATATGCTCCCCAACCGGTTGGAACACATGAGTCAGTAGAATATTCCAAATGTCCTAGGTCGTATGCGTTCCAAGCCAAATGAAGGAAAATCACATGAAGAGTGACAAGAAACAAAAGGACCCTGGAAGTCCATCGATGGACAACATTCAATCTCTCGTATGAGATACCACTGATTAGTCCGATTGGGCTATTCTTTCCAGCAAGGAGTATTAACAAAGGAACCTGTGCTACCGCAAGCCAGGATGCACGAACACCTAATGAAGTAAAATGTTGCGCTCCGGGAACATTGTTATTGGCAAATTCAAGGATCATAACCCACACTAGATACAAGACCAAGAGGATGATGGTTCCAAAAGGGGGAATCTTGAAGAACTTTGCTGCAATGGAATTTGGTGGTATGAACTGGGGATATGATGCTTCACGGCCAATTGCGGTTATTGTAGCCAATGAAGTCGTAAGAAAGTTGGATGGTGATGCTGGCCGGGCTCGATTTGCTGCAGCCGCCCTCAATCTATGAGAAGAAATTAATGATTGTAATCCACCATGGGGATCATGCGCTTACCTAGTAAATGTGGTAGCTTTCTGTGCAAAGTTGAGGAAAGCAGCTGTAGCGATCACCGCACAGACTCCATACCAGAAATGTCTCGCAGCAACATTCCCTTCTATCTGAAAAATAGAATCATCCAATATTTCTCCCAAAAAATCAGCAGCTTGCGTCATATTCTCATTCAGTGCTGAGCCATCTGATGGTGCACCACCCATGGTCATACCATCTGACATGTCCATCTTGAAACAACTGAGGAATGAATTAGAATTTATAGAAAAGCAATTAAAATCAAGGTCGAGTCCTGCTCTCAGAGTTGTCTGACAATGTGACAATGTACCCAGCAAGACGGTACACAGAGTAATCTCACAAGAACGTTGACACAAGAAGCTTTGGGAAATTCCAAGTGAACATCAAGAAGTGCGCAATACAAAGTTTTTAAGAAAGATTAAGAATGATAAATTTTTCGAGGAGGAGAAAAAGTGATTGATAATTGAAACGCGCTCAATGATGTGGTGCCGGGATGTCTCTCCAAGAGGGCTTTGATCAAACAATAAGGTTTGAGGAATTTGAGGGAGATCAAAGATCCACTTCAGATAATGGCTCTTAGGTAGCTTACGACACCTACCTTGACATTGGACTGGACCTTTTTCTTTTTCTTGAACTGCTGTAGGTCATTTGAATCGTTACCGGTATTATACCGACAGTTCAAGCTACGATAGAGAACAGGAGACTGCGAACTCCTTCAGTCTGAATATTTCGCCAATTTCGCCAAGACGTCAAGAAGAATCTACCAGCATCAGTACCTAGGCAGTAAATGTTCCTCGTGAGTAGGTAACGAAAAACCTTGTCACTGCTTGCCATGATTTTTAGCTAAATTTGCTGTAGATTTATGAAGTATCAGTGGCCACTTTCGTTGAAAATGTTGACAGTGTTGGAGTTTGGGTTGAGCACGAATGAGGGAGTTAGTTGTTTTAGCTCGAGGTTAGCTCGATTAGATGCCGCCGATTAGCTAGAATGATAAACTTACAACCGGCCAAGAGTGGGACATAAGTTGAGTACCCCACTTTCGGACCACCCCTCTTTTGGACCACCTAAAAATATATATATATATGAATTTTAAACTTCAATAACTCAACCACTATTCAACTTCAATACAATCCCCTGTATTGTCAGTTTCATAAATACTATCAGAGTCTTTTATCTCAATTTCCCGATCACCAGCTTCAATTTGAGCTTGATATATAGCTTCTATCCCTGCAAACCTCGAATTTGGACTAGTTTTTACCATCCTTCTTTTTTTAGGTATAATCTCTTCTAATTTTTGCTCCAATTGCTTTATTCGTTTCTTGGACTGTACAAGTTCATAGTCCTTAGCATCAAATCCTTTTTGAATCTTTCGAAAAAGCAGCCGGCGAGTTGGAATATCGGTCTCATCAACTTTCTCCATTATATCAGCATATTTTCGAATATCACTTCCTTTTTGAGGGGTTTTCCATGCAATAAAAGATGAATGTATATTCCATTGAAGCTCGGGATCATCATCTGAAACAGGATTTTGATATACAACCTCTTGATTACTGTTTTCGAGCAATAATCTGGACAAAAGAGGTTTAGCGCGGTTTTGAGGCCATAAACCTGAAGCCTTCCACCCAGAAGTGATATTTCGAAGTGTTAAAGCTTTTAATCTAGCTTTCTGATAGCAGGCAAGAAAGTTTCTTTTGCCAATGGGAGTAGAATCCGTCAATGAATCGAGAGTATTGAGGTGGTATCGATATTCTTTTTTCAGAGGTGAAAATATTGATAAATCAAGAGGTTGTAGTACATGCGATGTATGGGGTGGTAAAAATAAGAGATGTATATTATTCTTGAAGCATTCAAGTATAAATTGAGTGGTTTCATGGCTTCCATACCCATCCAAAACAAGGAGTCTTGCTTCTTTCGGTCGAGTTGGTGCTGATTGTGGTATAAACACCTCTTTTAGCCATTCCAAACCTGTAGAATCCGTAGTCCACCCATTATCTGTAGCAGTGAACTCCCACCCTTCATAGTTATCAAGTTTAATGGGAAACCATTGTTGTTGAAGTGTTTTACCTTTGAATATAACCAAAGGTAAAAGTGCTCTTCCCGTAGCTGAGATACACTCAATAAAAGAGGTCCACGTTCTTGAACCGGGTTGCTTTTTCTGAATAAAACGTCGCTTTGAACTCCCAAGTACCATACTATTGAGATCTTGGCCTTCCATTATACCAGCTTCATCCATATTCCATCTGTTTTCGGGCTTGATATACTTAATTGCTGGTAAATCCAACTTTTCAAAGAACTTGCTTATAATTTCGGTAGTTGCACCATTGATACGGGCATTATCGATTTTATATTGCCTTTTAGTCTTAATCTCTGGGTTTCTTTCCAAAAAACTATGTATCCATCGCTTGCCAAGAGATAAATCACCTCCTTCGAGGTTGAGAATGGACTCTCCTAATTCTCGTATTTGACGATGGGTAGGGCTAGTTCCTAGGGCTTCCTGTACTAAAATCCAATTTGCTAGAGCTCTCTCCTGCACAGGAGCTATCTTCTATAGGTTTTGTGCACCTTTTTTATGTGAAAGGTGGCCATTTATACGGTTGTGTAAAGTGGTGCGGGGAATACCATATTCTGAGCAAGCCTTACGCATAGACATGCCTCCTGCAATCGCAAAAAGTGCTGCAGCAATATCATCTTCAGTATAAGGCTTTATCATAGCTTAATTGATAATGTATTAAAATCTTATATCAATTGAATAAGTGGTTGTTGATTTATTAAAGATGAAGTTGGGAGGTAGTGCTTAAAATGGGGTAAGATTTTAGGTGGTCCAAAAGAGGGGTGGTCCGAAAGTGGGGTACTCAACTTAGTTCACCAACCTAGGAGTTACTCCACACGTCTGGCATCGAAAAAAAGAACAATGATATCGGATCAAAACCGACTTGGTGAACATGGCCGTCTTTGCTGATACCGTACGTACAGAGTACCTAGGTGGTAATCCCGAAGGGTATCGAAACAGCCTGCAAGGATAGATACTGTAAAGCCAAGTTTGCTATTCTGATATCCCTGGAATTCGAGAAGAACAAACTTTGAAGCAGTGGCGACATCACATATTTTTACACTTTGTCTGCAGCAAATATTTAGCTGCAGTATTACTATTGCGAGACTTCTCGATTCCCTAAGCTAGGTCTATTTGATGAAGTGAAGCTCAAGTCAAGTGCTTTTCACGTATGTTATTTTTTATCACACCGGTAACTGTGGGAGACTCGGTGTTTTGATATATTCGCTTTTTTATATTCGGCTCCCATCAGAACGACGGTAATATCAATGACAAATGCGTTTTTGGGTTGCTTGAAAACCTTCCACTGCGGCGTAAGTAAGTCTTACATTACGCTGGTTCAGAATCCATCACAAATTATACATATTTTGCCCTGGGGAACAAACTACAAGATGCGATACCCTTCAGGTCTAGGTACGATGTCTACTTAATCATATATCATCCCCAATGCGATCGAGTTAGCCCGAAAACTCCCATACAAGTAGTTTACCTTTCGTCGCTTCCTACAGTACAACCGGAAACAATGAACTGTATGGCTCAAATTTCCCTTTTTGAGCAGGACCACTCTATTTAATGGCTCTCATTAAGGCATATGATATTCATAGCCCTAATAGCCATTCGATTCACCTTGCAAGGGGTGAACGAACTAGTCAGGAGCGGACGCGAGTGGGATAACACACCATTGTGTACATAGGCCCTGAAGAAGCCGATATTCTGCTTAGAGAATACGGATTTCAAGTGTCTAAGTTACGATTCAGGTATAGTTTGACACGACCGTGCTCGTTGATGATCTAAGAGTCTCTCTCTGTACGAAAGCGAAAGAGCTTGGATGAGATATTAGTTTTCTTCTCTCAACAATTGTTGGATTAGGAACACATTGAGAAAGAATGACCGAGAAACAGCTCGCGTGCACAGCACAAATAAACTTTACTATTACTGAAGGCCTTTCTGAAATCCTTGCCGGCTTCCTTGATAGCCCATACTATTCTGCAACAGCTAGTCTAGCTACTGCTTTTAAGCCTTGAGGATCTTCACAGCTGTGTAAAAGCTGAATTACCTGCCCTCGTGATGAATAAGACTGAAATGAACGTTTATAGAATTGCTTGACTTATTTTAGTATCTATTTACCCTATGCCTGGGTAACTGGACTTGAAGTACTCATAAATGATCGAGGCACAGACAGAACAACACTTTCAGTCCACCTTACATACTCTATGCCCGTGTCTTCAAGCTCTATAGTAGACGCGGAAAGAGAACAAATATGCGCCTGGCCACCCTCTCATCTCTTAGCTCCAGATAAAGGTAACTCCCACCCTGATGCCCGTGGCTTGCAGTAGAAATCTGTTTGGGACAGCATGATTATGATAGAATTTTCATCAACTACAATTACAATTCAGATATATCATCTGATATCACCATTCTCATCAGGGTATTTTTCTCGCTGTTGTTATGACAGTTACGTTGTCCTCTCCCCTGCAACCATTATTTAAGACGAGATCATTCCTGCTTAAAATGCATCTAGAAACTCAGAAATATCGAAACTCCTAAAGCGTAATCTCGAGGTTCCTGCAAGACAATACAGTCTCCTAAAGTCTGAATATCTCTTATCTCTCTTCCATGCCTCAAAAGTTCCTCGTGAGAGATACGCTTTAAGTAAGCTGCCTCTGCGATGCAGAATGGGCTTCAAATTCACTATATGGTGGCATGTGAAGGCACTAAGAAATCCTCCGAGCTAAGTGCAGGACTATAGGTGTACATGAATACCGAAGAGATAGAAAAGTTCTGACTACAACACGGATTATCTTTTATAAATGAGAAAAGGAGGTGCTGTCCCAAGGTTCAAAGATAATACTATCTTTTTTGAACTCCATAGTCCAAACACACATTTCGGTGTGTTGGGAAAGAGCCTTCTTTCTTGTCTTGTTAGCGAAGGGATGAGCGCCGAGTACTCATCCGAAGAATGAGCGTATACTTGCTACCGCTTGGATGATTTATTATTGTTATCGGTTTTTCGTATTTATTGCACTTATTCCAAAATCCAAAAGTTTCTATCATCTAATATATTGTTCTTGCAAGATAATCGTTACGAAGGACCTTCACTTCTTAGACCTCCTTAAAGACAACACGAAATGAGTCACCTACTTTTGCTGATGTAATCTTAGTAGTTCTTTGACGGGAATTAATCCGCTCTCTTTTATACTTCCCGCAGTAAGTTAGGAGATGAAGTGGAGGCCATTTCTATCCTGTTCTTACTTACCTACCTATTCACTGTATTTTTCCTCAATTATTAATAAATATATAGGTAAGCTAGGTACATAGTAATAGGTAATAGATACGTTGAGATATCCTACTTTCGGCCGCAAAGATTAGATACAAAAAGATAGGATCTCCTGTAAAAATAGTCCTCCACTAGGTAGACTGGCAATTTATTAATAATGTCCAGTCATGTATGTAGAGAAATTCGTGGAAACTTACAGTATCGATTGCTTTGCTAGTGAAGCGTATTACAACTTCTTATATTTCGATCTTAAACTTAGTATCCATCACTTCACTATCAGTAATATTTTTTTTCACCGTCCTCGAACCTCGGAACCTATATGCTGTGGCATTTTCGCTAGCAAAACTTCTACACTGTGTGGGTTTTGGATGAGAATATTAATTTTAAAGATTTTTATGAAATATTCTAAACCCGTAAAAAGAAAAAACTCTATAGGCTGTCATGGGCTAACTTCCACATTTGAAGATTCGGTATCTTTGTGAGCAGAAACTATCCTGACTTATTACTAGTCCTCAGCTGCAAAATTGCTAAGAAGTCTCTCGAGCCCTTGGGCTCCCTTCTTCGAGGTGGAACTTTGTCTGAACTATTTTACTCGGATTTTTTTTAAAATGTATGAGATTATCACTTGAAAATAATGTTGCGTGTGATGATTACATGAGGATGTGGACGTAAAAAACTGTCAATTAGCTTACGAACCAGGTTCATACATGAGATACATAAGATATGGAAGAGAAGTGCATGATCTGAACCATCCATAGTCTGACGACTAACATATTCAAATTCTAACTATCATCCCACCTTTCGCATATTAATTTATTCCACGGATTCCCACCCCCGAGAAGTTTGTACAAGCTCAGCACACCAAAATGTATATACCATCCATACGTTCGAAAAGAACCTGGACTCTCTTACTCTTATTTACTCTTGAGGTATTACATCTTTGGTCTATGACACTCAGGGTCGAGAAATTATGAGTTTCTTTTATACCCCATCTTTAGCTGGGAAATATTTGGAGCTTTTCTGTTATTCACTAATTTTGAGGGGAGGGTATCTGCTCACCTCGAGGGAAAATGGGAGTTATCATGGATTATGTGTCAGGGTGAATATTAGGAAGTTGGTTCAGTTTGACTTATTATGATACTTAATCTTAGTGGAGATGTTGTGTCGGTAGTAGAAGATAGGATATAAAGTGTTAGCAGGCACTTACTTAAAGTTATATAACCTGATTAGAGTCTAGGTTAAATCTATCATATACTGCGCGATTAAGTCATTGAAGGTAAAAGTTTGCGGTGAAGAGATTGGAGACTAATACTGGGAAGTGTGGCCATGGGATCATATGCCCAGATCCGCTGAGAAGTAGACGAGCGGTGTGGTCAACTGTTGTTTCGACTTCCAATAATGATGTTCGAAGTTTAGCTTTGATATCTTCCCAAACTGATTCATTGGCTGTAATTTGACTTTTGTCTTCGTTGGCAGTAATCCCAATGATGGTTCCTTGAGTGCTCGTAGTCTCGTCGATGTATATTGTGATGGCTGTAAGAGGGAAAGTTCCCCCAGAATCCTCGATACTAAAGACATTTTCTGCCCCATTTAAACCAAACATGCAACTTGGGAATGAGGTTTGATTTGCTTGTTGATCAAAACCAAGATGTCACCTGCTCATTGCGGGAATAAAGGTCTCTCTTTCAAGAAATGGAAGGAGATTTAGGAAGATTAATGCAACTTTAACTATTGATTGTCCCAAAAGTGTTTCTGTGTATGTCTTATTATTAAGTGTGCCAAGGAGGAGTTGAGCTGCTTGTTCACGTCGGCTAGCTTTTTTGCATTTGAATGCAAAAACCACATACCTTGTGTTTGGAGTAGAATTTAACTTCTAGCTTTTAGTACCTATTATTACTCAAATATTAGGTACTCATAAGAACTTGCCTCTTTTTTGTTCGTCCGAAGGGTTTAAATAACTTCCGACTGTGTTAAAGAATTTTTGCTAAAATCATTAAAAAATTGTTCTTGAACTGAAGTGCGATAGATAATTATACAACAAAACTTTTATGGGAAAGCTTAACTTAATTATTAGCAGCTAGGTAATTACTGACGGGGGAAGAACAGGGAATGAAGATATGAGATGAGATGAGATGAGGTTCTGAATTAAAAGCTATTATTATGTATCTGTCTGATGGTTTTTTGTTTGAAATAAAGGCTGCCTGACTCCATGCATAAAGGGTTGAAGTGAATATTGAATATTGATTAGGGCTGAGTGATAGTATGGTGATGAGAATTTAGATGTGCGGTCTGACGAGCTTGGGGTGTTTGCTAGAGTGATTAGATGGAATGGGGTGGGATGGGGTGAGAAGTCTGGAACTATTTATTAGCCAATATGGCAATAAGTGTGAATGTAGTAACGAGGCGGGAACTACCAGCAGTATGGCTATATATTCGTTCATCTTCCGTCAATGATATGGAACTCTTAGCTACGAGATGCTGAATACCTGGATGTAGAGTATTCTTACACTAATCTCACCTCACCTCACCTCACCTCACGTCAACCACCCATTTTTAAACCAAGAACCTGACCAATAGACGAATAATCGCAACATATCAAACCCTCAAACAAGCAATCAAAAATCCTTAATTTTCATGCCTCATTCGCCAATACTCCTCAAATGCAAATTTCACAATACCTAGATAAACGAGTGCATAGCATCTAGCATTGGAACATTCAGACATAAAACAAAAATCCCTTACTAGCCCTCTCCATCCGAGCACTAGAACTCCTTCCCACATACGACAAGAACTTCAAGAGTGAATTCCTCCTCATAAAACAAGGTAAGATACTTACTTCCCATCCAAGATAGCCTCGAAATCTTTTGTTTAGAAAGAGAGAGACAAAGTACCTAGACAAAGATCAACAACCGCAAAACCTCGAAAATACACGCTTCTATTCCTCTTCCAAGACGCGTAAAACTCTGAATTTGAGATCTCCAAACATGCAGAATTCAAATCCCGTTTCCAAAATGTAAAACTCCACCCCCTTCCCCAAGCCGAAACACCCTCCCCCCCCCCTCTTAAAAATTGTGAAAAGTGAAAAACCACTTCAGATGTGCAACAAAACTTTTTAGTATTGTGCTTATCATGTGATGATATTTGATAAGGAAGGATATTGGATGAGAATCTTGGGATTGATTGCCTAGTCTTGGGTTGTGCGGTGTGTGTTTGCGTCTATAATTAGTGCTTTCTATTATTAAGTATTTGTATATGTTGGTTGTTGCCGATTGAACTCAAAGTACTTGAGAGATGGGAGATCAGATCCACTAGATCTTGAGATGCTTGCTTTAACATCTTTGGGTTCTGGGAGAGAAAATAAATGATGAAAACTTCATTTAATGCTCATCCGCTTAGTAGGCGATACTCCCAGTATCACCTGAAGGTTAAATGCTTCCCTTCTAGATGCAATGCGCGGGAATCATGATAGGGATATTAATTACTATTCAACCTTGCAGTTTGCTGATGTTATCTTGTAGAGTGAAGACTACTCACTACAGCTGGATATTTCGATTCCTCTCCGTTCATGACATTCGAGAGTTATGAGTAAGGTTAAAACCATTGAGCAAAACAATGCGAAGTTCCAAAAGACCTTCTTCTTCTTCATGATGAGTCCGTACACGTACCCATTGATGGCTACATCTTCATCTAGCTTAGACTCAAGATGTACCGAGCAAACTTGTAGAGATGTGTTTTTGAAAAAGTCGTCGAAAGACATGCCACTTAGTAATTCATAGGTAAGGAAGCAATTTTAGGATTCAAAAAGTCCCGGAAACTCTATTAGTGTGAGGTTTTATTTCTGCATTCAAATGAGTATTTGCTTTATAGAATCTGATGTATTATCGTATGTTTCGTCTCTTAAGCCTTATAAAATATCGGCGATGAGTCGGTATTTGAACAGAGACCTTGGGGCTGTTTTTGAGGACTGCGTGTGGTGATGTTTGCAGCGATGTTAAGATTACATATAGGTATCAATACTATAATTAACACAGCCACCCTGCCTGCGGTGGTACAGAATATCAATGTTGGTAGAGGAGAAGAAAATGATTCGGAAGGGTCGAGATCTCGTAAATACTCGCGGAGTAATAAGTAAGCATCACTTGACTTGGGCTGTCATCTGTCATCAACGTGATTTGATCTTATGATTCGGGCATTCCCGAGCCTTAACCTTACCCTAGGTTTAGTAGATAGTATTCTAAGCAAAATTCCTCAAGGTCAAATCTTGCTACAGTACTGTACCGTGCGTAAAAGGTATTGTCTATGCTCAGACCAAAAGACAATAATGAAGCAATTTCCCAACATCAAAGTTCAAACAATGCACAAGTGGAGTTTACAAACGGCCATGATGACATCATAACTTTATCACCCAAAATTTGCATCGTCAAACTTTCATCGAACAGCTCATCGCCACAATAAAGGATATCCCGGGACACAACAGCCTTATGAAATTTTGGTAAAGTGTGACAAGGGAGGCAATTTTATCTTATTTAATTTCACCACGAAGAGAAATAAATCCCTTGCTGATGTTTGTTTTGTTGGGAGAAGCAGAAGATTTAATTACCTACCGATGATTTGTTCTCGTGGTACAAGTTTTACCGCAACATACACCAACCAGACAGACCTCAGCCGCTCTAATCTCATCCCACGGGCGCTGCTAAGTGACTCTGGAGTACATCAGGTCAGGTTAATGACATGCCGACCGGTGCGATGCGATACGATATAATTGAGGCTTAAGCTTTGGAAGTGGTCACCAGCTTAGTACCTACATTCGCTCGTGTCGCTTTCCCCGAGTATTGTGATAATATTATGGCATTGTCTCGGAAAGTAAAAGAGATGGGTCTCCATGGCTAATAAGTGATTGGGCGCTCTGAGCCCGAAGATACCCAATGACGTTTAAAAGTACCCCGCCAATAAGATAGATGATAAGCCCTTCCCAACTTCTCAAGTAAGATCACTAGACGGCCTGGTATCTGTCAAAAAAGCTTCAAAAACCACTTGGAAAACCCGATATCACGACTAAACCATAATTTCCGTGGAGTATTGGGATTCATTGGGTTGCCTTATGTATGAATTGATATATTTGATATAGATTCTAGAAGATGAAGGAAAATGGAGGAAAATTAAGGAAGATTAAAACTAGTGGGGTAATTTACATTTTCCATCAATTTCGTAACATCATCTCGCATCAAACTTGGAAAATCTTCAGCTTCTTGCTGCAGGCAGCTGAGCCATCCAGGGCCAGGCAAATCCCCGGAAAATCCCTTAAAACGGTAAAAAGGTGGAAAAGGTCATCAAAAGTATCCAAAAGGGTTCAACCGCGCGCCAAATAGAAGATGAGATATTCCTTAATTTGTGGATAATTTATCATTCTGTACATGATCACGCATATCCGATAGAACCGCTCGAAGCAGGTTCCTTGCATTACCTTAGTTTTCTGTATTCCCAACCTTCTCAAGGGTTATTGAGTACCTACCTACCTTACCTACCTTATCTACCTTACCTACTTTACCTACCTACTTACCTACTTGGAATCTCCAGCCACCTCCTTCGAAATCAAGCGCTGTTGTAACTTGTCAACTTTGGGCTTTTACTAACCAACCTGACCCTGTAAATTCCCATATCTCACCGACATTCACTTCTTCTTCTGTCGCTTTCTTTCCCCTCACTCGTCATATTACGACATTACCTTGGGGTGTGACTGTTGTGATTTTGTTTCGATTTATTCCATCAAAACCTTCACAACAACACACAACACACAAAATACAAAACAATTATTTACCATCGTCTTATCGCGCCTTTGAATCTACAGGAATCCAGTCATCAAGTTTAAACCCGTCAAAAGCCTAATTATTTATTAGTGCTAATCATCACAAATCTCGAAAGCGAACAGTCAGCGAAGCATTTTCCTGTCGCAATTCGAGAATACCCCGCCATCAATCATCATGACTTCTTACGAATATGAATATGAGACGGTCGAAGAACCACGTCGACATCGATCTCATCGTCATCGAAAAGATGATCGCGAACCAAGATATGCTGATGAGCCACGTTACGTCGAAACTCAGGAAACTTATATTCGCTCAGCCGCTACCAAGTCTCCGGTAGCTTATGCACCCGATGCCCCCGTCAGAGAAAGAGAAAGAGAAAGAGACAGAGAAGTTGCTCAAACTAGAGAACTCGTTCGTCAACCTCGTCGTGAAGATAGCGATTTATCAGTCGAAGAAGTTAGAAGGGATTTTCCCCCACCAGCAGCGGGTGGTGCCTATATTGACCAACGTACGACGGTGCGTGAGGCTAGGTACGGCCCGCCAGCCCGTCGCTCTCGATCCGTAGGGCGTGATGGCCGATACGGAGAATACCTTAGTGACAGCAGAGGTGATCCACGACGCTCTTTCCAAGAACTCGATCGACGAGATGATTATTATGAAGATGCAGAACTCGAAGATAAACGATCCCTTTCACGAAATCAAAAAATTGCAGCTGCCGTTGGGGGTGCTGCTTTAGCAGTTGGTGCAAAGGAATTATGGGATCGAAGATCGGCCGAGGGTAGACCGGTCGAGCGAAACCCGTTAGCTTCTGCTATGGTCGGAGCTGCTGGGGCTTTGGCGGCATATGAGGGAACAGAACTTTACGATAAACACGGAAACAAAGAAAAGAAAGTCAAGAAGTATGCTGTTCACAGAGGTCGAAATGGTGAAGTTCAAGAAACCTATTACTCTGAAGAAGAAGAGGAGATCAAACCCGAAAAGAAAAAGGGTCGCCGCAAGTCAATTGTTGATAGTGCTATGGCTCTTGCAGGTCTAGGTGCCGCCGCAAAGGGTGTTGAACATCATCGAGGACGCCGAGGAAGCGGTGATAGCTATTATGAGGAATCAACCTCAAGAAAGAGCAGATCCAAGTCAAGATCCGGGGAGGGAACTGCCAAATATCAACAAGCCGCCAAAGCAGCTCTCTTAGCTGGTGCTGCGGAAGCATTCCGAGTTCGAAATGAGCCTGGAGCTTGGGGTGGTGAGAAGGGAAAACGTATTCTCACTGCCGCTATCGGAGCTGGTGGTATTGATGCTGCTATTGACAAAGATGCCGATAAGAAGAGCAAGCGTCATATTCTTGAAGCAGTTGTTGGAGGTCTCGTTGGAAATCGGGCCATTAATGGATCACGAAAGGATGTCGAAGAAGATCCTGTTACTGGACGTTCCCGATCCAGATCTCGAGCTAGATCTAGAGCACGTTCTTCATCCCGAGGTGGAGGAGGTGGTGGTGGAACCGGTCTTGCTGCACTTGCAACTGCTGGTCTTGGGGCTATTGCTGGTAAGAAATTACTTGATCGTTCCAGATCCCGTTCAAGAGCTGGTTCTCGTTCCAGAGCTCGCTCCCATTCACGCGGACGCAGAGATAGTTACAGCCGCAGTCCATCACCAGACCGTAACAAGCGTAGCAGAAGCAAGAGTGTTAGTGCAATGGCAAGAAAGGGTTTGGCTGCTCTTGGTATTGGAGCCGGAGCTGGAGCTGCTGCTAATGAAGTCGGTCGCAACCGTGATCGTAGTCGCAGCCGTAATCGCGATGATTATGATGACTACAGTGATTACGACGATCGCTCAAGAAGAACTCGAGGTCAAAGAGGGGATGTATATGGTAACCCACGATATTCTGAGTCTCGTGGAAGTGTAGACAGTCGTGGAGGTGCTAGGGCAAGGGATGGACAGAGAAACAAGAAGGTTGCTGAAGGAAAGAATGGATATACCAGTGATGATTCTTTGATATCTTCGTCAGAGGATGAGAGGAGGGTCAAAAAGATGAAAGGTAAGCAATTTATTACAGCTGGTTTGGCAACTGTTGCCACAATTCATGCAGCACATAATGTATACTCAAGCATGGAGAAACGTGATGCGCGACACAAGGCTGTTCAGGAAGGAGAAATGACCCCAGAGGAGGCGAGGAAGCTTAGGGCAAAGGCTGCATTGCAAGATGCAGCATCTGTTGGAATTGCTGCGCTCGGTATCAAAGGAGCCATCTCAGAAATCAAGGAAGCAAATGAGATACGACACGAATGTAAAGACTTCCGAGAGAAGAAAGGTGAACGTCATAAGAAACGTCTTGAAAGACAAAAGAAGCTTGCAGAGAACGGCGGAAGAAGACAAAGAGATGGTTCTCGCAGCACTTATTCTCCCTCCGATAGTCGCTACGATGATCGATATGATGACCGCCGTTACAATTCGGGTCCTCGCTATTATGATGGAAATCCATATGCTACAGGTTTACCAGCTCCACCTGTTGGATATGAAAGATAATCCATATCCTTCAGCGCACATCGATGAGTTCGTCATCCACATTCATTTTTCCGGCTTTCAAACAATATAATGCCTTTGTTCCAGCTTCGCCTAAAATATCATTTCGATCGCAGATTTGGAAACAACGAAATATCTACATAGGAGTTCTACAGTGCGGTGCACCTACGGGGTCGGTTGCATCTTTTGGGTCTTTCTTCGGCGCAAAGATGATTTAATGAGTTCACGACCATCACAAAGTTTCTCCATGCCTTGACGATTTTCATATATTTGTTTCATATTTTTTTTTTTTACACATAACACCCAGACGTTGTTTTTTGATTTTACGTTTTCATTTGTGTCGTTATCTACCATTCTTCATTTCAAGCTATAGGAGATAGATGAAGAAATGTTACAACGATCTTACCCAAACCAATTCCGAGTTCACATTTTATATTCTCCAATTTTAAATGAGAACCATAACTGATTGGTATATTTCTCCATAATAGCTCGCTCCCATCGCCATTAAGAAAGCTAGTTCAAGAAGCTTATGTCCCCGCGAATTAAAGTGTGATAACGTACAAGTACAAACCCGCATCTACGAATAAGACACTTGTAACGATAACGTGCGGACAACGAAGTGGAACGGAAGGATGACGATGGATTGGATTGGATGGGTGGGTTTATTTAGTGCGGGATTTAGGAGGATAGGATATACGTACACACGATTTACGAAACGAAAGATGGGATAAAATTTACAAATGAGTGAAATTGGATAGGCTAGGAGATGCGATTTGTTACGGCAAAACTTATGAATTGATGACTAGTTTCGATCTTGGTTTTACTTCTTTTTGTTGGTTATGGTTTGGATGGAGGATTTATTTTGGTGCGGTTTTGAGGGATGGGGATGGGGGATGAGGATGTTTTGGTTGGTTAGTTGGTTGTTGGGAGGAGGATGGGGGATGAGGGATGAGGGATTTTCGATAGGGAAGGATGCAGATGCGGGTGATGATGCAGGTGATGATGATGATGAACGATGATGGCATGATGCATTTGGTGGGTGGGTAGGCGGTGAGGGAAAGAAGTGGAATGTGGAATGTGGAATGAATGGATGGATTTCTCTATCTTTTTTCTTTAGATGATTTTTTTGATGTTTTGCTCTTTTTTTTTTCCTTTTGATTTCCTTTTTGGTTTTGTTTTTTTTGGATTCGGGTTGGTGGATGGGGTGGATGATGAAGGATGAAGGATTTGGTGGAGGGAATGATATTTTTTAGTATTGCTTAGGGTATGATATGATAGGATATGATAGGATAAGCTACTATGGATCTATCAATCAATCATCAATTGGATCTTTGTAAGACTTACACAGTATGTTCTTTAATTTATGATTGGAAAATTGATTGTGAGATTGTGTGATTGTGAGAATGTGTACAGTGTGATTGGTATAGATAGTGATATAGGTAAACACTAGGTAAATAAAACACTCATTTACAGAGTATGGAGTATGGAGGGAGTATATACTATATAGATTGATCTAGCAGGTCCAGAGTCCAGACAGATCCGGGTTTAAGGGAATGAACTCTAGAGTGGGTTGTGGATTTTATGTTTGATGTGGATGTGGATGTGGATGGGATGTCGTCATTTTTGAGATCGCATGCCGTGTACTGGAATATTGGGTGTGGATATAGGATATAGGATATAGGATATGGGATAGAGATGTAGATGTAGATGGATGTAAAGGGTAGATGGGTAAATGATATGGTGATGAATAGGTGATAGATTATGTAGATGGAGATATATATATATGGTTGTAAGTTGGATTTGGGTTTGGAGATTGGGGAAAGCTAGAAAGAGGGAAGGCGAACTTGAGGATTGAGATTGAGATTCGTGGTGAGTGGGATGAGTAAATAGATAGATAGATGGATGGATGGAGTAGATTGAATACTTAAAATATGGATTATGCTTATTGATTGATAGATTGATCAATCGATTGATTAAATGGTAAGAGTTAAATGAATGAATGGATGATACATAGTACATGTATTTGGACTCTTGAAGTGTACTTTGATATTGAGTATCTAGTAATTTGTTAATATAAGTGTTGAGATTGTGGATGGATAAAAGATGGATGGATGAAGAGTTTGAAGTATGGGATAGGTAATATGAAAAGTATAAAAAGTTGATTGATATCTGGGAATTTGAATAGAGAGTGTATAGTGTTTATAAATGGTATTTATTTTGAGTATATAGGTATGTGAATATTAATGTTGATGTGCGGTAGAATTGGAGAGTTGAGCTGTTGTGAGAAAATAGATGATAGGTTAAATGCATCTGAATGCTGCAAAAGTTGTAAATTGAAACTTTGATGATTTGATCGCTGGGCATGGTGGCATGATTTGTATGTGTATATGTAGCGTTACGGTATTCTTCCTCACGAATTTGGAAAGATGAAAGTCTGTATATACGGAGTTATCGTGGAATATCAATTTTTTGAATATCACATTTTTGATTTTCCATCACTGCGTTTCTAACTTTTCTTTAAATTCTCCCCAAAATCCGTCTCCCACCGAATTTTCCGATCCTCGATATCGTCTCCAGTTCCTACTACTTTCACATGCATCCACACTAACAACTCCATCCAATCATTCATTAGTCCTTCCACAAAAAAATACCATTTTGCTCCGTTTGCTTCAAATCGTCTCCTCGCTTACTAGCTTCTGAAAAAATTCTCTCGCGCACAGACCATGCGAAAAATCTATATAGGATGGACTTCCCTCCCAAATTTTCTTTCTTCTTCATCGACAATACTGTAAGTAAAATCTACCCCCTACATTTCACATCTTCCTCCAAGACGACTCCAAATTATCTCTCTATCTCGTCTCGAATACTCACTAACATATCCTCCCCCGCATAGTCAAAGAATCATTTCTTTAGTAAACGTCCTTCTTCTGTGTTCTCTACAAGAGCCACAGACTCCAACCGAGACGATGAGCCGAACCTCAATACCCTAGAGTGAAACCGTTTTGCTTTCGATCTCTCTGCAAAGAGGGCGTTTTCTCTTTTCGAGAGGAAATGTATAGAAAGTGGTGATGATCTCGACCTTTTGGCGGTTCTCTTAGGAGACTACCTCTGGGTGGGTGTTGATGGTCGTCTGATCGGTTTTTTTTTAAACTTTTTTCATTGCGTTCCTGGCCGTGCTGGGGGGTGAAGAAGAAATGGGATGGTTTGGTGGATGAGTTTTGTGTGCAAAGATATTTGCGATGGGTCATACGGGTATGCAGAGAGCTTTCGATGGTGTAGATGTATATGTCAGATCCTTGTTTCGTGGTTTATGTGGTCATGGTTGCTGGAAAGTTGTGGTTACAAATGTAAATAATTCATCCCAATTGAAAACATTTTCTCTTGGTTCAGTTAAACCTTCTGAAATCAATGATCACTCTAACACCTTGCTCAATTGACCTCTTCCATTCATGACTCGATCTCACTTTATCCTTCTATTTGAGTAATTAAAATGGAACTTTGATGAAGGATTTTTTTGAAGCATCCTATTGCCCAATGAATGCATTTACCTATTCACCCAAACCCGCGGCGTTAAATATCATGATGATTCATTAATTATTAATCACATTGAATCACCATAACATTTCCATCAACAACACCTCTAAAATAATCCAATGAATCAATCTCTACTTTCCATATGTATTAACCCATTATAGGTATCATTACTCAATGCCATCGTCTACTTATCTATGATTCAAAAATATTACACTCAAAATACAAAAGTATCTATCTACCTCCCTATCACACTTAAGATAATATAATATAACAATATAAATGTAACGATACTGTACTGGAGGCAGCGGCTGCCTAAGGTTCGTCGGTTGGTAGTTATAGGTTAAGGCTTTATCACTGGTATTCACTTGGAAATGAAGTCGTTACTAGATCAAGTAGAATATAGGTAAACTAATTGATAACTAAGTTGAATACGAAGCTCGTATACTATGAAATTATTCTGATTATATAATAATCCCTTTCCTGAAGTTTTAAAAAGCTTATACTCTTAAATACTCTTAAAAATCTTAAGGAATCTATATTTCTAGAGACTTCATTATGTAATCCTTAATCTGCTTTAGAACACTAATCCTGGGACAATTCGTCTTCTAGGATAATTTAGCTCCTAGGACAATTGTCCTGAGATACTTATTATCCTAGGACATTCTATCTTAGGACAAATACTGTCCTAGCTTATCCTGAGTCCTAGGATACTTGTCCTGTACCATTGTAATTGCCTAACCGTTTGTCCTAGGATTCCTAGGTTCCTTATCGATAAGGAACCCCCTATAAACCACGGTTGAATCACATCCCCCCTGTTTTCGGCAGCTAAATCACCGACATCTATAATACTACCATAATCCAAACCACGATTCGTGACAATAAAATATATTACTGATGGGAAATATTCATATGTCTATCTCATCTCCTTTTTATATATATACTGGTATACTCTATTTCAAAGAATCAGTTATTTTTAAAGTAAGAGGGGGGAGCTTGGGGAAAGAGAATGATGAGCGCGGTAGTGAGAGTATGGTCTTAGTGGTAATAGTATTTAAAATTGAAATTGTAAGATTGGTTATTGTGATTTATTGAAAGTCAGGTTGGTGGTGGGTTTATGATTCGGGATTGATTTGTTATGTTATTTTGATTGGTATTGGTCTGTTAATTATGTTGTGATGATGCTTTTGGGTTTGTTGAGGTTTAGGGGGTTTGGGAGTTTTGGAGGTTTGAGGGAGGTTTGAGGGAGGTTTATGGGGTGGTAGGTTGGGTATAGGGAAGTTAGATACATAAATATATGATTTTATATCTTTAGTGATAAATTGTTTTTGTATGAAGCTCCCTCTTGCATTTTGATACATCAACAGAAAAAGAGGAAAACCATAGATAATAATCATTAATGAAAGTGTCAGCCTAACACCACCACAAGCAAACCTAAACACCATCATCGTCATATATCAAACACCTAAGAATAACCAATCACCTATAACACCGACACCCCAATTCTTCACTCAACAAACAACCCCTTCTCCTTGTGCCATTCTTCAATACTAAAATCGCCATATCCATCATACACCTTTTTCTTCCCTTCCGGCCATCTAACATACTCCGGTTTACTATCCCCCTTCACACAAACCATTTCCTCCACAACCGGCAACTCGGTATCAATTGCACTCGCAAACGGATGAATTAACTCCGGCCATGTTTTATCCCACAACCAAAGCATCGACGCACATTCCGTACAAAAATTGCGTTCAGAAGTGCATTTTTTTTCAGTTGCTTTGCCACGATCTTTAATGGCGTTGTATTTCCTAGCGGATTAGTTAGTTACGTTGAAACGAAATAGTGAAGAAATGGAAGGGGAGGATACTTGATGTATTCTTTGCCTTTGGTAATTTGCAGTGTAGATGCTATACCACCAAGATTTACAGTCCCGCCATATCCTCCGCATTTACGACAGATAGAACATGCGCAGAGTTGGTAGGGGGCCGGAGTATGTGATTCCAAGGTGAATTCTACGAGTCCGCATTGGCAGCTTCCTTTTAGTTTCCTAGGGTGGATATAGATGTTAGCGGGGTAGGTTAGGTGGGTTAGAAGGGGAGGACTCAGGAGGGGAGTATTTTTTATTAATGGGGAAATGTTTACATTGGCATTTTGAGTAACCTTAGTTTGTTTGTGTGATTTTTTAGCTTGGTGAATCTGGGAATAGAGTTGAGGAAATATATAGTTTTTATTAATGGAGGATGTTGTCTTAATTATCTTCTATATATATACCTAGGTACCTTACACCACTGACCCCTCTTCGGAAGGAAGCCCACGTCATAAAATACGTGGTGAAGTCCTCGGAACAATAGAAAATCCGCCCGCTGCAACAGATGTTCATCCAAATAATCCATAACATCAGATACCTAGGTAATTTGAGATTAAATATAAATAAACAACCATGAGTACATTTGGGAGCCCTGGTGGGCGTATGATCAATAATAAACCTTCTCCGTAAGTTGTTTTTGTTATATTTTCTTGATACTATGGAGATATTTGAGAAGAAGAAGGCTAATTTATACTTTGCGATATAGACCGGAAAGAGGAAGTTTTCCGCTGGATCATGATGGTATGATTTCCTTTCCTTTACTTTTCTTTTCTTTTCTTTTCTATTCTATTACACATGTACGAGTGTGCAAACGAGATAGGATACCAGGTGAATGGGATGTGAATAGCGAATATGCCAACGAAATACTAACGCGACGATGCGATAACAGGCGAATGCAAATCCGTTATGCAAAGTTATCTTAATTGCATGAAGAAGGTTCGCGGTATGAATGATCCGGAATGTAGGAATTTGGCGAAATCGTATTTGTCATGTCGGATGGATAGGTATGTTCTTGGGTTTTATATGTGTATATTTGGATTGGATAATTGGGAAAAGACTAATGCGTCTGGTGTGCGGTAGGAATTTAATGGCGAAGGATGAATTTAAGAATTTGGGGTTTGCGGATGAGGGGTCGGATTTGAAGGGTGTGGATAAGAAGAATGAGGCAAAGGATGGGGATGCGGATGCAAATAAACATAAGAATGAGTTAAGGTGGTGAGGTGGTGAGGTCGGTTCGAGAAGCTATTTGAGGCGAGAAGGTGCAAACGAATGAAGCACCAAGGACTAGCGAAATGGGCATCTTATATCATTTGTACAATACAGCATGGGATTGGCGTTTCGGAGCGAATATAAAGGATGGGAGTTTGATTGTTCCAAGAGAATATCGGAAGAACTAATTTGTTCTCACAAACAGGGAATATTATTCAACTCCAAGGACATTTATATTCTATATTACAATTGTGTTTGTAGTTTCGGAATTGGTGATATATACCAAAACTATGGCTGTCTTGAACGGCACTTGTATGTCTCTGTGAAGGGACAATCGATAAGCTCTATGGATTAGATTTATGGATTTTCATGTTAGACTTTCAGCTCATCGTTCTGTTGTCATCACCCTCCCCTAGCAATGTCATATCCCTAGATATAAGAGTGTAGGCAAATGCAGATGATATTATATTGCTCTTAATTTTCCCCCACGAGTTCATGAAGTCTATTGCGCCCGAAAGAAAAAAAAACAGAAAAGACATATCTTATTTCCAACATGGTGAACAATAGATTTCTATACAAAACTACTTATTAATCTGTATCGTTCACGACTTACTATATTTTTTTTGCAGGATTCCTATAATATTACAAATAACGTTTTGGAAAGATATATTTGTGAATTTCTGATTGTGTTTAGATTATGGAGGATACGTATGTTTATTTAGAGTAGTTTCGAAATTCTTGAATACTTGGTTTATGTTAGAATGTTAATTTTTTGGATTTTTTGATAGCTGAGTTATGTAAAACTTGGGAATTGTATTTAGTATTATCTTCATTTACTGAAAGCAAGTGTTACTTTTCCTGATCTTCTTTTGTAACTTGTATGCATCATACTGTTGTAAATTTGGGCTTTTGAAGCTGGTAAAATGCTAAGTGGCTTGGAATTATTGTGAAGTAGTGAAATGACTGCAATAACACGGTGATGTTGTTACGAAAGTACTGTCTCTGAAGGAAGAAAACTGAAGGGTGCATTACAAGGTGTGATTCTGGTTGCTCTCAGCCTACTTGACTCAGCTCAATCTATCAATGAGTTTCCTTCTCTAGGGAAAGACAAATAAAAGAAAGTAGCACTGAGTTAACGGAAGTATTACAGAAATGCTAAGACGCATCTCGACTCTTCTTACCATGGTAATGGCCATGAGTACACTATTGCCGAATACGAGCTGTCACATCCCAGACTTAAGTATTTCCTGCTCTGGCACCTGTCCACGAATTCTTATTATGCTCGTTGCCCATCTCCTTGACTTCTTCAATCGTAGCTATGGGAGCAGCCCACCATCCATCGCCTATTGCTTTTACTTACTAAGTAAGTCAACCATCCTTTGCAAGAACAGATGCATATCCCTATGTTTCATATCAGCTCCCGAGATATCAAATATGTTCCTTGAACTTTTCCGATCTTTTACTAATTACAGCTATAATAACTATTAATCCCGAAAAAAAAAAAAGAATTAACATGTTTTTATCACACACTTTGTGACTAACGATAAGGGTCTTGAAATACTCCAAATGCAATTTTATAGGCATATTTCTACTTCACGTATCGTATTAGACCTTCTTTATATTATTTCCCCTAATCATGTATAATATTTGGAATTTTGATGAGTTACTTGGAATTTCGTGAGCCAATTTGATTTTGATTTGCCGTCAGGAATTTTTTAGATTTCTTGAGACGAGGCTCGTTAGGAGGCCTGAATGTTCTCTTGTCACTGGAGCTTGGTTATTTTGGTGGTCTTTTCTCTCTTTGGTTCTCTGCCATAATGATGGAAGAAATTGTTGTGAATAGGATTATGTTTAGGGGGGAGAGTTTGAACAATACTTGATGACTTCAAAACAACTACGTAGTGATAGACTTTTACTATTCGATTTACCATTTTATTCGGAAAGATGTTTACTTGGTATATATGTTTTAAAAATGCTCCCGGTTCAATGTAAAGTATATACTTCAAGGTTTCAATCCTGTACTGTGTGTAAGACTCTGTGTGAGGAGAAAAATTATTGTTGTAGTAGGACGAACAGGAGGTGGAGAATGTGATATGGATTAGCCGGCTTGCATCTACTCAGAGCTTGGCATAGGAACTGTAGGAATTAGAGGACGGGTTTCATAACTTTTCCTTTCTCGATGTGTTCAACAAGGCTTGGTGGGCTAAACAGATATATAATGCTCTCAATTATTTATTGCTTACTTAGGTCCCTCTGGTATGAATCCTCGGTAAACACCCTTCTCAACTTCAACATACTTTCAATTCATGCTTGTGAAGAGATATTAAGACATAGAAAGGTTACAATTTCTTTAAATTGAAAATTTTACACTGTTTGCTGCAGGTTTCCTGTATATACAAGTAAATTAAACGCATATTGTGTATCATAGGACAAGATTAACATGCAACAATAGAGACAAAGTCTTCCACTTCTGCGTATTGCCAACTAGATACTTATGTCTCTTTTAAAGAAAAGCACCAACCCCATTTTTACAGCTTTGTTTTTACTCAAGCCTCAATGCCAAATTAGAAACATATTCACTGTGAATGACAAGCTGTATGAAAGTAATTCTTGATGGTGATTCTTGTCCACTAAGCAAATCCTCGAAGTGGTTAGACCGCCCAGATCAGGCTATTGTGAGACCTTGATAATAACAGTAGGAACTTCAACTTTGAATTTGTTTGCTTCAACGACCTCCATTCAGAATCTGTAGGTTACTTTTCCCAAGACTCCAAACATCTGAAATACTATTAAAAGGGTGAAATTACTAAGTGTATATCAAAGCTCGGACCAAGAAAACATCCTGCACGGGCCTCTCTCAACATGGCTTCAAGACAAAGATCTCATGGCAAACAATCCGAACAATCCAAACCAAATAATAGTAAAAAGACTCAACCTAAACATTCTTATAATCTTAAGGGGAGAGTCTTCAGTATGGATAAATCAGAACCATTTATTGATTCTGGCTTGATTGCCGTTTCTCTTGTTATTAAATCGCAAACCGGCCCACACTTTGTTTTTCACTATCCTCCTCGACCATCCTTCGCTCCACCCCTACGCAACTACAGATATGGTACGGAAACTGATCAAAGTGAGATTGAAGAACATGCAGATAGCGACGAAGATGACAGCGACGACTTCTCAGAATTAGAAGAAGATGACTCAATTGCTTCAAAGCTTGGAAAATTGAATTTGAGCGGCAAGGGGATGAACAGTGGAAATGGCACTAGATCGCGTCACGTGGAGATTGAAGGCGATGATCACCTTGAAGGCAAAGATGGCGAGCAAATCGTTCCTTGGGAACAATTTGGGGAATTTCCTACCGTCGATCTTGCTAGTATCCTGACCCCACCACGCGCATACCATAAGAAGAAGTTCGAGTTGTCAATTGACAACCTCTACTTCGTTTCCTACCCGTTGCACATCCGCGAAGATGGATTCTGGAAGAAGCCGAAAAAGCTAAAGAAGGGTAAAGAGGTAGCAAATGATGGAGATGAATTGAAGGGCGGTTCCGTGGCTAGCAGTGCTCAGCCAAAAAAAGGCAGTGGTTCGGATGACGGTGATGATCGTGGAGAAATGACAATGTTCAACATTGTTTTTGTTGTTAGCTTGCCTAGGCATGAACAAGATGAGAGAATTGAGGAACTCTATGAGCATGTTATCAAGACTTTCAACAAGGCTCTCAATCATGCTCAAGCTCAGGGTAATTATGTTTGGAAGGAATCTGAGACTATTCTAGGCATGAAGGAGAGAGCCCGTGAAGATAGTAAGTACGCCTTAAACATGAATCAACCACATGATCTAATTTGTTGACTAGAACGACCAATGAGTCAACTATGGAGCCAAATCTTGATCAAATCTACATTGGCAGATGCGATGCGCGACGTTTACGATGCTGTTGTCAACAATACCATCACCACCGTCTGCCTCGACACAAAACCTCCCATTGATCTCTCTCTACATATCCCAATTCCAACATTTTTGATGAGCTTCCCGAATCCTAATGAAAGAGCTAAACCTGGTGTATTACTTTCCAGCGCCAACCCTCTTGTCGATGAGGAAGGTAATCCAGATCCCACGCAGCTAGATAAGCACTTTGCTCTTCTACTTCTTGAGGATGAGGTAGATGTCATTGCAGAAATAACATCTGAAGATACCGAGCTTTCTGCTCCTTTGATTCAATTCATTAAGTGGGCCAAACCTACTTTGTCTTTCCAACAAGTCGCTCAAGCCAACAATGTTGGTCTCGATGAAGTCATCACTCTTGCACAACATTTGATTTACTGGCGCAAAGCAATCGCTATTCCTCCTATTCACGCTCGGGACATGTTTATTGTTTCACCTAATTGTGACATGCATAAGTTAGTTCCAGCAAGTCAACAGTGGAAAAAAGCATTTCCTTTTGCTCCCTCTTTACAAAGCTTCCTTGCACAAATCTCTTATGCTCCACGCGCCTACAAGGCTTTCGTCCCGTCCAAAAGTCATCGTGAGAAATATATGGAAATGCTTGCATGGCTTATTCGTGGAGGCTGGGTTACTCATCTGCGAACTTTCTGTTGGATCTGGGTCTGGCCTGAGATCATTTACGAGGTCGACTATCAATTGAAAGCAGAAGCTATCGAAAAAATAAAGAACCCACCTCTTCAAACAGCACCTGGATCCCCAGAAGAAGCAAATGATGTTGAGAATGGGACACTGGCTCTCGATCCAACAGCTCCACTCACCACCGAACAAGCAGCGGAAGCTGCACGCCTTGAGAGACTCGCTGCTAAGACAGTAGCAGAAGCTAAGGCAGCCGAAGATGAATTTGAAAAGATGCCCGTTCCAGATGCTACCGAACATCCTTCTATGAACCATGCAGAACACTTGAAGAACATGTCCTCCTATATCATCGTCGATCCTCACAAAGCTAGTCACGTCGAGACGATGTACATCGCAGCCATCGGCAAGCGTTGGACTGATCCTAAGGCAAAAGCATTGTGGCCAAAGTTCGTAAAGTATTTCAATGGAACAACCGCTTTGGAGGATATTTGGGCCAAGGAAGGAATGAAGCGTAAAGAGACATGGAATATTTTATTGACTTATCAGGAGCAGCTTCTAGTGATGAAGCATTGGTAGATGTTTCTGATTTGTATTTTCATTTCTCATTTTCTGTAATGATCTTTTGTGGAAATTAAGAGATGGGCGTTATGATGATGATTTACGGTGATATTAAGGATTATACGGCGTGATATGGATCAGGAAAGGATGCGATGATACCATGGCTTTAGTGGATTTTTCATGATGTGATACCCTTCCACATGATTTTGCCTGAGAATTAATCAAGCTATTTACTTTCGTCTGACCTTATGTGTTAGCTATTCACTGAATCATATGGTAAGATTACAAATATGTGCAGTAAAAACGAAAAGCTATATACACACTGTGAAAGCAAATACTAAAATTTGGCCATCACCCGTCCAAATGGATGCTGCGGAGGGGATGAAAGCAATATTGGCCCGAATTATGGCAATAACTGATACATTCAGCTGCTAAGACAAAACGAGCGGACATCCAAGGAAGCAAGTTGATTTAAGATCTGAAATATCACATCAATTAGAAGGGCGAACAGTATTTCTTACGATCATTTGAGGCAAAACCTACAATACTCAATATAAAGCAAAGTAAATTTTTTATCGCTATTACAGTTTCCAAAAGCCTACCAACTAGATCACCGGTAAAGATGATCGAAAAAATCAAACACAAAAGTAGAGAAAATTGCAAAGCAGAAAACTTTCCAAGCATGGTTTAGTGGGATCGAACTTACTAATAGTAATATATGCGTGAGGTGGCAAATTTGCAATTACACAACTGCAAGAAATTTTTATCAAGTAGTAGGATTACTATAAATAGGAAAAAATAGATATATGTAAGTACATCCCCTGATACATCTCTTGCGGATCTTACTTATTGTTAGATTTTATTAGCTCTGGTCCTCGCAACATGGGGGTTTGTTCCATCAACGAAATATATGCTGAGATGGGGTATTAGGCGCGCTGAATGCTGGAGAATTATCCATTTGATATGGGGATGAATTGGTGTTTAGATCTCGAATTTTGTGAGCCTTACTCGTGTATTATATGGTAAGGTATGTAGGATGTCTTGTATGAAACACATTTCGATGGATTTAAGAGTCCGTACAGTTTTAGAGTTTCTGGTTGGTAGTATGACTGGAGTCTTCAAAACATGTTGCAAGCCTGCAAGGGAGGGCTGATATAGTATTAGTATTATATATGATGTGGGTGGATGGATGAATTAACCGGCAAAGTATGTTGATATCTAGCTAATCAGCCTTGTATCAATATCGCGACGCTAGGAAGTCAATTGTGAAAAGGCTGCATGAGTGGAAATGAACATTAGGTCCCAAAAATTTGCTTACCATGAGAATTTCTTGAAAAGATATCGAAGCTCGGGGAAATAAGCTTATTGGATTAGAAATTTGGAAGAATGCATTGAAGGCTGTAGCTTAAATCATAACCGGTGAGTTTATAATTATCCTTAACACTATCTATTATCTTAATGACGAGTATAATAGCTCAGCTTGATGACAAGTTCATACTATTAGCTTGGTTAACCTGTAATATATCTACCCAATATAGGACATTTGGGCATTTAGGGGAAGTGGAGAGGGGACCATGGGAGGCGGAGAAGGAAAAGAAAAGGTGAATTTGAATCCAATGCACATTTTCGTGTTTGAATAGCTCTAGGAAAATTCCTGGTTAGTATAGGTTAAATATTGAAATTCAACAAGAGAAATCTCGGAAAACTCCCAGCAAAGGCTTGTGAAAATTATCGATGCGCAAAAGAAGAAGGTAGCAGGTCCCATAACGCTAGTACGGTTTATTCTAGAGGCATTGCTCTTCGCTGATGTACGAAGGAAAATTAAATTATGGTGAGCATAGTGGAGAATGGACAGTGGAAGAGCGCTGCATTGCTGTTACCAATTTACTTTCCACATATATCATATCGTCTAATTTGATTGTCGAGTCTAGACAAAATTGAAACATGAGAATTCTTAAATCCTTCTAATCTATTTATGTGCCAAGTATGAAACCTTGGAGTCAAAGTCAAATGCAGTCGAGTCTCTCACCCTTAATAAGGCGGAACACCATGGAACTATTATATCTATAAAGATCTTCTCTTTCTAGCAAGAGGGGTGTTTTATATCTCTTTATTTGCCCCCTTGTTTCTTCTGATGTGTTGGTTGCTGTAAGTATATACTCACCTGACTCTAATACCCGGTAGAAGGAACTGGAGATATGTATGGCAGGTCACGGTGAATAGTGGTGAGATCTAAATGGGTGGAACAAGAGATCTTGGTATAAAATGAACAAGTTTCATATTACGGTTCTTCACTCCAAACAGTTCACAGATCTTTCAGCGGAAGCATGACAGGCACCAAACTATGTTTTGGAGAATATCACTTACAATAAATGAGCTGCTGGCGATGATGTATGTTGCGTGTTAGTCCCCTGACTAGAATCTGGCCAAGTTACTGCTGAATGATTTGCTGCTTCTCTATGTAGTTATCATTACATCATCTTATTTATCGTTGTTGATGTTATATTCATTTCATTTTTTTTTATTTTTCTAATATATACATCCATTTCACCCCATAAACAGCATTCAACAAAAATCCTTGCTGACATCTGGGGGTTTTAAGTCTTTGGATTTTACCCCCTGGCAAGATGATTCTTGGTTTGCAGACCAGAGACTGTCCATACGCTTCATACCGAAAGCCATTTGGGTATTGAGAGGAGAGTATTTATACAAAATTTCCCGACTTCTCGGGTGTGTGGATTTGTCTAAAGGGGGGCTATCAATGGAGATCTGTGGTATCGATGGTGAGTTAAAGAGCAGTAAATTCACTATGTGATAATGTTGTTTTATGGATTCCTAGTTCAGAAGACATGGTAGATATATAGAACCGAAAATAAACACAGCAGTTTCAACCATACAAATGATACCATAGCCATCCATTGCACGAATATAGGTGGATCACAATGCTAGCATATTAGTGATACTCATCCGTACTCTAGAAGATATTAAAACCTTCAGTTTCTGGGAGTCTTAGGATACTTCGTCGTGTTCATAAAGGCCCTTCGCGTTGTCAACCTGATTTCTCAGAACTTTTGCTGCCAGTGGGTTTAGGCGCTTCTATTACTCTCATTTTATCATTGTTTAGAGTATTTAGTGAACATTAGACTCATTTTCAACCTCATGGGCTACGGGATCTTTTCATGCTACGTAAAGGAAGTAGGTAGGGCTATGGTATTCATAAATTGCCTTACCGATTCCAGAGCTACTACTCTGCCCAGATGAATCTTGTTTCCAAAGTATACGCTCATGGATATCTTTATATACCAAGAAAATTTAACTCAGATTCCCACAAGCCATCGTGCATGCATCTTAATTCGATATTCAGCTGAGGTTATATAAGTGTATATATCAACTCACTAAAGTAGAATAGCTACTCCAGTATACCCCCGCCGATGTAAGATTTTAAGATTTTAGTATTTCCTCAATATATAAAGGAAGACCTTTTCAAAGTATCAGTAATCATGAATAGTAGAAATAACCATGCCTTCTCTTAGGGGAAAGAGCCCTGAGGATTCAGCCATGATTTGTGTTATCTGTTCAGGAGGTGCAGTCATCGTCATATGACCAAAGATAATATTGTAACTTGGAATTTCTTTGACCCTTATATTGCATATTAACACTACGACGAATCTACCTTTTCCATCGTTCGGATGTCTTTTATTTATTTCGGCGAAGCAAAATGTCGTCGTTTATGTCCTTTTGTAATCATTATTGCCCGTGTCATTACAACTAATGATATTTACCCTTATTTAAATCGACAGTTGGAATTCTGTCAAATTAACGCTTTCTTGCTGGGGTTCTCAGTAGTAAACTGTTTTGCTCCGTCTCCAGACATAAATACCGCGGTTTGATACTAGAAATGGGGGCTTTATATAAAGCAGAGATAATAAAACATAATAAAGAATATAATATTATTATTCTCTGTTTTATTTTGTGAAAAAGCTTAATCTTATCTTAGAGCCAATGAACGCATTTAGATCTTTTTGAAGTTATTTTATATTTACTATATGTAAATCTCCGATCTGATTAAAAATCTAATATAGAGAATGAAATAATAATTAATTTTCAAAACAATAATCAATATATAAGGATTAGCTATTATTTGTTAATAAATTTTCAAATTTTGAATCAAAATTATCTTATTGTTGATTTATTATTAAATTTTGAACTTATGGTTGGAAAATGAAAGGTGTGTGGTGAGTGATGGCCGTAACAACTTGGCATAAAAGCTAGACGGGAGGGAAACAGTGAAATACATGGGAATTACCAATATTGCACCCGAAAAATATAAGGGTGTAAGATTGCCTAGAAGACTCATAAATAGCTAGATACAATATGAATTCTATAATCGATACGCCTGGTATATTAATACACAAAACATTACAGTCGCGCCATCTCCTTAGGCATACACTCGAATCCTCGCATAGCGTGACAGAAAAATTCCCTGTTTTTGATTCTTCAGAAGTATATCAAAACAAGACGCAACGAGATATATTGATACATCAATGATCAAAATACAAATGCACTGCTGGATAGCTCCTGAGAATATGTGAACGTAAGATATCTCAGAAGGATATCAAGAATAAAATCAGTTCTTGCCAAATATCAACACATATGGTAGAGTGCTAATTATTCCACATCATCTCCCATTTCCACGTCCACAGCACCATGTCTCTCATTTATAGACCTGCAATTACCAATCTCGAAGTTCTTTTCGATGAAATCTCATGTTTTAGTCACTTTCAAAGTGACAAATTAACACAGTCTTTTATACTATTACAGAGAAATTAAACACTATACATCATCCACTCACTATTCATACTTAAGAAACTTTAACTATATGCGCAATACGAGATGCCATAGAAGCTATATAAACAGTACAATATCCTAAGTCTTACCATTTTTCAGAATCACATTCCTTCAGACTCGGTGCGCTGGTTGTTCATGGTGCGTTGAATACATACATACCCATAGATTATATCACCCTTTTCCAAACATGAAAGGTAAGGATTAAGGTACCTAATAGGTAGCTTACTGGGAAGGGTTGATTACAGCTGATGCGTTGATAGTACTATTATCCATTACTGCTGTTGATATAAGTCTCTTGTACTACAAGAATAATAATCGTTTGATCGACAACTATTATTCATTATCAAATTTCCATTCTCGCTAAAGAAAGGGAGATTGATTTTGGCATTGAAGCCTCCTTTTCTGGATGGAAGATTAAATGTGTGGTTTTGAGGTGATGATATAGGACCGTCAGGACATTAAAAACACATTTCTGTCCGCTTGGATGTCAAAAGTAGGAAGGACGTGAGAGGTTATAAGGTGGTAGGACTTGGAACATTAAGAATTGTGGAACCCTTCCCATGTTCTCTGCAATTAGTATGAATTAATGCGCACAAATGAACAAATCGCCGAGCCACTGCTAAACTCCTGGTCTCTCCCAATAAGCCACCGAAAAACGTACATGTGAGGGTATTTCCAATTCCATCTATCCTCTTCCTTTACTCCAGCCTTTTGACCAACCTTACAATCCGCTTGCCGAGCCACCACGACTTCTTCTTCTACTTAGTCGTCCTATTCTTCCAGCACCACCTTCACTGAAACTTGTACCCAAACCAGAGTCACTTCTTCTACCAGCTTGCCAACTCCCTTCCGCCTCTTCATCCTCGTCATCCGCATCCCCTGCGAGCGGCAAGATAACCGTCTCTTCCAATATCTTATCCTCTCCATCATCTTCATTTTTGATGCCCACAGGTGGATATACTAAGGGTGTATGACTCCTCACAGTCGGGAACGTTCTTGGAGTGTCCGAAATGTCCGGCTCATCCTCCGTCGCCTCTTGCTTAACTGTAGCTTCACTCTTTTCGATTTCTTTTCCCTTGACCACTCCTTCCTCTTTCCTCCCTCCAAAACACAACTTCAAGATTGCCCAACCAAAAATACAGCCCAACATCTCTGCTGCCCAAAAAGCGCCCACCCCGATAATTGCACTACTGATCCTCCAATTCCACATCCACCATCTCAAGCCACTCAGTTTCGCCCTCATAAGTATTCTGCATCCATATATTTGTACTTCTTCCGAGTCTTTCTCAATGACAATTTCTATGGCACTAGGCACATTCTTATTTCCTCTCGGAAATCTGACGCCTTCCGCCATCTCCACCATAATTTTCTCATCTTCTCTTTTCCAACCAAGCACATAAAGAGGTGCATTTACCACCTTTCCCAATCCAGATATCAACTCACTTTCATACGTCAAAATTGTAGGCCGTCGAGACGAGAAGAGAACATCTTCATTTTTAGTAATTCTTGATAAAGGTAGTAGATGTTCCACTACTGGTATTGAGCCGGAGGTTTTATAATTAGGCCCTAGAAAATTCACATGGACCATAAAATTTCCGGCTTTCAGATTTGCTGGAGAACGGGGCATATGTAGTTCTAGCTGGATATCATATTCTTGTTGTGTTACGACGGAATTGTGGAGGGGAACTATGCCATGAGGATGCTGACCGGGTCTGCGTTTGTGGACTTGTTAGCACATCCATTTTCAATCCCTTCTCTCCTCCCAAGGAAAAACCAACGCGTCGCAGCCCTAATACCCATGGAAACCCTTAAATATGATGATACGCACGCAAACTGCAACCAAACCCTCCTCTCCACCCCCAACGCCGGCACCCAGCTCCAATAAAACCCCGCATAAGCTACCACCGCAAATCCAAACAGTACAAGCGACGTCGACAAGAATAATATAGTATTTAAATATGTTTTTCGCGCGGGCTTTGATGTCGCGATCGCAATTGGCTTGCGGATTATGGTGTCCTAATCGCAGATATTTGGTTAGCTGTCTGAGAATGGGGAGGAATGTGTGAAGTATTCAGGGCGGAAACTGGTGTGCGGTGACGGGATTTAAAGAAGTAATTACCATCGTGATGTGCGAGCCTATTATTGTATTACATTGTTTTGTGAAGAGAATTAATATGAGAGTATGAAAGTCTTTGGAGGTGATGTGCGCATTGAATGCGCGTTCCGTTGTGAGGTTGTGGTTGATAATGTTTATTTGAGAATGCTAGGGTGACGAAATGACGTCGGCTCTTGGTGATCCATGCAATTTCTCTGCTTGACTCCCGGTGAGCTTGGATTCCCTTGATTGCACCGCGGAATTCTAATATGAATTATTTTAAACTCATATGATCGACCCATGATACTATCAAAAACTGGACAACCTGCAGGGTCAGTGAGGATTTACAAAATTAGGTTTTTATCTACAAAACTATTAGAGACCATAACATGGGATGGCCTCTTTCTCTGCATAAACCCTCATCCTGTCGCAAACAAGTAGCTCACAATCCCCAAATCCCCGCCATATAATAAATACAACACCACCCACAATGGCTTCTCAAAGCGACATGCAGGACCTTCTTCGGCTCTTCACAACCGGTCGTAACAAAGTCCCCATACTCACAGCAATGCAACGCGTCAAAGCCCTTCAAACTGCGTCTATACTTCCATCTATCTCAGCCGTCGCATCGACACCTCTTGATACTCTCCAATCCGCACTTTCTATTGACGAGAAAGCTGCGAAATCTCTAATTACTGCTTGTAAGAATGCGTCTAAAACAGCAGGCAAACGGTCCGCCGGCGAGATTGATACTACCAGTAAACAAGAAGTCAAACGTGTTAAAACATTCGAGTCGGCGTATTCTTTACCAGTTGAGCAAACAGAGGAGGAATTAGAAAAGAGCTTGGAGTTACCAGAGAGTGTGAGAGATGAAGAAAGGATTAAAAAGACCAAGATTTTTACAAATAGAGCACCACTGGTATTGGTATGGGCATTGCAGCTATTGAAGTATACGCTGCCGGGACAAAAGTTAAGTGGGAGATTGAGTTTAGCGCAGGCGTTGGTTAGTGCGAATAGTAAGAGTAAGGCGGAGAGCTTGGGATTGAAGGGTAAGGGGAAGGATGAGGATGAAGGCAAAGGATGGCCAAGGTTAAAGATTATGGGGAGGGAGATTGGTGTTTTGAAGAGAGGGGGATATGGCAGTGGGTCAGATGAAGGCAAAGCGGAGAGTGAAGTAAAGATGGAAGAAGAGAAATTTGCGATCGGGAAAGATTTGATTAATGAATGGGCTGTCTCCACCCCGATAGTATCCAAAGGCTCAAAGTTCATTGCCCGCTCAATATCAGTATCCTCACCCAGTCAAGCTCTTACCTATCTCCAAATTCTCCTCAAGGATCCAAGCATTTCGGACGCAAGCCATAACGTCACAGCTTTCCGCATCCAAGGTGATCATGGAATGATCGAAGATTGTAAGGACGATGGTGAATCAGGCGGTGGCACGCATATACTGGGGATACTTCAAAATAACAACATGGTTGATGTTTTGCTTGTTGTCTCCAGATGGTATGGAGGCGTCATGTTAGGGCCTGACCGTTGGCGAATCATGACACAAGTGTGTAACGATGCATTATCACAACGCTTGAGAGTAGCGGGGAAAATAGGAGGAGAACAATTATGGGGGTTAGATATTGAAGCGATGAATTCTTCAAATGTTGGAAGTAGTATGCCCATTCATAGACCGGAGGGTGCGAGGAGATATGTTTTCAATGCTTTTGCTCCACCTCCTGATGATGAAATTGGGGAGAAGGACAGGAGCAAAAGGAAGAAAAGTGCGAAAGCGATAGCTGAAGAGAAAGAGGGAAATCTAGGATTGCTGATGGGAGCACTAGATTTATTGTTTGAGAGTTGGGTTGACCATATAGGGAGGGACGAGTTAGATAGAAGGGCTTGGGGATGGTATGTGCAGATTAGACCGGAAGTAGAGAGTGGAGTCGCGGGGTGGGGCGGAAAAGGAGTGGTGAAGTTGAGTGAGATATTGGCTTTAAGGAGAAGGACGTGAATTAGGTAAGCTGGTGAGTTAATCTATTCTGTTTTGATTAATTCTCGTACGAAATCGTATCAATGATAATGTGAATAAAACTTATTGACATCAATGCTTTGTTTGTTGGACATATTGCACTCCTTTCAGATGCTGCTGTGGATGACATTACATTTACAAATGCAATGACCTCTCCCCATCTCCACTAACCTCTTCAACGATCTGTTTGAATATACAGAGATCCCCATCTATGGATAACCGGTCCACTGGGTCTTGGAAAAATCGTACAATAAGAGCCCCCTCGATACAGTGCTGCATTACAAAGGCACAACGAAGGCTCATTGTATCCACGGGCATAAACATGACCGTTGTAGATACTTCAATATCTTCGCATATACCAGGGAGTTGTGTGTGTCACGGTTATATCCATGTTTTCAATTGCAAGGTTTTCCGTCAATTATTAAGTACAAAACAAGGGAACTTTATGCCGCTCCAATGTTTCTCAATGAATGGGATAATCACTAATATCATTTGTATTGAAGGGAAAGGATAGATCAATAAATAATTTTATATCAATACATACCTAGTTCAGCGAACACACGAAACATAGTTTCACAAAGAAGCATACAATATTCTTATACACTTTTCCTATCTCTACCTCTTCCCCTATATTTCCCCGCTCACAAAATCCTCTCCGATCTCCATCTAATCATTCTCACTTTCGTACTAATCAACTTCATCCAATAACAATAAATATAACCATCTTAACCAATGATTCCTCTATATTCCATATCCTCAATTATGTTACGAGGTTTGCCGTCTAGATCACGTGGAAGTGCTCTAGGCTCTCGAGGTGGTTTATAACCAGGCGTCAAGCAGGGACTTAAGTAATGACAATGATGTAATTCGTAACTAATAGTAGAGTATACTAAATGATTGATCTTGAGCACGAAGCTCTTTACAAATGAAATCCATCTTGATTATATAGACCTTCGTGCCTCCGTAAAAACCGATAGCTATAAGAACGACAATTCGATCACCGCAAAGCCGATCTCGATTTGTCGGTTTCTTGATCATGTGATCAAGAACGTGACCTATGTTACTGTCCGACGTAACATAGATGGGGATAGCTACTCTATATATACACAAATGAATGGCCTAGCCGCAATGGCTAGGCAAAAAGAAGTCATATTTATCCCTCCAATGATCTTACTTTACCGATAACCATTGGTACCTAGCACTTGTCCGGATCTGATCCTCAGACCACCTAAATCGTATACTAATCCCGAGTAATCGTATCATGTGTGGACATGGTTAATGTACCTGAGGTTTCTTATATAATAAGGGTGGGAGGAAAGCAGGGGTTTCCGTCACATATATAATTAGAATAGTTTCATAGTATAGGAGCTTCGTGCTCAACTTAGTTATCAATTAGTTTACCTACATTCTACTTGATCTAGTAACGACTTCACTTCCAAGTGAATACCAGTGATAAAGCCTTAACCCATAACTACCAACCGACGAACCTTAGGCAGCCGCTGCCTCCAGTACAGTATCGTTACAATTTCTACCAGTAGATTTCTAACAATATAAAATCTTAATGTAGCTTAAGTCTGTTTAAGAAAACTTTACTACTAGATTTCTATTAGTAGATTTCAACTCATTTAATCTAACAAATACTCTAATATAATAGAAAATTCGAAATGAATCTAATACTCGATATACATGTTGGTATCGATCATACGGGTATATTCTGGAGTAGAATATGCGATCGTGGAACAACGATTTTCCCATACTAATCCGAGATAATGCAATCATGTGTTCTGATTGTTTATAGGTTTCCGTCAAACTGGGGCTCGATAGAAATCTTCCAGTAGATATTTACTAACGTGGTTTATCAGTGGGTCGGACACTTTTTCCTCGATTTATCACTTTAAAACCATATTATTCAATAACAATTGGATGAATCGATTCAAACTATTAAGAATCTAATAAACTAGCATCTATTGCATTATTTTGACAGGTTCTTGAATTATGACCAGTCTTTCCACACTTACTACAGCATCGACTAGTAGATGATTCCCTATTAGAATTTCCCCCATTTTGACGCTCGTCGCATTGAATCTGATTATCAACCTCTTATTGCGATAATATATCTTCAGCTTCTTGTCCATTAAGTACTCCTCCATTACGTAGTTGAATTTTTTTTAGTGTGTCGACGTTTACTTAATGCTTCATTTGCTCTTCGAAGCATATGATTCTCAGCACTCAAAAGTGTAACTTCATATGCTAGTCTCTCTATACCTTTAGCTAAAGCTTGCACAGTCTCAAATATAGGTGTAGGAAAGCTTGATTGATGACAAGCCATTCGAGCTTTTACTAGAGTTGATTGTAAAAGAGCCTCAGTTGGATTGTGAAGGGTTTGAGAGATCCAGGAGTTGGTAAGTTCCAAGGAGGTAGATGGAGGGGTAGAAGTACGAATCCTAATATCTAGTTTTGAGGGTATAGATTGAGGATCAAATGGTATTAGACCTGCTCCTCGAAAACCAGCTTTTATATTCTGAATAGTAATCGATTGTTAATATATAGCTTTGAAAGCTATAAAGAATTCAACCTTAGAGATATGATTGATATGAGCCTTGATAAATCCTTCAATTTGACAACTATATGAACGTTTGAGTATGCTAAAACATCCAATATCAAGTGGTTGAGTTAAGTGATTTGAATGCGATGGTAACCTTATGCATATAATGTCGTTTGACTTACAATATGACTGGAAAGGTCTTCTCATCCTGTCAATTTAATAGCTACAAAGCTGGCTACAGAAAAGGAAAATCAAGATGTAGTTGCAACCCCTCAAAGAAAGCAATTAAAACCTACTCAACTCGAAAAGATCAAAAATTCAATTCAGAAAGACTTCGATCCTCTCACTTTAGAGGGAATCCATCATTTCTACTTTCCTCCTTGGAAGAAAGAAGTTCCATATAAAGTCAATATCAGCAAATTAGGAAAAGAAGAAGCTGCGATGATCCACAATCTGGCTTTCAAATATAGGTGCAAAAATACCATTACAATATACACCGATGCCTCATCCACTTTAGAGGGAATAGGGGTTGGGATCGGGATAGTAGTCATCTTACCAAATGGCCGAATTTCACATCAAGAGATTATCAATATAGGCGTGAATCAGCTTGTCTATAATGGCGAGCTCCTAGGAGTTACTAAAGCGATCGAATACGCAAATTCAATAGCCCAACCAGGAAACAAGTTCAAGATATACTCAGATAATCAAGCAGGATTATTCCGGTTGAAAACCCCCTCCGATTTACCTGGTCAATCATGCCAAATCAAAGCTATAAAAGCTGCGGAAGCTATTCAAAATAAAGGAGCCGAAATCTCTCTCAATTGGGTCCCCGGACATACATCTGTACAAGGAAACGAGCTAGCTGATTCTCTTGCAAAAGAGGCGACCAAAATACCATCCCCATCTCACGAAACCAGTTATGCCTCCATTGGAATGGATATAAAAAGAATGAAATCAGAGAACTGGATAGCCATCCTTAACACTAATAATTTTCATCAACCATCGTCAACATATTCAAGAAACTACCCCTGGAAGATCAGCTCAAAAATCAGAGTTCCAGGAAACATCAAAAGAAGCACAATCTGTGCTCTGTTCCAACTCAAAATTGGACACGGATACTTCAAATCTTATTTGAAACGATTCGGAATCTCCTCTAATGACAGTTGTAGATGTGGGGGAAAGGAATCTCCTGATCATCTTCTACTCAATTGTCCTATATATAAAACGGCAAGGAAAATCCTCAATAAGGATAACTGTGTGAACGAAGTGAATGACTTCAATTTAATTACTACTGTAATAAAGAACTAAGCGAACGCGAAAGAGACTAGCTCTTTTAGTAAGTCTATATAAGACTTACTACTTTCAATATGTAGCTAGCTCTTTAGACAGAATACAATTAGACATACAGGACCTACGTAATCCGTGGGTGCTACGTCTTCCGTATCCTTCTCGTACCAACAATAACCCCATAGTCCGACCTACCATGAAATATCTGCTTCATACTAAAGCAGGAATCATCAAGACCCTCGAATTTATCGAGGCGACGAGAATAGCCACCAGATCATGGCATCTCAATAGAATGCATGAAGAAGAAGAGGAAGAAGGCGGAGAAGAAGGGGGTCGACCGGAAGATTGTGATTGAATTGATCAATTATGGCCAATTTGGTCAATTTAGTCAATTTGGTCAATTTGGTCAATTTGGTCAACTTGGTCAACTTGGTCAATTTGGTCAATTTGGGCAATCACCCCAATGTCAAATTTCATTACATTTCATTTGTTATTCCTCTTATTTAAATACGAGAGTATCTGTAAGGCGGGCTTGGTTCCCTAGTATTAGTTTTCACTTCCCCCATTCAAAAATTAGAAGATTGAGGCTTTCAATCTCCCCAACCTGTATTAGCTACGGTCGAATAAGGCCAACCACCCTCCATTTACTATTGTTAGAAGCCTACAAAGCTCCTAGCCGTCTTAGATAGTCATAGACTCAGTGTAGACGTTAATTTAATCAATCAATCAATCAATCAGTGCTACCGAACGGTCACTTGTACACAAATTAGCCTCTCAGCCAGCTAATACCATTGCGGCTTACAGCCGTGCTAAAAAAAATATGGAGAGTATCTTTTCCCTAGCCATGTTTTAGATCATCGTAATAATACATATGATGGCGAGAAAGTCGGCAATACAGCTAGAAAGACAATGTAACGTCGGAGCATTCTCGCCGTGAGTCAGCTTGACCTGCATAACCCCACATTCCAAAAGGTAATAACCTTCGACACCTCACAATAGTTGTGTTGTCACACAAATTTCTCGGGATAATCTATAATCAAGGGCAACTTCAAGATATCAGCGCTATATTGATTTCTGCTGTGTACTTCATTATTATCTACTGGTCTCTCAACTTTGCATACTCCAAATCCTAAAATGCGCTTGCTAGAGTGCGATAATGCTGACGGATATCGGCTCACCAAAGCACTATTAGATAACAATATTCCTCCTTATGCAATTCTCTCACATACATGGGGAAGTGACGAACAGGAAGTCAATTTCGAAGATATAAACTCAGGTAATGGCAAAGCAAAAACCGGTTATGAGAAGCTCCAGTTTTGCGGAAAACAGGCTGCCTGTGACAACATCAATTATTTCTGGGTGGATACTTGTTGCATTAAAAAGACGAGCGACCCTGAGTTGAGCGAATCTTTGAACTCTATGTTCCGCTGGTATAGGAAGGCTAGAAAATGCTATGTCTATTTATCAGATGTAGAGGTCGTTCAAAATGGTGTAGAGCAACCACAAAGCGTGTGGGAAGGGCGTTTTCGGGCCAGCCAATGGTTTACAAGAGGATGGACGCTCCAAGAACTCCTGGCTCCAATATCAATCGAGTTCTTTTCACGGGATTGTTGTAGGCTTGGTGATAGGGAATCTCTGAAGTTGATTATACATGAGATCACAGGAATTGCTATTGAAGCGCTCCAAGGAGTTCCTTTATCGAAGTTTAGTGTTATTGATAGAATGAAATGGGCGGAAAACCGAATTTCGACGAGAGAAGAAGACGCAGCATATAGCTTGCTTGGTATCTTTGGAGTATCCATGTCAGTTATCTATGGCGAGGGAAAGGATAAAGCATTCAGGAGGCTCAACAGGGAGATCGAGAGTAATCCCGATAATCCTCCCTCTCCAGACAAGCGCTGCCTAACTGATCTGTTCACTACCGATCCACGAAAGGACAAGCAACGTATCGAGGAACTGAAAGGAGGACTGCTCCTTAAGGTATACGAATGGGTCTTCAAAAATGCAGAATACCAACAATGGTACAACGACCAAAGCAACCGCTTGCTATGGGTGAGAGGAGATCCTGGTAAGGGCAAGACTATGTTGTTATGTGGTATCATAGACGAAATACGGACATCAAATAATTACACCTTAGCCTATTTCTTTTGCCAAAGCAACGTCGATACTATTAATAGTGCTATCTCCGTCCTACGTGGCCTTATTTATATGCTTTTATATGAACAGCCTTCACTCATTCGGCATTTACAAAAGGAATATGAGGTTCCAGGGAAGCAGTTATTTGAAGGTATTAATGCGTGGGTGGCGCTCTCTAATATTCTGAAGAACATCTTGCATGATGAGAGTTTGAAGCCAATAATCTTGATTATTGATGCACTTGACGAATGCGAAAAGGACATGGTCAAATTACTTCGTCTGATTGTTTCCAGTCTAATTGAGTTTCCTCGCGTTAAGTGGCTTGTCTCTAGTCGTAACTGGTCTGAAATTGAAGAGGCACTAGGGCCGATTGAGGAGAGAACGTCGCTCAATCTCGAATTAAATACCCACACAGTATCTATTGCTATCGATTGGTATGTAAGAGATAGAGTGGAAAAGCTTGCAAGGATAAAAAAAAGTATTAAAAAAAATAGAACGACGGTTGAATCGTATCTCCTGGAGAATACGAACGGAACCTTCCTTTGGGTGGCTTTGGTCTGCCAAAATCTTCAAGAACTTCGATTCTTCACGAATTCAATCTTACAAGATTATTACCCTCCAGAATTGAATCCCTTATACGAACGTATGCTACAGCAAATTCTAGATATAAAAGAGCATGGAGTAACTGAGCTCTGCCTTCAGCTCATGGCTATTGTAGTAGTAGCCTTTCGACCTATTACGCTCTGCGAGTTGGCACGTCTGATCGGATCGGAGATTCATTTGGAAGAAATCATTCAACTTTGTGGCTCCTTTCTGGTCGTTCGTAATCAGAGTATCTTCTTCGTTCATAAGTCGGCAAAGGATTTCCTATCAGAAAAGGCTGCTGAGATAATATTTCCAAATGGGATCGGCAAGGTAAATGAGAAGATATTTCTAAATTCGATAATAGAAATGAGCAATATATTGAAAGAGAACATATACAACTTGCGTCATCCAGGCTTCCCTATTAACAAAGTCAAGCAACCCGATCCTGACCCACTAGCGTATATAAGATATTCATGTACCTACTGGGTTAATCATTTTATAGATGGAAATCCCCCAAAAACAGAAAACCATGTTCAAAATAATGGCAAAGTCTATAATTTCCTAACAGAGCATTTGCTGCATTGGTTGGAGGCCATGAGCTTGATGGAAAACATTTCTGGGTGCATTGTTGCAATAAGTTCTTTAGAAAATTATATCTCGGTAAGTCAAAACAGCTTCAAATAGCTTCAAATAACTTCAACTGATAAATGTGAAGGTTGAGAAAGCTCCTGAACTTTCCGCTTATATTCATGATGCCAAGCGCTTCGTCCTTTATAACCGAGTAGGAATTGAACAAGCTCCTCTTCAAATCTATTGCTCAGCCCTTTTCTTTGCTCCAGAGAATAGTATTATTCGAAAAACATTTCAAAAATGTATCCCGAGTTGGATTTATAAAATATCAAGGACACGATCAAGTTGGAGTGCCGCCCTCCAAACGCTCGAAGGTCATTCGAGTTGGGTTTACTCAGTTGCCTTCTCACCAGATGGTACAAAGATAGCTTCAGGCTCACGCGATCGAACGATCCGGCTTTGGGATACGATCACGGGCGAATTGCTTCAAAGGTTCAAGGGTCATTCGGATTCGGTTAACTCAGTTGCCTTCTCACCAGATGGCACAAAGATAGCTTCAGGCTCACGCGATCGAACAATCCGGCTTTGGGATACAGTGACAGGCGAACCGCTTCAAAGGTTCGAGGGTCATTCGAATTGGGTTAGGTCAGTTGCCTTCTCACCAGATGGCACAAAGATAGCTTCCGGCTCTGACGATGAAACAATCCGGCTCTGGAATACGACAACAGGCAAATCGCTTCAAAGGTTCAAAGGTCATTCGGATTGGGTTAGGTCAGTTGCCTTCTCACCAGATGGCACAAAGATAGCTTCAGGCTCACGCGATCGAACGATCCGGCTTTGGGATACGATCACAGGCAAATCGCTTCAAACATTCAGGGGTCATTCGGATTGTGTTAACTCAGTTGCCTTCTCACCAGATGGCGCAAAGATAGCTTCCGGCTCTGAAGATAAAACGATCCGGCTCTGGGATACAACCACGGGCAAACGGACGATCCGGCTCTGGAATACGACCACGGGCAAATCGCTTCAAACGCTCGAAGGTCATTCAAATTCGGTTAATTCAGTTGCCTTCTCACCAGATGGTACAAAGATAGCTTCAGGCTCAGACGATAAAACGATCCGGCTCTGGAATACGACAACGTGCAAATCGCTTCAAACGCTCGAAAGGTCATTCGGATTGGGTTAGTTCAGTTGCCTTCTCACCAGATAGTACAAAGATAGCTTCAGGCTCAGACGACGATACAATCCGGCTCTGGGATACGATCACGGGCGAATTGCTTCAAACGCTCGAGGGTTATTCGGATTGGATTAGTTCAATTGCCTTCTCACCAGATGGCACAAAAGTAGCTTCAGGCTCAGGCGATCAGATGATCCGGCTCTGGGATACGATCACAGGCGAATCGCTTCAAACGCTCGAGTATCATTCGAGTTTAAAGGCATCCTCAGCCTTTGAACGGTACTTTATGTCAAACCATTGGATAGCTGAAAGATTAGATGAAGAAGTGCGAAATATTCTTTGGCTACCTCCAGACTATCGACCAACTAGTACATATTTTTGTAACGGAGTTATAGTCATGGCATTTTCCACCGGTGGCATTTTTCTTCTGAAATTTGAGTGAAAATTTCATATTATCTAAGTAAAAATCAATTTCAATATATCTATTACTGACTAACTTATTTATGTCTTAAATATAATATCCTTTTATTTTTTTTTCTCTCTTTAACAGAGAGGTTAAAGGAAGTCTTATGATTATATAGACTTTCTATTTGCCACCTTGATTCTAGTATGTTCTAGTGTAGTGATGTGGTAGTTTTATTGGTACAAAGAAATACAAAGAAATATTTTATTTGATATAGCTTCGAGCTAATCATTATTAGAATTGAAGATCTGAAAGCATAAAAAGAAATATGTAAATTCGATTCTGTTTCCAGCTTTGTATTGTATACTATATATATATATTGGAGTTTATCTCTGATTATGGTAGAATGCTATAATTTTAGAATACTACTATTCTAATCATTTTATTAAAAGTCTATGTTAGTTTCATAATGATTAATCATATTGAATAAATTACTAGCCTTGTTCAAATATTTGCTTAACCTTTGTTTAACAATAGTAGTGAAAAATATGTCGATTCTATTACTTAAAATTTAAAACTAATGAAAGAGGAGAGAGAGAAATCTATATATAATATACTTCGAATAGATCTTGAGTTTGATGGATACAATAAAAAGTTCCAGGAGATTGGTGTATGAATTTCCAATATAATTACTTTTTGGGTTTTGTCGAGTATTGTATCTGAATCACCATTATAGTCCAGTGCGAAAGTGCATTATGGATCTTCTCTCAAGAGCAACGGTATTTTATCCTAATTATCGTTTCACATTCCTCCGATTCCTATAGAATACGTTTCCTCTTAATTTGTACCGTTTCTAAGCGTTCTTTGGAATGTAAAATATTGTAAGGAATGAAAGTTTTTGTGGAAGTCAATTCATCAGATATCAACATTCAATGCTTGGGAAAGAATGGGAATATGAAGAGGCTCTAGGATATTTTGCAGCTGAAACTCGAGATTATATGTTGTATCATGCCCAATTTTGGTACGTTTAAGAAAAAATCTGAAAGGCCATTCTTGATATTCGGCAATTGGTAACACTGGACAAGAGGAACTTCAAGAAGTTGGTGAATAAAAATGAAGGTTGTTTAAGGAGCTCTGCTTAGTATCCTATCATAGACTGGTATATCAGCTACTGTATCAATAAATCCAGAATAGTAAGGCTTCGACTTCTACGATAGACTCATCGTATAAAGATTGCAGTTCGGGAGCTGATTGCTTCAAACACAACCACTATATGACTATACCCAAACCGTAAGATTCGTGACTTGATCAGCAGGCACTTTAGTACTGGGGGTATAATGAACAGTAATTTTGATAACGAAAACAAGCATTGATACTGGTTTACATCATTCCGGATCAGTGTCAAAGAGACAATCTATGTTGATGTACTGTATGATTAAAGAAATGCATAGCACTATCTAAAAATGCTGAATATCCTTGATAAGGGCAGTGAAATCCTTCATCAGCGGTACGAGATTGAAGGTGCTGAGTTTTGATATGTCGATTAAGACTATCAATGCAAAGGTATTTGTACTCTTGTTTCTCTGGCCCTGCTTCATTATCATCCATTTGCAGAAGGCACAAAATAATGTAGAGACCTTGGAAAGGTTATGAGATCTTGTTGTTATATCAGCAATTAGAGATGTCGAATCTGCGTCTTCTGATAAGGTTTGGGAGTTGATATGTTTTCGAGGCCATCCTTTGGATTTCGATGCTCGATATTGGCGAGGGGATTCTTGGCGTTTGCAAAGTTGGATTAAGTTTTGAACAAGCTCGATCCGCTTTGAATGATCTGATCCTCTGTAAGGCCTGTATGTGGTTCGAAGAGCAATCTGGCTATAGTAGCTCGCTCCTCAAGCTCGTATTCAATTGTTGAAGGGGTGAGGATATCGGCGGGAAGAATTCCTTGCAATTGTCGATCGACCTCGATAGTATGAACAGTCTTGTGAAACTCCTTGATAGTTTTAGCCAGCAACTGTTTGCTTTTTTGGCTCTTCAAATTATTGACTTCAGTCTGTATTTCTTGATGTTTTCTATACCATCTTGTCTCCGCAGCTGATTTGATAGTGGAGTAACCGCGTGCCTCGATGTTCAGAACAGACTCTGCGCTTCTGAATAAGTTGAAGAATGTCGGGATCTTGGCTAATCTCAAACTTCTGCGCATCAGTCAAGTCTGAAGGGGCTCGTTCGTGACGAGATAGTCGGCCAACAGCTCGAATTAGATCTTTTCGTCGTGTAGATCCAAGGTAAATAGCTTGACAATCTGTATCAATGAATGCTGGCATGTAATATCGTTCATAAACATCTCCCCGATGGCCCATGATCTGCCGGCGTTCTTCTGGTGTAACCGACTCTATATCGACAGGAAGTCTCAAGAGCAAGAGAAATGTGTGGTCTGAAATTTTGGATATAAGGAAAAGAACTTGATAAGGATAAGAGATAGAATAAATGGGAAAGATTGAGAGAATTTTGTATGAAAAACCTACCATTCAACCTCCTCCCAAAAGCTCGCCGCAAATCATAATCACAGATTGGTTGTCGCAACTATCGCTGAACGAATTGATCCACAACGGACTGTTTACCGACTCAAGATCAAAAAACCATCCATCCTCGATTATATTCCCATTCCATTTATTCGATCTGTATTTGAAAAAATTTTCAACTTCTATCCATGTCTCAAAATTTCCCATCCTGAATGGTTTCTACCACCCACAGTTATCCTCAAAAAATGCAAGCCTGATTGGGATGATGAGTTTGAGGTTGAAAAACGCATCTACCGTCGCCTTCAACTTCTTCAAGGAAGATTCATACCCTATTTCTATGGAGAAGCTATATACAATGGATCATCTGCCTTGGTCCTATCAGAAATTATTGGCCGAAGATTGTTCAATATCACAATGGAACATGGAGAGGACGCAGAATTTGAGAGAAAACTAGAAGAAGTTTATACAGCATTAACTAGTTACAGAGTAATTCATGGGGATACAAAGTTAGATAATGCTATGGATGTTGGAGATCGAATAATGGTTATTGATTTGCAGCAAGCTATAATCGATGAAACAGAATTTGCTAGAAGTACTAACAGAGGAAATGCGAGGGGCTTACTGTGTGACCTTCAATTGAACTGTCAATACGAAGATGAGGCAAGGCAAAGGAAGAGAAGAGATTGAAAGAAAAGGCGGAGGCAAAGGTAAAAAGAAGAAGTGTTGGGTTTCTTAAGACCAGAAAGAGTATCAGATTGAATTGATTGATCCTCTAGCTAAGCAGTTAAGCTGCGAGTATATATTCAAAAAAAATGAAGGAATAAGATTAGGTATTCAGCCTTCGGAATTAAAGTGCTTTGAAATCAAAATATTGAAAGCAAACAAACAGTATACCAAGAAGGAAAGAATGAATTAAAAGTTGAGTTTTGTTTGCTCCTTATATGCATCATGCAATATATATGCATATGCTGCCAAGATCCCAGGAGGTCAACAAGAAGGTATAGTAGGAAAATCCTAATTTATCACTTATCTAATGTATTGTTAGGCTTTGGGAGCTGAGACATTCAAATCAACGTGGAGAGGAATAAAATGGGCTTGGATTGGGATAGGAAGAAAGGATTTGAATACTTTCTTTGTTGGCTGAGTAGGCAAGCCTGGGTAGTTGAGCACCAAGTTGAGTAGAGATTGCAATAAAAGGAATGGTCAAGCAGGAAGAATAGGTTGTGGTAGAGGTTCACATCGTACTCATTCATGTTATACGATTTAAAAATTCCCCTCAATTAGAAATTCCATTAAAAGGTTGCTTTTATATTGTGATCACTTTTTGAGTTTTGTAGAATACTGTACCTGAATCGCTGCTTGCGTCCTGTGCGGGAGGGCGTCATGAATTTCCTCCCAAGAACAACCGTCCTTTTTCATCCTTACTATCGTCTCGTGCTCATCTGCCTCCCACCGAACGCGCTTCCCTTTAGGTCCTGCTGGGCGTACTTCGGAATGTAGAATACTGTAAGAGCTCCGGGTCTACGCAAATGTATCAGCACCTAATGCTTCCGCAATAATAGGCAGATACAAATGCTCCGGTACATATTGTAACTGAAATTCGAGAGTGTATGTGGTATTGTTCCCAATTATAGTACATTTTAGAAAGCCTTGAAACTGCTATTCTCGATACTCGGTAATGGTTGCCGGTTCTGCATATATGGGGTTCACAGGGGATGATGGTGAATAGCAGTGATTACCATCGCTGATCGTTGATGAATACCCACCAAAGTTCGATTTGGAGGAGTCGATCATGGTAGATGAAGCAGTGGAGGATGGATCGATGATAGGAAGTCGTCAAGGATGATCTTCTGCATTATTATGTCGGGATGAGGTTTGCTTGTTATCGATAAGAAGTGATCGAGTTCTTCGCTGTTTTGCAGGTTGTATATTGTCGTCATTCTCACTATCTTTGTCAATCTCAGTTTCGGATAGATATCGCTGCTTTCTGCATCCCTATTGTTTATTATTTTCCCCCTCCTTTATCGATCCTACAGCTATATCCCTGTGCTGCTGAAGGAAGTATGATGAAGATCCATGCTCAAGCTCTTCAGGGTCACTGTAATTGGAATCACTCTGATCTTGATCGCAAATAATCAAAGGATGCGATAGCTCGATTGAGTAGTCCACAGAAGAAGAATAGGAGTTATCCATTGAGAAATTCTCTTGCTCATCTGAATTTGATTTATTATCTTCCAGTATTAGAGTATCTATATATAATCAGAAGATTGCTTTATTATCGTAATCAAGAGTATCCATACCTTGAGTATCATAACCCTTTTATAATCCTTTTATCAAGGTCTCCTAGTACAAACAGGGATCAAGGATTGTTTCAATTGATGAAGAATCGTCATCATATATTCTTGGCGAAGCTATCCTATCCTCCCAAATTTTGTTTTCTAAGCTTGAATCCTCTTTTGTATTCATTTGTGATATACTATATGATATAGGGAGATCGATATTGTAGTCATTATCGATAATGTTTTCTATATTATTATTCTTTGTATAGAAAAACATTAACTATTATTAGTAAGGAAAAAGAATATCTTAGGATCTTATTTTGGGCATATATTCCTTGAAGTTCTGAGCCTGAATCATTACCATCATTTGATCTCTGAGTATCGTCAATTAATCTTCGATCTGGCACAATATGCTGCTCCTCGACAGGAAAGCTATGTTTCTGAGTGATTGCCCTTCTGGAACACGGAGCAGTGGGCATATAGGTATTATAAATGGGTTCAAAAGAAGTCATTTTGAGAGTATAAAAGTGATTGATAATATTTTGGAAGCTTTTTGCTCTCTCTAGATAATACAAGTAAATCGAATTGCTTTGATGAGAAATAAAGAAAAAGGAAGCAGGAATGAGGGAGAAAGTTTAAATACGTTTCTCCTGCAAGCAGGGTATCCACTAGAACGTACTCTCTTTAACTTTCGGTGAGCGCTCCTTATCTCATACATTCGCTCATCTAGCCGGCGACTCTTAGCTCTCTAGCATACTGGTCATAACCGGCGGATAGCCTCATTGCAGAAATGATTATAGCTCCAAGCGAACCATATTCCAGCAGAAGGATCAAGTATATCGCATCCTTAATCTACTTCCATTTCCTACTACACCTCTTGTAATCACCAATATACAGTTCAAATGCTTGCAGCGTCTGGCTGGTTGTTTTGAAGTCCACGATAAACTACAGGGTCTATGATAGTGATCAGTCTATTTCATCATAAATCAACCCAAGTCAAAGTATACACTGCATATCACTCGTCTTGTAATACGGAAAGCTTACCCGAATTCTTTTGCTTTACACTAAAGGGATTCGCAACACAATCGAGCAACCAAGCAGGTACATCACTATTGTGAATTATTTCTACGATTGGGCAATGCGTAATAAGGGGCTAGGAAAGACTGAGACAAATCCCTTCATCACTAGCGCTATCGAGAGTATGATTGAGAGGGATACAATGGGTAAGAAGGTAAATTGGACTTTATTGTAGGCCTCGGCGTGTATTTTGGCTCGTATCATTAAAATTGTTTGATTGATTGCTATTCCGAGAAATCAATATTTGTCGAATTCGCAATAGTAGCTTGATTCTGATAGCTAGGAGAGCTGCCCTCTACAAGCTTCCGCGTACCCTCAACATACAAACACCTCGGTCCCGATACAGACCCCTTCGCGCAAGATGCGTCCCTAACGTCGCCAGGCTAACGTCATTAACCTTGTATTCTCAGTATAGAATGCGTCTATCTTGTAGATTCCCACTCTGTATATTCACAATTGACCAATCTCGGCGTTATTTCGCGATCGTCAGTGACAGTATGTAAATAGAACCTTCCCTTTGTAGAAACGAGACTGTGCAGCTCCAGATGATCGTATATCCGCTCTGGCGTCAATACAATATCCTTTCAGTAATAGGATATTGAGCTGATGATCCTTCTCAGCTCAATATGAGGTCCATCCTTTTGACATGACCACAGCTCTAAATAGAGCTTGTTCCGAGGTCATACGACCTGTCCCCTTGTAGATATCCATGGAACGACCCAGGCCTCGAGCTGCCAGCGTTTCGTTGTCGATACTCAAGAGATTGCAGTGTATAGTAAATATAGGTTGCTCTCATCACAAATCAACCCCAATCAAAGACAGACTATATATATCATTATTTCGCTATGCAGAAACTTATTATGATCCTTTCTTTAGCATATAAGCTATTCATAGTGCAGTGAGACAGTAGGAGTACCCTATGCTATAATGAGGCACTTCTTTGATTGGCCAAATTGCAATGAAAGCAACCAGGCCCAAGGGTAAGAGTACTGCAGTTGGGCTTACTGAAGTGATTGTTGTAATGATCACAACAATACGCTGGTGAGAATGGAAAGCCGAACTTCTGTCTCCTTCGTAACTCGGCCAGTAGAATGCGAGTCAGTTGATTGATCGTCATCATAACAGCCAAAGGGCATCGAGTTCAAGGTAGTAAATCGAGATTTGTGATTTGAGATGGGTAATGCCGTCGACGTTTTTCAGCTGCGGCAAGACCGATGTAAGCGGAGACTCGATGTGGGGCGGTATGGGAAGGGACTTACAACGCAAGTCAAGTCTGAATGACCGAACAAGGACGTGTTGAAAGAGAACTAAAGAGACAGAAGATCGAGGAGAGAGGAGCGCGATTCTTATAGATGTTGAAAGCGGCGGCTGGGCTCGTGCACGCACGTTGCCTGATGCGGCGGCCGTGTAACGATACTGTACTAAAGGCAGCGGCTGCCTAAGGTTCGTCGGTTGGTAGTTATGGGTTAAGGCTTTATCACTGGTATTCACTTGGAAGTGAATTCGTTACTAGATCAAGTAGAATGTAGGTAAACTAATTGATAACTAAGTTGAGCACGAAGCTTCTAAACTATGAAACTACTCTGACTATATAATGAACGATAAAGGGAGCCCCTAGGAGCTTTCTGGCTCCTAGGGCTCCTTATTACGTGATTAATGATGGTGCGTGCGCATACGATCTGTGACGCCTCACACCTCCGGGTCACGTGGCATGCCCCGTTTGTATTTAATCATAGGAAAACTCTCTACTCTTGTTCTAAGGGATGCGAAGACTCAACACCTGTACGCGGTGCATCCTACGAACCTCCAGCTCTCTTATGAGAGTCTGCAGAGCTAAGTTTGAGTTATTTGATGGAGTCGTGGTAATTGGAAGAGGAAGAGGCGCCCGATCACGACGTTTTTACCCGTTTGCGGTTTTTTGACAGTTGCATTATCGAAATGCGCTCTCTACAACACTACCTTTATTACGAAACAAAGGACAACACCATCATCTACGACAATACGCCACGAAATCATCTCACTTCTTAAAAGTGAGACTCCTCTGGAACATATAATACAACTCGACATCTTTGACGCGTATATGTTATATACTGTATACCTCCCATGATCGATACGACTGAAACGACAACAATTTATATACCTTCCATACGGGAACACCGGAGGAGTACTGTTGAAGGACCTGAGCTGATGACGAAACTTATTCTGCTCTCATTCAGCGAAGGTATGCTACTTACGGAATCGGGACATCCGTACAAGCCATTACCTATGCATGCTATAGTTACACTATATGAGGATTGGTGCTCCTTTATAAGCTTTCTATTGGCAGGATGATCAGAATGAGGACGAGGCAATCCTGACGGTGGGCGATTACAGTACGTTCTGGTATATAAGGAGTAATTGGATTGATGGTATCGGGAAGGGGATCAGGGATGAAGGGTTTTCGAGTACAATGTTTTAATAGTATGAGGGGAAGGGAGAGAGATCAAGAGCCAGTGATCTAGTGGACGAGGATGACCACAATTACAACCCCAAAAGGCCTACCGGCCCAAACCCCCCCTGCGAAGGCAATCATGTAAACCCTGCCCTAGCCCCCTTTAAATTGTATAAAAATACTCCCTCTAGCTAGCTAGTAAACCACTCAGAGGCTTCTCCTCTGAGCGTCATTTGTCCAAAACTGGAATAGATGGCTAAGGTTATCACGCGCCAAGGCGCGTGGGCCTACGGCCTATGACGATAAACACAATCAATCAATCAATCTCTACTCTTGTTTTCCTTCTTCTTTTCTCCTTAGCTTAGTATTTTCTAATACAAGATACTTTACCCAGTATTCTTGAGTGTGACACGATCTTCAGGTGACCAAGATCACATACTAATTCGATGAAATCTGATCGTGTTTGTACAAGGCCTAAGCTCTCCTAATTAATCAGTTTGCTACCATCGTAACACCATCAATCCTAAGGGGGAATGGGGCCAGGCCGCTAAACTGGGGGGGGGGGGGGGGGGAAGCAAGCACCACGACTGAGATTATAATGAAAAAATAAAAATAAAATAAAAAACAAAATTAGTTATAAATTTTCTCATTTTGATTTAAATCAAATACATTAAATAATAAATTGATTTATTCAAAAATTTAAATTATTAATTGCGACGGAAATCCCTGCTTTCCTCCCACCCTTATTATATAAGAAACCTCAGGTACATTAACCATGTCCACACATGATACGATTACTCGGGATTAGTATGCGATTTAGGTGGTCTGAGGATCAGATCCGAACAAGTACTATGTACCAAGAGTTATCGATAAAGTAAGATCATTGAAGGGATAAATATGACTTCTTTTTGCCTAGCCATTACGGCTAGCCCATTCATTCGTGTATATATAGATTAGCTATCCCCATCTACAGGTGCTCTTCACCTGTAGATTTTAAGTTAAATAAAATTGCTGGTCTATAAACACCCTTTTGGTCACATTAATCAATATCTTATATTCATTAACAGATGCCGAAATTTGTCAATGCCCCGGAACAAATCTATTATAAAGAAATGACCATATACAGATAAGATTTGTGTAATACTTCAAATAGCCCCTCCACAAACCCTAAACCAGATAAGGAATGCGCTGTAGATTTTTTGACTGTACGAGTATATAGACCTAAGCCACTAAACTATCAGCTCCCAACTCAGAGACTCTGAACCTCAATAAAAATGAGAATATCTACGTCAAGTAAAAACGAAAGCTTTTCCCGATGTGACTTCGAAGTAAAAGCTAAAAGGAGCATTTTGAACACCTCGGCATAATAATGATGGCCCATAGGAAAATGTCACTAGCAAACCTCCATGCGAAAAAGGGAACGATCACAAATGAAATTATTCCAGAAAAATAAGTGAACTCCATTGTATGATACATAAAAGGTTTGCCGTCTTCCCACATAAAAGCAAGTAAGCCAAACCATTCCCACGCCATATGTCTCTTTTTCCCCACGCCACCAGAAGTTTTGCCAACCGTTAATTTTCTGTCATACAGAAGGTAGGCAAGGAAACATTAATCATGTAAGATGCATTAAATAGAAGTTTTTATCGTTCCCTGTTCCCACCATAAGTATAGCAGATCTTGCAAAAATCCCAATTCCCTTCACTCGCTATGCAGTAGACAAACCGGAAAGATCTGTAACATGAACGCCGAATGTGACCTGAGAGGTTATGTAACAATGAGGAGACAGATCTTGGATTTGTAAATGTTTGGTGTGACACATCTATATGTCTGTGCCGGAACCAAACTAACCAGATCTTTTGATGGTGTGCAATCTTATCTTGAAAGAGACCGCTGCACAATAACAGCAATTCGATCAGCGACCTGATGTTTGTTAGTCATTTGAGTAGCGTGGGAGTACGAGGTGTCTTACATCTGGTGTCGACTTGATATATGGTAAGTCAAAGAATGTATATTTCTCGTTTTTCACGAGTTCGATGACCATGTTAAGCACGCCCCAAGGTATTGGGAGGGAGATGAATGCTCTTTCCAGTAAAACTCGAAGAATTTGTTGACTAATATCTGACTCCTCCTGATCATTGACATCATTTCCAAATAATTCCAGAAGCGCTTGGACAAAATAGTGTGTATGTGCGTTGGGGAAACGAAGCTGATTGACCATGCTAGTTAGAAGATAGTGTCGAGCTTCTGGATTAAGTTCATGAACAAGCATCGAGATTAAAACAGCGTCAGTGGAATTGCGAGCGAAACTGTTGAGTTCTCCCTTTTGTCTTGCCCTTGTTACAGCATACATACAGATGTGCAAGACGAGAGACTCGATCAGTTGCAAGTCAACATTAACAGGTACAAATCCTGCACCAGTCACATCTGCTTGCTTGCGTTGTATAGTGTGTGTGATGTGGGCCACCGCATCTTCTGAAGGGCCATTTTGTAAGGCTTGTTCAACGATTTCGAATAGACCGGTTGATTGTAAAGTACGCTCAATGTCGGCAATGTTGACGATCTCTGGTGATAGGCGAATCTCTTCAATGCGTTCAATTTTCAACCCTGGCTGTAATGGATCTGGTAAGGTAGGCATGGTTGGATGAGCGCTAAGAATGAGATTCAACAGTTGCACGCAATGACTTGGTACCTTGGCGCATAACTTTGAGGAGTGTGCGACTACAAAATCAGGATAATCGTGCTGTAATACAACAAAGAATTTTAGAGTCGCTTGGTAAATATCCCGTGCTGCTGAAGATAATTGTAGTGGCTTCAGTAGTTCGCCCATGTAAGAAAGCAAACATTCGGCAAGTTTCGCAAATGGCTGCCACCCCATATCATCTGGAAGTCCCATCAATGGAGCAAGGAAGAAACGGTGGGAGATCAAGGTCATCCAACCGTATACAAAGCCTGGGAAATAAGCTGGCTGAAGCTTGATGAGCTTTTCAGCAAATGTCAAAATAATTTCACGGTTCTCGGTTTCAGATAAGTCGGCCGAGAACGTGTTCAAGTGACAAAGTATCGAAGAGAAAAGCCTTGTGAAGACCTTCTGATTGAAACCTTCACCACGCATGACATGGTGATGATTCAAAACTAATGTTATGACGGACAGAATCGATTCCAGGAAAGCAGCCTTATCACCTTTCACTTCTCCTTCGCGCTCATAGCCCCTAATCAATAAAGATATAAGCTTTGCCAATGCATCTGTAGGGATGTAGGCATCGTTGAGGAAGCCATGCATTTGAAATTGCTGTTCGAAACGTTCGACCGATGTGTCTATTGAAAGACGTAAAAACAGGCACAGGTCTTCTTTGTCGTTGATAAGCTGCCTGTTGTACATGTGAGATATAAAAACAAGAGCTGCCCTTTCCGGAGCAATGGGGTTGCTGAACAAGTGAGCCCATTCCTCGAAGACATATTCCATTTGATCTTGACGGAATGCAAGACGGTCATCTTGACTGCGACCGACACTTTTTGGAAGAGCAGAAGCTGCGAGCTTCTCCTTGAGTTGTTGGCCAACTTCCAAAGTAGGATCTTTTGAAATCCATTCGAAAGCGACTTCCAAACTTTTCGCGACATCGGTATACAATGCTAGTGGTCGATCGTTTAAGAAAACCTGCTCCAATAGAGAGAGAAAAAATTCTAGTGTTCCTTCTTTACGCTCAGCCAAAGCTGTAGAGGTGGCGAGGTCGACACGTGCCCAATCAATCATTTCAGCCTTGACCAATGCAACAATCAAGGGCACATGGAGAAGCGCTTCTCCAACTTGCTGTCCAATGATCATAGAAACGCGGACAGCACAACGACCGCCGATTCTGATAATGTTCTCGAGGACATGTACTAAGCACTCAATCACCAAAGTGTTTTCACTGCCACTAAAGACTATTCCACAGATTTGCTCTGCAATCCAGATATCATAAGGTTCTTGCCCTTGCTGGCTCCTGATAATCAAACTGTACAAAGCATCTAGAATCTCAATGACGGGATGTGGTCGAGGAAGATCCATATAGTGCTGCTCTGGAATATCTGCAGTGGTTTGTTGTAAGTCAGTCAATAGCCTTTGTACTTTTTCTGGTAGTCCTTGGGGGTTCATAGCCATATTAGGCATTCTTCCATTTGACAAAGCAGCTGAAGGTTGGCTGTAAGGAGGTTGGTGGTTGTTGATAAGTGGCATTGTAGGAGTCTCAGCAGGCGTTGGGAGGTTTGGAACAGCAGGAAATTGATCCCGTAACAGATCATTGGTGATTGATGTTGTTGCATCTGAAGCTGTAGCAACATGAGTGGTACCGGCCAAAGAGCCTGCTACTGAGCCCCTATCGGCTATCGGTAGTAGTCGCGGCTGACGAGCGAACTCATCGTATATGGCCATTTGCTCCTGATTGAGGCCAGTCAATGACGGCTGCAACTTATATGGGCTTGGAATTGTCCACGCCCAACGGCTTAGTTGTGGATCAATATATGGATCATCCGGTCGTCTCATATGGTGGACACGGCGTGCCTCCAACTCTGGCTCGAGTATCTCTTCAATTTCAGGTACAGCACGCTCCTCGGCCTTCTTTTCAACTTGGCTGCAGGCCAAGTCGAGGTTAGAATTTACACACATGATTATAGTTCCCTCAGGTAACTGATGTTCAACAGATAATGTTCTGATGTAATTTGTCATGCTTGCGCGCAATGGCTCTTTGGAAGTAACCAAGGCAAGGCTACCAGCAGTCTTCTTAACCATGTTGATAGCTGCAGAGCGTACACGAGCCTCGTTCGGCTCGGTTGCGAAGTCTTTGTGTATCATCTGAGCTGTCGAGATAGCAGCAATAGTAACAGAGCGTTCCACAACAGGCGAAATGATCTCATGAACTGCTCGTGTAATGGCCGTTTTGAGAATATCGTGCAATTGACGTGTGTTCACCATGTCGTTGCTGGGCGGGTAAGTAAGAAGAGGCCCAAGATCGGGCATGGTAGCAAGGATTTCTTGTGGAGAAAATCTGCCACTGGCAATTCCACCTCCTAAGCCATTCACAGAAAGGTTTTCAAACCTATCCAGGCCATCGGGTACCGCCATTGTCTCGGTGGCCTCCTCAACAGGAGGGATGCGACTCTGGAACTCTGTGGAGGGTTTGATGCTCTTATGATCCAGATTCAGCCCTTTACAAAGAACTTCTATTTCAAACTTGAGGTTCAGCTTAAGCTCCGCATTGTGATATAACTCAATTAGGAGGTGAATGATATCCATAAGCCACGGATTCGGAGGTTTGAACACAATCGATTTTCTACCTTCAATGAGAACTTTGCAAACGAATGGAATGACAATAATGAGTCGTTGTGTGTCGCAAGCTTCGAGCAATAGTTGTTTGAAAGCGATATTCCTGTGTTTGATAGGCTTATCTTTCGCGAGTGTCATTGAGCCCAACCAGCCACCGAGATTCTTCAAATGCGTGCGCTCTATTGACGACTGCAGAGTGCTTTCAGCATTAAGCAGCCTCGAAACACTGATAAAAGTCTCTCTCAGCAACAGCTTCCATAAAACCTTGTCTTCGAAGAGTTCAACAAGCCCAAGATATAGTTCGTGGTAGTTGGGCATAATCTTAGCCCGTTCCTCAACTAGGTGACCAGCAAACCATTTTTGATGCGTCTCACCAAGGGCGTTTTTCAACTCGATGAACTTCGATCCTATGTTAAGCTCGGTTATGTTGTTTAACAAGAATTGGACTTTGTCCTGTGCATCGTCGTCAGGGTCTTTGAAGTCTGAATTGGGAGGAAGCGGGTCCACGTTAACAGAGTTAAACGGAGGTGCAGCAGGCTCAGCGGCCAGCATTTCGTCGATATTGCCATTTGTGATTCCGCCCCCATTCATCAAGTCGTTGTGCCCGTTGCGTAACATATCCTCTTGTTGGTCATGGATGACCTTCTGCGCCTTTTTCCAAGGTTCCGTACTTTCAAGGCCAGGTACTTGCAGCAGTTGATGACAGAATCCAGGCCATTCCGGTAAACGAGGAGTAAATTGGAGCAAAGCTTGCAATCCAAACTTGTACATTGATTCCTCTGGGAGGTGATCTCGAACTGCTTCAAGGATCATGCCGAGACCAATCTCGAGGGGTAGATCGGCGATGAGCTTATCCTGAATAATGCCACCAAACAAGACAGCAGTGGTTGCAAGAGCCTCCAATGGATAGGTGGAATAGAGGGTATATTCGTCAAAAAGACCATGGATCATGCAGGCAAACACATCTTGCTGGTAGGGATCACGGGCAGATTTGTATCCAGCTAATGCATCAACAATCTGTCGTACCTTGAGCTCTTGGCTATACATTTGCTTATAATGCTGTTCCATCATGTGCTGTGCGTCCTCGCTAAGCATGTTCGTTACCGAACCGTTATTATCAATAATTCGGTCTAGCTCGTCATCCTGGCCATAATTAATAAGGCGAGGGTAGGCAGTGATACAAGTTCGCTGTACTGCGATCAATTGTGCTGAGGGCTCTTTTGGTAGGATTTCCTCCAAAACATTTAACATTGCGAATACAGTTTTGACAGGTAACATTATACTGTGTTCTCGCTGGGTACGCTGATATGCAAGCTCGTGTTGAGCTTTGATGCTCAGGAATGTCAACAAAGCCGAGCCGAGTTCTTCCTCCCGTGGCGAATTCGTGGCCTTCCAGTCTTTGAGATCCAGTAAGCTACGGGAATGTGCTAGGGCAGCAAGGTCGAGCCCAAAGCCATTTAGCATCGAGGCCAATTCATGGAGCCACTCATGTTTTATTGCATGATCTAGTATAAGAGTAAGCTCGAGGGGCGCTTTAACATGTGCGTCCATTAAGCGTTGTGCCACCCAGGTCTTATCTTTTCGCCACAAGCTTGCTAAGACGAAATCATAGTTGCCATCAACTCTGAATAGAAAGCGTTCGAAAAGGTTGTTGATTGTCTCTACTGCTAGATCAGGCCACGGCCGCGGTACGCCGAATGCTGAGACCAGGAATATGTCTAAATTTGGCACGACCACTTCTTGGAACAATCGTTTAGCTTCAACAGTTTCCGAGCAGTGGGGCTCTCTAAGGGCAACGATAAATACTGATGTTAGCGTGATAACGGACACGAGCGGATGCCTTATTGCCCATTCAGCACGTTCTCGAATCTCTGGCTTCGCATCGACATAGTCCTCTAGTGTGAAGGATGGCCTGAGCTTTGGAATGGTGGAGGCATCAAGCTCGTTCGGGCTCAATGACGCGTATGCACTGATGAAGGAAAGCTGGGTTTCAGTATTTTGCCATGCACCACCGAGAAGTTGCGGAATGACTGTAGGATCTTCAAGGGCAATCGGTCGAATAGATTCGTACACTGCCAAGAATTGTTGTGGAGATATTCTGAGGTCTGGCGTATCGAAATGTCGTACAACTTGACACCAACTGAACCCTGGAGGGACTTCCTTGCGAAGACTGTTAACCAATACTTGCGAAGAGAATGTGGGGGTTCGACTGATGGCAGTATAGAGTAGGGCAGCAGCGACTTGTGCTTCGTCGAGGTTGATATCACCGGCGTTTCGAATGTGATTTCTACATGCATCCTCATCCGAGGTGAATGCAGACCCAACCTTTTGTATGCATAATATCAATGGGTTGCTTTCTGTGATTATCGACATTAGGAAAAGCGCTGCGAGAACTTCTGTGGGTGCGGGAATATCTTGTTCAGGGTGGTCGCGAAAGCGGTAGTTGATTGCTCGAAAGAGTAGAATCTGCGCTTGGTGATCAAAATTCGGTGGATGACCTTGGATAAATCGATCGACTATCGTGGCGAGGAAGGAGGGAGTAAGATCTTCTTGACCTTGATTCACCTGGGATAGAGCTTCGACAAAGCCTTGGTAGTTTGCCGATAGGATAGCATCCGCTGCGGAACTGTTAGCTTTTGATGGAGAGGAAGGGATGGTTAAGGAGAAGAAATTAGTAACCTTTTGTTTTGAGATCTGACCTTGATCCGGTTTTGAAGGCAAGTGCTAGAATAGTCTTCTCGAGCGCATCTAGCTTAAAATGGTCCATAAAGGTCGAAAGGTCAAAATCACGAAAGATATCTTCATTCCCCGTCTCTATGGACTCCGCAATCTTCCCAGCTTGATCGACATCATGGGCTACCTTGTGTACTTCATTCACTAAGATCTGGTAGTTGCCTGAATTAAGAACGGGTCGATTAATGCCGGGAAATATCTGCGGTGCGTTGCCAACCACAAGTCGGCTGAAGTATTTTGAGAATACTTCCATGCCGTGCTCATCAACTAGCTACAAGCTTCATGTTAGATGGAACTAGGAGGTTGAAACTACGAGGGTACTTAATTTACACACCTTTCTGAGCTGTTCAGCTTGCTGTTCCCACTTTGTGCGATCTTTATCTTCTTTAATGGTACCGAGTAATAGGTAAACCTGAGCGACGACAATTTTATTGACTCCGCTGGCACCGATTGGACTGTTTGTAGATGGACTTGCGCCAGCACTGAATGTACTATGATGCGAGCCGTGAGGTGAATGACTAACTCCTGTCACAATTGTTTGCGCCGGTGAAGGTGTGAAAGTCCCCCCTCTTGAATTGACCATCGAAGATAGTTGTATTTTGGCGCAGACCCACTCCCGCAGAGCTACCTCTCAATCTTGTTCAAGATGAAAGGTGATCTATCTGGGAGGAGTGGACATGGATGAATCGTGTTTAAAGTTTGCGCGACAATATTAAAAGGTTTGAAATTCGAATCGGAAAGTGCTAGGCAGGTAAAAGATTTGTTGTTGACAAATGGATTTGTGAAGGCGATGTGTTCGTTGTGGGGGCGGGCAGTTCTACACAGAATTGAAGTTGGAGGTTCTCAACTCTCATTGCGATGTTCGGTTAACCGTAACTGGACTGGTAAGGCTGTTGTAAGGCATCCAAGGAACACATAAATCACGACGACGACTAGTACCTAGGTAGTAAATATAATGCTATTTATTATATTCGATCACATGTTCCTGGGGAAAAAATGCCTAAATATATCAATCTTTACTCCGAACAGTCAGTTTTTATGGTCATAGAAACGACTGTATTCAGACGATGGCGATCCCTATCGAAGACTACTAGGTAGGTTTGTACTTATGAAAGGAAGCATTGTTACTTATAAGATAATGGAGTATGTTCAAGCTACTAGTGTACCGACATCGTAATGAACAAATTCAGATAATCTGCCTCCACGGCGGTGGCTTTCAGGAGGTCCACCAGACCATCTTGGGCGTTTGCCCATATCAAATACAATTAAAAGACAAAACCACTGAATATCTGATCCGTCAATGGGGTTGAATGATGTTGAATGATGTACTGCTCGCCGCGGAAAGTTGTGTTTATCTTATCCTTCAATTGTGTACCAGCAGCTTTGACAATTTGGAGAAGACCTAATGCAAGATTCACAAGTACCTACTACATGGTTCCATTGTGAATGAGAAGGCGGGGTTACAATGCAACAGCACTGAGTAATACAATGTGCTCGGTAGCTATTTGACGTGGTTCTTCTCTGACAGCCGGTATCGTGAGTAGCAATACCGAACACTTGCATAGTTGAGATGGTCCGTGATGGATACAAGTCACCATTTACATACCGGTACGTATCATACTAATTACCTGAATACAAACCTATCAAATGTGTGTGTTTAAAGAGATGGGTGCAATGGAAAATACCACATCTTTTCAATGGTCTGTATAAGAACAGTAAGCGTTTCTGTCCTTTCCACGTCCCTCATTAGTCGTCACTTTACAGATAATGCTTAGAGTGGAAATATCCGCGCGCTTTCCCAGATCCCGCCGCTACACCAAGCTGTCCGCTATGCTTACATAATCAAGGAGTACATATCCCCACATCACTATGACAACGACTTTGGGGCTGGTTAAATCAACATAGTTCGAGAGTTAAATTATGCGGTCGGTAACTCCGCAATCAATCCACCTTTTTGCATACCGATCATTCTGTAGGCTGTCGGACAACTTCCTGGAGTACAACTTTAACTCAAGTTCATCAATATCTTATCCTCAAATTTCCAATACATCTAATTAATTCTTTGCCCTTCAAAGGGCCGAGTTTGAACGTTACTAAACGGCCAACTCAGTAACCTGTTAATACTAGGCAAGATGCCGGGAACAATATCAGATGGACCTTCTGTCACCATGAGTTTCGCAAATAACTTTTGGGGAAAGGATGACGCTGGTGTTGAGCCACTGATACAGCGTATGGTTCATGCTAAACAAACTTGTGATGAATTGAAATCTTTCTACAATGGTATGTTTACATTTGACGCGTATAGTTGCACAGCTGATAAATCGCAAAGCTCGTGCCGCCCTGGAGGAGGAATATGCTCGTAAATTACTCCAATTATCACGAAAACCATTGGGATCCCAGGAGTCAGGAACTCTGCGCAAATCATTAGATGTTCTGAAGGCGGAGGTTGAAGCGATGGGAAAAGCACATCAAACAATTGCTGGACAAATGAAAACCGAGTTGGAGGAGCCGCTGGCGGCTTTTGCCGGTGCAATGAAGGAGAGAAGAAAGATTGTTCAGCATGGCACGGAAAAATTACTGAAAATCAAGGTACAACAGACAAATCAGGTCAATAAAGTAAGGCACCCTAACTTTAATCTTGAATATTACTTACCTCAATGTCAGACGCGAGACAAATATGAACAAGAATGCCTCAAGATTAAAGGATACCTCGCCCAAGGACATATGGTAATGGGACAGGAAGAACGAAAAAATAAAGCCAAGCTCGAGAAAACCCAAGTGAACTTAGCGGCGTCGAATACCGAGTACGAAAATGCAGTCAAGATCCTCGAGGAAACAACAGGCCGCTGGAACAGAGACTGGAAATCGGCCGCCGACAAGTTCCAAGATCTTGAGGAGGAGAGACTTGATTTCATGAAGAGTAGCTTATGGAGCTTTGCGAACATTGCTTCCACGGTTTGTGTAAGCGACGATGCTTCTTGCGAGAAGGTTCGCCTCGCGCTTGAAGATTGCGAGGTAGAGAAAGATATTATGTCTTTCATAGCTGAATGTGGAACTGGACAGGAAATTCCGGATCCGCCAAAGTACATTAATTTCTGTCGCGGTGATGCTGATTCACAATCTGAGGCTTCTGAGGACGACGCTTACTCAGTGGCACAATTTCAACGCACTATTAACCCAGCCTACAGAAGTTCGTCACCACAACCATCCACCTACGAGTCTCACCACGATCCTCAATCAGCTCTTGCTAAGGACTTGGCTCATGAGGTTGAAATGCCAAAAGGTCGAGATACAACCGCCACTCCTCAGAAACTTACGGCATCAAATTCGACCCCGGACAGATCACGACATGCCCAAGTCGAGGATTACGAACCAGAACCTCCTGCACAGGCCCCACCTCAAGTGGAGTATCAACAACCAGCCAGACCTAGAGCGCAATCTCAGGCTGGTTATTCACAAACCGGCCGAGCTCGTACCCAGCCTCAAATCGATTATCAGCAGTCTGGAAGGCAAAGACAGCAACCTCAGCAAGATTACCAACAAGCCGAAAGGCAAAGGCAGCCAGTGCACACTAATCATCAACAGGCAGAGAGGCAAAGGAAACAATCCGTCGATTATCAACAAATTGACAGACAACAACAGAGCGAAAGACAGAAGCAGGCACAAGCTCAAGCTCAAGCGCACGCTCAGGCTCAAGCTAATTACCGTCAACAAGAACGCCCGAAACAATCTCAGCTTGAATATACTCCTCAAATTTTGCAACAGCCCCAACTTGATTACCAACGTCCTGAAAGTTCTAGGTTACCGAAGATGGACTGGTCAAAACCAATTCAAATGCCATACGAACAGCAACAAGGCCAGTTGGTTCCCAAACAAGGCCAAATTGCTCAAGTGCCTCACAACCCTCATCCTACGGATGGCATGACAATGTTGTGTCGAACGGGGCCTTCCTCAGCACCGTCAGATATGAGCTCCGCCGCGAATAGCCCAGTAAGGCCATCTAGTCGGGATTCTCAAAGTGATTATTCAAACCCTACCTCATTCTCAAGCCAGGAACCTCAAAGTGGCAAAACATCACCGGTGAAGCAAAGCGCCCCGATCATTGAGAAGCCGATCCAGAAGAGAAAGAGTGGGATCTTTCATAGTCCATTCAGACGAAAGAGCACCAAGGGTGGAGAAGAAGTAGCTGCTGTCGCCAAGCCAGCCGCGTCAAATCGCAGTACTTGGTCCGGTCGGAACACCAATGTTCAGAGTACTTCATCTAGACGACCTACTTCAAGGATGATACAGCCAGCACCACAAACTATGATGCTAACTGACCGACCTAGCAATAGCCCGGAGCCCGTCGATCCACGGGCCAATTTTCAACTGAATATTGGAAATAATGTTTTTGATGTCGCAGCACCTGAGAAAAAGAACAATTTTGCTCAAAGTGCCCCTGCTGCAAGCCAAGCAGTTGAGGAATCTGACCCCATAGCTCAAGCTCTTGCTGATCTCAAAATTGTCACCAAGGCATCGTCTACTAGGGTGTCTGCTGATAAATATCACGGCGTCGCTACTCCCGCTCCTGATGCAGCACCCACCTCAAGACCTATAGGATCTCAAATGGTGAATGGAGCTTTGATGGCCGGTATGCGCGGTACTCCCCCACCATCTTACGATCCAACTCCTGTTGAGAGACTCGGCCTTCCGTCGCCTGCCTTCACCTCGAAGTCAATGCAGCAAACTCGTCAAAAGTATGTCGACCAAACAGCAAACATGTTTAGTGCTCCCCAACCAAGGCCAGATTCACAGCAAGCTGGGTATGGCTCACGCCCGGGAACAAGGGGATCAGATATGCCCCGAGCAACATCACCAGCGCCTCCTCGAAGTGTTTCACCTCGACCTGGAGCACAAGGACAAGCCCACAGATCTGCTTCTCCCAAGTACGCCGGAAGCACACACTCTCGTACCGGATCCGCTCCTCAGCAAAAACGGGGCTCTGACACTTATTATCAGCGTAATTCTCCAAGTATTTCTACTCGTGGTGTCTCGCCGGTTCCATATGCACAGCAGGAAAGACCCAATAGTAGCCATGTAAAAGCTCCCTTCCAGCAACAAGAGAGGCCTAGCAGCAGTCATGTCAAGGCTCCATTTGCACAACAAGATAGGCCTTCCAGTAGTCATTCACACAACAGCATGGCAATACAATTAGCACCTGGTCCTGATGATGGTTATGGTTCTCAAGGACGAAGCGGCAGTAGAGCCAGTGCCGGTTCCAGAGCCATGAGCTACTATGGCGGTGGAAACGATCAACAATTGACGGCTCGAAGCAGAAGTAAAAGTGTTGCAGATGTTCGCCAGTTCAATAGTCAAGGTCGACCTATTTTACATTTTGGTAAGTCAGCGGCTTCTGAATAGCTCAATTTATACTAATAATTCCAACAGCTCGGGCACTTTACATGTATCAAGCGGCTATCCCCGAAGAACTAAGTTTTGCAAAGGGAGATATCCTTGCGGTTATGACGCATCAAGATGATGGATGGTGGGAGGCGGAAGTAGCTGGAAAGAATGGTCGACCGGGCTTGGTGCCAAGTAATTATCTACAAAACTGTTGAGCTCCTCAATAAGTCTGAGGCAGCGATGATTGGATACGGACTCGGATTTGGTATACGACATGAGACTATGTGGATATGATAGCTCATGAGATGATGATGATGATGCAGTGTACGCATTTGCATGATGAATTTTTTCCTCTTTTCCCTTTCTTTCTTTCTAATCTTTTTTTTTTCAATTCACACAAGATATATTATCTACTTTTGACTTGTGCTTGGGCAATGGAGGAGGATTTAGGGTTTTTTTTATTCCAGGCAGCGAGAGCGTTTTGTGGATGGGTGGATTTGTAGTTATACCTTTTTGAGATATGAGCTGTTCGGTTCTTTTGCTTTTATTCTTCGAAATTTGCAGATTAGGGAGCGAATAATGAGAGCAGTATTGGAGAGTGAGGATTGAGGAATTTAGACAAGCAAGCACATAAGTTATTTGGAGTATGATACTTGGTATTGAGAGATAATTATTAAACATATACTTTCTCTTTCGAAGTTTTGCTTAGTGTCTGTCACTCGTGAAGCAATTTTGATGTTGGAAATTTCCCGAAGATTAAAAGTGTACTAGATCGTGAATCTAGATTGGCGTTTGACTTCTTAATCTTAATCTACTTCTATCACAGGAAAGTTATCTATTTTTTTTTTATATGTAGCCTTAGTATAGCTTAGTTTGTAATGTTTTGGTGCACAGGAGTTTTAACTCGCTATACTTATATTAGTCTATTTCTACTAACTATCTGGCAATATACTGATTGCTGGATATTTGGGGAGAGTATTCCTGAGCACACACATAGATGAACTAAATGGATATGCAAGCGCACTACTAATAAAACGAGGGTTTGCGATCCTATTCTCTCTACTCTAGCTTTGTAGAGCTCGAGGTGTATACTTCTGTAGACGACAAACGACTCATCGCGTAACCTGCTCAAGGTCCGTGCGCCGGGTCTTTTTAGGGCTTACTAGGTATTTATCGATGAATATTAGAGCGTAGAGTGTACCTTACCTTGATGATATCATATCTTATGTGTACTAGTCTAGCCTTCTCTCTGATATAAATTCCATGATGTGCATGTTCGTAGATCACTTTCGGATTTAAAACTTGATTTTGAAATTACGACGTCGTGCTAATTAGCTATAGCAAGTTTGTTAGTTCAACATCAATTTTTTGACAATTCAATTATTTTCGACGCTTGGAAACTTTGCTGTTTCGATTTTGTTGCCCCTGTTCGTGGTAGGTAGTAGGGATAAGGTAATAAAAACTTCTTCGGGATAATGGACTTTAGCCATAAATTTTTCAGCTGACAAATATAAGATTTCTTCTTTTAGTTTGATAATAGGGCTGTAATAGCAGGGCTAAAGAGAGGGTGATATAGCGGCCTAAAAATAGTAAAATGGGTTTACATGTGAGTGACAGATTTACATGGACAAAATTGTACATTCCTTTGCTTCCTTAAACACAAGATATAACTAATTTATCCACGCAGACGAGACTCAAGCAATCTACCGTAGTATTACCATACTTTCTAGAACAAGAAATCAAATCTCTATATCGGTTAATAAAATATAAATAATTGGAATGTTGCGATTGAAGTGAAATACATCATTTGAGAATACTTATGGTGCCTGTGGATTGGTGATTCTACGGTCGATTTTCACGGCATGATATTTGAGGAGGCCATTCCGGCGCAGTTGAACATTGGTGGAGATGGTATTATGGAAACCTTTGAAGGAAGAGCAGTGGAAACGATGAGCGAGGAAAAGATAGATTTCATTGATGAACGCCGGGATTAAGTAGTGTCCCTAGAAAAGCTCAAATCCAGTGGATTATATGAAAGCCAAGTATGCAAATTGCAGGCAAGATACTTCTTTGTCCGTTCCCATTCCCACATGAATTGAGTGTATAATTCAGGGCCCGCTTGCGAGAATGTCGCTTTCTGTAAAGCGCTATTCTCTAAAGAATAAGAGCATCTTTGAGAGTATTTCCCGCAACATATTTTGCATGTGCTCGAACACCAAACATTCCGTTGATAGAGGAGAATAACACGAAGAAGTTGAGCTCCGAAGAGAGCACTTCACCAAAAATCTAGGGCTCTGCCGCCTTTAAGCATATACTTACCAAACCTTCTGTCAGAGAATTCCGGCCTTTGAGCGGTATCTGTCATGATGAACTGGAAAAGTCTTCACGAAATAGCCAACCTTTGATCTACAATACTTGTCCAACTACTATCCTGAGGATAACAGCCTCATGTATTCATACGAGTAGTGGGGAAATTAGTGGCCGCTGCTTTTCATTCGCAACCATTAGCTAAAAGCTATCAATTGAAGCAGCTTCACAGGAGAATCTAAACAAGTAATATGTGTTCCATCTTTGCTAGTTCCCGAGTCCTTATCTTTTGAATCGTTGAAGTCCACAATTATACCTGGATTTAATACAGCTTTCTTATTTATATAAGGATAAAAGTTCAGCGTCTCTTTTACCACGTTCTCTTACTATTTACATGAATTGGTGACTACTCATTTATATCTAAATATATTAATTGGGCAATTTGAGTCGACCTAAAAAATACCAATGAGCTAGCTTGTCACGCTACTTACTACTTGAGCACCATTCATGATGGAATCGAAGGCCTTGTGAATGGATTCACCCAGTTGGCGCCTGCCCAATAGAGTGTAGTTACAACTCAGCCCTCCGGATGTTACGACGCAACCCCTAAAAAGATGTAGAAAGCTCTAAACGCCGGAACATTCACCATTTTCTTAAAATCCGAACGATATACGAATGTAAGTCTTCCATAGTCAATTGATTATCAATCATAAAGTCAATATAATTACATTTATTTCCCAAAAAGAATATTCAATATTCATCTGAATTCTGAAAACGAGACATTAAATCCATAAAAATATTTCGGGGCCGCGAGTTATCCTCTTGTACTTACGACTTCAAAGTCTCTGGTAAGATACCCACAAATATATGAAAAGTCCAGTTGAGGTTTCAGCACTAAAATAGGCAGTAGAATCTTTTCGGCTTGGAATATGAGGTTATTTTGCGTATGATAAGACTTAGAATTAGTTGTTGTGGTATAAAAGGACAGAAAAATCTAATGTAACCTATATGCTATGGGCTAAATCGAAATTAATCCGTGACAAATCCGATGGTGAACACAGCGCACAACTATACCTTTTTGATTCTACTCCTCTGCAAACTCGAAAAATCAAATCATTACAGTTGAAGTCGCGGGTAATACCAGCAAACAGCCCTTCTAACCCATCTACACCAGCCTATATTACATCAAATTCATCGCCTGGTCATTACATGGCATTTACAATTTAGGCGAGTGGTTCCTAGGATGCCCTTTTGATCATAGCAAATGGAAGAAGCAGGCTGTTGGGATTTATAGGTTGCGCAGCAAAAAGCTTCAACGCGATTTCTATATATTTATGATGTTTTACGACAAAGCTCGTTAGCAGCCGTTTCAAACTGTACGCGGCATTGCTATTTTAGTAATAGCAAAAGTGTAGAAAACAAGATGTCGATTTAGAGTTACACATACTTCAACCTTCCCTTCCCTTTCGGTCCAAATCCACGCTCAAGTGTTTCATCATCTAAACCATAGCACGATAGATATTGAGAGCAACGAGATCCTGGTTGTCACTAATGTAGCAAGAGATGAAAAGCACACTTGGTTCTTTGACCCATAATTCCTTGAAAGTTTAAGAAACCTCTGCAACATTTTATTTTAGAAAGAAGCACAATTCTAGATAATGATTGATGTGCTACTATCCAGTTCTTAGCCGTGATATTAAAATTGGTTATTATCCATATATCGCACTCAATAGCAGAATGATCCTCCAAACATTATACCATGATTTGAGAATGCACGGGTAGTGTAAGTTTTCATATAGCCCTAGACTCGCGACAGTGGGAAAACCCGCCTTACAAACACAATACATGGCACTTGCCACTCTTCCGTATGACTAGCTTTAGCATATTGCAGAAATCGTTACTATCTCATCATACAGTAATCTTACTATCCTCACTTCCTACTTTCGATTCCAATACGCTCAAATTCACATCACACAACTCACATCCAACCAGAAACATATTTTATTTATTGATATTATTCTTCTTATCTGTTTTCTGTCTGATCACCAGCATAAATACTATCCCCATCCTCGAAGAAGTAATAAACATCGCCCAAGCCTCCGCCCGCCGTGAAGCAGTCTGTGAAGCAGTTGCCAAGCAGCCACCAAATAACCCATCTTTAAAGGCAGCTATAGAACTGTAGTGCAGGCACGCGGGGTATTAGAAGAACTTTACAAGACGCACTGTGCCGTACCAAACAAACAGTCAATCCATAGAAACAAGTATCGTATGTAAAGGCTCAGACTAACTAATATAAAATCATACTGTTTATATGATTTGATGATATTTGTAGCCTGCCTTTCATTCCAAAAACAAATATCGCTCACAGCGTGTCATGCCATGTTTGTTTTCGCTTTCCAATCTATCAGGTAGATTAAGAGGTAGATGAAACAGTCATGAGCGTAGGGATCATCATGCCATGATGTCTATATCAAAATACTTTGTGTTCTTTCCTATGTGGCCCCTAGCCATCATAATTCTTCTTCATCAACATCCTTCATTGCCGGTTCAGGGAGGGGAGTCTGTGCAGCTTCGGCAGCTGCTACAACGTCAAGACCACTTGAGTATCCTGCTAGTCGTTTCTCTAAGGACTCGTCACCGAGAAGGCTCGCTCTGTGTTTCTTCATAGGACTGCCCACAAAGTTGTCGCCTGTAAGACTTCCTCCAAATACATTGTTTGGTAAAGTTAAGCTGTTGTTGTCTCCATTGGTAGCAGGAGTAGCATTGCCAGACGTATTGCTGGCCGAGTTAGAAGATTTGCCCAAGTTGGTATTCAAATTTCCGCCGGAATGTTGGCGTTTCAACTACAATCGAAGTTAGTATACTCAAGTCACAAACAAATAAGGTGACCATACCTTGATTCGTCCGACTCCATCTGCTAACTCTCCTTGAAACTTTGCGTCTTCTGTACTCAAAGTCTTATGTGGGTCATCCTTATCATCCACTTCTTCCATCTTTACCCCCCTGTTATCGTCATCGTCATCATCATCACTGTCTTCCATCAAGTTAGCGTTACCATTGCTCTTCTTTCCAGATTTGCTGCGCTTTGTGGAGGTATCGTTATCTCTAAAGGCGGAAAATCCAACAGTTCCAGTAGATTTCAGAGGAGCCAGATTTCCAAAGTCCAATTGTCTTGATCGTCGTTTTGTAGCACTGCTGGTTATCTTTTCCTGCTTCGAATTTGGTAAAATGCCCATCTTTTGCAATTGGCCTGTAGTAACATGTTAGAAAGTGGGGTCGTGATACAATCAGTGATAAAACTTACGCTCGCCTCGATAGAAGAATGTGAATACCGCGAAAGGTCTGTCAGGTCCGTCTATGCCAGTGACAGTCTGGGTGCTAATAGATTTTGGATCCAAAGTCTTTGGTTTTGCAAAACTTGTGGTGTGATCAACATCTGCTCCATCTCCCCCTTCTGCATTGCCCTTCTCTCCTTCCTCGTCGTCATCATGGGCATCAAACTGTGGAGAATATTCACCGCGCTTGATTTCTCCAGATGCAAGTACTCGAAACATAGCAACTTTGATTTGTCCTGCAGCTTCTGGTAGGGCGTCATCGCCGTCCGAGTCAGAGCTGAAGCTATCGTCATCTGAAACTTTTTCGACGGGTGATTGCTCATCTGCTCCATATCGTAAAACCTCTCGTGCTGTTGATCGCTTTCTTGGTGTCATCATATCTGCGAGCTCATCGTCGCTGCCATTCTCCTCCTTTCTGCGCCTGCGACGCTTCTCAAACTTTTGTCGACGCTTCTCGATCCTTGCAGCTGCATCTTGTCCATCGAGATCAAGTCCGTTCAACCATCGCTCTAATCCAACCTCACGAAACAAGAATTCCCGTTCAGCCAATCCCCCTCCTTCAGAATCGGGAACCTGCACCCATCGAGAATTTACCCATGTCTCTTCGCTCGGTCGTAGAAGCGTTGCTACTTCTTCCTTTGCTCTGCCATCGAAATAGATGTATGCAGCGATTGTTTCATTTTCTGACTTGGTGATCGGTATGTAGGGCCCGACTTGACCACTGAAATTTGTCTTCTCTCCAAAGCCAGGCAAGCCAGCAACGGTTTGAGGCTGAGGATAAGGGTTCGAGGGAGTTGCTTTCGGTGTGCTATAAGGAATTGGAAGACCTGGTGTTAACAACGTAATTGAGATAGCAAATTTGGCGGCTTCAGGCTTGTTCGTAGTCGAATCGCGGGGAATCTTTGGTTGGGGCACGGGGATGAATGTGTTAATACGACTGAATCTTGATTGTTTAATTACACCGTACTCAGGAAGTGGTGATCCTTCAGCATGGACACTGACGGCAATACCTTTGAAGCAAGGCATTTTCCCTCAGCGATGTACTGTGGCAGGCAAAGCTGCACAGCCTGATGTGTAAGAGTATTGTAATTTGTTGTTGAACGTGGGGAATGGTTGAAAGTTGAAGAAGCCGAGCTTTGGAAGCTCCGATTGCAAAGAGGCTGAAGTACGGAAGTTGTTGGATGCTTCTTAGCGTGGCGGATCTGGTTGCTAGAAGCCTTGCGTGCGCGTTTTGGAATGGTAGGTAGTACAAGTAAATAAAGTACGTGAGTAGATGACTCGTCCTCGATTCTTTGGAAGTCTGATTTACCAACGAGAAAGAAGGATAGAAAGTACTGGAGTTTTCTTGAGTTGCAAAATGGTAGAGTAAAGTAGAAAAGGTTGATTTCACGCTCTGTACTACGCAAGAGGTTCTGGTTCAACAATGAATGAATGGATGGATTCCTTAATAGGTCGATAAGTTTCGCTAGGCTGACGAACAACTGCACAAGTCAAGAGTACTTATCGAAATATGAACTACCAACAATACCATGCAAAACCAAAAAAAGTCACAAGTTGTCATCACAAAAGAGTCATTGATGTGTTGGAACATGGAAGAAGAAATCAATCACACCGCTCAATCATATTTGAAAAGTCTTCAAGCGGAAATCATTTTCAAAAGGTGGTCTGGCTGATGGCCGGTCATGGTCAATCAATCACTCCTACATTTCAATCCCGTGAAACATTATGGACGTCTCCCGAGGTTCATTCAGATAAAACTTGAAATAAACTTGCTACCTATGTACGGCACGAAAATGTCCGATGATTCTATGATACATCCAGATTAAAATAGAGTTGCCTTCATATCCCGTCGACTCAAATATCCAAAATGAACTGGCTATCTAGCAGTCTGCCAACCTCGACGAAACCATGTTTTCATGTTATGAGTTCAAGTGTGCTGCCATGTGTCGCAATCATATATGTTTTTGATAATAAATTCCTACAGAGACTCGAAGATTGTTAGCTAAGTCTTTTCAAAGATTCTGCAAAAATAAGAATAAAGAATTTGATTGTAGAGTCAGACTGTTGAGCTTGATATATTGATTGAATCGACATGATTATTCAGAAGGCCGTTCTTAATGGAAGGTTTTGTCATCATACAAAAGATGCTATGGAATGTGCGGGGTGCTGCAAAGCAAGGAAGACTGAAGATTAAACATACCTTTGAGCTCAAGTTCTGGAAAGCGGTGATTATGAAATATAGAAAGATAAAACTAGAAAAGCATACAACTACATCTTGAAACCACAATAGGAAGAGCAATGCTCGAGTAGTGTTGACAAAGATTTTGTTGAATTCAAGAAGAATACCCAGGAGTATGCAGGTGGAAAAACAAGTTGAGTACCATCGCGAACAACCGAATGATTTTTAAATGGAAGGATAAACTTTTCGAGCTTATTTGCCGAAAAGACTAAGCTATAATAGGTAAGGCGCATATCGGCCCAATGATTCGCTATGTGCCCACTCGAGTGAAGTGGTATCAAAATCGCCTGTACGAAGAAACCCCTCTATAATTTCCCCTCCAAAACAAGCACATCAACATCACAAAATATCTTTTCTTTTAAAGTTACCTCAAAAAAGTCTCATAACCTTAGAGCAAGATGGCCAGTAAGTACTATTTCACATAATGTTTTAAAGGTCTTACAGATACAGTTTATGTCGTTCTCTTTTGTGCTTTTCTTCTTTCGTTTACCCAGGTAATTGTGATCCGAGGCTGACTCCTTTTCTATAGGCTTCCAAGATGTCGCAAGTAAGTTATAGTATATTCCATCGCGACTGCGACGTAGCAAATGTTATTGAGTCGTCAGGAGTGTCTTGTGCGAAGATGCATGGCGATTCGCAACTTCTTGCATCATGCTAATCAGGCCATCTGCTACTAGAGCAATTCACCGAATTCTATTACAACCAGTTCGATGCCGACAGGAAGCAGTTGGCTCCTCTTTACGTCGGTAATTCCATTGCCTAGAAAATAATCATTACTGATAAATTCTCAGCGTGACACCTCCATGTTGACTTTCGAGTCCTCTTCCGTCCTTGGAGCTCCCGCCATCGTAGAGAAGCTCGGAGTACGTTGAACATTTTTCTTTATTGCAGATAAATGCTAAATAAGGCTGGCACAGTCTCTTCCTTTCGAGACAGTAAAGCACCAAGTCTCGACGCTCGATGCGCAACCAAGTGGAGATCACGGTGGAATTTTGATTTTGATCACAGGGGCTTTGTTGGTAAGTCAAAAACTTTCATACGCTTGCGCAAACATAATCAGCGTGTGATTCATTCCAGAGACTAACGACGATTCTCCCAGGTCGATGAGGAGCAAAGACCGATGAACTACAGCCAGGCTTTCCAGCTTATGCCAGATGGAGCTGGAAGCTATTTCATTTTCAACGATGTCTTCAAGTTGGTTTTCGGATAAATTTGTAGCAAGGTATGTTGGCTAAATATGAGGTCGGTGGTAGAGGAGGGGATGTTGGTCCATTTTGCAAAACTTTATACCAGCTTCCTATTGAAGACGGGATGTAGTGAAGATATCAAATAAGAAATGACATAAAAACGGCATAATTCAATGATGCTCACATTCCCCTCTATCAATTATGCATCTGACGATCAAGATATATGTGGAGAGATGATCACAGTCCCCCTCATGTTGTTGCACGATCTTCAGCGTTGCCTATTGTACACTGAGGTGGAAAATGATAATATTAAGTTTTGGAGACGTATGAATCTGCCATGTCTTCGTAATCATTTTCTAGGCAGCTTTGAGTATTTGCATTTTCTTTTGTTCTTTTCCATCTAAATAATACCGTTTATACGACCCAGCCTCATTCAGGCACTTCAGCCCTTTGTTTTCTCCATGGGGACTAGCGCCATACGCAGCTTCTCGAATTCATACAACACGAAACAACTAGCTGTAGGACTCACAGTATTTTCAATTCCGAGGCCCATACCTTTTAAACTCTTTTTCTATCAAAGCTCAAGCGAAATAACTTCGACATTCTCTTACGAGCGAGTGTACTGGACTTTGAAACGATTCATGTGTGCTATGTGTTCGCAAAGAAACAATAACAAACATTGAAGATTTTACAAACTACAGCTCTCCGCATCGATTTGATCTTTACTAAACATCAACCCATTCGAACATTATCAACTAACCCCCAATAACGCAGTCATGACTATTGCAGAGGAATTCGCAACGCGCAATTTCAGTATGTATTCCTTTCGCTGAGCTTGTATAGCTTTGACTAATTTCGATTCTAGGTATTTATGGTCAATGGTAAGAAAATGCGACTCTTCCGAGCTCTCCAACCATCGCACCCAAGCCATTACATCATGAAGCACTGTTGAAGATACATGTCAAATATTATCCCTGCAGGCACATTCAGCATACACTGGAAACTGAGTAGTGGATATTTAAGAGTCGTGGAACAAATCTTCGGAATTATGTCTGACGAAAGATACAGGACCGGAGTTGTGTGCATACTTCTATGTTTCGCCTTGGGCATTGCGAATCTCTTCCATGTGAGCTTGCTCATCATCTTCAGTGCGCTATGCCTGTGAGTTTTGCCTTTGACTCTCTAATCGTGACAAAATTAACAACTTCCTCTCAGTGTGAGCTCTTTCCTCATCATCTTCATCGAGATCCCGTTGCTTCTCCGAATCTGCCCCACTTCTTCGACATTCGATACCTTTATGCGCCGATTCACAACTAATTATATGCGCGCCGCTATCTACATGGGAATGGCTATTGTTCAATGGCTTAGCATCATCATTGCAGCATCGAGTCTCATTGCTGCTGCAGTCCTCCTTACTATCGCAGCTGGTTTCTACGCGTTGGCTGGTCTTAAAGGACAGGGATTTGTGGGAAGCAAAACACTTGGGGGTCAAGGCGTCGCGCAAATGATTCTATAAATTCGGAATGTTTCGAGATAAACTGCATGGGACAAGTGGTGCAATTCGAAGCGCGGCGCGGAGCTTGGTTCATGGAGATGGATGGTGAAGTGCAACTTTCTAGTTGATTTACGAATAAGAAAATGAGAGAGCATGTGGGATTGGTGCAAGGCGTCAAGGATTAACAGCACATTGACTTTGGCTGTTTGTGTGTTTTCATGGTTGATTCCTTCAGCCGAGAAAAACCTGGAGTTTCTTGCGGCTTCAACTTTCTTCCTCTTGCTGGTGTACTTTTATACCTTTCGTTTCCTTTTTAAAGCCAAACCATATCAGTGCATCTGGATGGATTCTTGTTCGTATATGTCTTTTCTTCGAATGGAGTTGATGTGGAGAAGATAATTAGGTACGGGATTCAATGGAAAATGAGTTATGGGGCTTTTTAACGGCTTATGCCACATGGAGAGTATGGTGACTGAAAGAGTTTGTAAGTGCGAATGTGAAATTGGTTTTATGAATTACGCATTAGCAGTGGTGTGAGAACATTTAATCTTGGTGTCAACAAATAAGAAGTGTCATGAGTATTTGATGAAGGTCATGAGCTATTGTGAAGACCTGGGTGACTTTGATCATGTGAAGTGGTATGCTTGTGATACATTATCGCGGTGGTTTTATTTGTCGCTTCGACGGCTCTTGGCAGTTGTCATCGTAGGGTAATCTGAATACGGAGGTTTCGGGAAAGAAAGCTATGGATGAAGCCGATATCTTTTGGCCTATGATCAGCACTTTCTTGGGTTCGAAAGGTTCCAGGGGAGCTTCCGGTGAGCTTATCGTAAATATAGATCTAGTTTATAGGGGACCGGCTACACAGCTCCTTACAATTGTGACCCTTGTTTTGTATTGTGAGGTAATTCTCCTCTTCCATCTACTTTTTATTCCACACTGAGGTTAGAAGTAGGTGGTAATATCATTTCAATTGATGTCTAGTCAATTACGAACACCACTTCAAAGTGAACCGTCATCCCTACGGTTAAACGACGAATACTGACGACAGTCCTGACCGATCGAGCCGAGCCCCTCATCTTTTCGGACAATCATTCTTCCCTCAACTTCACCATTTATCCAATTAGAGCATTGGTGACGATCAATGAAGCCTTATTCAAATCGGTTTGTCAAGATGAGTACAAATGGAAAGCCGGCGATTGGACATAGGTGTAGTGGGGTGATAGTGACAGGTTTTGCTTCCTGAGGCCGTCAAAAAAGGTACAAGTCCTGAAGAAATGTGATTGGTTATAGACCTTTATGTCTGTCTCACAAGGACCAACCCCACCTATGATATACATTTTTGTGTGTAGTAACGGTGAAGTGGTGAAATACAGCCAGATGTTCAAGATTGGAATAACTGCACTTTGGGAGGGAAGAATATATGGCTATTCGAATGATATACAATACTAATATTTAAGGTTTTAGAATATAATAACGAATAGCAAATTCTGAATGATTTTTCGCAATAATTTTATATCTTTTCTTGAATCTCATTATTGAATTGCTCCTAACGATGACGATTCTTGGAAGGACTGCTTGGGGTAACATTTCCCCAAGAATCCTTGCTTAGCGTTCAAGCGTTCAAGCGTACAATATCAAAGAACGCAAATAAACCAACTTCATGCCGACTTGTAATTCTGGTACTTGACACCCCTCGTTTTGGCAGATATCGGCTTCAATGATTGAACTTAGCATTTTATTATTTTCAACCGTTTCACATTGGTAAGTCTGTTTGCCATTAACTGCCCCTATCGAGTCGTTCATTCGCAGATATACAGAGAGCTCCGCTCTATTCACAGCCTTCATATCTACCACTGTCTTATATTGGGTTTGATCTTCTGGCGACGAGTTGGAGTTCCATTTGAATTTATTATTGTACTGTACAACAAACATATCACTCCATTTTCTGCATACTCCACAACAAGAGTCTATGGCTTTGCATTCACAGCCTATCAAAATCAACAATCTTGTTGATGGGTTGGCATTGGCTATTTATTACCTTGTTCACTGAAGCTTAATCCAGTTAACATCCACTATTTTTGTATGGCATGCAACGAGTACTGATATAAATCTCAGAAATCTAGGCCGTTACATTTTCACAAGCTCTACATCAACAAATATGTCGACGGCAATTCCACAAGTACCTCCCAGACCTAGCAAGTCTCAGGAACAGGGGAACACCTCTTCTGGTGCCCCTTCTCTTGGTGATAATATACCACAAATCCCTCCAAGGCCCGCCAATCGACGTGCTGATCGTTCCGTTTCTCCTGCTCCTGAGAGTTTCGCACGATCGCCTCTCAACGATATGCCCGCTCACAATCATGGAAAGTCCTCCTTGTACGCTATGAGCAGTGCCAATAGCTCAACCTCAGAGCTCGAGGTTCCGCGTCGTCCAGCAAGCGTAGCTCTTCCCTCTATAGGCCAAGAGGGTAGCGAATATGCAGAGGCTTTCGGAGCTTCGGAAGATCTTAGCTCATCGCCAGCACAAACAAGGAATGTCGCCAATGATTTGAAGCTTCATGCTCCTAAGCCTTCCCATCCCGAATCCAGCGCTAAGGCCAGGGTATCTGCCGTTACTCGTACCGATTCTAGCCAAGCTGCCGCGTACGGCATAGGCAGAGCTGGAGATGATAGAGATGCTGCTTCTCGATCTTTGAGGAACAAATCAAGCTTTGCTAGCAATGCTTCTGGTATCGAGCGGCCACCATCGAGTACCGGTCATGAAGATGAGCATGGCATTCCTGAAATTGGTCAACGTGTTCCCATGTATCCGAACGCAGGAGATGTCCAAGCTCCATCGCCATCACCGTACTCAACCCCTTACGCTCCTGGTATTGGTTTCCACAACGATGGATCAAAGCGTCACCATGAGCGTAGAATAAGTGGTCGTGGGGCAGATGTTCCACCGGGAAGTTATGGTCTTCATGGACATGGCATTATTCCTCACGATCGCTTTGAAAAGGCCTATTATGAAAAACATCCTGAGGTAAGTTTTATGAGTGCATTAGTTTGATTGCTTGAGGGCTAGCTTCACAGGCGACCCAAAAATCACACAAACATAATACATTACTCAAGTGATAGGGTATCATAAATGGTACTTGCTATTCCAAGTTACATTCTAATATTGTTTAACAGCTTTACAAGAAAGAAACTGCTTCTTATCACGGACCTCTCGGCGAAGGCAGAGCGGACTGGGCGATGAGCAGTGATGACTTGAATAGGATTGTTAGAGATACTGCCAGTCGAGGCGCTGGTCTTGGTAAGGTGTATGATTGTGCTATCCAGTCATGATTCTAATTGTGATTAGGCACATCTCCAGCAGTGATGAGTACTCCTACCGAACAGATTGGATTTCAAGCTTCTGAAGAGTATGCGTCTCGCATGTCTTCCCCTCGTCCACAGTCTAGTGGACATCAATCTTCTGGCTATAACGTAGCGCATTCTAATGCTTCTCAAACCCACGTTGACTCGCCTTTGAAAAGAGAAAGCGTTCCTCTCGACGGCTCGAAGAAAGAGGAATTTGAGGGTGCTTTATCAAAAAGCCTCGATGATAAATCCGAACGTGCTTACGAGAGCGAAGTGGATGCTGATGATATCATCCATGTTGATAGTCGTCGCTCTAGCAGAATATACGATCCGGCCAATGAATCGAGACCATATTCCGCAGCTGGCCGGGAAGATGATGATCTTCGTGAGGAGCATGGATACAGTGCTCCAATTCTCGCTTCTGATGAAGTATCAAAAAGATCATCTGGTTATGAACTGCAACCTGCTGTTTCTCCGTCAATTGAACGCAGAAGCTTCTATGACGATCTAACATATGGGAGCACACCCGGAAGCAGACACACTAGCCGACCTGCAAGCATACATACACCAGTAGTGCGAGCAACGGAATCAGCGCCGTTGGAGGAAGTACATGAATACGAACCATTGTTCCCTGAGGATGAAAAACCAGGTGCTGTGGAAAAACCCGAAACTGCGGCTGATCGCCTTAAGCGTCCAGAGACCCAAAATCGTAAATTTCCAAGTCAAGATGTATGGGAAGATACGCCCAACAGTCTGCAGTACACTGCGACAGTTTCAACACCGCAACTTCCCGATCCGGATGAGGATCATGAGGACGCCCACAAGAAATCAAGAGAGACCCCAGAGCAAGCTTTTGCCAGGCGACAGGAGGAGCTAGCCGCGAGAGAATCTACAAGTACAGACAGTTTCTTGCATCCCCAAAAGAAAGCGTGGTCTCATAAACCACACCTTGCAGCAGAAACACGACCAAATTTGCAACAGCGATTCCCAAGCAGAGATGTTTGGGAGGATACTCCGGACAGTCTCCAATTGCAGACGACCGTATCGACACCCCAAACTCCAGAGGTAGATACCGTCACGAGCCCATTGGACGAAAGACCTACCACTGGTGCTGTCGTATTTCATCAGGAAAAGGCAGCAGCTGGCTTAGGACTTGCGCAAGATGAAGGCCGAGCTACGACTGGTATCCCAATGACCAAACCAAGTATCCCCGCTCGCCCTGTGAGATCAAATTCGCCTGACAAAACTCAACCTATCATCCCTGACCGTCCCGCACAGAAATCCAAACAACTGCCAACTACGGATGATGCAGGTCCTCCTCTACCATTGAAGTCCAAGCCACAAATTCCTGCTCGACCAGCAAAACCCTCTGCACGCGAATCATCGGAGAACATTCCATTGACAACTGTCCAATCAAACACTTCAGCAAAGTCGATTGACTCCGAGGCCAGCCCTTCTGCTGCAGTCAAAGCAAAGCCACCCGTTCCTTCAAGGCCACTTGGTGGTAAGATCGCTGCTCTGCAAGGTGGTTTCTTGGCGGACCTTAATTCACGCTTGAAACTTGGACCGCAAGCTCCAAAGAAAGAAGAACCCAAGCCAGAGGAGAAAGTTGAGGAAAAAGAAAAGGCTCCTTTGTCAGATGCAAGAAAGGGTAGAGCTCGAGGTCCTGCCCGTAGAGCACCTGCTAAAACTGCGGCCCCTGTCTCAGCGACCGCTCAAGAGTCGGTCCCTGCAACTTTAGCAACTTCAACACCATCTACATTGTGGTATATTGACTCTGATGAGGTCTTGCATGTAGAATCCAAGACGGATTCTAAGCCAGAGGAAAGCCGCTCCGCCTACCACAAAGGCAACTGAATCTCCAACCCCTACACTTGCAACAAACACCGCGGGTGAAAGCCTTCATGATGCTACAGAAATTGCAAGTGGTGCTGAGAAGAGTGCATCCTCTCCATCGGCAGAGAAGGACATACAATCGGAACAAAGAGAGGATATTCAGAAGGAAGCTGTCATTGCTGATGCTCACAGTAATGATGTCGAGCCGCAAAAGCCAAGTGATTCCCCTCCTGTTAGTGACACTGCCGTGGAGAGCACAACTGAACTTGAAGCTGTGACCGAGAATTAAGATCTTGCAGTTGTGGAGAATGTGCTATGTAGAGTAAACCGAGTAGTTAAGTTATCAGTGAGCTATGAATCATAGGTTTTATAGTATGAAGTACTATTGAGAAATGGTATTTTATATAAGTATCATGAGATTGTGTTTTTGTGACTGTATGATTGTGTGAATATTTCTTAGTGTAGAAGCTAGGACAATGGATGTGATTCGTATACTTTTAAAGAGATGGATAAAAATTTAGTAGTATGGATTTAGAGGTTTTTCAATGGTATTGGGAAGGAATGAAAGGAACAAAGAAATGAGATAGATATCATGGGATGAAATTGAATTGGGTTAGTTAGGTAGTTAGTTAGTGGTTTGTTTTGTTTTAGTGGTGGATGTTTATGGTTGAATTTTTAAGATTGAAGATTGAAAGTTGAAAGTTGGAGAGAGCTTGAGGGAGTTTTGAGAGGGAGCTGGGAAAGGGTTGTAGAGTATGTAGAATAAAGTGTAAGGTATGAAGATAAAGAGTGTGAGGGATTAGTATGGATGGTATGGGATTGGGATGTGGGATATGGGTAGGGGTAGGGGTAGGGGTGGTTTTAGAGAATTTGGGAATTTGGGAATTTGGGAAAAGAGTTGGTGGTGATGGGGATGTTTGTGGTCGTGGTCTGGTTGTGAGTATTTGGAATTGAAGCTGTGTTGACTTTGGTTGTTATCTGATTAATTGGTTGTTGATGGGATGGAATGGAGGCTCGAATGATGAATGGTATAAATTAGGACTGTAAGGAGATGGATAGGAGTGGGAGTGGGAAATATCGTGTAGGGTAAGATTTATAGGTGGATTGGAAATTAAGCTAGTTAAGCTAGTCTTTCTATATATTGTGTAATATGAGGGAGAAATGGGAAAGGGGAGAATTATATATCTCTCTCAATAATCTTGTCATGAATGTAAAGGCACAAAAATGTTTCTCAAAATTATATTGTGGGATGTTATGTTGGATACACACATACACAATGGATTGCAAAAAAAAAAAATGGATTGGGAATTGAGAGATGATGTATGTACTATTGGGAAAAGTGGGGCGTATGGATGGTATGGACTTGAAAACTGTGAAAGTTTGTTGACTAAATAAGTCATGAAGTACTAGTACATTGAAAATTTAGAGACGGACGGAAAATGAAAGCTATTGATTGGAGAGACTGGGAGTATAAGGTGGTGTTATGTAGAAGGGCCTAGTATGTAGAGCCACTGGTTGACAGCTAGAGATACTTAACAGCACTTGCTGGAAAAGTTTGAGAGCTAGGTATGAGTCTCTAGGAGATACGGCGCCCGAAAAGAAGGTGCATGATTCAGATATTCTTTGGGGAATCGGGATTATGGTTTGGTTATTACAGGTATAGGTAACTCAATTATGAGATCGTTTTACGAAAAGACGACAGATCGAGAATCGAAATACATTTGGTATAGGGTTCTGTGCATGTGGTATCGTGTATCTTTGAAAAATATTTGGAACGAAGATTCAAGAAATAGGAATACCGGGGGTCTGGAGATAAAAGCTCTCTGCATATTTGACGGGATGTGACTAAACAGATGGGAACAAAATGATGTCCCTTATCATTGGTTGAAATAAAAAGAAGTTTGGGTATTAAATTAGCATTTACTGAATAGCTACTCATAATCACCTTGTGAGACGATAAATTCGATCCGTACATGTCGATCGCAAGTGGTCGAGATAACTTTCGTTTGGAACATCAATTATGATACGTGTCCAATCAACAAGTTAGCTTTGGGCTCTAGGCTTAATCGGTGGCACTTGCCTTGCTTAAGTTATTTTGCTAGATTTAGATTATGTTTGTCTTTGATTTTAGTGTGAGAAGTTTTGAAGTTGTCAGATTAGATGTTGAGGAATTGTCATCTTGCAGCTCATAAATATATATTCATATCTCATATCCTCCTTCCCTTGCACATGCAGACGAGTAATGCTCAATGTGATTTTATAAATGAATGGAATTGAAATCAGTTTTTCCTTGATGATAGCTCTTTCTCACATGTTCATAAACAAAATATAGAGCACTAAAACGTATTTCCTTGAGAAGAATTGAAATGTTAAAAATAGTATAGTATAGTATTGGATAGTATGGAGCTAAAATATTAAACTTCAAGTTGAAGTGATCAGTCGGGTAATATCCGTTATATAGAGGGAGATCCGCATTGCCCATCCAAAAAGATGAGTTCTCACGCCATAGTAGCTCAATCTAGGTAATTAGTTCTAGAGCTATAACTTTAGCGAGGTAGTCAAAAACTCGCTAGCTTGCCCCTTCCCGGATTCCAATGCCGAGAGCTCCACTACCGAATATTTTCTCCACAATTATTTGAGGCTCTTGTTGGGGACATTTATGTCGGGAAATAGTTATAACTTATGGATAGTGGCAATCATGATGTTTTTTGTAGAGTCTTGCCTATAGGTAAATGCTGGTATGTCATTTTGGGTTCGTGGCGCGAGAGGGGGACTGTAATAAATGGCAGTGATTTTGACGGTGGGAAGGAAATCTTCATAAGTGCCTATGTTGGCCGAGGTTTATTTGGTGAAAAGTTCTGCATTTTGGAGGTACTCATTTTAGGAGTATTAGTGACTTAGTTTTGATTAAGTAGATATACTTGAATATAGTTACTTTTAGGGGAAAACTAGTCATTCTCGGGGGAGCGTCTCTTCGTGACTAAACTAGTCAATTGTTCTATCATTCTGGCCACAAAAAGGCCAGAATGCCCCGGACATTTAAAAGCATCCATAAGAAATACTAGAGGTCAAATATAAAAAATTTTCATTCCCTAAAAAGCATTTCCTCTTGTGGAATCCTGGACCTCTCTCGCTTTTTTCACCCTCTTTTATTTCGAGAAAAGTATTGATGTATGATATATTTATTTTTCTACATAAAATTGAAGGGTTCACAACTAATGATCGTACCTAGAATAACAAACTACGTCAATATGGCTGCGTGTATGTCTTGGTTGCCGCACCTTGCAGTCGTCACACCTCTCCCGGCAGTAGCTTTTGGAGCAGACTACGGCGAAGAGGTCAATCCGGCTTCTCAATTCAAAACAAAAACGATACCGGATGGTATCATGCCACCATTGCCGGATTTTGGGGTGCTTGCAGAGAATCCTTTGAGTAGGTGGGATGATCAGAATCTTACGCTTACCACGAATGTTCCAATACTCGGAAATTTTCTCGCTAGGATGCACTTGTCAAACGGGTATGATTCCAGTCTTCTTTTCATAACTTCAACGTAGTACATCATGTACGAGGACGTACGCTGGTCTTAATAATAGATATATTGGCCTCGCTGAAGCCTCACTTGGCCCTTTCTTTGAGAAAGATTTCAATCAAACACATCGGGATGGGAAGCAACCAACAGAACCATGGCCAGAATTTAATCCTCGTCAGACCTTTTCCGGCATTATAGGGTTCTTCGACAGACAGCACAATACGACTGAAACAAATTATCCAGAGCCTCTCGACCGGGGTAATGAGAGCGTCATCTCTGGTATACCTCACTTTACCGACATATATGTTACAGTTGGTGAACAGGTACTTAACGCTACTGTAGACCTAGATACAATATCAAACTATAGCAGTTCATTGAACTTGATGAATGCCACAGCACATTGGAGTTATACGTGAACTCCAATTGTAAACGGTAGTTCAAGCTTTGAGGTTGAGTATATGGCATTCATCAGTGCTGCCAGAATCAATGTCGCTGCTATTCAGCTTAGTGTCACGCCATTGAACGGGACAGCAGAAAGCATCACTATAACAGATAGTCTGGATGGTAGAAGTGCTGTCAAATCATTCCTTGGACAGAAGGGTAACGATGCTTCTTCTATATACGTTTCTAATCACCCAAATGGCCTTCAAAATGTCTCGGCATGGACAGTTTCTACGGCAAAATTTTCGAGCAGCAACACTAAATCTATCTCGCCGAGGTCTATCGTGTATCCTAGTGATGATACACTGACTATTGGAAAAGAATGGGAGTTTGAGCTCAAATCTGGACAGCCAATCACCTTCCATAAATTCGTCGGTATTGCCTCGACGGACAAATTCTCCAACGCACAATTGATAGCTAGTCAAGCATCCAGGAATGCCACAAATGATGGATGGGATGTACTTCTTGCCGAACACACTGCGATTTGGAATCAGCGTATGGAAAGAAAAGTCGTCGATTATAGAAACCCAGCCACCGGTAATTTACCAATAAATGATACCCTTGCTGAGGTTGATCAAATCAATGCTGCAGTTAGTCGATATATGATCCTCCAGACTCTCCTTGGGGAAGACGGCAGCAATCTCAACGACAATGGCATTGGTGTTGGAGAAATTACTGCAGACCCGTACGGTGGCATGACTTTTTGGGACATGGATATGGATTTTCCCCGGTATAGCTCTGACTGATCCCGACTACGCTCTCCGAATGATCAAATATCCGGTCAAGATGTACGCTCAAGCTAAAGCCAATGCACAGGAGGCTTACGTACAGGAAAAATACAAATTCGATAATGATTCCGTGTTATATTCTTGGACTTCGGGTAGATATGGCAATGCAACCGAGACGGGTCCCACATTGGACTATGAGTATCACATTAATACGGATGTGGCGAAGATGATGTTAGATTATAGAGGAATTACCAACAACGAAGAATACTTCAAAGAAGAACTTTGGCCAGTAGTGGAGAGCGTAGGTCATACTATCGAGGGAGTACTTCAGAAGGATGATCAGGGAAAATGGAATATCTGGGACATGACCGATCCTGATGGGTGGACTAATCACGTCAAAAATGGTGCCTTGACTCAAGCATCCTTCTTTCAAATCATGAACTCCATCATCTCTATCAAGAAGTAATACAACGAGACGATTCCAGCTACTTGGCTCGACATCGTCGAAAAAATCACCATTCCCGTTTCTTCCTCCGGCATCACTCTCGAATATGAAGAAATGCCCTCCAACACAACCGTCAAACAAGCCGACGTAACTCTGCTTCTCCATTCTCTATCCCTCCCGGAGTCGTCTAAAGCCATAAATTATACACTGGAAAGAAAACAAGCGGACCTTCAATATTACACGCAAAAGCAATCGCTCCATGGCCCAGCCATGAAATTCGCCATTAACACCATTGCTACACTCAGATATGGAGGTTCTGGTTGTTCAGCCTCTACCTACAACAAGATGGCCGTATTGTCCAATCTCCACGCTCCATGGTTCCTAATGAGCGAACAAGCGAATGATGATACTAATGCTAATGGAGGATACCCTCCTGCATTTCCATTTTTGACCGGTCACGGAGGTACAATGCAAATTGCTTTTTACGGATACTTAGGTCTTCATTCCTCGCAAGAAGTTCTCACAATCCAGCCTACCCTTCCTCCACCCAAATGATATCTTACAATGCATGAGTTCACGTGGGCGGGATATACTTTCAGTGCTAGTATAAATACCACACATACCAATATCACCTTTACTGGAGTGTTACCTTCTTCCTCAAATCCTCAGGACAAAACTTCGGTTCCCATGGTGAAAACCTCCCTGCATCTCGCCATCCACAAATAAATTATACACTTTCGCTCAATCAGACTCACACATTAGAAAATGACATGTACTGGCAAGACATCACCACCCCAAATAATCTCCTTCAATGTCTTCCCATCATCGCATCCGATGCCTCCGAGCTAAATCGCTGGCCGGAGAGCATCAACGATGGGGATTTAGGAACGAATTGGCAGCCCGAAAGTACTAATGAGTCTTCTATCTCTACTGACACCAGCTCCGTCCAAGGCGAAAGAGTAAAGATTATTAGTGTGGTATGGGGACAAAGACTTCCTACTAGTGCCATTGTTGTGGTTTTTAATTCCACCCATACATCTGAAGGACATAACTTTCCCCTTCCTCTTCCTGATCTCGATATTTCGGGCGTAGGAAATACAAAAATCATCAAAGATATTGATTCACTATCAGATATTACGTCTTTGGAGGACTCTCCGGACGCCAATGGGGAAGAGGATGCCGGGGACGATGTGAGGCTTGAGGAAGGTCTTAAGACGACTTATATGCTACCTGATGATAAAGTAGTATATATGGGAGATACAGTTCAACTTCGGATTTCCGAGTGTTTAGGTAGTAGCTGTGGAGTTTTTGGAGATGAGTCAGGCGCTACTGTTGAAGAGTGGGAGATTATTGGCGAAGCTTAGATTGAGGATTTGAAGGATGGAATCACAATTGGAGTTAGAATTGGAATCGGAGTTGAAGGTGGGGCTGGAATTTAGGTTGGAATTAAAATTGGAATGGATTTGCAGTTGAAGATAGAGTTGGAGTCGGCGCTGGTATAATAGAAGATTACCTTTTCATGACCCTGGGATAATAAATGTTTAATATTTTATATTTTATATTTCATTTTAATATAGATATATCCCACATTCAATACCTAACCTTCAATATTCTATTTCTCTATGCTTAATAGATTCGAGGATTTATTCATTCCGTCCTTATTTCTTTGTTATAATTATGGTCTTTCTTCAATTCTATTTTTCTAGTGTTTAGTAAGACTTAGTTATCCCAGACAAGTAACTCAATCCTCCTTTTATACTAGTCCTCTCCTGGTTCGAGACGGTCTTTGTTTATAGGATTCAAAGTACTAGCCATAGCTTATTCGAAAAAAGAAGGAACCCTCTGAGTCATCTCCTCTCAAATCTTCACTTCTTCAATATCGTTCTTTCCGATCTTTAGCTCGACTTTTTTTGTTAATTGTACTCAGATAAGGAGCATTGAGATACATCTCAGAGCAGTCCATGTTAGGTCCAAATCTGAGATACATTACCTAAGATCTAACCATGCATCCAACTCTGTTCAATAAACTAGGATAAACAGCATCTACAATGCAAACGGAATATGCACAAGGATTTATTTAATGCCCAAGTATCTACCCTAAATACCTGGATAACTCTTTCTTTGATACAGCCAGCCGACAGTACATGTTGTCTAGCGGACCGTGTCTCTTGAGTATAAAGTTGAAATTTCAGCTAATGGTTGCGAAGGCAAAAGAAAGTCTAGCGGATTGTCACGCCATTCTTCGCGCTCTCGAACAGGAGTGTATAGGCAATGATAGATTCTTGATCGCCAGTTTTTACTGCAACACCTTCCAGATTGGCATTTAAAGCAGTGATCAAGCACAAGAAAGCTGTTTTGCGAATAGGGGACACAGTGAGAGTATCATTTGAAGTGGAGGATGACCCCAGAAACGCAGGAGATGGAGTTATTCAGCAACTGAAAAGAAGCGAGTACCCTAACATTTAGATATGAATGACTTTGAGGGTTGGTTATGGAGAGACGAATGAGATATTGTGATTGGTAGTGCGTTACCGAGCCTTTGTTGTCGAAATTATTTGCGGTCTGCAATCGAGAGGAACGATAAACGATCCCGAATTTGAAAACTTGAAAGGTAACACGTGTTACTATGTTACCTAGTGGCCGGACATATCGGGCTTGTAATAATGCAAGACGAGCAAAGAGGGGCCGAGTAACTCCACTCGCTCTTGAAGTAGGGATTGATGTCTACATATCTTTCTCTTCTATCACTTCTTGCTACAGCTCAAACAATGACGAATGATCGTTCCAACATTTCACATTCCACATTTCACTGGACCCATTTCACTCTCCGTTAGTTTGAGACCGGAAAAAACCCTAGAATTCGAAAGTCCCTCTTGGAGCGCAAACCTCGAAGAAACCGTGACTTTAAGATTTGAACGGGGATTTTGAGTGAAAAGAAGTCATTACACATCATAAAATGAACAACATTCCGCCAGCATTTGTTCTATCTTGGACATCCGGTAGAGTGGTAATTCTCTGCCCATTTCCATCGTGTGATCAGAAGTTACATGGCCATGGCTACTCCATTCCAACCAAAGACCATCTTAATTCTAGAGCAGCACATTGTTACCCAAGACGGCCGTTGCAATATAGAATTCTATTCCCGTATGAAGACGATCCTTTGGTTCGGAATATCAATTTCTTGTTGGATCGAAGAGGAAAGAAGTGGATTAGTGTTGCCGATGGACTAGTAGACCCGAGAGTCGATGAGGAAGAAGAGTTGCTTTGCAATGAATTAGCGAAGACTCAAATTTCGAAAACTAGGAATCAGTCGGAGGAATACGTTCTTGATAGCAAGGAAGCGCAGTGGTTTTTGTCCGAATGCACTCGCGGCGATCTAGACAGATGTAAACGCAGGCTCGAAAAGTCGGACCATAAAGAAATACTGGTGAAAGGAAAGGATTTGTCTGATGGTAGGACTGCGCTATCTCTTGCATGTGTAGAAGGTCATTTGGAAATCGCCGGCTTATTGGTCAAGCATGGTGCTGGTCTGGAAAGTTTTGACAATGATGGAAGAACTCCAATAATGGTAGCCACTGCCAACCATCATGGCGAGCTAGCATATTTTTTAGCGCAGCTTGGTGCTTCGCTATTTGTGAGCGATAATACGTCTACGACATTAATTAAAATGCTCAAGGCTGCGCTTGAGAAGGTAACTGAGTTTGATATGTCAGATGCCACTATTTTCATCCATGACTCAGAAGAATCATCTGAATCTTCCGACCGAATGTACAAGCATAAACTTTTCCTTGGAGCCAAAAAGAAAAGCAAAAAAGGGTTCAGGGACTTGATTGATCTCTATATGGCATTAAAGCCCGAAAAATATGTTAGCACGGGATCATCGACTGGACCAAAAGGCCACAATGCATTTAGCATTGTCCATTCGAACAAAAATAATAGGGCACAAGTCTCTTTCAGCAAGACCCTCTTTGAAACTGAAATGGGCAGAGAGAGCAAGACATTCGCATTCCTGGATCGCGGTGAACTTTTCGACCACATTCAAGCCGTGGCTCTAAGCGGCTTCACATCGGGCGATGTTGGGGCCAAAGATGGCTGCTTAGACCGTAGTCTCTGGACTTCAAGAGTTATGAAGTATTGTAAAGTGGTAGGACATGAATTGGGGCGCGTCGACCAAAATGGCAAAAGTCCCAGAAGAATATCATGCTTTCCATGCGGAAAAACAGCTCATGGCGTATTTCTTGTGGATGCATACAACAATAGACGTGGAGTTTGAATATAGCTACAGAGACCAGGATTATAATTGTAGCAACGATGACGATGACGATGACGATGGTAAGGCAATATGGGGAAATTGTGCTGAGATTCGCCAATTGGAAAAATGCAAGCCCGATACCACATCAATCAGAAAGGATATCTATGTCTCAAGACTCCCTTGTCTAGATTGCAAAGATTTCCGGGAAAGAATTCATAAAAAGACAGGAATCTTGTTCAACTTTTTTTTACTTAAAACCAATTATGGCTTGATTCTTTTACAAGGAGTTTTTGAATTCTTTCGACTACTTCTTTCTGTCTCCTTTCCACCCCTTCGATGCTGTAGGGAGTTTTAGATATCTTAATACTGTTTTTTTCTCTCTTCAACCGTTCTGAAATAACAAGATGAAAGGTTTAAAACAATGACACTCAGGATCTTTAGAAAGAATTTGATCACATAACATAACAATTCTGAACTTTCAAAACTGATCTAGTACCAAAGATCTAGGAATAAAGCTGATATCACAAATACATCTGAATGTCTTCATACCATAACAAAAGTTAACCACGAAGGAGGGAGAACGAACCGTTTGATCTGTATAAGAACACCCCCCCCCCCCCCAAAACACCCCCCCAAACCCCCAAGTAGTGAAGTTAAAAAATGAGTATCTTCCTATCTACCCAGAAAAAGACCATACCTCATAACTAGTATGGGAAAGAAACAGCCAGGGAATACTCGCAAGCATATCTCAACAACAACAAAAAAGCACTTGAGACTTTTCAATATAAATCACAAAGAGTAGTTGTACCAATTTAATTATTCATTGGCATTCTATACGGTTGCTAAACGCACGCATTGATTCGTCATTCATTCATTCATTCCTTCCCAGCCCAATCCCCATCTCAATCCCAACCCCAGTCCCATTGACGATAATAATACTAATACTCCTTCTTTGCCCTCCCTGGATATAATATGTTGATACTCGAGTATGCCCAAACCGCGCCAAAGTAGTCTTCCCAAACTGTTTTACAAGGACCAACACTTGATTGTCCAACATTCTACAAAAATTGTAAAATTACAAAACTCTTAATCTAATTCAATCTCTAATTCAGCACCGCCCAAACTTTCTCTTCCTGCCTCTCTGATTCCTTTTTCTGTCACGAAGCGAGTTTTCTTTTTAATCCCACCAATCGTATTGGCTCGCTTACGCTTACTAATAGGACTTAATCGAACAGAAGGCTTAGTGCCAATAAGGCCAAGCTTCTTAGCATCAGGTGGAGATGGTTCTCTGTCTCTGCTGTTCTGCATATCTTGTGGGTTAGGTTGTACTAGATTACGTTTCTTCATGTAATCAGCACCGAGTCCTCCACCCATCATTCCCAATTTCCTGCCAAGTTCTCTCTCCTTCTCTTGAGCTAGGAGTTGTCTAGTCATTCGGTCTTCCTTTGTGCTACCCCTGTGGAAAGCATCCGGATCGAAATCGACATCGTCCAGTAAGTTCACAGCACTTCTTTTGCCAATGTAGATTTGGCTATGACTTTCTCTGTCATATTTAGTCTTTTCTTCCTTCTTAAGTTCTTCTCGACGTTGCATATAGCCTGTCGTGCCCTGAGATTTGTATTTCCGTTCTGTTCCCCCTCCTCCATAATTGCGTTTGGGGCCAAAACTCATTGTATTAACTTCCATGCGGTTTGCATGGGTCTTAATAAGAGAAAGATTTACGTGAAAGTCGCAGAATTCGGTGTGTCGTTTATTGACCCATGTATCACAAGTTTTACCGTCTTTCTTGACGCTCTTGCAATATCCTAGGTCTCTGTTTGTGCCGATTTCGAGTATAGTATCGTCACTTGAGTTGAGCGTGAGGCTAAATTTGCCTGTGTCGGTTTTTCCTCGAGCTGGAGGCATAAATCCAGGGTTGAGAAGGGCGATAACAGTTCCAGGTGTGAGTTTCCAGAACTTTTCAAATGCTGTTTTAAAAAGGAAAAGCTCAATTTCCCATTTGAGGTCGGTGAGAATAAGGATCATGAATTTGCCGCCATTCTTAGCTTGGTCCTGGTGCGCACGTGGTGCAGATTTTGCGGCAATAGTTGCGAATACAACTACATCTTCTTCGATTTCTGGACCCGCAAAGTCAGGCGCTTTGACTGTTCTCAGTAAATCAGGTATGACGAAAGTTTTCTTCCCTTGAAGGGTCCGGGTAAGCACTTGGTGAGGAATAATTCGTTTGGAGAGGTGAGATGAGGAGTATGGTTCGAATTGCGAAGCTTCTCCATCGGAATTTTCTGATGCAGCTTTGCTCGGATTGCTATTTGAGCGCGTTCTTTTCAGATTATCAAAGGAAGTTTGCATATTTTTGTTTTGTGAATCAGGTCCCTTTTCACGTGAGTTTGGCCTAGTCAAGAATTTTGTTTCAGAGCCATTCCTTATTGCTGAGCGAAGAGAGTCAAATGAACTTTGGGAACTCTGAGAGCTCGGCTTCGTGTTTGTTTCGTTGCTTTTTTTCAATGCTGAACGTCTCGAGGTATCAAAAGAACCTTGGGAATCCTGTGAACCTCTTCTCAAGCCGGTGTATATTTCGTTGCTGTTTTTCGACTCTGAACACCCCGAACTGTCAAAGGAACCTTGCAAGCCTCGTGAAACTGGCCTGCCGGATGTTTCCTTGCCGTTCTTTATTGTTGAAAGTAAATTCGACGTAGTTTTGTGGCGTCTCAATTCTCCGTTTGATTTATTGTAGGAATTCAAGACTTCCTCTCGGCTGAATTCTTTGGTGGGGGCGGGATGGCTAGGCAATTCAACTGCGTTATTTTTGAACGACTCCATCTGTTTTTGGTCGATATCGAATGCTGAGCTGCGGGTTTTCTTGATACGAGCAGCTCTTTCCTGTCGCTCGGTATCCGCAGCCCTGATTGCAGCCATTCTCTCGCTAAAAGATTTAGGTCTCTCCTCCAGATTTGAATTCTGCGATGCAGGTGCGCGGTTTCCGGTTTGTGATTGACTTCTTTGTAAGAATGGCCCCGTTCGCTTTGAATTGTTGAATTCTGACTCTAGATTCTTCCTCAAACTCGGTGCTCTCTTCAAGGAAACATCGGTTCCTTTCAACCCTTTATCTATACCAAGTAAAACCCTTCCGGGCGAACGTGGGAGCTCGGCAGGCTGAACACGGCGCGGTGGTGATGCTGGAACATTAATCTCGGCGCGCGATTTTGGCCTTTGTAACTGCCTCTCCCTCAATCCTGCCAATCTTGAGGGAGCCCTATTTGTCGCCGCAGAATTTGCTCTTAGGAGAACCGATGCAGGCCTGCGATCCTCAATTTTCTCATTCTTCTCGCCCTCTGAATCCGAACTCTGCTTGCTCTTCTTCTGCAACTTCTTTAATCGGAGTCGAGCTTCAATTGCTTGAAGTTTCAATTGCAAGATTTCCTCGTCATCGTCATCATCACCTCCCATTTCTTCCATAAACATATCCGCTTTCATTCGATCTTTGCCGGTAGCGTGTGATAATGGCGACACAGGGAGTGGTCGTTTCGAAGGAGATGCAGTAGGGGAAAATCCTGTTGCAAATCGTCGCAGTCGATCGCGGCCGCTGGGTGTACTTAAAAGCGCTTCTCTGGGAGATCTTGGTGGCCATTGAGCCTCTTCAGCACCACCTTTTCTAATGGTTAGTCATATTTTTATACATCGCATGAAAGTGCACATACCTTGAGACATAATAAGCACAATAATTATGTGCAAGCAATGAAACAAGCAGGTAATGAAGCGGTTTAAACTAATTTGGTATCTTGATACCGATTCTCGTGGAATATTGTTGTTTATCATGAATACCAAGCAGATAATGCAAAGCTTGGGGTAATTGTTGATTTGTACTGATTTGTTCTAATTTATTCTCCAGAAACCTAATTGGTAAAGACTTGTACAAGTTTATCATGTACACTGTACAGTGATTTAACAAAATTGAAGATTAAAGTTGCTTGTGCTTGAAGAACGAAGAGCATCTGTTGATCGAAGATGAGAGCGCAGGGTCTGATAAGGCGAAGGTAGGATTTCCATCTGCAACGGAAGCATAAGCTATGATTCGTGTTATTGATATTCTTTATTCCTTTTTGGTGTAGCTTATTCTTTGGCGCAATAGACGGTCCAAATAGGTAATTGAGCTAGCTGAAGGTTTAACTTTGAGGTTCTCGTTCGCTCCAATTTCAATTTCAGATTCAGAAAGTTTATGATGAAGCAGAACCCCGGATTTCAAAATACCCACTGTCAAGCCAATAGGCGCTCCCAGCCTTGTACTTTAATTTAAAGCAACCATTTATTGGTCCACTGTTGTCCTGAAATCTGACTAAGCCGACGCGATTTTATGCAACGCGATAAGACGCGACTTCTTAAAGTGGCAGAGTCTTGGTAGACTCTGTGGATTCATTCAAAACTCAAGTACACATACATTTGACTATTTACGACTTATTGAACAATTCTACAACAATCATTCGATAGTTCTGAATATGGTGGTAAAAACTAGAGGGAGACCAGCTACCAAAGCTGCGGCAGTGGAGGCAGAGCCCTCAAAAGCCGCTGACCCCAAAGTCAAATTACAGCCAGATGATACCAACCCGCCGAGGGTTTTTATATTACCAAAGGATATCAGCACGGAGGCCCGAATTATCACACTCGCAAATCCTAGATATGCAAAGGATAGTCGATATCTTGTATGCCCCGATAGAGGTTTCAATGAATTTACCCGAATAGCTGCGCCAAAAATAACACCTCGAAGTTGGTTACTTGTACCAGAAAATGGGCCAGCCGTCCCCTTGAGCGAGCAACTACTTAATGATGAAGCGAATGACAAAGGAGAGTCTTCGACGAAAGGTTATGTCACGAAAGGAGCTGATCTTTTCATTGCGACCCCAATTGACTCCTTATTCATTATCCTCCCTGCTCTTGTACCCCTATCTACAACTAAAGCTTCAGACCCTCCTAAGAGATTATTCCTGTCTGGCGAGGACTATATTGACAAGTTAATATCTATATCACCACATCTTCGCTCTTTCCTGAGAACCGGTCCCTTACGAACAAGTCTAGAAAAGAGAATGGCTGCAGTGTGCGACACGGCGGATGCTGGCGACGAAACAATGTTGAGAATAAATGAGGAAAAGCTATTCAGTGAACTTTTACAGAAAGCAAAGAAGATGGCTGAGCACGGGTTGCCTGCTAGCATGGAGGAAAAACTTATCAGAAAGGCGCTGGACACACCAGTTTTGAGTATCAACCGGGGGGAGGAATCAACCCATGAAGGATCAAAAGAGGAAGCGAACACATCGGCAGAATCAGGTACTTCTACACCACGAACAGACTCGCAGGACACACAAGCTACAGATTTATCTGTAGATACTGCGGCAAGTTCATTATCAGAAGCTTCAACTGCAGCAACATCAATATCGAGCCATTCGGCTGTTGCATCTGAAGACGAGAAGATAAGCGTACCATCGATCGATGCACCTGAGGGTGTTGCAGATCTGCTGCGCATCCGCACAGCGTTTTTCTTCATCTGCTCGAATTATATAGCCCCTCACCTCAGTGAAATACTGAAGAAGTCTTTGAAATCTTCAGCCTCACCTGTTGACTTCACTCCCTTGGACAGCCACCTCGCATATTTAACGAAATTACGACAAGACGCTATGGCGGCCAGGTCAATGGGTGATTATTCGAGAAAGCGAGCAATGGTCGGAGATGATGAAGAGATAGAGACACGCGCAGAAAAGAAGCGCAAACAGGACGAGGAGGATAGAAGGAGGAAGGCTGGTGAGAGTCGAGGTGTCAAGAACTTAAAGAAAGTCAACACTAGTGGCATGAAGAAGATGAGTGATTTTTTCAAAAAGAAATGATTGTACCTATTCTTAGAGGAAGTTGGCGTTAGAGCGGGCTTTGGCTAGGGGTTTCGGGTAAAATCGATCCGGATTGGCACATTTTAGATACCATCATGTAGAATATTGCAGCGAATAATTTGAATGATTTATCGTAAGCCTCGTGCTCTTCCTCGTGGGATACCTCGGCCAATACCTGACCCACCTCTGCCAGTGCCTGTGCTTGAACCTGTCGAACTTCCACGACCATATCCTGACGAGCTAACACTTCCAGTTCTTGACAACCCTCCTCTAGTCCTGCCTCTCCCTCCCCTACTACCACGAGCTGTTGTGCCGGCTTGTCTTTGCCGTTCCTCGTCCTCCGCTCTTTGCCTCGCAGCTTCTCTTCTTCGCTCCTCCTCCGCTGCTCGACGTTCAGCAGCTTGAGCTTTCAACACCTGCTCATTCTCCATATCTGCAATGTCCTGACTTGCACCTCGCCAATTCGGATTTAGGATCAACCTTTGATTGTGTTCCGTCTGCGATAGTATGCGAATCCATGTATTAAGCAGCGTTGAGGCTGATGTGACTGTTTGTGAAACTGTCTGAAATGATCCTTAGCTACGATCCAATATCTATCAATACACAAATTTTTCTTACATCCATGTTTCCTTTGGCAAGATCTAAGCTGCCCAGCACTCCTTCTATAAGTTCATTGATATTGCGTACTCCTTCTAATTCCTTCTGCAGAGCCGCTTCCCTTGCTGTCTCAGCATCATATTTTGATCCTCCACTTCTATGCGCCGGCCCGCTGCTCTCTGCAGTTTTGTTTGGTGCCTTTAATTTCGATTTTGAAGGTCTGGAGGGGGATGCAAAAAGATCCTCATTGTCTGATTCTGATAGGTCTAGCTTGCCAATATCTGGGGTAGCCATGGTCCAAGATGCAAGCAAGGTCAAGGTCAAGGTCAAGGTCTAGGTCAGTGGGTTGATAAGGGAAGTTCAAGTTAAAGTCTTTCTAGAACTGTTTGAAACAACCTAAATAATAGGCTTTAACGCGTAAAGTCACGTAAAGTCACGTCCAATACAGTCCAATATAGTTCAACATAAGCTGTCAACAGTCAAATCCATCATAAATCGTCCGAGCGTCTTGATACTAATGAAGGCCTAAGGAAATCAACATGGCTGGGAATCTTTCTTCCGGCCTCCTGCTTTTTTGGCCATGACAACAAACAACACAAATATCACAATCCCTTCAATCTTATTCTTGTCTAATCCCTTCCTTTATGCAATTCTGCCATTTATACAAGAATAGTTTGATTCCTTTGCTTAGCATTTCAGCGTCATCGCCTTGAACCCGCAAAATTCACACTTTTTTTGTACCACATCAACAGCAATAGCTACCACCATAACTACAGTATCAACAGTTAATTATTACCATTGTTGACTTTACCGATCTATATGTATCCAGTCAGTTGGAGATATATTCACTTTTATAAATCATCAGCTTTTATGACGGTTGAATATTCATCTTAAAATTCTATCCACCTATCCGATCTTTTGGGAGCAGGTTTTCACAACATAACATTCGACTGGACAACCATCCAATTCCTCGAGATTATCTTTTTCAAGCAAACATGGCTACCTCTACTTTGCGACCAAGTACCCCTCCACCTTCGACTTCCCTCAAAACACCTTCAACACCACGCTTTGGATATGATGATAATTACGAACCTTATTCGCCCAGGAAGTCAAGTCGAGTAGCTTCAAGAGCAATTCGGAACGCGGTAACTCCACCACCTCCAACTATCAAACAAAATATTCGCAACAATCTTTCTACTCCACAATCGACACCTCGAGCCGCTAGAAAGGTCGTATTTTCCGGTACACCACAACATATTCACTCCTCGCAACCTAAATCTCCTCAGACTGCGATAAAACGACGCGCACCTAGATCGGCTACCTCTATCGAAGGGCGACAAGTTTCTGGCGCACTGAATCTCGACAACACAACCTCCGCAGCTACAGCTCTTGGTCTAACTCCCAAAAGTAAAAAGAGAGAGCATAAGATGGACCACCATCAGCGACCTGGCACAATGGTTCGTGGCGATGGCATGCTACCAACACCTTCTAAGACCCCACGTCACCCCAAGCAAACGGAGGAATTGAAAGAAGGAATTAACGCGGTTTCTCGTACCCTTTTTACCTCAATCCATGCTGATAATTCAGCGGATGCCATGCCAAAACCGAAGAAGAGCCGCAAGAGATTCGACAACTATGGCCTTGATAGCTCATCTGTAGATGAACCAATTGCTATCTTCACCGATTCTGAGGACCGCATTCCAGAGGTCGACAGCCATTCCGATAATCCTTTCTTTGGTAGTAGCCCTCCACAGAATACTAGAGGCAGAAGCAGAAAGCCCAAGTTGATTCACGTTCCAGGAGAGGAAGACCAAACTATGGAGCAGCTTATGGGTCGTGAGGATGGACATGTTGCCAATTTGTAAGTTGCATATTCTTCCTGATCTAGAGACCAATTTTGCTAACTATTTCTGCTATAGCCGTGGTAAACTAATCTTCAAAAAGAAATCGAATGTCTCCACGAGTCATAGTCCAACTCGAAGTGGAGGCCGTGCTGAAGTCATGGTTCTCGACCAAAGTTTTGCTAGCGAGTCTATTGGGCCAGTCACACGCTCATGCAGACGCCAGCTGTTCACCAAAAATCGCCAACCTCCTGCCATTCCACAAGTCCAAGTCACCGAAGACGAAGAGGAGGCTTTGACTGACATCGAGGAAAAGTTTGATACCGACGCGACAGACACGGATATTGAGGCACGCACTCCATTCCATATCCAGGGTCTTCTGACTCCCGATGCACCAAGATTTGGACCAACTTCCTCAACAACTATCAAGAGAGCTACACGCGCTACAAAGAGATATGACGTTGTCGAATCGCCAGTAACTCCTCCACGTCGCGGTCGATCCCAGGTCACTAGTCCATTTAAATCATCCGGGAGTGACAACAACTCTGAGCGCGCAGCGAGAAAGCGTGATGGAGAAGCCGCTGCAAGACCTACTGAGGAAGTGAAGAGAGCACGTAACTAGGCCTTCATTAGGGCTCTTGCTATGCGCTTCTTGTTTGTTCTAGGGTCATTGGAAAGAAGATTGATTGCACATTGGTAAACGCATTGGACGGGCTGGGCGGGAGTTTTTGCAGAGCTTTTTGAGTCATCTGCTTATGAGCTTTCTTTGACTGCAGGGATTTGCAGTGTCTATTTCTTTTAATCACCTACTTGAGGCATTTTACTTTTTCAACAGTCGTCACTGCATGATTTGGTGGGCTCTTCGAGGCCATTGCACATGGCAGAATTTTGGACCCCTTCTTGCGCACCTTTTTTGTAAAATACCAGGAAATGGCGTTTTCAGTTTTCAGGCATAGCGAGATTTGGGTCTACTACTGTACCTTATGAAATTAAATGATCAAGAATATTAAAAAACGAAGTAAATATCTTGATAATTTGAATGGATGTGATGTGATGTGATTGCCATGTATGTCATGCAAATGATGCCATAGATTAGTGTCAAACTGATTAGCTCAAAGGATTTGTATTCAAGCAACTTAAATCCCTGCTTAAAAAGATTATCGATAAATATCCCCCGCACATCCCACCAAAACCTCAATTCACTTATCTAGACACAGCTCTTTGGATACAGCACCTTTTCAAGCTACCACACTCAAGATGCATATTCTCGTAAGTTCAAATTATAATTGTATTAATAATCCTTATTTGAATTAACGATCCACAAAAGGTAGTAAATGACGATGGACCTCCGTCGAATAAATCCTCTCCCTATGTCCACTCCCTCGTTCAAACTCTCCAAGCTGCCGGTCACACTGTTTCCGTCGTTCTTCCCCATACACAACGCTCATGGATTGGTAAAGCGCACATGGTTGGTCAAACCGTCAAGCCCACCTATTTCCGACCTGGAACCCTTCATGAGGATGACGGTACAACACATGCTCGCCCCTCCAGCGACAATACAGAAGAATGGGTATTAGTAGATGGCACACCAGCATCGTGCGTACAAATTGGTCTATACCATTATTTTCAAGATAGGGGACCAGTGGATTTAGTGGTTAGTGGACCGAATTATGGGAGAAATAGCACGGCTGTTTTTAGTCTGAGTAGTGGAACAATTGGGGGCGCGATGGAGGCGGCAGTTTGTAAGAGGAAGGCTATCGCGTTGAGTTATGCCTTTTTTACGAGGAATCATGATCCAGAAATTATTGGGGGTGCGAGTAGGATTGGTGTGAAGATCATTGAGTATTTGTATAATAATTGGGGTGAGGGAGTGGATTTATATACGGTTAATGTTCCCTTGGTAGAAGGAGTAGAGGAGAGGAAAGTTTTGTGGACCAATATGTTGCAGAATTATTGGGGTCAAGGAAGTTGTTTCGAGGAGGTCGATGGAAAGGATGAGGATGCTGACGAAGAAGAAGAGAAAATTAGAGAAAAGGAAGGTCAACAAGGCGAGCGAGAGGAGAAAAAGGTTGCTGGACACACACATAAGCATTTCAAGTGGGCGCCAAGGTTTACAGATGTCTACAAGAGTGTAGAAGAAGCTGGACCTGGTAATGATGGTTGGGCTGTTAAGGAGGGTTATACAAGGTATGTTTTAATTCAGATGAGTGACTTCCTGAGACTAACACCAATGTAGCGTCACACCACTAAAAGCAAATTTCATGCATGCTAGTGCGCCGACACAGGGAGAGTTGAAGTTGTGAGTTATTAAATAGAGCATTAGATATTGTTAGACCAATACAAGTTCCTTCCCACCCTTTTAATCACATTTACCTCGTAGAGCACCTCTGACCAGTCCTTTCGCCAGACCATCTTCAGATCCAATTTCATCAATATCAAATCTTTCTCTTAAAGAACAAACAAAGTCAAACCAGCCCCATTTCTACGCCTACATCGACTACGAGGATCCTTACGTCCAACCACTAATCCTTTCGGCTCTGAAACAGTTCCCTCAATCTTCATATACACTTATCTCATCTCCATCCGATCTACCAACCCCAGAATCACCATATCTTCATATCTCATCCTATGAAACGATTCCCTTTGATGAAATTACATCAAAACCCACAACCTCCTTGACAAACGCCTATGTCATCCGGAAAGCCCTCATTCGTAAGCATTATTTGAGTGAAACATCTCATATATGGTGTGTTAAGAACCCAGAATCTATTCTCAAAACGAACATTAAACGTGCAGAACATTTCGAGGTTGATTATGCCGAGTTCTTGGATGATGCTATTGTGGAGTGTTGGGATTTGAAGGAGAGTTTTGCAAGAAATGAAAAGGTTGATGAGGATGGTGGTAAAACCGAAGACAGAGACTGGTGGATTTTGAAACCAGGGATGAGTGATAGAGGACAGGGTATTAGGTTGTTTTCATCTTATGAGGAGCTCGTTGCTATTTTCGAAGGTTGGGAAGAAGATGCACCAGATTCGGATGAAGAGGATGAAGAAACCCAGAAAGAAGAAGATGAAGAAGAGAAAGACTACATTCAAACATCCCATCTCCGCCATTTCCTCGCGCAACCATATATCCATCCACCACTTCTCCTCTCTCCAGAATCCGATACTATTGCACCTACAAACACCAAATTTCACATCAGAACCTACGTTCTAGCTTCCGGCGCCTTGGATATCTACGTCTACAAACCCATGCTCGCACTCTTCGCTAGTTCCGCTTACATTCCTCCTTGGGATTCCTCAACTTCCTCATCTGGAGCCATAGATCTCAACCCCCATCTAACAAATACCTGCATCCAAACCTCAGAATCGAAGAAAAACGCCGTGCATCTACTTTCTTCCCTCCCTTTCCCCACTTCTCTCCACCAGAAAATCCAAGATCAAATTTTCAAATTGACGAGCGAGATTTTTGTGGCGGCGGCTAAGGAAATGAGTATTCATTTTCAACCATTACCAAATGCGTTTGAGACGTTTGGATTGGATTTTTTGGTTGATATGCAGGGAAATACTTGGTTGTTGGAGGTTAATGCGTTTCCGGATTTTGCGCAGAGTGGGGTTGAGTGTAAGGGTGTGGTGGAGGGGTTTTGGAGGGAGCTTGTTGGGTTGATGGTTATGGGGTTTTTTGGGGTGGAGGGGAATGAAGGATGTGTGGAGGAGGGGAATTTGGTGAGGGTTGGGGGTGTGGATTTGGGGAGGAGATGAGAGAGTGAGAGGGGCTAGGAGGATGTTTACTGTCTGTAGCTGTAGAAATCTGTATAAATGAATTATCTCATATAGATCCAGTTGATTGAGTATAATGCCTATGGAACATTAAAGTTGCATAAACGACAATCCTGTATCACACACTTTTAAATTTGTATGCTTATGACTTTAGATATATATCTGTAAATGTAAGATTACAACGAAAGAAAGCAAGTCCAAGATCTTAGAGCTGTTATGGTTGACTCTTAACTCTTAACTCTCGACTTTTGACTTTCTAGAGAAGAGAATTAAAGTCTGAGCTGAAGAATTAAATAAAGAGGAAAGAAATACTTAAGTATATACCTAATAGGTATAGGATGGATTTGATCCGAGAGCCATGCATGTACTCATATGTTTTTAATAGAATAGAATAATTGGATATTTTTGACTATTGTGTTATAAAAATCTGAATGAGATATTAAAGGTGGTCGAGAAAAAGCTTCAATTTGATCCGGCGATATCATCAAAATGACAATCAACCCTAGTCCTAGTAGATGTTATTTTTCATTTTCCCAAGCTGTGCTACCTCCCCTCAGATTTCCAGGCACAAATCGTATTTCAATATCCATTTTATTCTTTCGTTGTTCGTTCCTCTGTGACTTCTTATTCGTCATTTATGCCATATCATATCATATCAAACCTTCATCCGCTCCCTCATACATTTCCTCCCACCCACAATCCCATTTGCATCCTATGATACACTCAATCCCACTTCTCCATCAACTTATTCTCCAATACACCATTTGGGAAATCTTTCACACCGAGATGTGTCGTATGAGCCCAGGGTTTCATCGCATTTTCCTGCTGAATGGTATGCGAGAAACATTTACCTATTCGCACCATCATATTATTAGCAAGAGTTTCCATAAGGTTAAATCTTCCCTTCAATCCATCTCTCCTCCCTCTCCTCCCCTCATCCAAAAACGAACTAAGAAACAAAAAAGAAAAGAAAAGAAAAACAACATACTCCACCCCAATCTCGGCCACTCCTTCACCACATTCTCAATAGTCCCCTCACCCACCAACTCAGGATTCATCCCCATATTATCAAAAACCGTCGCCAACTGCACCAACGCCCCAATTCTCGTCTGCGTCCCCACCTCCCCCAAATCCTGATGTCTAATAATCCCCTCCACAACCACTTCCCTCTGTTCCCTCACCACCCCCGCCTCCCTCAAAACCTTCTCTGCAATAAATCCCCCATGGAACTCAAAACTCAACAAAGTCTCCTGTAGATACTTCGGTATAGTCCCAATATCATGCAAAAGCGCAGTAAGCGCATAGCTTTCGAGGAATTTACTCGCAGGATTGATAGAAGTCCAGGACGGGAATGCGTGGGTGAGGATGGCGACGCCGTAGTGGTAGACGCGCATAGAGTGGTTGTAGGTTTCGGGGGGGAGTTCTGAATGCGCGTATCCTTGGATGGTTTTTATGATGGGAGAGGTGGGGAATGGGAGGTCGGTTATTTTGAGAGTTGAGGCGGGAGTTTGGGCTGAGGAGGAGGTTTGGAGTAGTTGGGAGAGGGAGGAGGGGACGGCTGTCCAGCCGTAGGATTCGATTGCGCGTTGGCGGTCGTAAGTCATGGTTTTTATGGGTGTGTTTGATGAGGGTTGATTGTTTGTTTGTATGTTTTTGGTATGTGTATACTTAATCAATCAATCAGTTAAAGAGATTAAATATTAAACATCTATCCAACAAGCGAAACCTTCCCCTCTTAAGGACAAACAGAATATCAAGAATGAGGGGCAATGTTCCCGAAACGGATAAGCCGTCATACAAGCACTTTTGTAGTCTCTAACCCAAAAGCTTACGAATAACCCCTCCCACGCCCTTTCATAGACACATAACATAATAATAATACACATAAGTTACATACTAAAGTAATAGTTACTTACCTAATAACTATCAAACTATTTAATGAATGCCTCCTCCCACGCCCTTTTGTATACACAATATCAAAAAGCCCGTTACCCGTTACCCGTTCCCGCGTACTCGAGTACCCGGTACAAAGCAAACTCTAAAACTACCCCACATTCCTTCATCCCATTCACCCGTCATTACATCATCTACAAATCCCGAATCCCCTGTCTATTTCCCGGTGGTATATAAATCCCCGATCTTCGATCTGCGATCTAATTAACTCCCCTAAAAATACCTACTCCGTATATAGATATTAATGATTATACTACTACAATTCGAGATGCTTTACTCCGTGGTCCCGCGGGATCTGAAAAGTTCGGCATTCGGAGAATATAGATTCTCAAATCTGTTACGAGGTTTGCCGTCTAGATCACGTGGAAGTGCTCTAGGCTCTCGAGGTGGTTTATAACTAGGCGTCAAGCAGGGACTTAAAGTAATGACAATAATGCAATTCGTAACCAATAGTAGAGTATACTAAATGATTGATCTTGAGCACGAAGCTCTATACAAAGGGAATCCATCTTGATTATATAGACCTTCATGCTTCGTGGCTCGAAGGGAGCGAGGGGATCGAGCTTCGATCCTTTCGCTCTCTTCGAGTCCTCGCATCACGTGTTATTACTAATCCTGTGACCTAATTGTTACCTGTCGTAACATATTAAAGGAAAAAGACATTTTAACAAAGAATTAAATATATAATTTTTTTTATAAAATATATTAATTAAATTTTTTTTAAAAATATCATAATTTAAATAATCTATCTCATTACAATTTAATTGCTCGAGATACTAGTAGATATTTTAACTCACTCTCAAGTTAAAAGACGATAATAAAGCCCCCCTGCTAATTTTTGAAGGACGAGGCCCTGGACCGTTTTGTTACGGCGGTACTCAGTTATGACTAAGCCCCGCATCACATGACTAATCATGGGATCACGTGGTCCCACTCGTCCCACCGATTTAAATCGAGGGGAGCAGTGGGAAAGCCTCCCACCGATCTCACTGATTTATATCGAGGGGAACGGTAGGACATACAGTACGACGATCTATATAATCAAGATGGATTCCCTTTGTATAGAGCTTCGTGCTCAAGATCAATCATTTAGTATACTCTACTATTGGTTACGAATTGCATTATTGTCATTACTTTAAGTCCCTGCTTGACGCCTAGTTATAAACCACCTCGAGAGCCTAGAGCACTTCCACGTGATCTAGACGGCAAACCTCGTAACACGTTTGTAGAGAGCATCACGTGCGGACGGCAAAGAAATAGGGCGACATCGGTTGCTAAGCCTGTCCAGGTGTTTAATGTTGCAGGCGTACGAACACGCAAAATGCTGCATAAGGAGGAGAAGATGCTGATTTGAATGGTGCTCCAGCCAAATTGGTACTCGCTGTAGTGAATGATGACAGTGACGGAGCCCATGGCGATGCCGAAGACGAGGGTGTTGACTACGGCGAAGAGGACGAGGTTGCTTCTGAGGTGGGGGGAGGGTGGAGATGTTGGCAAGAGGATTTTGAATGGGGCATGAGGTTGCCGAGTCGCAGGGTGCGGAGTAAGTGGTATCTGTTCTGGGTAGGGGAGCGGGCTAGTTGTTGCCGCTGTTTTGGAGGGACTCAGGGAGCAGGGGGAGTACGAAGAGCATGAAGATGGCGTGGATGCTGATGCGAAGTAGAAGATGGTGATTATCGCCTGTGGCTGCGGCGAGAAATGCGGCAATGAGAGGTCCCCAGCCCATACCAGTAAAGAGACAGCTATGAAAATAGCCAAACGCTACGGCACGCTGGGCGGTGCTGTGCAATCTGCGGCGGAAGCGTAGATGTGGCCATTTCAATGGTAAACGAGCCACAAATGCCGTCTAGAAACGCGCCCAGCTGAAACCAATTTTAGTGGACAAACTTAGCCGCGAGTATGGAAATTATTCTAGCAGCGAAAGAGCCAAAACTACTATTACTAGACTCTTCTTTCGCATTCTTATCTGTGGTTTGAGTTTCGCTCTTCGAGCCTCTTGCAGTAGATTGGTGGGCAGAGTAGCGTTCCAGACTTCAATGATGCTGGCGATTAGCATGCGGAAGGTCTCTTGTCACTATCCATCGGCCAGCAAAGATCCAGCATTAGAAAAGGAAGACCTCTCATCACCCGTCTGATATTGCTGCCAGCTTGTGTACGTTGAAGAGTATACATAGACTAGTCCTCTACGCAACCCATTGGCAGCGACGATACAAGGTACTTCCAACAGCAAGCTCAAGAAACTGACGCGATGATGATACTGATATGATCATCGTGATATATGGAATCCATCCGTCCCATTCGGAACAGGGATATCTCGCAAAGCTAATCAGTGTAGGGCAGACGACAGGGGTACCTTGTAAGTACCTAACTTAGACATTCAACCCACAGGGATCACACTAGCACCGGATGCACACAAAAATGGCAGAACTTGCTTCGTGATTTCACGACACGAGATAGTTTACGATACAATTCCCTATTATGTACTGCCAGATATTGGCGCAGGGTCTACTGGCGAGGGGCTCGCTCATGTGATCAATTTCAAGCTTATCATACGCTTCTCATTAGTCTAGATGATAAAAGATAAAGAGGGAATGAGCTGGGGGGTGAGCTGGGGTGGGGTTCTTGTGAGTTGGGTGTTGGTTGCTTTTGTGCGCGATAAATCCATGATAATTACTGTTTTAAACAGTATTGCTGTGAGGAATTGCTAGATAGTGTGCGGTAGATTTACATGGTAGTAAGATACAACGAGCCCTAAGATAGGATTGTTCGTCCCTACTAAATTTAGCTGTGCAAGCAAGCGCCTATCGCAGTTATGCGAGACATGGAAATGGGCGATGTGAAAGCGTTAACCTCAGATGGGGCTGCGACGTCGACCGTTGCTATCGCTTCTACCGCTTCGTCAGGCGGAGAGACGATAGACACACCCGAGGGGTGCGCCTCGTTCTCCCAAAAAGAACCCGCTGTGAGCATGATCCCCAAAGACTCTACCTCAGCCGCGACAGAACGACCAACCAGCGGAACTAGCGAGCCGCAGTACCCCGAGGGCCTCAAACTCATCACTATTATACTAGCGCTGTGTTTAGCTGTATTTTTAGTAGCGCTAGATCAGACGATTATTTCTACTGCTATTCCGAAGATTACGGATCATTTCCGGAGTACGGGGGACATTGGTTGGTGAGTGCGTTGACGTTGTGTGTTAGGCAATGGATTGATCTCTTTGAGGTGTATATAAGCGATTGCTGACGCCTGTAGGTATGGGTCGAGCTACTTACTTACGAAAGCTGTGTTGCAGCCTAGTTTTGGAAGGATATACTCTATCTTTAGTGTGCGCACTGCGTTTCCCAAATAAAGAACCGGCTGTTGGCTAACGAATTGGTAGATCAAATATACGTTCCTGGCTGCCATTGCCATCTTCGAGCTTGGGTAAGTATTCAGCACCTGCGGTATTAGTTCCACGTACTAACAGATCAACACACAGCTCCCTAATCTGCGCTACGGCAACCAGCAGCAATACCCTGATCGTTGGCCGAGCCATCGCTGGAGCGGGCGTGGGAGGTCTGTTTACGGGTTCGATTATTATTGTTGTGTATAGTTGTAAGTTCTAGTTTGCCTCAACTCCCCACTCATACAAGTGCTTTCTTCAAGACATGCGGAACTAACTCGAGAAGTACCGCTGCGCAAGAGGCCGCTGGCCATGGGTATCATCAGTAGCATGTGGGGAATAGCATCAGTCGCCGGACCATTACTCGGCGGCGTCTTTACGTAAGTCTGCCATCTACAGACAGACCATCTATAAAACCACTGACCTTCTCGAACAGTGATAAACTTTCCTGGCGCTGGTGCTTCTACATCAAGTGAGGGTATCAACACCCCCACCCCCAAGTCCAGAAACTCAACAAACACCAGCTAACTCCCCCCCTCCTTACAGCCTTCCCATCGGAGCCTTCTGTATCGCTGTAATATCTCTCATCCTTCACATCAACCGCCCCAGTAACCCCTCCTCCCTAACCCTCAAACAACGCATCTTAAAACTCGACCTCCTCGGCACCTCCCTCCTCATCCCTGCCATAATCTGCCTCCTCCTCCCTCTCCAATGGGGCGGCTCCACTTACCCCTGGAACAGCGGCCACATTATTGGCCTCTTCGTCACCTCAGGGTGCCTCACCCTCCTATTCATCTACACCCAAATCCGGCTCGGCGAGGCCGGGACACTCCCTCCGTTCCTTTTCCAAAACCGGAATACCGTGTGCGCATTTATATTCTCGGCGTTTTTTGGCACCGGATTTTTTAGTTTATCGTACTACCTCCCTGTGTATTTTCAAAGTGTCAAAGGCTCCTCGGCCCTGCACGCAGGAATCCAAATGCTACCACTGCTAATTGCATGCACGATAAGTTCCACCGGAACCGGAGCGCTAATCTCAGCACTAGGATACTACACGCCCATCATGATCATCTGCATGATGTTATTTGCCATTGGCTCCGGACTACTGACCACGCTCTCGCTCACAACCTCGTATGCGCGTAACGCGGGGTTCCAAGTTCTTACCGGTCTGGGCGTGGGTGTAGGGTTCGAGAGCGGGATTATTGTAGCGCAGACGGTCATGCCCATTAAGCAGATTCCGGTGGCGATATCGTGTGTTTCGTTGTTTATGACGCTGGGCGGAGCGGTCTTTGTGCCGGTTTCGCAGACGCTGTTTCAGAATAGGTTGGTAGGGGGAATTGAGGAAAGGGCCCCGGGATTGGATGCGACGGCGTTTTTAGATAGTGGGGTTACAGAGATTAGGGTGTTGTTGAAACCATGGGGGCAGGAGGGGCAACTGGAGAAGGTATTGGAGGCGTACGTGGAGGGGTTGAGGGCGACATTTTGGGTTTCATCAGCTTGTGCTATTGGAGGGTTTCTGGCGGTCTGTGGATTGGAGTGGAGGAGTGTAAGGAAGGAAAAGAAGGAAGAGGGGCATTGACTTAGTGGGATTGAAAAGGTGAAAATCATATGTGCTGTGATAGATGGGAAGTTGGTGTATGGAACAAAAAAGATGATGTATGTATGTATTGAGAGGCTGTAAACGTAAACCAAATTGATAGAATGCAAAGGACAAGATATTATAAAACACAACAGCTTGCAACGTTTAGGAAAGTTAAACAGTGATTGTATAGTACACCCCAACCTACTTTCGTAGACATATGTTACGATAGGTTGCCTCTACGGTCACGTGGAAATGTCTAGAGATCTGTCAGGGTGGTTTAGACTAAACGTCAAGTAGGGATTCAATATCGAAGAGCTAGTTGTTGTAATTTTCGTAACTATGTAACTAAAGGATCACTGTAGATACATTGATTATTCTTGAGCACCAAGCTCTACATACCGTGGAAATCTAATCCATTATATAGATCTTCCTGCTTCTGGAGGTTACGGGACCCGTACGCTCCTGTATCGAAAAGAAGGCTATTATTCTATTCTCAGTACCTACTTGTTGAAGGATTGTTTGAACTTCTATAATCCTATAGAATAGCTGACTACTCACCTACTAGGTACATATATATACATAGGATATCAGAAATCCCTATAAACAATACAATATAATATAACAATATCATTCAACCCCATCACAATCACAAAAGCAACCCAATTCAACTGCATAAAACAAAACAAAACAAAACAAGATAAATATAATAAATTCATACTCTCGTTCATCTTATTCATCAAAAATCATAAACTAACGGTATCATATCATTTTTTTAGCCATCTCCGCGTAATGCATAATTTCAATCTTATTTCCTGACTGTACAAATTCATAGCAAACTCCAACTCCGAATCCATGCTTTCATTTCCATTGCGTTGATATAAGTGCAAGACAAGCCAAAATAATCAAACTTCCACCCAATCCGATGCGAACTCCAATCCGTGCATAATAAGAAAGCATTACAACTCCAAGCTATGTAAATCCTCTTCTTTTTCAGGAATAGGAATTATTGGCTCTTGGAAATGACCTTCATCATCAAAAGACTTGATATCATCCTCATCTAATGTGCTGATGAAAGCACGTCGAACGAAGCTGAGCCAAACTCTGTTCTTGTCTTTGCGATGATGCTTCTTTTTCCTATGCTTTTTCCCCTTTTTCTTCTCTGCATCGATGTCATGATCTTCAGTATCTTCGACACTTTCTTTCTCAGATACAGAGATTTGGTTCTTATCATCGTCCACCTTATCATCGTCATATTGTTGAACTTTAGGTTTCTCCAAAATCTCTCCATCTTCAACAAGATCTCCTTTTGCTGGTTTGTACTTTCCAATCCTATGAGCAAGCTTGAGATAACTCTTAACCGTCATATCTTTCAACTTGTAAATTGGATCGGTGAAAGTATCATACTCGACTTGATAGTGAAAGGCATGTGGATTCGGATCATCATCTTTTGGAATTTTTCCGCCATGCTTACCATTACGCCACTTCTCCGTATCGATTCCATCATCGGATCCTTTTGATGACAATTCAAGATTGTTGATGTAAGTCAAGTTGGGCAAAATATTGAGTGTACCCGAGTAATGTTAAACTTTGCGGAGAATATGCCGGTCCAGGAGGTGCATCTTTTGATGGAGGCGACGGAATGATGAATGAAGGGTTGGATGGTGTCGGGTTCTTGAACTTCTTTTTGTCTTTTTCATGCTTTTTCCTCCTTTTCTCAGCAGACAAACCATCATCGGCCACATCGATATAGTCTGTCGAATCTTCGTTGGCGTCAAAATTGAATTGCTCTTCTTCTTGATCGAGCCAATCAATTTGCTCATTAATTCCCACAGTTGAACCGGACCAAGTCGCCGAGTCTTCCAATCCTGTGATATTGTATTCGATCACGCGAAGAGTAGGGAAGTAATTAGGTACAATGCTCGGCCCAACGTGTGTTACCGCAAATCTTTCACCCCATGGACCTCCAAACTTCTTCAGTTCTTTTTTCTTCTTGTCCTTCTTGTCCTTTTTGCCCTTCTTATTTTTCTTCTTATCCGAGACGTTGTTCAATTCCCAGTCGTCCGATTGTTCCTCGTCGATATCCATCGAGATGGGCAGATGTTTTGGATTTGGTAACCCAGACCAGTCCTCTCGAAGATCTTGAAGGTAATCTCCAGCGGATAGGGTTGTAAATTCATCATCCATTAGCGCGCGAGGAGGCGCAGTGGATTTACCCTCAAATAATAAAAGATCGATATCTTTAGTGTCGTGTATCATGAAATGATCAATATTCATGTGTCCATATAAACCAGCGATAATAATATCCCGGTATTGCTGAAGCCACAAGGTATATTTTTGCCAACAACTTTCATCCCAAAGTGATTTACTGTCCGTTCGAGCAGGCGGTACATGTCCAGTAAGGATAACTTTCATTCCTCGGTCGCGCATAAATTGTAGTTGAATTCGTAGCCATTCCATATGTTCGTATCCGGGCTCTGAACGTAATGCGCAACCATCCACCGCGGCATTATGACTGAAAAAGTATAAAGTATTGAGACTGAAGACGGCCAATTTCTTAGGGATAACCTCGACATAATACCATCCTCCTCGCTGAAAACCATGCCTCTGCTCTTCTGGTATGAGTTTATCCCATATGTCTGTATACGTATTCAACCATTTATTCGGACCCGATAGTAAGATATTATGTGGAAGGATATCATTGTTGCCAAATGTTGATATAACTGGAATCGATAACTCGTCGCCATTTCCAAAAGTCTCCAAGAATTTATCTGCGACCTTTCTATTTGTGTCGAGGACTTCGCTTTGGACTCGAGGAATCTTTTCATCGCTGTCATGTCGTGCACTAATCTGAATCAGCATCTCTCCTCGCACAAAGCCATATCATCATTGCGTCGATTGGCTGTTCGCAAAGGCAAAACCAACCTGTCCCCTGTCCACACAACAAAGTCTACGCTATCCCTCACATTTTCCTTGATCCATTTGAAAGTCGCATCTATAAGGGTAGGAGGAGTATCGCAGTCGGTAGTTTCCGCGCCGTATGTGCCAGCGGTTCCTTTTCCTCTATGGCAAGCATCATCTTCGTCGGTGGAGGTAAATACTTTATAATGAGGATCTAGGTGTAAATCTGTAATAAATGAGCATCGTACAAAAGGCAATATAAGGATTTAACCCCACCTGTAATGTGCAGGAATCTGCCATGCAGACGTTTGGAGGCAACTTTCTGATGGTGTGTAGGATTCAGGTCCTCCAATGGCACTTGCAGGTTCGATTGGCTTGTACCGAGGGGTTTGGCAACGATAGGAGTGGATTTTTGAAGCAGACAAACTGCCATGCAAATTATGTCCAAACGCATATTTGAAAACAAACTGAAAAAGAGAAGAGAAAAAAAAAAGGATATATTTTAGGGAAAGGATGTCATTCTCATGGATGGTATATAGGTTCTAGGAGAAGGATTTAAGATTCTTAAAGGGTAAACAGGTTGGTTGTGAATAATGATGTCCGTTCCTTGTTGTTTTTTCTATGGTTAAAAAAGCTGACGTTGGTTGCTTCCCATATGGAAAGATTCGCGACCAGATGGCGGGTACCAGTGCGGTATAAAAGCTTGGTTTTCCGCAAGAGAGAGAAGGTGAGATATTTTATTATTTCACTCAACGATAATAGATGATGAACTTGTGATGTGTTGTTTCGTTTCGAAATATGATGAATGTGTTGAATATTAGATGTTGGATGTTTGTTTATATGTAATGTTACGAATAAGAAAAGCGCTCTGTTGAATATATTTTGTATCAAGCAGAAGGAATAGGAATGTATGGAAATGTTTCCCTCATCCCCTCTATACCTACCTGCCTACACTTACAAACTAGCTCTCAAGGTGTTTTCTCATGTCTCACTCATCCCACGATGTTAATCTTCACCCTCCAAAATAATTCATCCAACCAATCATCAGTACACGTGGATGAGTCTCGAGTCACTTTTGGTTTTGATCACCCTCTTCTAAGATAAATAAATAAATACATCCCTTCAAAGTATGATCAAGAGGATGAAAAGGTGATGCTTATTTCAGCTTCAGCACATTATTCACATTACTCACGCGACACACCTTTTTCTGGTCAAAATGACGATATTCGTTAACTTTTGCAACCAGCCTGTGGGAAAGTGCGGCAGCTGTGGGCTGATGAAATATGTTTGAGAGTGACGCATACGAAAATATAAAAATAAAATACTAAAAGTAGTGCAACAGTTATTGCGCGAATTATGTTGTGACTAGTACGTCTATTGTTGCTAACTTATCTCCTTCTCCCCTCCTCTCCAATTCCAGCTAGTTACTCACCCCTTTTCCATTACCGAGATCTAGAACTATTCACTATCGAATGTTGCAATGCTCTCTGACCAATATTGACATTTTTGGTGAAACTGATGTCGGAATATTGCTTTTGGTAGAACTGGTAGGACCTGAGATGCATGACACCAAGTCTCCATGATTATTTTCGAGCATTGTGGACTTGTGGACCCTGATTTTCTGTCGCTAAGCTCATGGCGCCCGAACCGCCGACCATTTTCAAATACCTTTACAAAACACCCATATTTCATATTGACGTATTGTCAAATATCCCTATTTGAGAGACCTTGAAGTTTGAAGGGGATACAATTAAAGAGTGTCTGTACTACCTTGACGATTTGTTACAGCAAAATAATCTGTGGATATTTTACTACATTTTGATGCCTGGTAAGATCTTACACTTTTGAAGTTGTATGATCAGACTCGGCATACATAGGCGGCGGGCGCCGATCCATATATCTCAATTGGTATCCAACCAAATCTCTTCAAAACAGCTAGGGTTGATGCAATATTTTGGTGTCAACTACACCGACATTATTTATTAGTTTAAGCAACACCTTTACATCAACAACTAATACATTGGCGTCGTGACGGAGTGGTTAACGTGATTGACTAGAAATCAATTCCTTTCGGGGGCGCATGTTCGAATCATGCCGACGTCGAATTTTTGTCTTGCTTTTTGCTTAATTCTTTTGCAGGGCGGAAAGGGACATTTATTCCAAATATTGCCTCTCATCTGGAATTGTCGACGAGAACGTATACAGTCTAGGAAAAAGAGACTTGATGTACTTGGAATTCGATTTTACGTGGGAAAGAAACAATCAGCCAAGAGTGCCGGACCTACTACCTACTCGTTAAAAGGTCAAAGGTCTCACAACAAACAGTTCATCTGCAGGTATCCTCATTATTGTTATGAACATCGCATATATATACAAAAGTGTGGGTATTAAGTCATGAATAAATACAAAAGAAGTCTCTACCTTCCAAACTTCTTCAACTCTAGATATCTTAACGGCGGGAAGACAATAGCCGTAAAGCCAACGGCGAGCCAATCCCCAATATCACCACCATATTCGCCACCAATCATTAAAGCGATGGGACCCGTGTACCAAATTTGATACATGCCCACTATTGCCCCAGCAAATCCAATAAGGAATGATAGTAGAGCCGCGAGTCCAATAGGTAGCTTGCTTCGGTCGTCATAAATAGACCAGTCGAACGATTTGCCCGCTAGCTTGTGGAAGATGAAATATTCTTCCAGACTGATGGTAATCCAAGGGCAAATCCAATATGCCATCATTGGGAGGAAATTTTCGAACACGGTATAGAGCTTGTTGCGTCCGCAAACAGAGAGAACGAGCTACAGTGCTTGAATTAGTTTCATGGAAAAGTGGAATAGAATGGTGTGGTTAAGCTTACCTCAACTGCTGTGATGAGAACACACCAGAACCAACGAGGGACTTTGTTCGCCCAGCGTCCAAGAACCTGTATGGTCAATGCCGCACTATAGCTACATGGTGCATTGTTGGTGATGGAACCAAGGGCAAGAATGACGACGCAGAAACCACCGAAACCCCCGAGACCGTTAAAACATTCGTAGATAAGAGCACCAGATGAGACATTGTAGGCATCATTCCATGCTGGGATGTTTGGAACACCAGTAGCAATACCAACACCAACGATATTGGCGAAAATCACAGAGACCCAGACGCCAGACCACGTGGATGCAAATGTTATCCATTTAGGGTAATCCTTGGGGTAGTAGACATAAAAGTCGGCACTGATGGCAGTGAATCCAATGATACTAGCAAAGATCAAGGCAAAAAACGAAGCGCGGTTGGCGTTGATGGTTCCGGAATCACCGACCGAGACCGCGCTGGTATCGAAGTTCTTACCAGCGGATCCAATGAGTACGAATATGACAATCGCTTGTGGGATATATCCGAATCTGTTTGTTTATAAGCTTCTTGAACATCATTAAAGTTGCCACTTGTGGCTCTGCTTACCTCTCGAGTTTGTTCACATATTCGATACCGAAGGTAGCGATTAAGCCAATGCAAAGTGCGGCAATGACGCATCCAACAGCCAAACTCAATTTTCCTCCATTAACTGCTGTGATCATCTGGCCAGTAATGATACATCCAATGGTACCAAAACCAACTTGTTGAACCACATTACAACAGCATGCAATTTTCGATGGCCAATAACCCATGAAATATCGTCCAATAATCTGCAAAGGAACAAGAAAGATTAGTTCCTATCCGGAAAACGATTTGTGAAAAAGCATACCTGAGTCCTGTTACCACTTTCCGGCCCGTAAGTCGCCATATACGCAATGGAAGCCGAGGCGAGCGCATTGGCAAAAATAACAATGCAGATGCAATCCACCCAACCGAGTCCGTAAACCAATGGTCCGAGAAGCCCAACAATAATATTCATAGCTTGCAAATTAATGCTGAACCATAGCGAGAACATGTGGAAATAGTCATGAAGAGGCCGAGGCACATTCCTCTCGTCGTCCGCTACACGGGTGATACCGCGAGCTTCCACTCCCCAGAGATTCTCCAATTTGGCGCTCCAGGAGCTCAAGCCTCCTTCAGACTCAGGGAGTCGAACACTATCGTTTTTGTCGTCGATAGTGGATTTGCCATCGCGCTCCGTGGAGTTGTCAATGGCAGTATGCACTGGTGCTCCCTTCTCGATATCATACTGTGCAGAGGGCTCCATGATGAAAAAAGCACAACGCGCAAAGACAAAAAGCAACAAAGAGGAAAAAAACGTTGGGAACAAGAGGGTGAAAACACGGTATGATAAGCTGCCATATCACTAGAATCGAGCTTATTTCCTTTCGTCGATATTCCCGTGGTTCGGCGAACGAACCCAAAACGTTCGCATGGCTTTCCCACGTTACTCGAGAGTGGACGCAGTAGAAGCATGCAATTGCATAAATGGATGGGGACCAAAAGCAATCTTGCATCCCGATTAGACCAGACTTGGGTACTTGCCGAACGGGAAACTCGCTTGAAGAAAATTATTATTTACCCACAGTGCGGCTTATGGGGCCGATTCAGTCAACTTTTCAAGGGTTCTTGCAAGGGTTCCATGGGCTAGACCCGGAATATGCTCAGTGGCGACGAGATAACTAACAGCTGATTTTATCCCGTATAGATCTTTGGCATGATTTCAAAAAGTGGATTGACAGTGCACTCTACAATTTTAATTGCGGTCTGCCTATCTAGTTGAGACGTTTTTGACAGCCAAACGTAATTTAAACCCTAACCCTTCGCAACTAGGTGGATTTTCATGCCCGCTGCCAAAAGCACAGACTTGTTTCTGCGGAGTTGATGATCTTATCCTTTTGAAAGTGTTGTTGCGAAAGTGAGCTGGAGAATGAGGATACAAAGAGCACAGAATCGGTCTGTGTGTGACGTCAATATCAAGTGGATAACATACATAACGTCTAATTGATATCAGAAGCAGTTTTTCATTTGTATGCTCTTTATACTGCAAGAAGTATGAGACTCGCCCACTGGAGAAACCAGATTATTCTTTTTGAAGCTCACCATCTTCTGGTACGTGCATAGAGTTTCGGGGTTGCATACTTTCTGACCACCGCACGAGTATTTACTCCATACATGACGAAAACTCGCATTTACGGATTTACTATTTACTAACGTAATATTAGTTTGTACATTGCGATATCATCGACTGATTTAACTCACTAAATTACGTATTATTAACTCATGGGAGCTAGAATATGCATGGTCTTCTAATACTTCCGATATCGAGATATTTCCGACCTTGCAACAGTGCTGATGCAACACAACTCTTCCGAGACACTGGACAGATACAAATCCCATACCCCGAGAAAACAAATCCATCCTCAAAACCGTGTTCAAAACGGACATGCAGGTAGGTGATGAAACACAGTCTAATCTCTTCATTTCGCACCTCTAACACACTCTAAAACCTCTGCGCGATCCATCCTCATCTGAATCACCAATTTCCATATCTATCCCAATCAGTTCCTAATTTACCTAAACTGGCATACCGGAAAAATCTCTCCCGCAATGACCATAGCCAAATTCCCGCATCAGTGATACCTGAGCATTATTCGGATATGATTTATTCATTGAGGTAAAGGGGTCCACGCAACGATATTAGACTTAGACATCGATTAACTAATAGGCGAGAACCGTAACAGTTCTTTTGGTATACCGCTATGAATATCCCACGAAGCACACAGAGACCATAGACTGGCAAAAAAAAAGAATTCAATCCTCTTCAAGCACCTCTCTTGATCCCACAACTCCCTACTTCTCAATAACCAAAATGCCATACCCAGGAACCTCCCCATAACTCACCAATTCCCTCAAACTAGCACCTCCTTCCCCCTCCCCCCTCAAATACCTCTCCGGCACCCTCGTAACCCCCCACTCCAAAGACCCCCTCAACCCCGCCTCCCTCGCCGCCTCCTCATAAACCTCCTTTCTCAAATAATGACACTCAATAACCAAATCTCCCACGGACGTATCAGCACGAACATGAATAAAAATCCCATCCTTCACATCCCTCAGATATTTCGAAAACAAATACCCACTCCCCCCTTCACTCAACGGTCTAATCCTCGCCTCCGCATCAACAACCTCAACCGGATTCGAAGACGGAGCTAAAGTAACCGCTATAAATCTCCCCCCTTCTTTCAAATTCATTTGCACATTCCGAAACATATTCACCAAGCCCTCGCGATCAGGAGCATAATTAAGAAGCCACGCTGCAAAAACAATATCGAACTGTCCCCCCTCATATTCCCGCGGAATGGAACAATCCGCGTGAATAAACGAGATAGAATCTTCTTCATGATTAGATCGTGAATGTTCTCGCGCCCGCTCAATCATGACAGGAGAAATATCCACGCCGAGAACGGAAGCCGCGCCCCATGATATAAAATTGGACGTGTAGAAGCCGGAGCCGCATGCTAGTTCGAGGATGCGCGCTCCGTGGATATAAGGGGTGATGGTGGAATAGATATTTTCGCGCTCGATGAGCGCGATGCTCGCGGTGCGGATGTAGTCGTAGGGTTTTTGGATGTGGTCGTATACGTATTGGGGCGTTTCGGTTGGCATGGTTCTTGAATATGAATATAGATATGGATATTATGGATATGGAGGAAAAGCTTAATTGAAGCAGCTGAGGCTGGGGAGTCTTGGAGATGGATGGGGTGTTGAGAATAGAGTTAGAGTTCTGGGGAGGGCTTAGCGAGGGAGGTGGGGGTCAGGGGTTTATTAATAATTGTCTAGAGTATTGTACTCCGATCTGTACTTTCTGCTGAAAGATATAGTATGATATTTACTTGGCAGCGTAAAACAAGCATCAAAGATGAGGGGCGATCATGCCATCGGATTTTGATTAGGAATAATCAAATTGCAATTTGCATTACTTGAAAAGTTCTAGGAGACTTCGAATTCTTCCTCTGCATAAGTACACAAGGTACACCAGGGACGAACATAGACAAGCGTACGGACTATCTCATCAGCGGACGGGCAAGCTAGTGATCTAAACCTAATTCAGGGGTTTCCCGAAGATTTGTCTCCAGCTGCAATTAGACACAGACCCCCTGTTCTCTTATTCCCTGTTCGTCCCACATTACACAAATTTTGACACCCTTGTAAATATCCCACAATTTAGACAGGGATATGGAACGTGGCAATAACATGAAGACGAACCTGAAGAAGTGGATGTTTTAGCGGCACCATGTCTTAGGAATTGGAGTCGAATTTTGATATAGTTAACCTCATTCCCGTGGAAAATACGAAGTATTGATTAATGTATGTGAATGTGATGTCCACCGACCACGAAAGATGAATTCAAGTGTAAGGATATACGGCAAAACTCGCACTCATTGTAAACCCGCCAGACACCAGCTCCTCTAATTTCCATTCATAACAAATATATGCTGTTCATAACTGCGTAATGATACGCTCTAGACTATCCATCCCAAAACCCAATATCAAAAGAGCTAAATAACCGTATCATTAAAATCGTAGGTGTAAAGGCGGGCAAAAAATATAAATGATCAATGAAGGAGGTATTGAACCACACCCGATTTGAACGGATAACCTTTCGATCTGGAGTCGAACGCGCTACCGTTGCGCCAGCGGTCCTATTGATCAATTTTCTAAAAGATTTTTCTATTTTTGTAGAGATCATTCTCAATTCTTAACCTCTAGTAGTACGTGGGGTAATTTGACCATTGAGAAACCCATGGCCACTCACTCCATCGTTAGTGAGATCTTCGTATTCGTCTTCGAGAATGGGGTCGAAGCTGTGAATTTGTTGTTAGAATGGGTGATTGCCTTGCGTGTAGATGAAGATAGTAGGTGGATTCGTCGCTTGGGAAAGGGAAGAAAGATGGAAAATGATACATACCCTTGCTCTCCAACGATTTCCTTGGTGTATTTGCACAGTTGTTCCAGTTGCGTTACACAACCTGTGAGAGATTGACTGTAGCCTAGAAGCTTTGTGTTAGGACTCGTCTTCGAGACTGATGGAGCAAACAGATATATTCAAAACTTTAGAGAGCTCAAGCAGCGAAGATTTCAAGTACTTACTATAGCTGTAAATTTGAGACCATTTTCTCCCACCGGGTAAATTATTTCTCGTTTCATTTGAATTGTTGTTCTCCTTGCGTTTACTTCTCCTTTTACTCCTCTTCGACTTCACAGATACACCACTAGATGTCGTAGGAACATTCATTGATTCAAGTAGAGCCATATGGTCTAATAGACGTTTTCGAGCGGATGCTGCGGATGGGAGATATCTCTATTTCCTTATTAGCAATAAAACTTTTTCTTGTTAAAGAAGGGGAAGACTTACAGGAACCTTTCTATCGCCTCGTAATGCTCCAGCAAGAACATATAAATTCATTAAAATACAAGCCACGGCATCACGTCGGAAAGCAAGTAGTGATTCGGATGCCTGCTCGTTCTCGGAAACATAATGTGGGTGAAAGAATAGTGAGGACTGTCGTACGGAGACAAGATACTCGAAGAACCGTTCGCAGGCATCAATTAAAGCTGAGTAGGGGAGTGGATTAAAAGGACCTCGAAGGCGGATTTCGTGGCGTGTGAGAGCCTAAAAACTGTCAGCTGGGGATGTAAAAAAGAAAATGATAGAACTGCACCATACCAATAATTGACGTATCCTAACGAATCCTTCTCTGAGGCGACCTTCGAGCATTTCTAGGGAAATATCAGTTCTGTCCAAGATTGTGGGCAAAGGATATGCAGTACCAGATTGTTGCACGTCCTCCACACCTGGTTCTTCACCATCTTCGTAATATACGTATTTTGCCACCACACCTAAGATTATCAGTAAAGTCTGTGGTGACGATTGCAATATGATTTACCTCTATAGATTATACTGGAGTAAATGAGCATTGACGACAAAGCCTTCCTCAATTCATGCCTCGCAACAAATGGCCAGAGAAACCAATTAACAACCACAGCAGATACGGTGCCAACCATGAAGGCAACTCCACGAGTCCATGCCACGGTGATGACTGAAACGTTATCAGGGGCTGTATATGCACCTAACGAAACTACCACGAATGAAATGCAGCCCACAATACCCGATCGAGGATGAGGACTTTGTGTGAATCGGTACATCATAGGGATCATGAAAATGACTGCAAATACAGCCATAACGTATGGATTTCCATTGTCAGCACCATAAGCTATAGCTCCCCATATAGCACCAAACAAAGCACAAATAGCTCGAGTTAATAAATCTTGAATATTTCCGCCAACTCTGGGAGAGGTTAGCCCAATCTTAACGGGAACCGGAAGATTGGAAACTCACCTTGGATGCATCATTATCCAAACCATTATAACCGCCCACCAACTTTCATATTTGTTCCACCAGTCTCTACTCTGATTTAGCCACGCCGGTATTGACAAAAGAGAAGTGACTATGGCTACTTTCAACGCAAATCTAGTCTCGAAGCCTTGTAAGCGATGGATAACTTTCCAGGTTTTGTATCTCAGGCGCTTTTGTCTGGAAGTCTGTGAATTCTTGTCCATCGCAATTTCTTCCTCCTCAGCATACGCGCCTCTACTTTCAGTAGGTTCGAGATCCTCGTAGATATCTTCTTCCTCTGTGCCTCTCTTCTTTCGAGGGCCGGGCTTATAAACGTTTGCCATTCCTTTCATTGTCTTGGCAAGTTCTCTTTGACTCTGGAAAAAGAAACCTGCAGTTACACCTCCTCGGTCATGTCGTACTTGTTCATTTGTACGCTGAAGAGCCTTGCCAAACGGGTAAGATGGTAAGTAAGCCCGCCAACCAGGACGCCTTTGCTGCATTTCGTTCACTTTAACGAGAAGTGCTTCAGCACTGTTTGCCGCTTGTCTGATGGGGTGAACAAACAGGAATATTTCAACAACTTCGGGGTGATCTGAGTATGTTGGGGGTAAATTTGGGTTTCGGAGCAATCTATGATTATTTTAGTCAGTACTGAATAGTGAACTTCGACCCAAAGCTTTCAATATCCGAAAATGAATGAACTTTGAATACGGTCCAACACTAATAATCAATCCAACATCCCAGATACAGTCCTGCCTCAATTAAATTTCGAAACAGGCCTAGACAGAGGGTACCCAATAAACCAGATCATAAGACCGGATGGCAGCTTTCAACGCCGAGAGACCAAAATTCTTGAGGAAGAGTTTAATTTCTTCAACAATTTCTGGTTTCAGACCTCCTAAATGACACCTAATTGTGAAGTATCTGAATAATCCAAAATTCAAACGAATTTGGAGATCAAAAACTTTTCATTATTGGACTGCAGTCCAACCTATTGGATACCATCGCTCAATGTATATATCCAGCGGATACACTATATTGAACTGATAAAATATACAAAACGGCTGCCTCTGAGAACCTCTTTGAGTTCGATGGTAATTCGTATCATTGAAATCCCAGATATTCCAGTAGAGAAGATATGACTTCGTGATTCTGTGAGAAAAAAAATATGATAATAAAAATAACACATACTGCTCTTCTTCCTCGTCATATTTGATCTTAGCCTTTCTAATACTTGTTATCGCACCCACAATATCTGAAGAAACATCCTTGGAGGGTCCAAGAAATACTCTATGTCCAGACATATCCATCAACACAGCGTCACATCTTTGTAATGCCGTTTTCAAACATGACAATAAATTCGATGTGGGCTCTGCAAGTTTACCGGCCACCAACTCTACTGCTCGATCCTCGGTATCCGTTCTGTAAAGTTGTGGGCGTCGTGGACCATCAATATTGATTACTGAAGTAGAATTGAATCGTCGAATACTGAGGGCTGAGACCGCTCGCGATAAAGGTACATCAGAATCTTCGTCCTTGTCGGAATCTTCAAATAAGTGCGATTCCATTCGGAGAGATAAAAGAGATCTTATCACTGCCTGCATGAGATTCCGCAATGCCATAACATCTGATGGCTTGAAGCGGGTGATGGAGATGTCGAGGACTAAATCTCTGTATGCTTGTGAGAGGTTGACAAATGTAAATGCCAATTGTCTGTGTACAGTGACCGGTTCCGATTGTGGGAGTTGAAGTCCTTTTTGCATGATATCAAAAGCATTGTGTAAGCTCACAGCCAGTGATCTTGCTCCGGCATCAGGGATAACCTAGTTTGTGTTAGCAAGACCTTGGAGGAAAGTCAACGATCGACTGAGTTCGGGAACTCCAAATTTCGCACCACGCTCCGGATATGGGTTAATCTCGACGGAAGACGAAGCTGCAAAATGATTCGACAAGCAGATTTGCCAAATCTATTTGTTACAGATAGTATACTTACAGTACAGCACACCAAAAGAGCAATAGCCTGGCCAAATAACCATGGTATACCATATTCGAATAGACTTTTCCAAGCAAGACTCGAAGAGGTATCTGCAAGACAGGTATAAAGAACCGCCATGCCGGCACATAAAACCAGCTGGTACAATCTGATATAATACGAACGAAGTGCCGCGATAGCCCCCATGAAGACAACAAGGAAAGCCGCAAGAATTCCTCCATATCCTCTTTTGGCACCAGGTGTAGAATGTGATAACCACAGCGCAAAGGCTCCCCATCCTAGTCCTCCTGCAGTTCCAATTATTGTCGATATGGTGCCATCAATCTGGGCGCCAATACTTCGTCCAGAATGATTGATGATTGCGGATATTACCATAATATAATTGTAACGGCCGAGCCAATTTCTGATGACGGGAACCAAACATAAGACGTAGGAAATGAAGAAGGGCAAAAAGGATTTGATAAGCTTGATACCAGCTCGTGTAGTCACCAATTGCTTAGAGATTCCCTTGATGCCACGCCATTGCCTGGGGAAGAAATGTTTGAGTGACAACGGGTGCTTCTTCTTAAATGCTGCTGGTAATGTAAACTCTGCATCTTTCATAAGCTCTTCACGACTTGTCTTCTGTGGCTTGAAGAATGCAGCATCAAAGAATCCATCTCTCAATTCTTCCACACCGTAAGTTTCGAGATCTAAATTGTAATCTTGTAGAAGATCCGACAATTGGCTGATGTGAGTATGACTGAAGCTGAAACTGCTTCTAGGCGAAGGTGGACTTGATGTTGGAGGACTTTTGATAGAACCGGGCCTTGAACCAGCAAGAGATCTTGAACGCCGTGGAGTATACGACCCCATGTATATACTGGCAGCCGGTGATTTTGCCTGACTCCCTTCTGGCTCTTGAACTCGAATGTGCCTATCATTATTTGATTTGAGATGAATATGCTTCTGAAGCCTCTGATGAATGCGTGATCCATCATCAGCAGTAATTGAATCTCTTCGACCGAATCTCGGTGTAAAAGTTGGTGAAGTGAAAATGATATGAGGAGACGATGGAACGGGTAATTGATTGTTATCCCCACTATCTGTGGTGGAAGCCATTGTGGCTAATCAGAGGGAAAATAAACAACTATGACGCAAATGAGACTATTCAGATACATGATCCGAATTCAATTGAGCAGGTCGGGTAACAAATGGCAATGATTCATAGCGAAAGTGCCTAATTGTAAGGGGAAGAAGTTATATGAATTGACAAAGTTTACCTTGTAGTCTCCACTGAGTGAAAAATAATATGGGGACTGGCTGTTGGAAAGTTAGGATTCGTTTTGATCTTCACTTGGACGGCACGAATGAACTTAAAAAAAGCTTCATTCATGCCGGAGAATTCCAAAAATATCCACATTGGGCAATTGGTCTTTGTTTATACCTATTCGAGTCAGGTATGACCTCTTGCTCTACCAATCATTTGCCACTTGAAGCCTCACACCAGCAACAATTGAAGAGACGGTGACTGAACCTTGTCCAGTAGATGCTGGGTTTATCACTCAATGAAATATTCTGCACGGAGTATAATTTAACATAGGTGGTATTTATTGATGGCTGAGATTTGTAACCTTAATCCGAAAGAAACGATATTACATATATAATGTGAACTTGGTATATATCCACATTGGGCATTTATGTATTGGTTTATATATATCTCATGATATAACCCGTTCGATAACCCATTCGATAACCTATAGCTCTCTTCGACCAATCATCTGCCACTTGATCAACTCGAATTAATTCAAATTTGATGACTAAGAATTTACCATGCACCATTTTCTTTTTTTCTCGGCTCCCGTAACACTAGGTAGCAAAACCAAAACCCTGTTCATTCACACATAATATCTCCACAACTCCACATCTCTCCCAATCTCCCAATCTTCTCAATCTCTCAATCTCTCCATCTTCCAACCACCTCGTCTGGGAGAAATAAAGATTGGGCCATCCAACATGAATTCCGCTACGTTAAATGGTGTAGGCTCTGTCACAAAGTCGCCACTTTCAAAAACTATCAATTTGCTGTCCGATGCTGAAGATTCGGAAAATGATGATGTGTTACAGGGAGTCTCTCGTGATACTTCACGTGGCATGCCACACCACCAAAATGCAGTACCACAAGAGCTCGAGGAAGCTTTGAGTGCGAACGAAAGCAGTGTAGAAGATGAATCCGAGGGCTTTGCAGCTGAACCTGAAAGTGAAGATAGAGATGAAGAGGAAGATAGCGAGAGTAGTCTCTTGGAAGATCTTATGGATGGTTTAACTGATGAGGCTTTATACGACGATGGTAAGTGTTGACCCTATCCTTTGCTCATAAACGCGCTAAAAATAGTTATCAGAATCTAATCCTGAGAGATGTACTCGTGAAGAGGCTCAGAATTATCGTCGCGATCTTCGAAGACTCGGTCCTCGCGAATTCTGTAGAGTCACCGTGGAATCAAACACTGTCACCGCCAAGAAGCTCTTGACTGCGTTTGCTATTCGTCCACCAAGCTACCTTGAGGGTCAGCCGGATGAGGAATACTACCAACTTCTAAGTTACGCCTTACGTCGTGAGTTGATGAAGCGTTTGAAACTTCCAGACTACAACACTGTCGACGATGCGATAGTTCTCATAAAAAATGCTAAAAAAATCATTGTCATTACCGGCGCTGGTATTTCCACTTCTCTCGGCATACCCGATTTCAGATCCGCAAATGGATTGTACGCACAGTTGGAAGATACGGGTCTTTCTGACCCTCAGGAGGTATTTAATATTGACCTCTTCAGAGAGGATCCAACAATCTTTTTCCAAATTGCAAAGAATATTCTACCATCTGTTGTACGCTTCTCACCAACCCATCAATTTATCAAAGTTCTACAAGACAAAGGCAAATTACTCACCAACTACACGCAAAATATTGATGGTATCGAAAGCGCTGCGGGAATCCTTCCAGAGAATGTCATTCAGTGTCATGGATCATTTGCGACCGCCACATGTCAACAGTGTAGTACTCAGGTAAAGGGGACAGAAGTTTTCCCGGAGATCAAAGCTGGCAACATTCCGCGATGCAAAGTCAAAGGCTGCAAAATCCCTGCTCCACCTCCACCAAAGCAAACTCTTAAGCGTAAGAGATCCTCGAATGGTGGCAGTAAGAAACGAGGTCGGTCCAAAAATGATGATGAGAACGAAGAAGACGATATTCCTCAACCTGGCATCATGAAGCCAGATATTACCTTCTTCGGTGAATCGCTACCCGACAAATTCGCCGATCGACTGAGCAAACATGATAGAGATCAAGTTGACCTTGTCATTACTATCGGGACATCCTTGAAGGTTGCACCTGTGAGCGAAGTCGTGCCATATCTTCCCAGCAACGTACCACAAATTCAAATCAACCGAGACCCTGTGAGTCATGTTGAATTTGACATCGACCTTCTCGGCGAATGTGATGTTGTCGTCTCGGAATTGTCCAAAGCTCTAGGTTGGAGCCTCGATCATGAGATGATTCCAAAAAACCAGGAGATTGAAGTTACCACGGTTCCAGGATTTAACAATCGTCACCAGTTCAAACAAACGCACCCTGCACCTGTACGTGCGCCTGTGCCTGAGATAAAGACAGACTGAACACTCCCTGGCCCATGGATATTGATTGATGTTGCTAAAATGCATTTTACTGCTTGTTCTCACGTACAGTATCGACACAAAAAAAAAAAAAAAGCCTGGGATGATTACACATGGTCGCATTTCCAAAAACCCGCCATCCACCAACAGCCATGAACAATTTATGTTCCTTCCATACACCAGCAATGGCCTTCACAAAATTATTCTTCCTCACACTCTCCCGAAACTCAACCCACAACGCCCACTCCTCATCTCAAATTTTTACTTCTACCAATAATCGGAGCAAGGCGTTTAAGGATACTTTCACATGTAAATCTGGTTTCAATTCTCATCTATGTTCATATCATATCATGAATGAACATGGAAACGAACTTGTTTTATCTGTTCTTCAGCTCATTTCAGCACGAAAAGTTTGGATAAAAACCAAAAAAAAAAACAAAAAAAAAAAAAAAAACAAAAAAAAACAAGAATCTCGCAAAATAGACCATTCTACGGAGCAAAGTGGGCGCATATAGATTTCCCAGGAGTCAAATACATACATGGATACATACACATATTACATAGGGTACGCGTAAGAATGGACCATACGGACGGGACGGAGTTTTCATACCTGATACTTGATACTTCACATTTCATATTCCACATCATTTCATACCTATGGATTGGAAGAGCGAGGAGTTCTAGATGGATAGCGTATTATTTCATATCATGGTATCATTTTTTCATCTTGTTGCTTGGTTTCCTGGTTGCTTTCTAGTTTCATTTATTGGATCCTTCTGGGTTGGGTTCGGTTTGAGGGTTGCTGAATCAAATTGAACGGATGTTGAGTACTAAATGGAGGAAGGATTGTATGGATGGACGGGTAGATGGATTTCCTTTTACAGTATTAGTATGTCATATTGTTTATTGGTAGTAAAGTAATTAGTCCTTTCCTAGGTACGAAGTCATGAATATAAATGAATTAGAAAAAAAATAAACGTCGAGTAACATAGATGCACGCACGATGAGTATCAGGTCAAATCAAATCAATCAATTTGTTTTAATATTTCATTTCATTTCATTCCCGTCTATTAGGTAGGGTAGGTATCTAATACTTTCTTCCATCATCCACAACCCATCCACATTCATTCATTCCGTCCTATCTCTCCTCCTATCTTTCTCTATCCATAACATTTCCTTCCTTGCCTCCTTCCCTTCCTTTCCTCCCTCCTCACAAACAAAAACAAAAACAAATCGCTCACTATCAAATTACTATTACTAATACCATCAAAATCAAAATCAAATCAACCCATCCAAGAGGGGTATATTCATATTCATATTCATATCTATCCTTCCAACCAATCATTTTTTAATTTTCCCTTTTTTCACTTCGCCTCTTAACTCATAGACTCCATTCATCCATCTCAAATATTTACATTCGCATATCCATTCCTCTCCAAATGGAGCAGGAATCATCAAGAAAAAAACATCTGCTCACTTCTGCTCCTCGCACACCAATTTTAATGTGGTATTGTATTAAAAAGCCAAAAAGGTTGAAAAAAGACCGCCCCATATTTGTATCTTTTATTTCCCATTCCTCAAAACGCCGGCAAATGTTGAACTGACGCAATATGTTTCGTGAGGAAAACCAAAAAAGGAAAAAAAGTTTCAAGGCGCACGTGAAAGCGTCAATGCTAAAAGTACATATCTACATGAGTACTGAATATCTCTAGTGTTGTGTCGAATCGGGGTGGGTGAATATTACTCATCGTTTGATGGTTGTCGGGTCGGATTTGGAATCTTCAAAGTAGGAACGTTAGAAGACGCTGGCGCAGAAGTAATCTCGGGATTTTGTGAAGGGGGTCCATGGAGGTGTTGTGGATTTTCCGTGATGACTGGATCATCAGGTCTGGTGTCAGGGTGAATTTGTATTTCGTCAGAAGCCTCTAACTCTGATCTTCCCCTGGAACGTGAAAACATATCATTATCGCCATAGTTCCGCTCGATTGGAGACCATCCAGCAACACTACCAGCAATAATACCTGCCATGACTGTCGTAGCACCCAATGCTGAATTTGATCGAGATCGAGTGCTCCTTCCACGTTTGCGAGGTTCAGGATTTGTGAATGAACCATTCGGGCCAAAAGCATTATCCCGATTGGGATCATCTGAATTGGTAGTTGGCGCAACTGAATTATCTCTTGATCGGGAGTTGCTCCTTGAACGTGGTAATAATTGATCACGAGTTTGTTGCATGGCAAATCTTAGATTGTTCAATCGACCACCCTTGTACTTCTTGAGGAAAGTCAATTCTTCCTTGACATCCGCCAACGGCTTGGGAAATTGGAAATGCTCTTCCTCGTCCGAGATGGTAACTTCTGGGTTCTTGTTTCGATTCATCAAGTAGCTAGGGATCAATGACATGAGTAATTCATCGGGGACGAGACGTATGCAAGCTCCGACCGGGATGGAGAGGAAACCAAGAATGATGGAGTATGCCCATTGGGCTCCGTTTAGATGGACAACATTGAAGGCTTTGCCACCAACGAAAATGATCATGACTTGGCCACCAACCATGACAACATTGATTCCCATGAAGAACCAGTTGCGATAAACTCCTTCGAAAATGTTGAACTTGTTATCAAGACGGCGGTTGCTAGATCGAGTCAGTTAGAATTCAACATTACAGGTTTTCAGGGTACTTACTTCCATTGATTGAATATTTGCATCCAGACAAAGGTGTTGAAGATCAATGTTGGGATTTGTGCAATTTCACGGTCGGATTGGTAAGAAAGAATGCTTTCTGCACCGAAGAACAAGAGTAGGGTAATCGTTAGTTGATAGATCGATTCACCAATAATCATTTTCCACATCGTCATAGTAATAAGAGGTGCTGACTTGGGATCGGGCTTTCGATCCAAGATGCTGGGAGTTGGTGGATCAGTGGCCAATGCAAGAGCTGCCATGGTATCCATGATCAAATTGACCCACAGCAGTTGAACCGCGGTAAGAACGGACGTTTCATCAGAACTAGCGACAGCGGAAATGAAGGTCAAGAGAACGGCAGTAATGTTGACGGTGACTTGAAATTGCAAGAATTTCTTCACAGCATCGTTAACAGCACGTCCCCACATCATAGCCTTGACAATCGAGTTAAAGTTATCATCCATAAGAATAATGGCAGAAGCTTCCTTTGCAACCTCAGTACCAGCGATACCCATGGAGAATCCAACATCGGCCTTCTTCAGAGCAGGCGCATCATTGGTACCATCACCAGTGACTGCAACGGTTTCACCAAGTTTTTTGAGAGCCTTGACCAAATCCTCTTTGTCTTTCGGACTAGATCGTGCGAGAACCTGCAAACGTGGGATAATCTGCTCCTTCTTCGATGGACTCAAATTTCGGAATGCTGGTCCTTCCATAACAATGCCACCAGGAGTGAAGATGCCACACTCTGTAGCGATGGCTTTAGCAGTAACCATGTTATCTCCGGTGACCATGCGAACAACCACACCGGCATTTTGACAAATACGGACAGCTTCCGGCACGCCATCACGAAGTGGATCCTGGATTCCAACGATACCTAAAAGTACCATTTCCTTGAAGATGTCATCGAATACAACTTGATTTTTCTCTCCTTCAATGACGCGAGCGCCCTTGGGTGGCCAACTCTCGAAATCTCTGTAGAGGAGTCCAATTGGACGGAGGCATCGGGAAGCATAGTTGTCAATGATGGAAGTCAGGGTCAGGCGGTTATCCTCGGTCATTTGGACACTGCTAGTATCCTTGGTTGGGTCCCGAATGATTTCTGTGCACTTTTCGAGAAGAATCTCAGATGCACCCTTGACGTAGAGTCTATATGTGCCATTGTCCAATTGTAAAACCACTCCCATACATTTTCGGCCCGAATCGAAAGGAATGAGTTGTGTGATGGTGCCATTAGAACGTTCTTCGGCGAGCGGGCTCAGTCCCAAATGTTCTCGCACGAAGAGTAAGAGCGCAGTTTCTGTTTTGGAACCAATGAAGCTAGCTTCGCCATCGACCTCGCCCTCAAAAGCGGTTGAGTTGAAGACGACCGCCTGCTTGAGCATTGCCTTGACACTTGAATCTAAAGTAGATACTACTTCTTTGGGAGACATGTTATCAGCTTCTCGCTGTGGCTGCTTGCCATTGTCCGATTGATCCTTCCCAGACGACTCTACTGTACCGCCAAATCGAGAGCTAGTTCCTAAGGTTCCTGCGACCACCAACATTTTATTTTGAGTCAAAGTACCGGTTTTATCAGAACAAATAGTCGTAGCATTTCCCATAACCTCACAAGCTTTGAGATGCCTGACTAAATTGTTGTCCTTCAACATGCGAGTTGTAGCAAAGGCCAGAGCCAGGGTGACGGCCAGTGGTAAACCTTCAGGTACCGCAACCACAATAATTGTAACCGTGACGATGAAAATACTGAGAAATTGTTGACCTTTTTCTGTCGGGGTACCGTTATTGCCAGGTAAGCGGACCAAGAATTCGATGAACAAAACGATGAAGAGAAGAAGACCGGCAGCTCCACCAAGCTTTGCGATATATTCGGCTAGTGTGTTCAATTTTGTTTGAAGAGGTGTAGATTCGGGATCTTCCCTCAAAGCGACCAAGGTCTTTCCATACATAGAATTAACACCAGTAGCCGTAACCAGAAATGTTCCAACTCCCTCGCTAACCTGGGCTCCTGAAAGAATGAAAGGGTCCATTTTCCTCAAGCTTTCGTGATTTTGAATTGCGTTGTAGACATCGTCGGCTGGTCGTTTTTTAATCAAATCAGACTCTCCGGTTGCTTGAGATTCGTTGCAAACAACGTTATGTCCTTCAATGAAAATTCCATCCACGGGAATCATGTCTCCAGGTTCAAGATGCATAACATCACCAACCAAAACATCAAAAACCGAGATTTCCAAAGTTTTTCCGGACCGAATAACGTTCACATCTCGATCTTCTTTCTTTTTGTTGAGTTTGACGAATTGGCGTTCTTTCTGGTAATCATTGAGAGATCCTACAATCACCACAACCACGATAGCTACTATAATTGCGACACCTTCGACCCACTCAATAGGAGGATGTTCCGCGTCATGTTTCGTACCGAATGTTTGATATAATCCAACACCCAATGAGATTGCAGCAGCGATAGACAACAGGATAAGAACCTTGTCATTGTAAGTGATCCACATCAACTCGAAAATGCTTTTACCTTTCTTCTCGGGTAATCTATTATCCTTGAAGATACGTTGCCGATCGGAATAAGCACCGTGCGCTTGAACGTGTGATTGTGCATGCCCCGACCCTGTTGGTGGCATCGAAGATACCTTGGTGGCCACAGGGGTTTTTGAAGATTTCGATTGTTCGCTGAGGACCGGCGATCTTTGAGATGCGGCAGCTGTTGCTTCCTCGAAAGATATCGTTCCATCCAAAGACTGCTCATCCACACTGAGACCACTTCTTCGATCCGTTCGCAATCCCTTTTCTAATCCTGCAAGACCTCCGAGAGCATAGAAGGCCGCTAAACTCTTGCCATTTACTAATTTGTTAAGTTGCCCTTGAGAAAATGCAAAATTGTTGTTTTCGGCTTCGAAGTCCTCCTCGGTCCCTAAATCTGGCTTTAAAGCATCTGGATCGTTCATTATATCATTATTTCCGTCCAACTCCCTATGCTTGTCCATCTGTCCTGCGGTGGAAGTTCCGGCGCAGGTTTCTCCACCGTAACTCGTAGTTGAATGGTTTCCATCGTCAGATTCGATGGAGTTTTGTCGTGATCGAAGACCAGGAACAGCCAAGAATCCGGGATTTCCTCTCGACGTTGGCGACGACACATTATGTGGTGATGTTGGCCTACTGTCTCGACTGTCGAATGAATTTGTTGTTCTTAATTCTGGTATCGATGAATGACTTGCTTGATTGGATCGATGGCCTCGAGTTTGCGATCCTGTTCCATCATATGTTACAGGGCTAATGTCACCTTGTAAAGTCGAAGGGGAATTTGATAAAGCCCTCAAAGCAACTGCGTCGTGATCCATAGCTTGAGGTGGACTGTTGCTAGAAACAGCAGAAGTATCGATTGTTATCGTGGGTCTGCTCACAGTGAAACATTAGCTATTTTGGATATGGGATTGTTGGTATGTATAGTGATAAGGAATGTACACTTACGCTCTTTGCCTCCTCGCCCCCGAGCTTGGAGGTGAAGTTTCGCCTGAGTCCGCCATGTTAGTATGCTTTGGTGGAAAATTCTCTTGTTATCTTAATCAAACACAGCCCGAGGCGCAGGACCTTGGCGAATATTTGATGGAATGAAGCTGTTCAGACTCGTAGGCATCGAAGAGTGGCTGTGTCAGGGTAGGTGAAATCTAGAGAAGGTCAAGAATATATAAGCCAAGGTCTCCAAGTTATGTGGAATTGAACTGGAACCGGGCTTAAGCCAAGCAAATAAATCAATGAATCAATAACACAAATCTTCATCACAGAATATCCAAGATGAATCCCCATGAAGAGAAGAAGGGAACGAGTCATTGAAACATTATTGAATGGTGACTATGAACAACAGCAGAAGATGATATCTCACCAAAGACTCGTATGTCAAACCGCTAACAACACACTTGGTTTGAGTATCCAATGATTATGGCGGTCAATGAGCTGGAATTTCCTCGTGAGGTAGGCGCAAATTGATAGTGGAAAGGTTAAAAGGGTAGTGTTACTCCATTCGCAAAGAAGTTGCGATAACAAAGCCTTGGGAGCTCGTTGATATCTTTCTGATGCAGGAGATTATTGAAATAAGGAGTTGAGGATATTGAAAAGACGCCGAGTACTTTTCTCGAATTCCTTTGCTTTTGTTTTCTCTCGTGAACGGTATGTTTCTTTTTCTGTCCCCATGTAACGGAGGTGCACGGTAAAAGGAATAGTATGGGTATGAAAGGCGATAGCGGTAGTAATCTATGATAGGCATGAAGAAAAGCAGTAAGAAGGGGAGCAGGAGATATCAGAAGAGGTTGCCAAGCATTTGCATTGAGGCAGTGCAAGAAAACTTTATTTTGCACCAGAGCGTCAATGAACAAAATGATACGCCACGGATCCTCTCATTGAACTACAAACGAAAAGGCGGAACCAGTAAATGATTGTGTGTTTAATAAAAAATGATGGGGAATTTTAGATGATTTGATAAAGAAACTTGACTGGTTACTTTCCTAGCTAGTAACCGTACATATCTCACGATGCAACGACAACTCTTTGCTTTCTACTAAAGCAAGTTGGGAGGATCAAAGTCGAGATCAAAGTCAAGTCACAGTCAAAGTCAAAGTCAGATTTTATATCAATGTAAGAATTAAGAATTACCTACTAGGTCCGTACCTAGTAATATCTCTACTCTGTAGGTTTAAATCCAATCCAATCCAATCCAATCCAATCCTACTTCCCTGGTAAAAGTTAAAAAATATATCAAACAACGGCATTTGATATTGGGAACGACGGGCATTAATTGGGGACCCACTCATTGCCATATGGCCTTGACCGGTTTTCTCACCTCTCCCAAAACAAAGTTACTCCAAACCCACTCTGTATATTTGTGATTACTAATTAGTGTCATTGGTCTAATACTCTATAGGTAGCATATGTTCTACTCTGGGCTTGTGGAGAAGCCTTTTTAGTTCCGGCGTTCTCATTTCTAGACGACCGGATGATCTGACCTATTCCCTAATTGGGATTAGCTACTTTGAGCAACTCAGGAACTTCTCCACTTTGAAAGCTTGAAACAGAATTTAATATCCGCCTATTTACTCCACATCTAGGCTCTCTGGCGCTCTCCGACTCCCCTTAGCAGCTCAAAAATCAAATGCTTTGGATGTCTCGATGTCTGGATGTCTCCATATCTCCAATGTCTCGTCACTCCCGCCATCGGTTATCATATAATTGTCTCCTGATAATTGAATCTTATGACTTCATGCAAAAACAGCACAATCAACAAGGTTACAGCAGTTTGGGTCGAGAAAGAGGGGAAAGAAAACAACAGAATGACGATAAATTCCTTGGGGAAATGCAACATGCAAAAACATGCAAAAACATGCAAAAACAGGCAATACCAAAATTTGTTGTCGCCAATCAAGCTCCTACATTCCCCATCCTGACTGACAAACGAAGAAATTGTCTGGCATATCACAGAACCAATCGATTTACGACCATGAGGCATTTTTGGATTTCCATCGGATCGTGAGAGTAATAAGCAAAGATCTTGGTAATTCCTACCTAGATACTCATTGTTAGTCTGTTATTCACTGCAGCACAAAATAATGATACCAATATGCGGGTACAGATTACAGATTACAGATAAATGCAAGTTATGTCGCCTTGCTTTGCTTGTCGGTAGCACGAATTGCCTCATTTGATTGCCTTGTTTCAATCAATTAAGGAGAAAAAGTATATGTAAGTCATATCACTCCGGTGACGACAACCAATCTCATTCACACTGAAATAATAAAAGAGATCATTTCTCCACTTCAAAATCTTCTAGAAATTTATTAATCATCAAACAACCATCTTCAAAACGAATGATATCAGGCAAGAACCTTGAATCACAATTTATACCGGTCCACAATTATACCTGTCAAAACCAAAGATGTTTACCATTCCTTGCTCTTAATTTGAGCATCGTGACAAATGTTGTTTGAAAATCCTCAAATTTCACATTTGGCGTGTTTGGGGTCGAATAACATTGCAAGCAAGGATGACCATTACCACACCTCCCGGAGAAGGCTGATGATACCCTGATACTGATTCATCAATTGGATTATGACATCCCGCTTGGAGTTTCTCCAAAGTAAATATCAATTTATGAAAGACGAATCATCGAACCGTCGAATCACAATGTTTTCTATCTCTATCAAGCACGCCATTACCTACACTGCACAATATTCTCAAATATTCCTTAACCGCAATTGCCTGATGAGTAATTTCATCGCCTAGGGCATCAATTCATCAGGCGCCGTCGTTCTTCATTTGTTATGGTTACCGTCTCCATGGAACATTTAATTCGCTTAGATATTCTCAATTTTCATCATCACAATCTCTTTAACCCATCAATCAATTTGCCCAGAGCAATGCCCCTCTTGGCTATGCTTGGAGGCGATATCAAAAATCTCCCGAGATACGCCAGTTTTCGTCTTCAGAAGTTCCAGACAAAAGAAATCCTTCAAAAGTTCAAGCCAATCTGAGATTCCAGAATCTCATGAGGAGGTACAACTTTGTGATATCATCGGTGGGCGCAATTTCCGTGTTTGTTTTAGAGCCTAAGCTCGGCTAAATCAAAATTCACCTCCTCTTTGCTTATCTACCTCGGGCACTTTTCAAATGCACCCACGTACGGCTGGGCACATTGAAGGGGCTCTACAGAAGGCGAAAATCTTTCATATCTTATCACGCGTCTCCTGCCTCTCGAAATTTTCTCCTTCAGATTACCGGTACACCTGCCATATACAGCTTACATCCGCTGCAACACAAGCGGCAAGGAACGGGGTAAAAAAGGGGGCGCAGTCGCTTGGTGCGACATTTTAAGCTCATCTGTCGTGAAACGTTTCCTCCAAACCTGCAAAGTCCCGATATCGAAACACATATCTCAATTCTCAAGCCCTCTTCTCAACTTTTTTTTTCAGCCGAGGTGGGAAGGCTGTGTAGGACAGTAGGTAGTTTTCTGACACAATGATCAACATTCATCTATCATTCGTACCTTTGATAAGCTTGTTGATAGGCATCTTCATCACTGTCAGCCGGAGATGAATTGTGGATATAATCCACTTCACCCCGCGCCTAATGTACGAGAGGAAGATGGATGATTTTCTCTAAGCCACCTCACTACCACGTATCTGAGTCGACGTCTCCTCACTTTTTGATCACTTCTGAAAACGTGGGATGGCGAGCTTGAATGCCTACGCATTGTTGTACTTGGCTACTTGGCATGAGTTTGCTGTAGGCTTTTCGTTTGTTGTTTTTTTGGTACCTGTTGATTGTGTTCATGATCGTGATGGATGGGGACGCCTGCCACGCAGATATCTTCATTTTTTTGTGTCTGCTGAGCAAGGTTTCTAGTGTAACCTAGTGTTAATGTTAACGTTAACTTGTAACTAGTACATTTGTCCCAAGTCTTCAAGGTTTTTTAGCCACATTTCGTGTTCACATTCTTATGTACGTGTTTGATATCAGTTTGATGTGAAAACGTGATGTTCTTGAAACTTAATAGTACTAAGTTTTGGAGTATTAGAGTATCAAAGTATCAAAGTATCACATCTTCCTATCCTCACCACATCACATTACAACACGTCACGAGGAAGGTTGTACTGTATTAGTATTACTAAATATTGCTATACGATATTCGATATACCATATACCTCAAGCCCACCTCTCATAGCACAATAACCTTACATCCACGCAAGCAAGCAAGCGCATATGATTAGACGTGGTTATATTCGAGCTACAGTATCATTCCATTCTCTTTATTAGCAAGTTACATAAGTATACAACTATATAATTAACTAGACAAATAATCACTCCGATCTCATCTTATACAAACCTATATAAATATAAACATCAATCCATCAATCCAACAACCTATTCAACAAATACTCAAAGTCCCATCTATTCCTTCCCTCCCCTACAACTATCTCAATCTGACAATAACCCCTTCTTTCTCTTTCCGCAATATAGAATATAATTACAACCTACAATGTAATAAAAATTAGTAACTCGAATTAGTAAATATATCACCCTATGTCCTGCCTAGATGCCATCTTGGAAATGAGTAGTTTCGTATGGGTATGAGTGATTTTGATTGTAATTGCAATTGTAATTGTGATTGTAAGAGTTAGAGATAAATATAAATATCAATATAAAAAAGAGTTTTCATTATAATACCTGTATAATTGACTAAATTTTTAATTTCTTATCAATTTATCTGTTACGAGGTTTGCCGTCTAGATCACGTGGAAGTGCTCTAGGCTCTCGAGGTGGTTTATAACTAGGCGTCAAGCAGGGACTTAAGTAATGACAATAATGATATGCAATTCGTAACTAATAGTAGAGTATACTAAATGATTGATCTTGAGCACGAAGCTCTATACAAAGGAAATCCATCTTGATTATATAGACCTTCGTGTTCCGAAAGTCGATCGACTCTTGAAGGGCCGATCGATTCTCAGGGCCGATCGATTCCTACGAAGTCGGTCGGCTTTCGGATCAGGTGACTCTTGTCACATGATTCTGGTAACTGATTGGTCACCTGATGCGGACTATGTTACGCCGTCGTAACAATGGCCTGGAGGTGAATACATCATATCCACTTGAAAAGATTAGCTGAAATCATTGAGATCCTTTATCTCCTCTCAAGTATATATGACTCATACCGGTACTAATCTCATGGGTTCTAGATCAATATCTTTATTTTCGAGGTCTGATCAAGGTTAGATTATCGCTGGGGATGGTATGGTATGTTATTATATTTAAGGAATTATTTTCTAGGTTATCATTTTTGAGGAAGAAGCTTAAGAAATTATAGATGTATATATTCTAGCTGTTATATATCAAGACAAAAAACCTGCACCCTGATATATGAATCTGTTGTTTATATAGTGTGGTTATTGACAATAATGATGAAGTTTTACGACAGTTGTTTTCATACTAAGATTACAAAAGAGGAGGTGCTTATTAGATAAATAAATAAAGGTTTTGATTACTTCAATCCTGAACAAGATATTGATTAGAAACAATTAATTACTAGATATCTTGATACATTATATTGAGATGAGAACAAGAGGATCCTCTAAGAAACATGTTACGACGGATCTCACATACCTAACATCACGTGATTAGCATCATGTGATATGAGGATCCCAGTAGGCTCAGCTGTCCCAGTACAACTGGGACAACTGGGAGCACTGGGACGCATGCCACGATGGTCTATATAATCAAGATGGATTTCCTTTGTATAGAGCTTCGTGCTCAAGATCAATCATTTAGTATACTCTACTATTAGTTACGAATTGCATTATTGTCATTACTTTAAGTCCCTGCTTGACGCCTAGTTATAAACCACCTCGAGAGCCTAGAGCACTTCCACGTGATCTAGACGGCAAACCTCGTAACAAAACAATACTCTAATCTGATTCTTTGAATAAAAATAGATATTTTTGGGCTATTGAGCTTTAAAACCTGTTGGTGAATTAATTCTAATACAAAGTAGATTTGGTTTGGGGTGATGCTAATATTAAATTAAACAATATATATATATATATATATATATTAATCGATCGAAATGATCGATTATGGTTTATTGTTGACCTCCTGGGATCTTGGCAGCATATGCATATAAGGAGCAAACAAAACTCAACTTTTAATTCATTCTTTCCTTTTTGGTATACTGTTTGTTTGCTTTCAATATTTTGATTTCAAAGCACTTTAATTCCGAAGGCTGAATACCTAACCTTATTCCTTCATTTTTTTGAATATATACTCGCAGCTTAGCTGCTTAGCTAGAGAATCAATCAATTCAATCTGATGCTCTTTCTAGTCTCAAGAAACCCAATATTTATTGATTTAGAGGACAGTTATACTTCTAATTAGGTTGATGAAATTAATAGAGATAGTTAAGAGGGGGATGTGTAAGAAGTTGAGAGAATTATAGAGGGGTTGGTTATGTGTAGTAAATTAGGAAGGCTGTTTGTTGATCGATTTATTCATCCTCAAATTTGAAATAATTGAACTTGATGAGATGGATAAGTATATCGAAATAGGCCGTAAGGATATGGATATGGATATGACTACTAGAATAAAGGAAAATGCAGAAGTAATTTTCGCCGATGAAGTTAGGATTTGTTCTTGAGTAATGTTGATGTTGTTTTGATACACATTTTTGATTGGTAACCTAATTATCTGAAAGAGTATAAAAGACAACTAGTTGAGTTTCATAACTTTTGATCATCAAACAGAGATTAGTATTGGATTGATGCATTCCCGTTTATGTTCAAGAGAAGGATGTTCCAAACTCGCTATATATAAGCTCAGTATCCTTGGTAAAACATCACAAGTTTGAAGTTCCCGCTTCATCCCTATACTACAAAATGAATTTCCATAGAGAGAACTGTCAAAAGCCTAAGCCCTCCACTTCACACAAGATAATTGGTCACCGGTGTATAGAATGCTTATCTCTGGTAAAGTAACATTTGCTGTATATTATAACATACAGGTAAAATCCACGTCACGCTATTTGGTCAACAAGCGTCTCTGCCGAGTTCGATCTTGCAGCTAAAACAATGCCCATGACCATATACACAAATGCCGATCTCAGCAGTAAGCCTGGAGAAGCATAAATGTAAGGTCAACCACGTTCGTTGGATACTTTCTGCGGCAAGGAGTACCACCAGGACAGAAAGTAGGGTCTATTAAAGTAGCCGTGGAATAATTGTTGCTAATGCATTGTTGTAGTAGATCAAGAATATAAACACCTGTATTACGAGCAGAATCACAATGATTCGTATCAGTAGGAATCCAGGATGAAATACCGGCAGGATGTCCACACAGGCGTGTTCTTTTCATGAATTGACACATGGTGTATTGTATGAATCAAGAAAGATAGAAGTGAAGATTTGGGGTAGGAAGAATTTAGGATTTTGAATAGCGGTGCGGGGGTTTCGAGGGGGATTTGGCTTTCAAGATGAGGGAATCTTTGAAAATGGAAACGCGGCGGCTGTTCAGCGATAGAGAAGTTGGAGCTGTTAATCAAAGTCAGACCACTGGATGCTCAGCAGCTTAATATAAGAAGCCCCGCAGATTTCATTCTAATACATTTTCTCGCCTAGACGGAATCTTTTTACACTTTCGGACCAGTTGCTAAAGTGGCTCAAGGTAAAATAGAAGACGAAGTGCAGAAATTAGGTGAATGGTGTGAAGAGTGATGGAGTATAATGCAGTGCGGTAGGACAAGACATATATCTATACTATTCTTGCTCAATCAAAGTAAAAATGTAGGTTAATTATTCTAAGCCCTGTCACATTTAAACCCCTATACCCTAGTGCCATTTGCGAATTGATTAAAGGTTTGAAAAGAAAAATATTCCACCCTACAAACAAATCCCAGTACTAAAGTCCAACTTCCTTAAAGTTGTTTCCTTCGACTTTCAGAGTTCCTGGGAGTGGATAGCTCTCTTCCAACTAGATTCTGGATCGAGATAGCAACCATCACACTGCACTGTACCCTCCATTACACCCTTATTGGCAAGTGCCATTCCTTCTTACCACCCTCACCTCAAGACAAGATCCAGTCTGCAAGCAAGCCATAATTTATTCTCGTTCCTGACAAGGCCAAAATCATCAGACAAAATTGATATCGCATTCATTCTGCCGCTCACAAGCACATTCTAGGATTGATAAAAGAGCTGATGACAATCATACATGCGTAAGATATAGCTCTATATAGCCCACTCAGTAAAGTCATCAGATGCGCATCCTATATCGTGTTTTATCCATTCTGTATTGATTAATCGCTCAAAAGTTGAGATATGGACAAGAAAACAGGGGAATGCTAAAAAAAGGTTTGAGTGCTGATGATAGCGGAACCCAATCAAGGAATCAAGACCATGATGCAAATCAGTTCCCGTAACAATTTGGAATACTGTCTTTTTGTGTGTAGGGATATTGGAAGTAGCATGACTGCCGCTGGGCGAAAGCATTGAAACCCACAACCAAAACTGTGAAAGTGCGAGTTAAAACAACAAATATCTCTTTTGGTGATATTGAAAAGTTGCCGCCTCAAATCAATATATAAAAACTCTCTCGATTGAGATAGAATACCACTTGATATTCTGTAGGTTTGAAATGTCAAACTATCTTGAAAAGCAAGATATCTTTGATTCTTGTTAAAGGATTCATTTCTTGATTTTGATGGGTTGTCAGGTCACAATCATCATGATGATGAAACATTCCACAACCCCTGAATTTGTTGTCCTTTCTGTACGGAGTTAAGGGTTCACCAGGTTGGGTTGTTGCAATGTAACCTTCTATTCTTGAATGATAAAGAAGAAGGGTTTAGGAACACGTTCATTTGTTGTATGTGCATAAAGTCAGTTGATAGATGGGGAATCCCCTGTTTTTCTTAAGCTTAACTAAGAGCTTAGAGCATTTTGTTTATCTTCAGTTCGTTGGTCCCCTCTTTCTATCCCTCTTCTGCCCCACCATTGATGTTTTCGCTTCTAGCGGGTAGATCCAGGGCTTTTCAGGGAAGTCATATCATGTGCACGTGATGGTTAGAAAGAGGAGCAACAGAAACCAGATGATTGATTGATTGAGAATGAGAATGAGAAGAAAATAGAAATAGAAATAGAAAAAGGAATAGAAAATATATTCATATATCATATTAGTAGACATCGATCACCCTCTTGCATCATTTAACTTCATCCATTCACAATCATAAATTAAAAAATATACACTATCAAATACTAACTTTTATTTTGGGCCTTAATACTTATAATAGGTCTCCTTCCGCTTAGCGGGCTTCGTGGTCAGTCCCAATCACCACACCTCTCCCAGCACATCTTCCTTCCTACCCTCTCCCACAAACAACAACAATTCATAAATCTTTCAAATCTAAAGCATCAGATCTACACTTTGACGCGACGAAAACCTTTGTATACTTATTTTAAATTATCAAGTGCTTTTCAATCAAACAAGGTATGCAATTATCCCGTACTTATGTGCGATTCTGCATCGCAGTGTTGACTGGACGCGCCTACTCATCAGCTTGCGCCAATCTCAGTTATCCTTTCACAGCACACATTCTTACTAACTAATCTCTATAGAAAGCAATGGCTCGTGTAACTAGATCCGCCACTGGTAAGTTGCATCCTATATTCTTTCTCCGGAACCCATTCTTTAGCTATCGAGCATACGGTCGCAAAATCGCGTAAAAAGAGAGCTTTGCTAATTCGATATATTAGGCAGTATCCCAGCCAAGCCTGTACCAGCACCTGTCGAAGCTCCAAAGACAAAAAAGGCCGCACCAAAGGCAAACACTGGAAAGAAGGTTGCTTCAACCAAGGGTGCTAAGCCAACTGGTGTTAAGAAGACCGCTGCACCAAAGAAGAAATCAACAGTAGCCGCCAAGGTATATAAGATATTGTCATATCTAGGACTATTTATTGATTCTTCTATAGGTTGAAGCTGCTGTAGAGAAGACCGAGGAAGTTGCCGAGAAGGCTGCAGACAAAGTTGAGGAAGAAGTTGAAGAGAAAGTTGAGGAGGAGACCCCTGGAGAGGAGACTGCCGAGGAGGCCGTGGCTGAGAAGCCAGCGCCAAAGAAGAAGGTATGCCATATACTTCCACATACTTCAATATACCTTTAATGTCTTCTTCTATTCTCCTCTGATTAACACCGCATCTTTTCCTAGGCTCCCGCACCAAAGAAGCCCGTCGCCAAGAAGGCCGCTGCCCCAAAGAAACCTGTCGTCAAGGCTTAAACAGTAATATCTCTATCGAATTCAACCGCTCTCCAAAAACACAGATGGAGGTGTCTCTCACAAGAGCCTTTATAATATAACAACCTTTTGGATTGACCATACCATCACTCCTACCAGTTGATACCCAATATCTTTGTTCTGAGCGAGTGTTACTTTGGAGTGGATATGAATCTGACCTGGCGTTTCTCAGGCGTTTTCTAGTTTTTGGTTTGAGCGTGGTAATGGTACGATCAATGCTATCTATCATTTAGGTGTATTTTGAGGAATTGTATCTAGATAGTATCTATTGGATGCGTATTTTGGAATAGGGGTGCACTTTTACTTTATCTTTATTTTGGACAAAGAATCGTGATGAGGGTAGTTTTGGAAGAGGTAAAGTTTGTTAATTGGGCAGACAATGGATATAAAGGAAATGTAAACGTTTTTATACAGGATGATTTTTGTGCTATTGGTTTTTTTGTTTGAAGTTTATAATACCTCAAGTGAAGACACGCCTTCCCCTTTATTGGAAGGTGTATGAATCTGCTGGTAATGTACAGCAAGTCATATTGCCCTTCCATCTATTCCTTTCTGAGTATATATCCGTCCAGCATACTTTCCACAGTTCTAATTCCCTCGTCTCGGAGTCAATATCTCCGTATCTTCTTCTAGATACAAATTCATACCAGTAACGACCTGTGCCTATATTAAAACAGAGTATCCAATCATCCGAATTACAATCCAATAATGAGAGCGTTTTGGTGTTTTGACTTGCTGAATCTATTCAGGATATCCAAATTCATTCAAGTTGAAAAACTTATATCTAATCTCATCTAATCCATCAATCCATATTTTCGAATTCTCTATCCTTGATATTGTATTATCACGGTTCTTTTCTTTCCTTTCCTTTCTTTACTTTTCTTTTCCTCAATGATTACAATTTGCAAATTAGTAAAAGATTGTTCTTCTAGCAGTATTATTTTGGGATATAGTAAAGACTTGGCCGAAGGGTTGATGCATTGATGTAATCGTCATGGTTTTGAGAGGAAGAGAGGTAGAGAGGTAGGATGTGTATCTATCTGATTGTCTAGTAAGTAACTTAACTAACTCTTTGGAGGATTGCGTGAAGTTACGTGAGGTTATGTATGGTATCATCAGATAGATAGATAATTAGATAGAAGGAGAGTTGGAGAGTTGGATATCTAAATGTAAATGTAAATACTCCATGTTACTAGTTAGTGGAAAGTGGAAAGTGGTTTGGGTTTGGGTTTGGGTTTGAGTTTAAATATGGGGTTGGAGTTGGCGTGGATAAGGATGAGGATTGTGTATGGTTAGATAGTTAGGGTTAGTGGGAAAGGCGGAGGGAAGGGAAGGGATATACGAGAGAGAAGATGAGATGGGATGTTATTAGGCTGTGACTATTAGGTACTACTATTTCATGGTTTCTCGAAGAGGTGCTTTCCAGCGGGGATTTGGCTGGGATTTGGATGGATTTTTTATACTAGACATAGCTATAGCTATAGATATAGCGTGCTAGTGTGGTGGTGTTGGAGGGAGGGTTGATTTCTTCTCTTGGTATCTGTATAAGATATCGACTCTTATATAGTAGAGTCGGTCGAATTATATGTTGGTATAATTAGATTTAACTTGAATGTGGGAGAACAGCTCTATTAATTCGCTTGAGTGAGGAGATGGAAATATAAGGATATGATGTTTATGTTGATGAATATGGAACTGAGGAGCTCAGATGAAATAGATATTATGAAAAGAGTGAGAACTTGTAGCGGGAAGGAATAGGAGAAAGAGGGAGAAAGGCGAAAGGGGCAGATATAAAACATTGCTGCGGAGAAATATAGACAGAAACAGGAAATAACAAGAAGCCGGATTACCTTCAAATACAGGTCTTTGAAAAACTAAAAGCTAATTAGTGATGACGCAATAGTAGGTAGGTACCTAGGTAGGTAGTTAGTTATAAATCCAAATAGGTGAATTTTTTAAATAATTACAGAGACGAGAGAGATATTCAATATTTGAGAAAATAAATTCACTACTTCTTCGAGAACTTTAGAGTTCTTTCTATACCTACCTAGGTAGGTAATTTTTTCCCTTATATTTTTCCACTTAGCTAGGTACCTAGTAGTTCTTTTCTTTCACTTTAGATTTTTTGCTGGATTATTGTTATTACTAGGGGGTTTTGTGTGAGAAGATAGATAGGTATGTATTTGTGTGATATGGATGGGATTGGAGAAATTAGTGCTGTGGAAGGGTGTTATATTGGAATTGGGTTGTGGAGGTTGGATGGAGGAGAGATGGTTTTTGGGATGGGGAGAGTTTGATGGGATTGGTTGTAGCAGTGTGGAATGATGAATTAGTTTATTAATCGATGTTTTATTTCTGTATGTTTAGTGTGGTTTATACTTCAATGTCCAGATTGGGAATGTATGAGTGAGTTGAGGAAATGTGTGGATGAAAGGTTTGGGAAGCGTGAAGATATGAGGAAGTGATGACCTCGTCTCTAGTTGTTTGATCATGGAGCTATGAGTTGCGGAAATACAGAAAAGAACTATGTTGAAAATTAAAATTTGTACATCTTTTTTATCTTCAACGATCTTGCTTGGCTAACTGAGATGTAAATAATTGAATGATTAACCTTAACTCTTGTCACATCCGTTTAACGCCTAATCGCCCGCAGCACCCCATAACGAAAGCTTGTCGTCAAATATCTATCTATACATGCATTTTATAACCCTTCATTTCACGCCCATGCCACAATGCCCAGTTTCTAACACGCACAAAACAAGGAATCAAAATGCCAAGATATATATCATCCAACCATGAATAACCTATTCCAGCACCATTCCAAGAGACCAAATCTCCACAATATCAATACCGTACAGAACCAGCAATCACCACCAAATCACCTAGCTACTTCCCACCCGAATCGCTCATACCACTCATTACCATCGGGTGCACATTTATGTCCTGATGCTTTTCGCAAGCCCATGCTCCAGTTTCAATAAATGGGTCAGGACCCCATCCCTTGAATCCAGGTCCCACGCTGCTTCTAGAGCTACAGAGACTGGAGTTTCCTCGCTTACTCCATTTCTTGGCCTTTGTCGATGAAGATCTGTGAGCATAGGATGGGTTTTGAGGGGTAGATGAAAGAGTATATGGAGATTCGTTCTCTGTCAGCCAGGAACAGAGCGGCCATGAGTAATTTTGGACAGAGTATGGCTGGTCTTGTGTGAGGTTACCATTGTTCCAGTTGGTGTTGATATCTTCAAAGTTGTTGCTGGTTTCGTGAACAGGAGGTTCTTGATTTGTTGTCAAAGCTTCGTTGTATGAAGAAGCATATTTCGGGATAAAATCTTGATATGTGTAGACATGCCGGTCAGAAGCATTGAACTCTGGCTCTAATCTATGGGTCTTAGGCTGCATGACCAGGTTTATTCCAGCAGCATGGATGGCAAGCTGTGAGCAACTGCAATTGACCTCACTGTAGACAGGAGGTCTAGTTGCTGAGATGGGTTTGATACAGTACTGACAGATGATGGTCCAATCATCTAGATCATTCTGATATTCCTTTTCCCCTTGATAATTATGAGCAGGAGGAGCCATCTTTAAATATCAAAAGAAACTTATCGAAATGTTTAGTTATGTTGCGGCTGACAAGGCTTAGGCGTGTGACATGCAATGCGGGGTGAGAACGAATGGTGAGTGCGATTACCGACGAAGGCAGATTGGTGGTTTACTAAGATAGTATCCTAAGATGCAGGAAATTTAGGGGGATTAGTGATTGGGAGAAATTAAGGCTGAGATGATGATTTAATATATATGTGAATATGATATGCTTGGCTGAAGTGCGAATATCACCACAAGGCTTGAAAGTAGAATAACTCTGTTGATGATAAATAAATTGAGAAAACAAGAAGGAAACCAGCTATACTTATAGACCTACTCAGAAGCCCCTCACCGCAATACTCGTAATAAAGGCATGCAAAAGGGCGGCTTAACTATAACTTCCTACTTCATGTATAGCTCTAAGCTTTGTGGTCATCTGGATGTACCCGAATATCGGAGTGCATTATCAGAAACACACAGCGAACTGCATGCCGAACTTCTTCCAACGCCCTACTACGCGCAAGGCTGTGATGAAGGAGGAAAGCACCGCGGTTGGAAGTCCATGATATCGATACGAGACTGCGTCAGGCACCAATCATTCGAGGCAGTGCTGTCTGCCTCAATTTGTTAGAAATGTATGATGATTGGCGCAACCAACATTTCCTTCGGCTGCAATTAGTGCTCCTATGAATTGTGAGAGAGGTGAATTCGAAGTTGGTTGATTGGTATTAGTTCTATCATGGTTCGCTTATCCTCGGGTGACATGAGTTATCATCAATCTTTAACCAGCCAGAGGGACACCAATCATAGGTTCGAATTCATCTTCTGGGGAAGGAATTGAGTTACAGGATAAGCAACTAATCGCCTGTATGCTGCGATGCGCAAATTTGAAAAAATTCCCTATTCCGATCGACGTTAACCGCCAGCTAGTATAAATTTATCAAATGTTCCACTGAGCATCGCGCCCACTCGCTTTCTCTCTAGTGATCGTCCAATAAGCTTGCAATCTCGACACATGTTCTCAGTTAATCCATGCCGAGTTCAGACATCTTGACCTCCGGAATCGCTAACAATATTGCTTTCCGGTACGACAGTATGTTTACGGCGTAAGGATACATCAAAATAGCCCGCCCGGATACTCAACACTGCCCCAATAGATAAAGCGAATAGTCTCGTCTGAAGTCTGATTCTTTTCCAAAGCAAGCACTCGCGGAATATATTGCACCTCAAGTCGCACAGCACCGGCTTATCATGCGGCTTTCGTCCGACTGGCTAGGAGCTATTCAATTCGGGTCCAACTTCATATCAAAAACTCTAATATATCAGTAGGTGTCGTATATTGAGCAATTGTTGAAAGAATTCCGGTGACCTCAGTGCCAAGTGATAAAGTCAATATATTCTCGGGAGACGCCGCGTTCCGCGTGTTATTGAAACGAGACCTTTTTCATGAGGCTCGTTGCTTCGGTTTTGAGCCTCAAATGACGAAAATGACGATATTATGGCTTTCACATGTTATTAGACGTATTACTCCCTTGTATACTGTGTTGCAAGTTGCGAGTTCCGAGTTGCGTAGATCGCGGACAGGTAGACATGAATTCTGCGGCCTAGAAAGGAGTGTAAGTAGTGCCTAAATGTACATAAGATGAAGCACATGTATCGTGACGGCAATATTGCCGATCAGATATTGGATTTGACCAGTAACCAGCTGGATTTGGCAATTTCAACTTTCAATACGAGAAGCCAGAGAGGGCGAAATGTGATCTGTTGTAAAATTACCAAATTCTTCATGCTTTTCTACCAATGATATCTAACAGAACCTCAAGACAACCATCTAAACACCTTCATACTCCGTTTTTGAACACGCCTTATTAAGTCCACAACCTACATGTACCATCTGCACCAGCACTGACAAGCCATGGTTCCTTTGGATGCCAGTCCACATCCATAACACCCAAGGCACTCTTGACTTTGTGTCCCTTCAAAACCTTCACTGGTACGATAGTAGCATTCTCCATAGCATCACTGACAACCTTTCCGTGGAAAATTTGCAAACTACCATCATCACTAGCATCAGCGAACAATGGAAGTCCACCTTTGTGGTATTTCACAGCTCGAATAGCTTTGTTATGGAAACGCATAGTCTTGTATGGGCGAGTAGAAAGGTCGAGATCGTGCCACAAGAGACGACGATCATAAGAACCAACAATAAGATTATCGCCTCCGGGATGAATATCAAAGGAGGAGATCCAACGAGCACCGGGTTGAATGATTTTGACCAATTCCTGTTTTTGTAAATCGTAACTGCGGATTGTGCGTTGAGTGGCAACAAAGAAAATGGGTCGAGATGGATGGAACTGAGCAGTTTGTGCGATACCAGGAAGACGTCTGAAGGGGATTTGTGTGAGATGTTTCGAAAGTGTGTGAATTGCGACGGCCGACTTTTGGGCGGTAGGAGATACAGAAGAAAAGAAGTCACCTCTTCTGTGCCAGGTGATGACTTTAACTGTAGATCTAACCGTGATCTTGATCAATACACCTTCATCTTGTAGACGTGAGCTAGGACGAGCCCAGGTTGCAACAGGCTCTTTCTTTTGCCCGTTTGCTGTGAGTGCTTGAGTGGCACTTGTTGCATAACCAAACCCAGCATCCAGTAGCTCTCGGCTATTGCTTTCAGCAACAGGATCAATTATGGTGGGTACCATAAGGAATATTTCCTCCCCAGCTGCAGCTGAAAGTATGATGCCATCTTTTGCTGGGCGCCATCTCACAACGTTGACGGCCTCCTCGTCTCCTATTTGTGCGCTCCAAAGTTGCTTTCCGGTTAGAAGTTCCCAAACACGGACAGTGCCATCATCACCACCGCTAGCCAACCATGTTCCGGAAGGATCGATAGCCAAGCTTCGCACTCTACCTTCGTGACCGCGGAACAGTGTCTGCGTGACGGTTGGGAAAGGTTTAAGTTCCTCAGGCTTCGGCAATTTTGGCAGTAAGGAAGCAGGATCGATGTTTAGCCTGTTTTTACGAACTCGCGGTGCCAAATACAGATCAAGCGAACGTTCGAACCTCTCATTAATAAACTTGTCATATCCCGGAACTTTCCGTAAAGAGTCATATGCAGTTGGTAGGTATTCCTTTTCTCTATCCTCAGGGTCTGTAGCCTCCCATTCCTTTCTCTCTGCTTTAGATGGGAGATACTCTGGAGGTGGATTGTAACTAAGATCATAACCAGGTGGAGGTGGTTTTGGAGCTGGGATTTTCATGATATGATCTGGTTGAGCCTCCTCGTTCTGCCATATATCGTAATGACGTTCCTCTTCCTCGTCTTCGCGTTCTTGAGGTGGTCGGTATGGTAGGATTCTACCCTCTCGAATGGCTCGGACTATCTTCATAACTCGTTTGGCCTCATGTTTGGATGGCAAGAAACGTCGTTTGGGCTCAGGAGCTGAGCTCAAAGGCATAATCTCCTCGATACCGCTGAAATATGGAACATAATCCTATATAAAGTCAGTCTTATAACACAATACAAATACCGCAAGAAGCGCTTACAGGATATGGGTCGTAGCCATCTTCAGGAGCCTCATTTGTTTGTATCCTGCGCAAAACCTCCAATTCCTCTTGAGTCAAGTTGAGAGGTTTACCCGTAGAAGGATCCGTAAGGCCTGTCCATCCCTTCGGTATATCGATACTGTCTAGCAATGCATCAAGTGCTTCACCCTTCGCAGGTCGCATAATTTTCTTTCCGTTGATATCATATCCAATATGAGGATAGGAATCGTAAAAAGACAATGGAATATTTCCAATAGTATTGTTTGGCTCTTGCGCATCCGAATCATCTGAGTCGTAAACAGGGTTTATCTCCTCGTAAACGTAACAGATAACTCCTCCATTGGCGTCCTCTCTCACCACACGTGTAGTTGGGCTTATCATCGTCTTCACCAACACTGTCTCTTCATGTGATGAGGGGCAGCTCTTGTCTCAGATTCCTCTCCTTCGCCATTCTCTGAGGGTACCTCGTCACTATACCCTTATTACGGTCCTCCTCATCCAAATCTTCTTCGTCTTGACTATACACAGGCTGCGCTGTCGTCGGAGCATCTTCACTTTGCGACAAGGATTCCTTCTAAAATTCCATCACCAAATTCTGCTTCAGACTCCACATCGGATATCTCAGGTACATCTCGGGTAACAGCCTTGCGCTTTCGTTGGTTTGTTGGAGGTGCCATTTTGAAATAATTTGGATATTGTTTACAACCTTAGAGCTTTCCAGAATTTTTTTCCTAGAAAAATTGGTGGAGAGCTTATCGGACATTGTTATCTTAGCGCATTTTCTCATCGGGAGCAAGAGTCTCCTTCCAACAATATATCATAGAGTACAGTAAGAAACAACTATTCGCATCTTTGCACTGAATCAAATGTCACTTCATAACATTTATTATACTAATTTATAGCTACATTTCTTTTTTTGGTGATCATCGATTATTGATTATGGTAATGAACTCAACAGGTAAACAGAAAAGATACTATGGTAAAACATCGGGCTTGTGATGAGTGCAGTGAGTAACTCAGGACTAAAAGAGTCAACCTTCATACAATGGCTGATTAGATGAATATAGGAGTAAGAAAACTTGCTTGCTCAAAGGACCCAAATGGATGTGAAAGATGTGTGCGGGAACACATAACATGCCATTATTCTGAACAGAAACCAATGGGAAGACCGAGAAAGCGGCAATTCATCGAAACTACTAGAGATGAACCCATCAATGTACATGGCCAGCTACAATCTCTTCCCGATGATGGCACATTACCCCCTTTCTTTGGCGATGAACTTGAAAATTTCGATGGTGCCAACTTTACCGAACCATATTTTGCCGGTTCGAATTTCAATGAATCTGGAAATGCCCAACAATTTACACAAGCTCTTCCTCTGGACACCTCAAATCCTCTTTGGGCCTCGGACGCGGAGGGCGGCCAGGGTATATGGCAATTCGAGGATGCCGATATACTAGGTGACCCTCCTATCGATTTCAATAATACAGATATGCATAAGTCTAGTGAAACCCATCCATTAGCCAACCAAGTGCTTGAACCATCAACAGGAGCAAATCTTTCATCTTCCTCGCCTAAGAGAAGTGATGGCCCATCTCAAGTTTTAGGCGATAAGTGCAGCTGCTTATCATCAATGTATTTGTCACTTTCAGCACTGCAACAGTTCCCAAGTGAAATTGATGAAGCTTTAAAGGTCGTTCGTGGCGCCAGTCTTGTGGCATCAAAAGCCATTTGGTGCCCCTCATGTGGTGCGATAGCTTTAAATTCGCCTACACCTCCTATTGAAGCATTCCAAAACACGATGCTTATTGGAACCATATTACCTATCATAGCCAATGGGTACGGTCGCTTATTGAAGATGGTTGATGAAGCGACTGCCGTGGCCATTGCCAAAGGTCAAACCAAAATCTTTAGATGTGGTGATTCCGATGGATTATATGAGCACCAGAAGCCATTTGATCAGGCAGCAAATTTTATCTATGAAGTATTCCCTATGGCAGGCAGAGAAATGCAACCGGCAGAGTGGCGAACTGCCGTGAGAGCTTTATTGCGAGGCGACATTTATGGTCAGGAGCAACCTGGATACAAGTATAAAGGGCTAAGAGATATCATCTCCGAGATGGAGCAACGACAGAACGCTCGTCATAACATATTGGATGCACAAGTAGCAGCTGGTGTGCGATCCCTGAAACATGACCACTTTCCGGATTTGAAGACCGCAGATTCGGCCGCTAAACAATGCAATGGAGATAGAACAAGAACTTGTTTGGAGATTCTCAAAATAGCTAAGATGGCTGTAGATAGCATTGTTATTGCATAATCAAGAAGTGGTTTGTGATTCGCTTTGGAAATTTTGCTTCGCATATCGAAATCAAAGTTGATCGTCGAGTTACTATATTATGTGGCTGCGGAGTATTGGACTTGGTTTAGAATGTTTTGAGCTCGCTTCATTTTTGAATCATAAGCTTCAGTGGACGTTTATTGCCAACCATTTAATATTCTATCCTATATTTCATGCTATCTAGGCGACACAACCACAAAAGTGTCTGATAGGGTACCACATTTGAGAGCGGAAGGCAAATGAAGAGGGATAAGTTCATGGTTGGCTAATTGGCTCCTGACCACAATCTAGTGCGGATAATGAAGAATCGAGTGATGGCCTGAGCCAAACATCGTCTCTTGATTCTTTGATTCGCTTCTCAAACAGCGTATTTTTGTAGCTTGATTTGCAGTTCTCTCTTAATGAAAATAGGGCGCTTCTCAAAGACATTTAGATGAGCAACAACGACCGGAATACGCATCAGGCAGTGGCCCACTTCCAAGCCAGTGTGCTTTACAAGAGTGCTATTTTCGTATCCAATTTTCCTGGGATACAAAAGATTTCATCCCGAAAAGTAATCATGGTAGAGACATTGAATTTTACATTTTTCAGTTGTTAGCACTTACACTTTCTTGGATCTATTCGCTAAATGCTCTAATTATTGCATTTGACATCCCCATAACACTAGAGGCGGGGGGATACAGTAACGCCTTTAGATCAGGCCTGGGCATTCAGAATCCATGAGAGGCAGAAGAGATAAATTGGAAACAGCCCTCACAAAACTAGCTACTGATTAGGTACTTACCGAACCATGGTTTTCTAGAGCAATGTTAACTATATTCATTGAAGTATCTGGACAGGGTGCTTGGCAGTCTGACTAGCATACTAAATACAAGCGATTCTATCTACAGAAAATATTGAATATTTGTATATAATCCCTCGCTCGATGCTTATAATTTAATACCCTGTATTTGGAAAGGACAAGTCAATCATCCCAGATAATTGATTTATACAATTTCTTTGTTCATACTCTTTTTTTTTTTGATAAACTCAATGTTGTGAGTAGTTATCTGGAACTACTTCATTGCTTGATCACAAAAATTGTCTCATTATTCGTTTCAAGACTAGGCTAGACAATGGTTCAACATCCATAAATTCGTAAATTCGTATACATCGTCACAATCTAATCTATTTATCCAGACAACGTAACCATATTCATGTACAGCTCTCATCCTTTTCCCTGCCCTCTGTCTTTTGCTCCTGTGTCTTTACATCCTTAAACCAGAATGGCCCAAAATTCCGGTCTGTAGTGCAACTAAACCAATCGGAACAATGAATCTATCCAGACAATGAAATCAATGCTAAAGAATTTAGTCCTGTTGGCCTCTCAAATATTAAAAGTTCGTCCATGGTATTGTGAATTGTGGCTTTTAGATACCCTGCCTCAAACCCTCAAACCCTCAAACCCTCCAACTTTCCCACCACAAACTCCATCAACACCCCCGCCTCCAGCCCAGTCAAATCTTCTCTAACCGCCAAACATCTTTCCACCACCTCTTTATATCCTCTCCCAACTTTACTTCCCAGCCCCGGCACTAAATTCTGCACCACAATCTTGTCTCTGAACCTTTCGGCCGAATAATGCGGTTTATGGTACGTTTGCAATATTTTCCACAAACCAATCTCTAGTAATATTAATCCTAGAGAATATATATCAAAAGATTTACAATACTGTTTGCGCGGACAAGAAGGGGAATGTAGAGAGGATGGATGACGGTGGAGATCTGCCGCAGTGGGATTGCGCGATGCGATGGACATTTCGCCCATATGATCTGGGCGTGAAGCATCGAATCCGAGGAGGTATGGTGTACTTATATCTGGAACATTGTCCTTTTCTTTCGAGATTCCTAGACTTTTCGTGTATGCGCTGGGGAAAAAGAGGATATTGCTACTGCAGAGATTTTTATGCAGCCAGTCTAATGAATGGAGAGACCAGAGGGCAACAGAAAGTGTATGGGCGAGTTTAAACCGATCGCCTAGGTCAGGGGTGCGGAAGTCGCTGCTGGTGATGAGGAAATTGAGAGTGGAGGAGGAGGGAGCAGAAGAGGGAGAACGGTAGATGAGTCCGTAGCGGGAGGAGGTATTGTCGTCTGTGTAGCCGAGACAATCGATCGTATGGAGGTCAGGGTGTCGATCTGAAGCGCTGTGAATCATTCTTGCGAGGTCATCTATTCGACGGAGGTGATTTAATCGAGCGTCGAGGTCTTCTCTATCATACTCCACCCATTCCACTATGATTTCTTGTGATTCTACTAGTGAGGGATTCTTGTACTGTCCATGAATTCTTGCCATGTTCGCATTCTTGACTACCAATGCATGGCGTTGAATCTTAAGCGTATAAGTTGGCTTGAAATTTTTGGTCTCCTTCTCATCTAGATTGATTCTTAATTGCTTGAGATTGGCCGAAACATTCAATGCTGGATATACCCCACTACTCGCCGTCTCCAACATTTTCAGCTTGCCCAAATCGCGATGCGCACCTTGTAGTAGCTCATTCGTCCATGTCCTATGCAGGGTCGCTAATCTTGACGGTGGAAACAGTTGTTCCAAACCATCGTTATAGTCTTTCAGATCCTGTAAAAGCACTGTGAACTTCTCCTTGTCGCCAATAACCCACTTGACTCTCTTCGACAACTCGCTCCTCAAACTCAGCTTTCCCAACCCAAACCCTCCTTTCTCTGTTTCCACCCCTTTCTCCCCATTCTCCCTCCCCTCTATCTCATCTCTTCCCGATCTTTCCTCCACAACCCCATACCTCTCCCTCAATTTCTGAAAATCTGTCATAGTCCTATACAACTCACTCAGAATCTCCATGGCCAATCCCCTCATCCTCTCATTCCCAATCCCCTCCTCCCTTTTCAATTCCTCCTCAAACCTCCCCTCTAACACTCCCCATTCCCGTCCCCAAACCAACAATCTCATCTCCTCAATCTTAATCTTACAAATCAGTTTCTCCGAGTCTCGTGTGAGGTTAGATGCGGTCGTAAAGAGTGAGTACGCCGTTATACAACCGGAGAAGATTTGGCCGAGGACTCCAACTGCCCCGACGATCGAGAGAGCTGTACCGAGAACTTCGGCCATGATCTCGGCTTGTCGCGTATGTAATGTGAGATGAGCGAGATAGATTTTGGGTACACGTGAAGTGTATGTATCGTGATATAAGTGTATGCAGGAAAATGCCAACAAGTAGACTTTACATAACTAATAGGCTAATAACCAATCTCAAGCCAGATGCACGGAACCCATCAATATAGCAACAAACAACATAGATGGAAGAATGTCAATTATATCATTGAAGAAAATGCTCATGGAATTGACAGATCAGCTTGTGGCCAACAGAAGAAAAATTAAAGTTGCATGGTGGTGGCTTACGGGGATTAGCAATGCTGCAGGTTGTCTGCAGCTGTAACCTTAATAATAATAAGTGGGTAGGCCATCTTGCATTTGTATGGTAAGAAGATACTGATTTAATAGCAGGGCCCTAGCAGATCGATTGGACAAAACTGTAAGACTTAATCTTCCTCCGAGTCTCAAAAGGTGTTTCAATTTGATCCTGAAACAATAGTCTTTTCACATTAGTGAAGCATTAGAGAACACAATGTTTAGCTTGTAAAACATTCATATACTTGATAATTGCCAGCTTCGAGATTTACATTTGGAAGATGTTGAAGCTATACTTAAAAGCAAGCGTCCAAGCCTCCTGAATCTTCCTTGAGAGGAAGAACGACATAACAATAATAATAGCAAAAATTTCCCTCATCAAATTGAACTCCGCCTTAAATGCACGGCTTCCTGTTTAATTTTTCCTGAACCTTGACCCCCTTACTCTCATCTCGTTTCAAACTCACCACAACAGCTTAATAGACCTTCTTCTTCTCATCGATTGAGTATTTCCCTGGTCCGCTGTTGACAAGGAGGAGGAGGCCTCCTACAATGGATAGAATTTGGAAGAAATCATACTTTGCGAAGTCCTTGTGGGGGTGGTGTTCGTGAAGCTACGGTAAATCAGTAAATTGCGTCGCGCGATCAATAGGGTTCGACTTACAGTCCAAAAGTTGTTCACCAATACGTTGAAAACACTCAAGATAAGAACAAGCATGATAGCACTGAACTTTGCCTTGAAGCCCACGACAACCATAACGCAGGCTACGAGACCGAAAAATGCCACAATCACTCTCCAAAGGCTCCAAGTGCCACTGAAAACGAACCCGACAAAGAGGAAGATCAACAAGACACGACCAGCAAGCTGGAAGTACATTTTGCGGTCCTTCTCATCTATTTCTGGGAGACCTGCGAATGCCTTTGATTTGCGGACCCATGAATCGGACAAAACCATCAATAGGCCTCCCATGACTGAAAGATTTCGGAGGAAGAAGTTGAGATCGAAAATGAGACCATATCCGAGAGCTTGTACCACTACAACGCCAATCAATCCACCAACAGCATAATCCGAGTATCTTCGTGCGATAACTAGTGTAGAGCATGAGATCATAGCGAGTACGTTAACGATTAGGAAAAGATGTGTGAGACCGCTTGGGACTAGAAGATTGTTAACCATGCTGTGCCATGTTTTGGACAGATATGTAGCATACTGTGTCGGTAATCATGCAGATATAATAGCTGATCGCTCCACTGTGTAATTATTCTCAATGCATCCTCCAAGAATGTAACAACAATAAGGAATCGTCCGATAGCTGGCAAGTAACTGCAGAATAAGAGAGATTAGCAGATTGTAAATACGAGTAAATTAAGCACAGAAATAGACAGACCCCTCAAGCTGTCCTCTGCGGGGTCCTGTGAGGGACATGAACATACGGCTTAACAGGATCACTTAAAGTATCCAAGAAATCCTCGATTTTGCTTGTTTGCTCCCTTATCGCGTCGAGAGCACCGGGTTCATTCGGTTTGTCCATACCGCCCATACTTGGTCCTCCTCCAAATGAGTTCTGGCCACCCAAATTATACCCTGCAGTACCGCGTATTGACATTGTCGCAGTTCTACTGAAGTTGAACCAAGAAGCAGAAGAGAATTTAAAGAAGCTGGACTTAGTTACTTTCAATTAACACCAAGTGTCTTGTAGTCGCTGAGGGTAAATTGGTATGAATTCAAAGGGGTGGGTGGAGTTGTGAAGAAGGGGGATGGGTGCATTGGGCCTTTTGAAGTTTGAGATCTTTCTAAGATTCTCGGTAGAATAACCTAAAGGACAGATAATGGTCCCGAAAAACTTAATGAGTTACCCCATTTAGCCCTGCTGCTATATGCGGAATGGAATACAGTCGATTCATCAATTGTTTCAATGAATGAATAATGAAATTCACAAAGCTCTTTCAATTGACTTTGAGTACTTGTAATCACAATAGAAGTTACTATAATGCCATTCGAAATAAAACTCACACAGTGCAAGAATAAGTTTCCAAAAGTTTATTATTTTTCGTATCTACCTTGATGTTTCATTGTAGGATTTGCTCGCTGTCACACATGATTTTTTATACCGTAGTTTGTGATCCCAGTTTCATTCTTCTCCTCAACAACACAGGGCACCGATCTGATGTCTCTGATTAAACGGTCTCATCTCGCGACTTGGAAGGGGAATTTTGACGACGTCAATTGCCCCAACGTATAACTCCAATTCACATAGCTTGATGCCGCCTTACCGAATTCTAAACGATATCCCGCTATAACACCCTAAATCATTATGGTAACATATAAATACGGATCCAAAAGGTATTCTTTGCAAGTAAAATCCTCAATGGAAAGCACTAAGATCCAACGGAACACTGCTCCCACGGCCAGCCCGATATTTCTTGGGTCCACCAATAAACTCCCGAGGTTTGGGAAATACTGATTCGTCGGTGAATTTCCATCTAGAATCGTTGATTGTAACTCTCCTATCAGAGCTGGCGGTTTTCGGTAAGGTACCGTTCGACGATAGAGTATATGAGCTAGAATCCATTGGGTGAGTTCTTCCTTGTTGTTGACTTTGACTTCTTGATATTGGTGCAGCTGGCGGTGCAGGCGGAGATGGCGCTCTGTGTGACGATATAGAGGGTGGTCCACTAGATGGGGGTGGCGGCGGTGGAGGGGGTGCACCCATTGGTGATGCTTGACCGGCAGCACGAATTGCTGCTTGCATAGCAAGACTCTGACCACCTCCATTAGCCGAAGGTGGAGACGTTGGTGGAGGAGGGGGCGCATGTGCTCGAGGTGGGTTACTGGGAGGGCGCGGAGCTGGAGAAGGTGGTGGCGGCGGTGCAGCAGGCGGTGGAGGGGCCGAAGAAGGAGGTGGAGGTGCGAATGATGATGGCGGTGGTGGGGCTGATAAAGCTGATGGCTTTCGAGTCCCAGGAGGTGGAGGAGGTTTCTTGCCAATAGGAGGTGGTGGTCCCTTGAGAGAAGTTGAAGAAGCAGGTCGAGAAATTGATGGCCCAGCAGTTTTTCGCAAATTGGCAATCGATGGCGCGAATGTAGGTGCCGAAGGACTGGGCTGAGGAGGAGGCCGGGCTGATGGTAACGGAGGAGCTGCATTTATTGGAGGTCTAGGAGCTGCCATACCTGGTGGTTTAGGCGCAGAAAATTCGGGTTCTGATGTGAATGATGAATCTCGATTTGCTGTTAAGAGTTAGAATCTATCCTATCTTCAAAGTGCATAAAGCTTACCGCCAGTGTCTACTCCTCCGCCTCGTTTCTTTAACTTGGGCATGCCACCTGCGAAAATTCCTCCTAACTGTGGAGGTTGTTCCATTCCTGCAGACACGCCGTTCCCATGTTCACTGTCACTTCGAGCTCTGTTTCCCCCAGGTACGGGTGGTGCGCCGAAACCCCCAGGAGGTTTTGCCATTCCAGGTACTGGTGGAGCACCTCCTATTGGCATTTGCCCAGAGCCACCGGATACTTTGCCTACTATTGGTGCCGATCTGTCGTTGGTTACAGCCTTTTTGAGTGTTCTTCCTTTTGTGATATCTGACAAAAGTGCGCCCTTTAACATGGTTAGCAACTCGAACTTAACATTGTACAACTGGGGGATTTACTCTATTGGCAGCGACCTTCGCAGGTGGCCTTGATGGCATCGATCCTGGGGCTCCTCCAGGAGGTGGAGGGGGAGGAGGACCACCAAATCCCGGTGGAGGAGGAGGTGGTGGAGGAGGTGGAGGAGGCATGGTTTTGTGAATAACAGTTGTTTAAGTTGATTAAGTTGATGGGAAACAACTTTTAAATGTATTTTTGAATGAGTTGTTTGATCAAAATATTTGATGGTGGGTACCATTCAAGCATGAAAGCCAAGAGAGTTGCGTTCAAACAGAATGAGTTAATTGTATGTTTCAATGCTTCACAGAAGAAGCTTAAATAGAAGCTCAGAAAGTTATCTCGGGTTCACGCATTATGTTCGTCGTCACAATTGTGGCTCATGCGTTAACTTCAGCCTTCTTTATTAGTCAGCTACATCAAATTTACAGGGCCGGGGAACAGGGTTATGATATTTCGATGGGATGCGGGTTTGGCGGGCTCTGACTACAGCTCGTCCAAAAACGTCAAGTTGAAGATCATGAAAACTTGATATTGCCCTACGAGATGTCCAACCGCCTCTTCAAGCCTCGGTCGGATGTGTGCCGTTTATGCGATTTCATAACTTCTCAAAAGCCCTCCATCAGACAACAACGTCGTCTTTTGAAAGCCATTAACACCACTTCTCCTCGTACGTTTATCACCACTTCAAGAAAACGATCAAGCAAACCACTAAAGTCCGCTCCTTTCCATTCTTCGCGAAACTCCTCAGATTCGAATCCAGCGCATGCGCCATCACTGCGGCGGCATATTACAGAAGCAGAGCTAACACAAGAACTAAGGCATGGGGTCCGGGCCTGTAGTCAGTTACTCTCAGAAACTGTCCCTTCGGAGAAGGCTATTCTGAATGTTCTCCATACATGCCGTTTGATTGCCGCAGATGTTGCTGGAGAACCCGCCAAATCATCAGAAGCAAAGAAGGATGTAACCGCTGCGGCGTCTTTACTTTCTTTGGCTGATCGAGGTTCGAAGGAGTTACGAGTTCAAAAGCTAAACCGCGAGACCCAATTTCTAGTGGATGAGCTCTCGCAAGCCCTATCTTCAATTGTCTCTAACGAGGCTGTCTTCATATCACCAGAGATTTTGGAATTATACATCAGCGCGCAATCGTGTCTAGGAAAACCAGAAACATTCCCAGGAGTATTTTATTTATATGCGAACAAACCGATACTGGTCGACGGTTCCGAGCCGACACAATTCAAAAATCAAAATCCAAACAAGGTCAACAATGCCATCCCAATGGCTATAGCAGATCAAGCTTTACAGACAGCGATTGATGCGAGGGAGCTGGATGTAGCTATGGATATCATTGATACGGCGTATGCGCAAAAAGCATTTCGCCGTGCCAAATTTATCCGAAAAGGATTATTACCTGCCACTGGACTTGGCATGGCACCTATTGCAGCATATGGTGTTGCATCACAACTTGCCATGTTCCAAAACACTATGGAACCGGGCATGGCTACAAACATTGCATTCGCTGGAATCCTAGCATATATGGGGTTCACGACTACTATTGGTGTGGTAGCTGTGACGACAGCTAATGATCAAATGGATCGCGTAACCTGGGCCCCTGGTATGCCATTAAGGGAGCGCTGGATTCGTGAAGAAGAGCGGGCTGCGATAGATAAAGTCGCCGGATCATGGGGTTTTCATGAAAAATGGCGGCGTGGGGAAGAAGAGGGTAAAGACTGGGATCGATTAAGACTATGGATTGGCAATAAAGGAATGTTGCTGGATGCGGTGGAGCTTATGGAAGGTATGGAGTAGATGAGCTTTTAAGGAGGTATGGATGAATGAACTTTACTTTAATGTCTGTCGATCTTGACGACCTGCTGATTTCGCTAGCGCGGAAATCGCTTTAAAATATGATTATATCGGAAGTTATCATTCAGCCTCCCGGCCCTTGCAGACCTGTCAAATGCCTTCCTTTGCTATTTTAAAACGTTTAGTTTAACCTGAACTATTTTGCGAGCGCAAAACGCAAGTCAAGACAATAGATATATAGGTGGGACCTAGTTGACGTGTACCCAATTGAATGCAGACTTTTCAACACGATGTGTCTTCGTAAAAATTGGTTGTAGACTAAGTTCAACGGTTTCGCAAGCGAGGAGACGGCTTCAAATAAGGTGAACTCTAACGTAGTATGTGAATCATGAAATTTAGACTCTGAAATACCCCCCACAATAAACCAAGATGTTTTTTTTAATAAATATTCACCAGTCCCGCGTCTGTTCGAAGCAGCTGAAACGTTTACTCTAAACAGCAACCAGTCTAATTATTTTCTATTATCATTATTTTACTTATCTTGAGAATCACTATGGCGTCCAATGTAACAGATCTAATGCAATTAGAGCAGTGTCTTAAGCATGGCCATTTCATGCATAGTCTGAGTCCAGGCAAGGTAAAGAGCATCTTCTGGGTTCTATTCTTGGTTGTGCACGTCATGTTGACCATTGCTTCGAGTACCTTTACCAAAAGTGCCAATATAGCCACGTATGTTTATCCCTCTCCAGTCCCCTTCATCTGCTATGCGATGTCACTGGCGAACAATTAACAAAACCGTTTAGGCACATTAAGACGGCAGAACTTCACCCTACAATTTCCCGAGACATTTGTCAAAACCTGCTCTCCAAAAGTAAAGCGAAACATCGCCGCACCCAGATTCGGTGCATCTACGTCTCCTTCTTATGTTTCATCGTCGCGCTTTTCTGTACAGTCTTCGAAGCCTTCGCCGCATTCTCTCTCGGTTTCTGCCATAAATCGGACATGGCTTTCCTATATTCGTCATTCTGGACATTGCTGCAGGTGGGAAGTACAATTGCCATTTTTGGTATTGTGTTGGCTCAGCTGTGGTCATTTATGGGAAGGGAGTCGCTTCCGGTCAAGTATGTAATCGTGATTTATATGATACCTCTTAGTTTTCAATGTATTTTATTTTTGAGCATTTCATGTCATTTAGCATTTCATCGATATTCTCTCCAGTGCCTCACTCGGAGATTCCTCTCATGATTAGAACTATTGCATTTCTGTCCACTGCTCTTGCCCCCATGCTTACGAGGACGCTTAATGTTGGATGGGCGCTCCATTCATTGAATGCTTCGTTCGCTCCAATGCTTTGAATGACACATCTTATTGAGTACCTCATCTTGTTTAATACCTAAGTACCTAAGCTTGCTGAAATGTTTCATGTTACCTAGCTTTGTCGAATTCGAACTGACTGGTTTTGTGTAATAGTGTGGCAATTGGAACACCTGTACTAATCATAGCTTGGCTGGGTGTTGCCTTCGAATATCTATTCAAGGCCTGGCTAAGCGCGGCGACAATAAAGAGTTTTGAGACTTTTGTGGATGGTTTGATAGATTCATCGCGGTAAGTCCTTTCTATCTCTTCCAAACAGTGTGTCCAATAGTCCGGAAGTAGTCCAACAATCACAGGTTTTCGAATATTGAAACTATTTTCAATATTGAATTCATTTGGAGCATTCATGTCTTTTAGAATATCCACACCTTTTGGAACCATTGGACACACTACTCCCAAACAACCCACAAAACCACAACCCACAACCCACAAACTAGCACCCACACAGCCAAAGCGAAACCTCCGCAGAAACCGAACCCAGCACGCCCTCCATCCCCCAAGCCGAACTCCTAGGATTCACCATAGACAACCGTCCCATAATCTCCTTCAACAAATTGCCCTCCCACGCGCTGCATCCCAGTGCTCATCATTTTGCCACTGCCGAGGATGGCCGCTCTATATACATATACGGGGCTCTTCCCAGCTCTTCCGCAGATGTTTCCGCAGATAGCAATATGGATTCTGTGGTGGTAGGATCCATTGTTTCGGAATCGCGGGGAATGTCCCGTGGTATAGGGTTTCAGGATGAAGGGGGTGCTGTATCTGCGCGGGCATCTATGTCTCGTTCCTCGAGAGATGGATATCTGGGTAGTGGATCGGATGATTCTACATTGGGTAGGAGTCTTACGGCGGGAAATTCTGCATCTCGGGGATTTGGTTCTGATGAGGCGGTTTAGGGAGGGGTAGGGATGGATGGGTGATGTGTGTGGAGGATGAGATGGGAGACTGTGAGGTGTTAATGCTTGGGAACCCGGAAGGGGATATATCCTATGGGTGTGTGTTGAAGGGACGGGCGTTTGTTTATGTTGATGATTATACCATTGTTATTACTGGAATGCTCAATGTGGCGGTTAAAAGCTTAAGTGTTGGAACTTTTTGGGAAGATGGATTGGGATATACTGGAGAAAAATTAGTGTTTACTTTTACATACTGTTATATAATCTTACATTGAAGATTTGAATTGAAGTTCATTGCTTTTGCTTTTCTATATTTCCATTAATCTAGCTGTAACCTAGTCAATCTCAGTATTCAAGAGCCTCCCCCCTATCATTGGACTACATTCTGTAATATCATTGAAGATAAGTATATTTTTCTTCCTTCTTCTTACTAATTCGGCTATATTTGACTTTTTATCACTTTTCACCCTTTTTTCTTTAATTTCACCATTCACTTCCATCATTACTTCCATCATTACTTCCATCACTGACTTCCATCACCCTCTCCCGCATTCACTTCCCACTTGCTACTTCTCTCAAAGAGCCGGATGCATTATCCATCAGAATACTTATTTCTTTAACTCCCGAGTCGCATTCTACACAATGAGATTGACGTCCAAACTCCTTATACACCAATATTATACCACATATACATACTAGGTAGTAGCACAAATCCCAAAGGTATATAAACTTTTATTCTCTTATAATCCATAGACTATGCATAATAGAACCATCTATCTAATCATGCCACGCTCAACGCTTCACAACATCACACATTTAACGCCAACCCTATCCTAAACCGCTCTCCCTGCCTTCCCAACCTGTATAATTTCTCCCGTCCTCTGCTCATCACTCCTCAATACTGGCCAACTGGCTCCATCTGCCTTTACCAATGTAATTTCCAATTTTGTGCCCATGATTTTGAAGGACGAGGCTTCTGTATCGATTGCGCCGAAGAGTGGAACGATGCTTTTATAGCGTTTGGGAATTGCGTCTGTGGTGGGGAGATCGAGTGTAAGTTCCTGAGAGGCGGAGAAGGAAACGACTGCATTATCTTTATTGATTTTCTTGAGGAAAAATGAGGCGATTACTGAGCTCGCTGTCTGGTAGAAATCGTATCTGTATTTATTATCATTAGTTTCATTTCCCAAACTTCCCCAAGACGTCATTTCAAAAATAAACAGAAATCACTCACCTAACCGTCTCCAAAATCTCCTCACCCCCCTCCTTCGACTTCCCCTTCCCTCCACTCCCAATAAACAAATGTGCATCTTTAGATTTACACCCCTCGATCTTCATAAACTCATCAAACTCCAACACTCTCCTCTTACAACATGTATAACCCTTACTACCCTCATGAAAAATAGGCACACCGGGATGAAAGACACATTTTTCCCCCTCTCTACCCTTCCCCTCATATTGTTTCCCACAAGCTTTCCTCCTACAGGTTTTCCCTACCGGGATCTCTAGGGACGCATCATCGTCTTCAGATTCTGCTGGAGGAGGAGGAGTAGCAGCGGATTGAGGAGCTGGAGCAATTGGAGCGCGGGAAGGCTCAGGAGGAGGGGATGGAGCTGGGGATGCTTCTGTAGATGCAACTGGAGCTGGTTTCTTCTCTACTTGTGGTGGATGATCTGTAGTGCTATGTTTACCGGTTGTGCAAGGTGGAATGGAGAGGAATTCGTCAAAGGTTAGGACGCGGGGTTTGCAGCATTTCCAGCCTAGTTTTTGGGTATATTTTAGTATTAAACATATTGTCGAGAGCTTTTTGAATGGATGGTATAAATCAGCATACCTTTTTGACCCTCATGGAAAACTGGTGGTCCAGGATGGTAAAGACAGTCTTCCTCTGAATCAGTATAAACCTTCCCACAAGATTGGTGTACACATTTTTGCGCCATCTTGTCTAATTCCCTCTTCAATCAAATCAAGGTCAAGTCTACTCTGGTAAAGAAGGAGGAAGCTTTACAAAATAGAATTCTAATACGAGGATAAAATCTTGTGTATCGCAGATGGAAAAGTCTCAATCAGCTTTCCACCTTCCCCAATTTCTAGAATGCTCTAAATGATTCTGCCGTGGAGAATGTTGTTCACCGCTTTTTGCTCCGTCCCGCTGGGAATTATCCTAACCGGGGTGTAGGGTAAATCATACCTTCCCCGGAGCGGTTATTTTCTCGGGTCATTATCAATTCGACGACTTTGAGGCTCAATAGTCAGAAGTACTTAGATATCTAAACCACTATGCACCCAACAATACGATTGCTCCAAACATGTCGAATCACGCTCTTCACGCGAGCTAACTGTTCACTGTGTACCAACGCCAAAGATACATTATTTAAAGTTCGAGAGACGAGACCATTTGTGTATAAAGAGATTGCTGTCATGGAAGATGGACAAAAGCAGTGGAAGGATTTATACGAATTTGATACCCCTGTGGTTAGTGAATGTTGATGCACAGAAAAATATGATTTTGCTGACAATTTGCGTTAGATTCACGTCAGTAGGGAGGATGCTGGGGAAGAACAGTCTGAATTGGCGTCTAAAGCGAGGAAATTGATGCATAGATTCACTGAAGAAGAAATCAAGGCAAAGATGGATGAAGTGGAAGGGAAGAGCTCTGTTTGATCTATGTTGAAACTGTACCTCTAAAATCTATTCTAGAATATCAAGAGAATTGGTCATGCTGTGCTAAAAACAAGAGAAGTATCTGTGCACTGGTCACCAAATTATCTACCATAAGGACCCGTCAACTTAGGTCCGTCTTCTTGACCTTTCGCCTTATTGACAGCAGCAATTACCCCTTGTGGTAAGATATGCATATCTGTTGCAACACTCATCATGTGAAACCCTTGATCGGCGTATCCTTTCGCTTGCTCTCCACTAGTACAAAAGATTCCAGCTTTCTTCCCAGCTACGTTTGCTGCTCTCAGGATCTTTGCGATTGCTGAATGGAGATTTTCATGCATTTGCCCTGCAACAACAGGGTGGCCGATGTTATTTCCAAGATCGAAAGGTCCGATGAAAAGAACATCAATACCAGGGACAGAAGCAATGGCATCGATATTCTCCAGTGCTTCCTTGGTTTCGATTTGTACCATGGTTAAGATGCTATCATTGGCTTGCTTCAAGTATGCATCAGAGTTCAATTCGGGGTCGAAACGTTCATGAGGGAATGGTGATCCGAAACCTCTCTGGCCTTGAGGCGGAAACTTGGCACTTTTCACGAGCTGTTCGGCTCCCTCGGCTGTGTATAGGAGAGGTACAAGTACACCATGAGCTCCACAATCCAAAGCTCCTGTTAAAGCTATTAATATCTCGAAAACACATGGGAAAATAGCTTGGTGACTTACTTTTAACCATCCATCCTTGATTATCAGGAATCCTGACTATTGGGCTCACTCCACAAGCAGCAATTGCCGGGACTGCATCATGCATTGCGGCATCTGTTGAGCATTAGATAAGTTGCGACAAATTATTCAAGAAGTCATTTGAAATCCCATTGGTTCTCGATCTAAGATCAAGCAAAGAAAAGTATATGAGAAATGAGATCTCAATAATTGGGTAGTGGGTAATGACAGAAATTCCGTTAGTCCAGAATCCTAGTGTGTCCAACAGTCCAGACTGCGGCAACAATAAGATACTTTCAAATATTGTAATGGTTTAGAACATTCAAATCCTTTGGAATTTTGAGATATTTTGGAATGCTCATACTACATAAAATGCAGAATTTACTTCGGACATTTGATATTTTTTCCAGATGTTGAAAACTCACATTTCGCCTACTTGTCTGGACTGTTGGACACCCTTGTCCAAATGCAGTCTTGATTCTGAATTTCCCAATGTTCGATAATTCTTGAATATTTGAACACAGATTCATTTCCCGAATGAAGTTATTGTTTCAAAGGAATCCCAAATAGATTCAAGAATCTAGAGTCCCTCGTTGTCCAACTGTAGTTCGGACTCAAAACATCACAATGATGACTCATGCCACTTGGTTATAGTAGATCTTCCTAGTCCCAATGACTACATCCGCCCAACATATCATGAAGGTACGAGCTACAGCAGGAGATCTGATAGATGATGGTACTTCTACCACGCACCATCTTCCGTGCACAATTGGGAGTATCTCTAGTTTAGAAGGTATATCAAAAAAAACTCTCCAAAATGGAGCAAACTCACCATCTATATTCCCATGTTCACAATCCACCAACACCCAATCAACACCCGTCCTCGCCAAAGTCCTCGAAACATTAGCACCAGGAATCATCTGCCAACAACCCATCGCCGGTTCCTTTCCTTCCGCCATCACCCTCCTCAAACGATTTGCTCCTTGCATGATTGAAGCCATTTTATGATAACCGTGTCCGCTTTTGATCGGAACTCTGCTCTTCAATGGCTTGGGAAAAGTAAGAGATCTCGCAGTAGATCTCCAAAAAGGGTTACAGCGGGAAAGCATGAGGTATCAAAGGAAGCAGGAGCGATTTCTGTTTTTTGGTCTTTTGTTGCATTTGTTACTGATACTGATAGTGAACTGCGTTATCGGAAATACTAACAGCCGTGACTACCCCACATTTTGCTACACTGCACAATTGATGGTTCCTGCTTGACAGCTTTGGGAGGGAGGGGCTCATTATTTTATGATTGGTTGAGTGTGCACAACTCGTGTTGTCCCGAGGGTTAGCTGGAGCTTTCTATTCCATACGTTTCAGATATTTGAAAGGTCGATTTGATTGTCGAAAATCCTCTCTGCCACTCGCAAGAAGGATATATATATGTCAACTGTTGCATGTTGGAAGAATGACTCTCCCAAGAATCAGTGCCATGAATTAATTCAAAGAGCAAAATTCATGTAACATTATTTACATATTCAATCGTGGTACAGCATTGATATTCCAAGAATGGGAATTTTTGCATCCCCATCCCCAGACAGAGCTAAGGAATTACTAAGAAAGGCGCGGGGGAAGCAAGTACCTTACAAGGAAGGTGGGGTGTTTCAATCATTTCAAAATAACCCCCCATACAAGAATTTATTCCTTGTTTACCGTACCATGAACCGAGATGTATCTCCGAATACAAAATATGAAGGTATTCCCAACGTCATCAGCATCATCTTATGCTAGGCGATGTTGATCTTAGCTGCATCTGACTTGAAAATTTGGAGCATCAGCACAGATTTGTACTCGGCTTAGTTGAAGTTGGGAGTAGAGGTTGCCGATGAATTGAAGTCTTTTCCCTTTACCCCTCATTATATGCTTTGTTACATGGACTTTCCCCCATATTTGAAACATGCAGGATAATTTCTTAACCGTTTGTCATAGAATCATCAAAAATCCTCGGACAGAGCATCAAAATGAATTCCATCCTTGAGCGCAGTTGTGACACTGCTTTGACCGGATAACCGATTGCATCTTCCGGATTTCCAAGTTACAACATAACCCATAACCTTAATGGCTTGGACTCCAGACGAGTCAAGGTCAGCTGTTGTGATCAAAAAATGCATATAAGCAGCGGTGTGACCATGAAGTATTTTGTGGATTCAACGAATTGGACGTGGTGAGAATTCATTGTTTGAAATTTTTGATCGAGCTGGCTTCTCTCAATGCCTAGGTAGCGACGCTCGTGAACGCTCAGATGGATGCAGCATTTCCCATAGCCGCGGTGACCCCCACGTCTTTGGAAGAGGATCCCCATGAAAACCTAATGTAAGCCACAGCATGGGTTTCAGTACATGATGCGAGAGTCCCGATCGGAGACCCGCTACAATGACTAGGGAAGTCATCAGCGTGACTTCTAATTTCTAAACCACGGTTGTGGGAAGAGGCGGATGGATTATGGAGATGAATGAAAAGGAGAGAGAAAAATTAATTCTCCACAACTTTTTGGTAATAAAATGTATGAGCCATTATCCACCCATGTAGTAAGAACAGGAATGGGCATGAATTTAGGCAAACTTACATTTACTCCGTTTATTAGTGAGACTATAGTAGAAATGGTACTCGAGTATGCAGTAAGAAGAAGTGATGTCGACAGTTGACGTTGGGCAAGGCCGATATAACCTTGTAGCCAAGTCGCACGAATGAAATGACAGGAAAAGCAACGAGAAAAAAAAAAGCTCGCACGAACCTTGCTTTCTATTCATTCTACAATAAGCTTCAGAAGCCAGAAATTTTCAATGACACAAATGATGGAGTCTTTGTGTATTATATTAATAAATGTCCGAAATTGGATACAGATAATCGTTGAACCCCTACCTACATGACAATTTGTCCGTTTCCAGACCCCCAAAAACTCACACAGACACGGGATGAAAACGTTGAAAGTTGTGTCCGCCAGGCTGCGTTTTGTACTGCATCTGCGTCGTTTACGACCCGCGTGAATCGTTTTATTTCCCTTAGACAGTAATCATAGACTTGCTCAGCACTAGGTATGTACTTGCTGTATTGCTACGTATACAACTTACAGTACGGACGGAGGACATCTATGGCCATGACTATCATCTCGCATCTCTGCGGTATCACCCTTACGCCTAATCGAGGATCAGACTTCAAGCGATACCACCTAGAGGTTTTGACCATGCCGGTGTAGAACTTCCATTTTCATCACAGTGCGTCCGTACTTCGATCCAGATGGTTTCCACGTTTTTTTCATCTAATTGAACCATTCAGACCTCCATTCTCCGCTTTTCCATCATTTTTCCGTGTTCAAGGAGAATTTGCTAACTAGCAGCCCAACCTAATAATGAATAATGGAGTCCATAAAACTCATCTGAACCTTCTTCATTTGTCAGGAAGGGTGAAGCCTAGTATGAATCCAGGGCACTGGCTGGCCGAAATATATGTCTCAAGTGGCAGATTTTTCTCTTTGCTTCTGCTTCTGCTCGTGCTTCTGCTCCTCTTTCTGGTCTGGAATCCGTCTGTTTCTGGAATCTCAGGTACATGATCCGGAGCCGGCTTACAAGGAAACCTTGAATAGCAGGGATGTTTTTTATTTCTTTTATTTTTTTCTACATCTTTTTCTCATCCGTGCAACGCAGCGCGCAGCTGAGAAGCGGTGATGAAAGAAGTGACTAGATCTTCTAGATGGGGCCACAAGGGTCTTCGAGACTTCTCTTCAAGCCTTCCAAACTTCTTTCTGTGGGTCACATCAACCGTGCCAAGTTCAATTTCTCTTGGTACTCCGTACACTTTTTCTTCCGTCACCCAAAACTACTCTACCTCGTACTCCGTGCATAGTACATACCAACCAGTTGACCCAATCTCCATTTCAAGGTCTCCTTACTATTTTTAATAAGGAAATGTAGGCACACGACCCACCGCCACTTGCCGTCATTTATTACCATACCTCTTACTCCAGGATCCTCATTATTATTTGCTATATACCTCACTCCCCTTTCCACATCGTGAGGCTTCCATTGATTGTTTGAATTTAACTACATTACTTCATCATTGGTCATATACCACCCATCTTTCCTCATTCCATCAGAAGAACCTTAAAGCTCATCAACAAATCTTCCTAAAAAGTATATATATATATATATATATATATATATAATATCTATATATTCTCCCGTGTATATCAGTTTACTGTTGCTATACATCCATACATGACATCACAATTTACATTGACATTGAATTCCTTCCCTTTTGTCCGGCAGCTAAATTGACCTTGATTTCCGACCTTTCTTATACCAGTTACAAAGAAACTCCGCCACGCTATTCACCAAAGAACCCCTAGCAAAAACTAGCAATCATGTTGTCCTACGAAAACCGTTCGAATATGGCTCAACCAACTTCAACCATGACTGACCATTTATCCATATCCGCTTCGGCGTCAAACTCGAATTCATTGACCGGCTCATCAAGACAACCCAAGACAGGCCATTCTCACATTTGGTTGATTACCGGTCCTGCTGGATGTGGCAAAAGTACAGTGGCTCAATATGTTGCCAATGCTATGAACTTGCCATATATTGAAGGAGACGAGGTATTTATACATCAATTCTGCAATCTACTTTATATGTAACTCATTTCTAACCAAATTTCGAAACAGTACCACCCACAGTCAAACATTGATAAAATGGCTCAAGGCACACCCCTTAACGATGCCGATCGCTGGGACTGGCTCACCAAACTCCGCGACGAATCTGTCAATCGTTTGAACACCGGTTCTCAAGGCGTTGTCCTTACCTGCTCAGCTCTAAAACGCAAATACCGCGATGTCATCCGTGTAGCCTCCTACTACGATCACAATGTTCTCGTTCATTTCGTATACTTGCATGCTAGTGAAGAAACATTATTGGAGAGAGTTGGTGCTCGAAAGGGTCATTTTATGGGAGCGAATATGGTCCATAGTCAATTTGGTATTCTCGAACCACCTACGAAAGATGAAACAGATGTAATTCAGGTGGACGTCAGCGGATCGATAGAAGAAGTCGAGCATGATGCGTTGGCGAAGATTCAATCAACGATACAAAACTAATTGGCAAGGGATTCATGATTTTAGACATTTCCGGTAGTGGAATATGGAGAATGCTCCCAGCGGAGAGATAGAGAGCTCATTTTCTTTTCATCTACGGCGCTCGGTTACCAATTGGCGGATGAGATGTCTTTCATCGTTCATCATTAGCTTACGGCCGGGGATGTCTCCTCGGCTACATAATTCGGAGTTGCTAGGATATTTATCAGTTGATGTATTTACATCTGCATTTTGCATACGGACGGCTATTGGAGGGGCTGGCAAAAAGGATTCGGCGCGGTTTTTTCCATTAGCCGTAGCTACATATGGGTTTTACTTACATTGTTCATACGCATGAATTTTCTAAAGGGGTAGGGTTCACGTCATGACCAAGTCGCAAGATGAGAAGATGAAGGAAAGTAGATGAAGAAAATACATGACTGGGCAACTACGCAATTAGATTAATAAAGAATGTCACGCATCCAAATTCTTCCATGCAGTCATATGGAAATGACACAATTTTTATTCTTATATATTCATGAATGAATGAATGAATGACGCCAACTAGTCCAACTCGAAAATGCTAGAACGATTCTATATCTATCTATGCATACCTAGGTAACATCGGGTATCATTCTTTCATCCATACATACATCACATCACATAATTGACCCTGATCTGCTCTTTACCATTCATTCATTCATTTATTTACCACTCATTCATTCATTCATTTAACTTACCATTTATCCTTCCCTATCCTCATGCAGAATGCAAAATGCGGGGTATTAGCGACCCAAAAATCCCAAAAAGCCCATAACCCCATGGCCCCAAAAACCCCGGAAAATCAATTTTTTTTGGTTATATACTATGTATGCACCCCAGCCTGGACAGCCCAGCTGGGGTCAGAGCAACCCGATTATAGATTCGTGGGTAGGTAGGTATCTACCTACCTACCTACCTACGTACTTATTAACTCATTTGTGTCGTGTGCGATGAGACGAGGCTGCGTATTGGTATTGGTTTTGGTATTGGTTTTAGATGGGGTTTTGGATGGGGAGAGAAAGGGAGAGATATGGGTATATTGGTCCTCAAGTCCGTAGTTATTTGCCAAGAAGTGATGTGATAGGTTCTTGGTTTATATATGTATGCATGCATGCATGTACGTGTATGTAAGTATGTTTGTTTTGTATTGTTATTTTATGCTACGTCAAATTGGGAGGGTTCGCATTCGCAAGTGGAAGTGCAAGTGCAAATCAATATTCATTATTATTCATTTTTTCTTTCATTTGAACCCGAAAGCTGAACCCGAACCCCCCCCCCCCCCCCTTTTTCTAGACCCCGAATGCGACGCAGATGTTTATAATGAGTTAGTCATATTTGGTGTGGTTGCCTAATTCATCAACGTGAAAACAGACTTCGTGACTTCGTTTACCCAATTGGAAGTGGGAGAGGAGTGCGTATCCTCATGCCCGTGGGGTATGGTATCACAGAAATGCGTATGTTGTGTTTCTATCAAATATCTCAAGGTGATGCAGAATGCAGCATGAAATGAGATCTTGTGGTCTGGGGCAAAAAACGATCTCGTGGTGTTGGATTCTGCAGCCGCTTTCACTAGGCATACATGTATGCAAAACGAGACCAGGGCATGATGTCATGTAGGTTGGATGTGCAGTAGTGCATCATTTCATATGCAAGAGCATGGTTTCTGGATCCTCAATATATCCTCTGACCATTTCGGCGGCGCGAGCCATGGTTGCACCGTCAATCACTCGGTGGTCGGCGCTCCAGCTGAAATTGATGACTTGTTTCCGGACAACGTTCCCGTCGGCGTCGAACGCAGGTATGGTGCGTAGTTTGCCGATGCCGAGGATGGCGAGCTGAGACTCGACGATGACAGGGGAAAGGTAAGTGCCGCCGATGTTGCCGATATTAGAGATGGTTATGGTGCCACCGGAGAGATGGGAGGAGGTAAGTGTGGAGGTTGTGGCAAGAGACTGGAGGGAAGTGAGAGATTGGGTTATGGAGAGGAGGCTGGAGGTGGATTGAGCGTGTTTTAGGACAGGGACGAGGAGACCTGCTGGGGTGTCCATTGCAATGCCGATATTGTGTTGAGGACGCATTGTCAATATGGGTTTTTGAGTGGCGGGATCAATGTCGACCCGAGCATTTAGAATGGGGTAATGATTGAGAGTTAAAGAGACAGCTTTGACGATGAATGGTAGGTAAGATAGCTTGGCGACACCGTTGATGGGAGAGCTTGCCAATTGTTTATTGATACGATCTCGTACTTGAAAGAGTTTCGTGAAGTCAATTTCATCAGTATAGAGAAATTGAGGTATGGCCAGAGACTTCGTCATGACCTTGAACATTTGCTGTTGAACAGGCGTTAATGAGGTAGTATACTCCTTCTGAGGCTCGCCGTTCGTCTCCACGAGGTCTGGGGTTGTTGATGGAGCACTGTCTCTCTGTCTAGCAAATTGATGCACATCCTCCTTGAGTACACGGCCATCTTTTCCCGTACCTGTCACATCTAATATATTTACATCCAACTCTTTTGTAAGATGCCGTACTGCCGGTGTCGCCAATGCTGCATGCTTTCCTTTAGGGGCTGGAGTGAAAGATTGAGACCCAGCAGCTGGTTGTGAAGCACCCGGGACATCTACTTTGTATTCCGTGGGCGACTTGTCCAGAGATTGGGCCTTGGAATCCTTGCTAGGATTTGATCCTTCAACGACACTCGAATCCTCCTGCTCGACCCCGCCTTGTATATCAATATCCAAGAGGGGTTTTCCCACCTGTGCCATATCCCCAGCTTCATAATGCAGTTTCTTTATGACACCGGAAAATCGACTGGTAATCTCGACCGAAGCTTTGTCACTTTGTACTTCACATAATTTGTCCCATTCCTCCACCCGGGCTTCTGGCTCCACGAACCACTGTATGATTTCACATTCTTTGATCCCTGAAATATGAATTAGTACGAAGAATATCTCTGATCATATCACTACTCTAACCTTCTCCAATATCTGCCAGCATGAACGGTTTAATGGCTAATCGCTTCGCAGATGCGTGAAAGAATTTGTGTGTGGTTGGAGATCGTTTGGGAAGATTGAGACCCTGATAGACGTTCCATTGTCTGCTCAACACTCTAGAATAGAATTGATAACGCATTTTGTACGACTTGAGTTCTAAGTCTCATAAAGTTTTTAAAAAAAGATTGTTGAACATTTTCTTTAAAATACAAAAGTACTTTCATGAGACTTATTGGGGGGTGAAAGTGCAAAATCCGGGGATCGAGGATATCAACGGCATAAGATAAGAAGCTCAAGAAATATCCGAGCATAAGCACAGGGATTCTTTGAAAAATCTGGGGAACAGAATTAAATTTCTGGGCATATCAAATTGTTAGCCGGAGCTTTTCACAGGGCCTCACTCACCATAAACGAAGATGATCCTTACACGGTTACCAATACGATCCGCAAGGAAGCAATTGGATGCTTCGGCATGTCTGCTATGTCAATGGCGTTCATTCACCACTACGTATCCACGATGGGACGAAAAGAAAGAGATACCATCGACGGCGCCAGAAACCCCGTCAGTATTAGATGAAGCTCCAAGAGCTTCGGGCAAGAAAGTTGAAGGCTTCACGCCCAAACCTTTAGATCGAGCGATTGGACTTCCAAATCCACCAAGAGTAGGAGAGAATAGTGGGATAGATACTAGGACATTGAAACAAAAAAGAGATGATTTCGTCAATTGGGACAAACATCTCGAAAAGCGCAAGCAATTGTGAGGTTTATCTGCCTTTAACGGTATGTGCAGGCCACTAATATCAAGTAAACAGGACGGCGGCAATGTCCAAGCCATATTACAGAGAATGGAGCAATATGAAATATCACAAGGGGAAATCCTTCCTAGCACCACCTAGAATCTTTAAAGCCGATCGCGCGCTCTATTTCCCAAACTTGACTGGTCGGACCTTAGAGCCAGACTCAACTCTATATGAAAACACCACACCCATACTGCAGGGCAAGGTGTCGGTGGTGTCCGTATTCAGTGGTGCATGGGCAGAGAATCAGGCGGCTACTTTTGCGTCCGAGAAGAGCAATCCGGGCTTACATGCGGTAGTGAGAAAAAATAAAGGATTGGCACAAATGGTACATATCAACGTTGAGGAGAATTATCTGAGAGCTATGCTCATCAAGTTGTTTCGGCCGAGTTTAAGGAGAAAGCTACCGGAGTGGATGTGGAAGAGGTATTTTGTAGTCCAGAAGGGCTTTACGGATGAAATGAAAGAATCTATAGGGATATTAAATAGTAAGGTCGGTTACACATACATCCTAGATAGAGAATGTAAGATTAGATGGGTGGGAAGTGGCCCTGCCGAGGAATATGAGAAGGATGTTTTGGTCAAGAGTGTTTCCCGACTCTTGGAGGATGCTAAGGCAACATCGGAGCAGAAAAGACTTGAGCAGAGTGCACAGCAATATTGGGACGCTGCTGCTGCAAAGAAGGGAAGTAAAGAAGGTGCAGCAAAAGCAGACCGCCGAGCATGATATTCCTGAATATACCCATAAGTCATTATTAAACTGTACAAAAAAATGGTCATATCAAAGACCATTCCACTCCAAACGCCATGCTCATTCTCGCATTACCGTGAAATGCACCGTGCTATCCTATCTTTACATGAAATACAGAAACATCAAAAAGCAAAACGCTATGAAGGTTCCCATGATAATCCCATCTCTTCTCTTCTTCGCACTAATTCTCCCAATCAAATTATTCAGCCCCGGCACCTGGCTTGCTGCCCCAGTAATCCTCCGATTAATACTCGCCAGAGTTTCCCTCTGCAGTCCAAAACTCTCATTAACCGCGTACGCCTGGCTCAGCACACTATCTGTCATATTATGACTATTCTCAATACGGCTCCTCTCTCCTAACATATAATCCGCTTCTGCAGCTTCAGGATTATTACTATGATAAGCATCGATATCCGAACGCACATTCGAGAGCAGGTTTGCGCGATTACGAGCTTCGGAGATGGAGGAACGAATGCGGGAGAGTTCGCGACGGTGGTCAAGGAGGATTTCCCGGTGACGAGTAAGATTGTTTTGACGGGTTGCGGAGGCTGTGAGGGAAGAGTCGCTGTCGAGGAGACGGGAGAGTTGCGATATTAGGGTTTCTCTCTAGTACGCACATGTGTAAGTTTAGATTTCTTGAGTTTGGGGTAAGAAGAAAGTATATACCTTTTCTAGGATTTCCTGTAGCTTCATTTCGGTGGATCGTTCATCTTCTGAGGGTTTGGGAGGAATGTTGGAAACGGCTGCGAATTGTGAGTAGGTATGGAAGAGTGTTTCCGTCTGCGCGGATTTGTTAGTTTCGAGGAATATAGCTTTTGGAGGTATGTGTGATTTACCTGTGTTTCTAATGATCTAGCTTGTTGGCGAAGCTGTGCCCACCCTGTCCCAGTAGACGTTGACATCGTCCCTAAGTTATGATATTGATTGGAATTTATGTTTGAGTTGCAATGATTTATCGCATTTGCTACAGGCGCATCATTTGTGATACTGGGATTACGTCGCTGGAGCCGGAAAATTACACGGTCCGCTCCTTCTTTGTCTCAACATAAATAAGGTTAAACCAATCATTTTGCTTGTTCATTGGAAAGTACTTTCTCACATCAGTTCACTAAATCATATCTATGAAGCTGTTTCTAGATACTTGCCAAGTTCAAAAGTTCGCAGGGAGCCTGTTTCTTAACTTTGTAGGAGTGCTTGGGCTGAAGGAAGAATTTTATATCTCTGCAGACGAAAAAGCCCTGCAAAGTATTTGTCCATGTTTTATAGTTGAAGCCGCGGGGAAAGTCATGAATGATGGAAGTCTTCAAATAGCATTTATCAATTTTTTATATTGCTCAATTGCATTTACGTATGAGTTTCGAATTTGCAAACCCTGACACTATTCTCTTCATAGAAACAGAAACGCCAGTCCCAAACATAACCACGCAGAACCGTGCCGTCAATCTTTGAGATATCTCGCAAAGTAAAATGCTTTCATATGCAACCATGCACATCATAAACCATTCTATCAAACCGCTTTCCTAAACGCCTATATTCTTGCAATGACCTGCGCAGATCTGATCAACCAGAAGCTTGAAGGAGCCTCTCTCCAGCCTTGAGATTTGCACAAGCATAAGCTTTAGACTCAGGTGGGAATGTGCCATTAGCAGCCCAGAGGTCAATCAATGGTTGCATAGGCTCCAATTCATGAGGCTTCAACATATCAATCTCGGTTGCGGTTAAAACGAAGTGACTGAAGCAACTATTCATGTGCTTGTCGAGATTCAGATGGTAAAAGGGCTCGATAAAGTGTCCCCAATACAGATGAGCATAGACTCGGAACATTTGCCTGAAGATTGTTTGGCATACATCAACAAATTCTTGTGGAAATCCGCTACTCTTGCCGATCCAATCACCAGCTCCGGCTAGTTGGGATAGAGACGTTGTGAGTGTGGTTGGGCCGGCAGGAATGGGTGTGTTTGAGCCAGGGGTGTTGACTCCGCCAGAAGCATAAGTTGAGCCAGCGATCTCGGGACCGTTACTGTTGTGACAGTAGGAAATGCCGGCGGGATCAGTGGGGAAGATGGCGGTATTATCGATCTTGCCAGAAATCCAGCGCTGCATGAGGGAGATGTACTCATGGGCTGGTACCTCAACGGGCTCTCTACGGGAGTTTAACCAAGTAAAGGAGTGATTGCTAGCATAGCTTGTCAGATATTTTCTCGATGAAGTCTCGAAAAATGTTTACTTACGCGCCAGCAGACATGCGAGGGCAAGTCTGGGGGTTGCAAATGGTGTTACCATCTTCTTCCTTTTCGTGAATTACCCGGACAAAGTTCCACAAGATACGATAATGTTCAACCACTACAAATTTTAGCACAAGACTGTTAAAATGTTTGCTTTGGCTTACCTTGATGAGCAATCCACTCCCCAGGCTCAACTGTCTTTGGGCGGGCAGACAATGTCATAAAATTGCCCTTAACAATGTGCTTTGCATAAGCATTGTTAAGCCAGAGCGGCTTGGGACGAGGGAGGTTGTAAGCGGCGAGAGGATCACTGCCTGCAGGGGGAAGGTGCTGGTCATCCATAGACATGGTTTGTGAGAGCGAAGGCGAGTTAGGTAGTGGCGAGATGCGGGGTGCCATGCTCGCGGGTGACGAAGAATTGACGGGGGAATTGCCTGTAGGAGAGGTTGGCGAAACTCCGTTAAGTCCACCCGGACTCTTCGCGCCAGAATTCTTACCACTGCCGCGAAAGCGACCACTTCTATAAAAACAAGACAGTCAGCAGGTTTCATCGTCAAGTTGACTAGAAACAAAAGGTGTAAAAAGCCTCGCATCAGAGCAGCCAAAAACACGGTCTTGGGGTTTGTAACGCCGAACAGCAGACATTGACAGTCAATAATAAGTGTAAAAAGCAAATATACCTTGGGGAGGCGAAGTACAGAGCTAGATCCCAATATGGAGTTTTTTTTGGCGGGCAACTCCAGACCACCTCGCTGATAAAGAATCACCTTGGCGGCCGAAAAGGTTTGGCGAAAAAACGATAAGATTGCTCCCAATGCTTCTCTGATTTGATCGTATAGCTTCAAGCAACTTTGCTTGCCGATACGTCGGTTGAGCCGAGATAGAGATATCGGGCGGTGACAATGAGCCGACTTCTCATATCACTACGCCTCGAAAAATTTCCTCCATAATCGAACACTTTTCCCCGCCCAGGCTTTACCACCCAGATAATTTAAAGTGGTGAATTATCAAGTAATACCACAGAGGCTTCAAATATCAAAGGGCACCAAACAACACATAAGAAAATCCGACCACGTACATTCCTGAAAACAAGTTTGACATATTGCTGAAGCTTTCTAAATCAGGCAATTTCTTGAATCTCAAATTATCCGAAAAGGACCTAGTAGGTCAGATTCCTGATGATTAAAAGAAAAGATGGTTGAGTTGAAGTGGTCGAAAGATGGTGGTTTGTATTTGATATCAAGTAGGAATAGGAGAAAAGCTTAGGGAAGTCTTGTAACTCCATTAGCGTCGGGTTCTTCCTTACTGTTCTTCCGTCCAAGTCTACCTATCTAAAACTTCATCAATCATTGGCTAACAACCCGAGAAGGCGGTGTGTTTTGTGTCCTCCACTTTTTGATCAGATCTTTGGTATTGTCTATGTCCTCAGCAATTCTTTGAATCCTATGCTACAGCTCGAAAGAAGTACGTACTGTGTTGGAGACAAATTACGAAGTTCATCGGAGATTACATGGTCATCGTACTTTGTTTGAAACAGCTCGATCTGATTTCCTTACGACATTGCAATAAGTCACATTCAAGGGTATCTACCAAAGTTCAACTTGCATCTACATACTATAGCTGGAGCTTTACGCGAAACTTAGGGATCAAGACTGGGGCTCGCGATCTACCTTCTACCCTTGTTTTATTTCATAACCCATAAACACATACGCCGCGCAACATGGCGTCCAATTCAGAAGACGAAGTTATGAACAATATCTCCGATGTTGAGGAGGATGATGATCTATTTGGAGATGTTCCCGACGAGGAACCAGAGACTGCACCACCTCGATTGTTGAGCGACGCGGAATTGGATTCCGGAGACGATGAGGGACGCGATGATAGAGCGCCAAATAAGGAAGATGATGAAGAATTACCAGCTGAAGACACTCGAAATGCGCGCATTCTCGAGGCCGATATCTTCAGGCATCCAGTCCCTAGGCCTTCAGATGGAGAAGTAAATGCGCCTTGTGCATCTCTTGTGCGCAGAGCTAACACTTTCGCAGTTTCATACGTTCCGCCTACCCAAATTCTTTGGTATTGAACCCCGAGAATATAATCCTGAAACTTTCGAAATTCCCATCTCCGATCATCATGTCACTACTCAATCAGCAAATTTCTCCGCGAGGAGTGTAGCTGAATCAACGATTCGCTATCGCAAGACAGATTCTGGTAAACTCGAAAGCAATACAAATATCTACACATGGAGCGATGGAAGTACTACTTTAGCAATTGGTGATCAGCACTATGAGTTACAAAGCAAACCTCTTGCGCCAGCCAAGGATAACAAGTATAACGAAGTATTAGACTCGCATTATTATATGGCTTCACCTTCAGTCACATCACAGATTCTCGTCGTCGTCGGACACATGACCAATGAGTATACAGTCAGACCAAACAAAGATATTGAAGATGATGCTCTAAATAGGTTGAAGAAAAATTTTGCTGCAGCTACTGGTCTAGAAGGAGGCGAAAAGAAACGCCTGAATATGATCGTCAAAAACGAAGATCCGGAACTCCAAAAGAAGCGAGCAGAGACAGCAGAAAAGGAACGTATGCGTGCCCAACGTCGTCGGGAAGCTCAACTTGAAAGAGCCAGTCAATCAACTGGACGCCGTCCAGGTATTGGTGCAGGTCTCACCCTTGATGATTTGGATGGTCGTTCTGGACGCCGTGGACCACGCAAACCTGCTGGAGCCAAGCGTCCTCGTCGCAGACCAGAGTATGATTCGGACGATGACCTTCCTCGTGGAAGAAACCGTGAGGATGAGTATGATAAAGAGGATGACTTTTTGGCATCTAGTGATGAGGAACTTGAGGAAGGTGGAGGGGACGATGATGACGAAGAAATACTTGATGAAAGTGACGAGGCCCCTAGACACAAGAAGCAAAAGACGTCGAAACCTGCCGAAGAGAGCGATGCCGACGCCGATGCCGAAGCTGATCTGGACGATGATGAAGTTGTTCAAGCTCCACATGCGGAAGTTGGTGGAAATAGGAGAAAACGTAACATCATTGAGGATGATGATGATGAATGATCTCGAATTGAAATGTCTCATAGGGATCATAGATATTGCATGCACATACCAGGCATTTCAAAAAGCATTTCTTGTGTTCACTTAACATACCCGGCGTTTTATGGCAGATTGTACGACAGTTGAGCTTCTACTGCACAAATAAGTGGCATTGGCATACATGCATACCCTCAATCGATTTTCAAATTACCAAATTATGTGTAAAAACCCATTGTGTTTTGAAGGACTAATTAGATGAGACATATTAACTTAAATTTCTTCATATAAATGAAGCCTGTGATATGTAATCTTACCAGTGTGCGTACCTACAGTATCTAGGTATGCATATGCATGTGCATGTGCTGCATAAAGAAAAATGGCCAAAGCTTCATCCCGGACAATCTGGGGAAAGTATCGTCACATGCTAATCCTCATTCTTAGAACTCTCCTTTCGTAAATAAATAAACTATCCAACCTTACGTTCATCAAAGACTTTCAATCAATCATGTAGTCCAGATCTAAAGATTTCTAATACTCTTAAAATGGCTGGTATAATATCAGGAATATGGGGCATGCTCTTGGAGGTTTTGTACTTCTGGCAAAGAGTAAGGAATGCGATAGCTTGTCTGTAAGCATTGTAAACGGGATTAAGCTAACTGTATAAATAGAGGTTCATACAATGGATGACTCGGAAGAAGCCAGTACGGCTTTGGTCGGATCTTTTACGAGATGCCCAGACCTACGAGGAATGGGAAGAAGCTGCTTTTCAATTAGATGTTTTGTTAGGAAATGATTTATGGTCTGTTCACCCCATACCTGCTGTACATGCGGTGAACAACAGCTAATTGAACAACCACCGGCAGGCGCCAGAACCCTACATCGAAGCACTATGATTATCGACTGATACACGAGCGTCTGCAATCAATCATAATAGCCCGCGAAGAAGGAGACATTCTACAACTGGTTAATCTGCTAAGGTCTGGTCTCGTACGTAATCTTGGAAATATATGCGCTCCCCGACTTTTCAATCGCGCATTTGCGGGTACGAAACTCTTGATCGAAGATTACATTACACAGGTTGCACAAGCTGTTGCGGATGTAACTCAATTGCCTACGACACCTGGCGCTGATGGGAATGATGGAAGTGTGAAAGGGTTTAGCAGTCAGGCGAAGTTGGACCTGTTGCATGACACTCGGCAGGCTTTTGGGAGAAGCACATTGGTACTACAGGGAGGGGCAATTTTCGGACTATGTCATTTGGGAGTTGTGAAAGCGTTATTTAATAGGGGGTTATTGCCCCGAATTGTGACGGGCACAGCGACCGGAGCGCTCATCGCCGCTTTGGTGGGCATCCATACGGAAGATGAGTTGCCAAAGTTTTTGAATGGGGAGAGTATTGATTTGTCGGCTTTTGCGGGGAAGGAAAGGGGGCTTCAGGGTTCGAGTGGATGGTGGGATACTTTGACGAGGAGAGTTAGAAGGTTTTATAGGGAAGGGTATTTTTTGGATGTGAAGGTACTCGAGGAATGTGTGCGGGCAAATGTGGGTGATTTGACGTTTGAAGAAGCTTATAATAAGACTAAGAGAGTTTTGAATATCACGGTAGCCACAAGTGGAAAGGGAGGAGTACCAAATCTACTTAACTATCTCACAGCACCCAATGTTGTACGTACACTCTTTCACTGTCAAATACCCTACTAACCAAAGCAGTTGATATGGTCTGCCGCCCTTGCATCTAACGCCTCAACTCCTTCTCTTTACGGATCCTCCGTTACCCTAAAATGCAAGGATCCCTCAACAGGTACAATAATTCCCTGGTCCGCTGCTGCAGACGCTACCTTTCGCCCCTGGACCCACGCATCCTATACTGATCGGGACTCACCACTCTCCCGCATTGCCGAACTCTTCAACGTAAACCACTTTATAGTCTCTCAAGCGCGTCCCTACCTCGTCCCCTTTCTTCAATCCGATATGCATGGTCCTTCTCGCCTCTACACTCGCGGTGGACGCACCTCTTTAACAGGCGGTTTATTACATCTCATAACTATGGAAATTCGGCATCGACTAGAACAACTCGATTCCTTGCAACTTCTCCCTTTGTCGATTCGCAGATTTCTGGTAGATGAACATATCCCTGCCGCATCTGTAACACTAGTCCCAGTTCTATCCGCAGGTGATTTTATTCGTCTTCTCGAGACACCTACCAAGGAAAGTCTAGATTATTGGATCTTGAGGGGGGAGAAAAGTGTTTGGCCGGCTGTGGGAGCACTGAAGGTCAGGTGTGCCGTGGAAACGGAATTGGATAGAGGATATCAGATTGTAAGAAGAAGAAAAGCAGGTGGTTTAAGGAGAAGAGGGAGTGTAGCCAATGATGGCCATGGTGGAAAGAGAGAGAGGAGAGCAAGTAGTGTGGGTCGAAATGGTAGGAGCTCCTTCGTTCATGATAAATCTTGGTAATGAGGGCTGCACTAAATCACCCGCTGTACATACATATATGAATTTCGCAATAGTTGGATGGAAGCTACAAACGGTTATTGGTGTTGGTGTCGGTATTGGTACATGGCGCAGGCAACAACAGGCAAGAGAAAAATAGTTTGGTTAGGTGCAAATTATTTATTACTGTTGATATATCATTCACATTCACATTTACATCAACATTCATGCCATAATAATACTAACATCTACTTACTCTCCAAACCTCTCGTCTCCAACTCCTAAAATATCGCGCATTTGAATTACTCCCCAACAAGTAACCACCTAGTATGTAACTCTGTAACTCAACACTCCCTTCAGCATTTTATAACCACCTCCTCTATTACTCGCCCTAAACCCTGCCTCCCCGACCATGAGCCTTCCTTTCTCAAATTCTCAATATTTCCATCCATAAGCATTAATTAGCAATTAGCAAAGAATGATCACTTGTATGTCTAAGCGTAGCCGTGCAAATTAATATTACAATAATTTTTATTTCGGTTATGAATTTTGGATTTATTTCATTCATTTCTATAGAGAGTTTTTGGATGGTTTATTTTATGCGGAGATTGGAAATTATTAGTATGGGTAGGTTGGTTGGTAGGTAGGTAGGTATATTATAGTTGATGTTTTGATGGGTAGTAAGGTTGAGGCTCAGGGAGGGGGATAATGGTATGTATCTAGGGAGGAAAGGTTGAGAAAGGATGCGTGGATAGAGGAGAGTGGTAATGTGAGGGGTGTTGGGGTGTTGGTGTTAAGGGTATTTCTTTGATAGAATAATTAAAGGGGAGGACAAGTACGATGGGAAAAAGTGGAAAGAATAAACACAAAATTTGGTATCATAATATTTATATAGAAGTATTCACGAATATCCCACGCGTCTGCGCAGTCTGGATGACCTCAACCGCTTAATCCTCATCATCTGAATCAGCAAACATATCTACTGCTCTTGGCCTTGCTCTCCTCTGCGGCGCAGATTCTTCTGCTTTTAACGTCGGTGCGGCTGCAGTTTCCATGGCGGGAGGAGGTTCATAAGAATCTTCCTCATCTTCTTGTACTTGCATGGGCTCTCCATCCAAATCATCATCATCGCTATCCGCCATTGGTTCTCCATCTACATCTTCATCTTCCATGGGCACACCATCGACATCCTCATCATCTTCTACCATCGGTTCACCATCCAAATCTTCATCCTCATCATTAAGTTCCTCTTGGCTTTTCTCCTTCGGCGCCACCTCCACAGCCTTCCATTTACTCTTTTCTTTATTTTTCTCCTCTTGAGCTTTTTGCTCTTGCTCCTTCAGTTCCTCAGCCGATAAAGGTGGTTCTCTGAATACCCTTCCAAATTCATCTTGGCTTTCTTGGGGGAAAACACACCAACCCTCCCACAAACCCAGTACATTGCCCACACTTCTCTTCCACTTCTCAGCTCGTAATCTGCCCCATTTCATCTTCCGTTCCATCCTACCCAGCCCCTCAAAAGTCTTTTTCTTCCGCAATTCCTGTTCGAATAACTGTCGATAGCGCCATGCATGTCTAACGCCACTCGTAGAACTACTTGACAGAATATCAGATACAATATAAAGACCTATTAGCGATGCAGAACTAGTATCTTCTTCCTCGGCATTATCTTCGTTATCATCACCGCTATTATCTCTCTCCTTTTCTTTTTTGCGATCCGGGTTTGCAGATGTGTAAGCGAAGGGTCTTTCGACGTTAGACACGATTGCCGAGACAACTTCGTCGGCTCCTCGTCCTGCATGTGAGATTGCAAATGCGGTGACTCTTGCTACATCTCCTTTTCTTAGTTTGCCTGTGCTAGTAGGCAAGCGGGCTAGGAGATGTGTGAGTTTAGCCTTTTCCAGGGGGTTTAAATATGCTTTTCCGTCTTCATTCAATGTGATAGGGTCAATCGGAGGACGTCTAGCACCTTCGTCGCCGGAGTCGTCTTCATCAGAGGAGTTGTATTCAGATTCCGAAACAAACTCTTCGAGACGAGTAGTATATTCATATGCTAAAGGTTGATCTGGTTGTTTCCATGCCGAAGAGCCTTCGAACAATGGAAGATACTTTCCTTGCCCTCTTTTAGATTGTGAGCCTGTCAATACTTCCCACAATCGCCATCGATACCAAACACCACCTGTACTCCTCGAATCCCATAACCATGCCCATTTCTCTTCTCGCTGAACGGAAGCGCGTGACATTAGGAGTGCTTCAAACTCTGGTCCATGTGTGAGAAGCGATTCGATTGTTTTGTGAATGAGTTTCAATTCTTTGATGTCCTGTGGTGGCTGAACAGGAACAAAAAGGGTGGAACGGCTTAGTTGAGGTACATTGTTATAAGAGGTAGGAGGCGCAAATCCCCCTCTGTGAGACGGCGGACCTCCGCGAGCTGCCGGTGAGTTGACTGGTTTCGCGCCGAAAGGTTGCGAGGCCGTTGCACTACCTATACTTGTAAGTTGTGTAGAACTCGAAATAGCTGCCGATGATAAATGCCTATGCAAATTCAAATAATATCCAAAGCCTAAGTACTTATTTTGTAAAGAATTAACAGTCGTGTCAATGTCGTTCGCGGGGGTATCTTTGGCCAATGTGACGATCGCTGACATGGATTTCCTTTCCGTAAATGAAGTCGGTCCAGAAGGTGGTATAATTCTGACGGCGTCGACAGTCAAGTTGGTAGGGAGCAAAGCTTTGATGACAGCGGGCGAAGTTCCTGGAGGTAAAGAGGCCAATCGTAAGGTGGGTTTGGCGACAGCTCTCTCTTCATCTCTGCTGGTTCCCACATTATCCTCGTCATGATCGAACGTCTTGAGAGTTTTGGCTGCTGGTCCATCATGACTATAATCCTCAAACGCAAGTGAACCTCTGTCGTCTCTGCGTGAGTTTTGTGCGAAACCTTCAAATGTTCTTTTCTTTGGCAAAGTATTGCCGCTCATGTTTCCCGGTAAGGGCCCTAAACTCCCCGGTCCGCTGCCCATCCCTAATCCTCCTCGTGGCGCAAATCCTCCTCTACTTTCGCCAAAAGCTCCTCTTCCCATTCCACTACCCAAGCCTCCTCTTCCAAAATATCTATTTCCTCCCATGCCACCTATGCCACCCATTCCACCAACCCCATCTGCAGGCTCATCATCTTCATCATCAAAACTCTTTACAAAATCCTCATATACAGCTTTCGTTTCTGCCTCCTCCCTCAATCTCTTAGCTTCCGCATCTGCTTTCTGCCTCTCAAATAATGATTTCTTGGTAGGAGCTTGTAGCTTATTCGAAACGTCCGGAAACTCAATGATCTTCTTGGAACTCATTTTGCGACACCACTTTCCAATTCCATATGCGACTATGTTGACGAATCCTCAAAAGGGGAGTTATGGGGAATTTGCCAAATAATGTTATTGTAAAGGCGCGAGAAGTTGTTGCGACGAGGCTGCGATTTCGTTTAATCGGATAAAGCTTGATATGCGCCTTTCGCTCAGGCTTACTAAAGGTCAGCTTTGTCTTAATTGCCGATAATTATTGGTCTGAGCTGCTTCATCACTTTGCATCACAATAATTCTGAGCAACCAAACACGAACCTTCTGCAAAAAAACGAAATTACACTAATTTTCAGGTAGACTCATTCTTTCGCCTCTGAATATGAATTGTTCTTGCAGAACCGAAGTACGGATCTCATTCACGTATTCAAACATTAGACGGGTGTTGGTTGCGCTATTTTCCAGTTCCTCTTTGTCATATTTCTTATGATTTGGTATAGTTGCCAAATCCCTTCAAGGTTCCGGTATCAATTATCATGCCCCCACTATAAATGATTGACTATGGAAGCAATTGTAGACATTTCCGTTTCCCTTCCCTTCTCGTCGTCTACTTATCAACTTTTTCATATATTTTGATATGCTCCGCAGAGCTTGAGTAACTCGTTTCTTATCATCCTGCTCTCATCCCACATCCTTCAAGTATACTCTCTATAAAGCTCCTCCTGCCCCACTCTTGATAATGGCTGCTTATACCCCTCCTTCCTCGATTCTCATAATCGGCACTGGTGTGTTTTCTCTCAGCACCGCCCTCACTCTCTTAAAACGACCCGCCTACAAAAACACAACCATAACCCTCCTCGACCGATCCCCCTTTCCTGCCCCGGATGCCTCCTCCGTGGACTCTTCGCGCATCATTCGCGCCGACTACTCCGATCCCCTCTATGCCGAACTTGCAGATTCAGCTCAGAAACAATGGCGTCAAACTGGCAATGGTGAACTTGGCGGGCAGGGCCGATACTCCGAAAGCGGTTTATGTTTAACCTGTGACACCTCATATGAGAATAGCGGACAAAGATATGTACGAGCAAGTTTTTCAAATGTTCAAAAATTGATGAAACAAGCGGGAGATACAGAGGGAGTTTTAGAATTGCCCTCCGCAGAAACTATACAGGAACTTTTTAAAGCAGGACCAGGAAGCGGAGAATGGGGATACATAAACCGGCGATCGGGATGGGCTGATGCGGAAGCTTCCTTGGTCTGGCTAAGAAAAGAGGTTGAAAAGATGGCTGATGGCCGCGTCAAATTCATCGTCTCGGAAGTCACATCCCTCATCTTCTCCCCTGATCAAAGCACTATTCTCGGAGCCAACACCGCATCTGGCACCCAATACTTCGCCGACCTTACAATTCTCGCAGCCGGAGCCTGGAGTGCCAAATTTCTTGATCTGCGTTCTCAAGTGCACTCTAGTGGACAATGCTTGCTTTACATCGACATCACGGACGAAGAACAAGAAAAATACAAAAACATTCCCGTCCTCCTTAACATGAGCTCCGGCTTCTTCATCCTCCCTCCACGAAACAATATTTTAAAAATCGCACGTCACGCCCACGGATACTCAAACCCAACCTCTATCCCCCATCCCCACCCCTCCTCCTCTGGTGAAAATATCAGCGTTTCCCTCCCTCTCACAAGCTACGACAGCCCCACCAGCAGCGTCCCCGTTTCTTTCCAAACCTCAGCCGCAACTGCCTTACACACCTTACTCCCCGATCTCCCACCCCGCCCTTTCTCACACACGCGAATCTGCTGGTACACCGACACACCCTCGGGCGAATTCCTCATCACCTACTGCGAAAAACCACAATCTAGCGGCGGCCTCGGTCTCAAAGGTATATTTTTAGCAACGGGCGGCAGCGGCCATGGATTTAAATTTCTTCCTGTGCTGGGAGAGAAAATTGTGGATGTGATGGAGGGGAAAGATGAGGTTTGGAAGGGGAAGTGGGCGTGGAAGGCTACGAGGGACGATTGGGATGGTATGACGGATGATGGGAGTCGGGCGGGGCCTAGAGGGGAGAAACTTTAGGGACGGTAGGTTCAGAGGTTTGTATGTGCAATTCTTTGGATACATGTTGTCTTCGTTGAACAATTGTTGGAGTTGAGATGCTATACGGCGTGTATCACTTTTAGCATAGAGTGGGTTAGACGCGGAATGGTCAGAGATGGAAAAGAATTACATGAAGACTGCGTATTTGTAGATACTAAAAAGAACGTCACAAATGTGGCGGTTTATCTTTGATGAATAAAATCACTTATGTCACAAGCACCAACGTAGAAACAACACGATGGCTTCCAAACAAAAGAGAACCCTCCCTCCCTTGGCTTCATTTAGATCACATCACTTAAAAAGTTTCACATAGACATTGAACGATATACATAAGACTAATAATGTCATTTATTATTTTTTTGTAAAATGTACCAACTAAGGCCATTTTGAATACTTGCTCTATCGGAAAGGGAAGAAGCAATTAATGACGGCATCGTAGGACCTGCGCACCAATGCCATCCGTCGAAGGTGATAGGATGTTTCGCAGTCTATGAGGACTAGTAACGCGTAAACATGCTGAAAAGCACAAATGTATGAGTCCCTTCTCTGACTCTTTTCCCCCCCCCCTTTGATACGCCTACCATGCATGTGAATATTCGTAAGATCGTAAAATAATGTTGTACAATGTATGAGAATGGTGGTACACATGAAGTGAATCAGACCTTTTTGAAATCTTGAGTCGATGTTAGCGGTTGTTATACCATGTGTGAAATGTATATAATTACCTTGAAGCACAGGGTAGATCATCTCGAAAGCTTGATAAATTTCCTCACGGACTTTAGCTCCAGTCAAGACGATCTTACCACTGACGAAGATCAAAAGAACAATCTTAGGCTTCATCATTCTGTAAATGAGGCCAGGGAACAATTCAGGCTCGTAAGAGCTGAAATTCATATGGCGCGAAGCAAGTCCTTCCAAGCGAATGGGGAACTTGATATCGCAAGAACCGACAATGTTCTGAATCTTGAAATCGGTAAACTTTGCGTTAAACCCAAGCTTCTGAATGATACGAGCATATTTGCGGGACGCCAACTTCGAATCGTCTTCGGACTTTGCACCAGTAACAACCATCTTTCCCGATGCAAAGATCAGAGCCGTAGTCTTGGGATCGCGAATACGCATGATAACCGCAGCGAAACGCTGGGTAGGTTAGCAAAACGAAAGTTACATAGCAAGCCTAGAATCAGTAGTCACCTTTGGATTGTACTCCGCGTTTCTTGCATGTAGTGCGATGGTCTTCAAATCAAGACGGCAGTCTAAGTTGACTGTGGCAACGATGTTTCTTTACATGCAAGATAAGCCACATGGAAAACACAGAGGCACAAGGGTTATACATACTGTAACGTGGGAACGATTCCACTGACACCTTGAGTGGCAGCTGGAGTGGTGGCGGGAGTAGCAGGTGGTGAGGCGGTAGTGGGAGCGGCAGGCATTGGCTGCTGCTTGCCAGCCACAGCCTCGTTAGTGGAGGGTGGGGTGACATCGACAGCGCCGCCAGGAAAGGAAAGTGAGTTTGCAGCGACAAACTGTTTAGCCTCAACGGCACTGGATGGATGTGTCTGAATGGAGTCCATGGTGACGGTGATGTTATTTATTAGGAGAATTGGGTTTGGATCGAGAGCAGATCTATTTGTATGTAGATGTTAGATCGCAATCGTACAGCGATAAGAGTGGATGTTCTATTCAAGGATCGGAAGGACCGAGAGAGAATAGGATACGACAGACGTTCGAGACAGCGTTCTTTAATTTAAAAGCGTAACTCGAAAGTAACCGTCGATGAGGTAGAGAGTAAAAGGGATTGGGGATGGGAAGATGTGGCTATAAGAGTTTGTTTATAACCGCCGAGGTAAATAAAAGCCGTACCGTTTGTGGGAGATAAACAAGTCAATGTCTCCCCTACAGTTTCTGCTCGACGACGATGATGTCTTTGACTGACTTGAAGATCTTGATGTTGATCGAAGTCGAAGCCGTAACAATCACTCGCTGATATATTATTATCAGGATGTGAGGAAGCTCTTGTTTAGAAAAGGCTCTTGTTGAACTTCTTGTGGCAAGGCTGTTATGCGACAAGACCAACGGGAAGATATGTCGCGACGTGAATCACGACGATAAATCGAAGTCGCCAAGGACGAGATTCTTTATTAAAGGAATGTAAGATACCTCGCACAATCAAGCGCAATGTATTTTCGTGGGTTGGAGGAGGGGTATGGTTAGAATATGGAGTGTATTCTAGAGTTGAAGTGGGTTGGATGGATTGTGGTTGTGGTTGAAATCGTAAAATAAAATAAAATAGATTACGTACAACCAAAATCTAAAGGCGGCCAGAGGGGTTCAGGATTTTCACTTTGAAAGCGCGGTGGTTCTTATATATAAAACGTACTACTGTGGTGTCTATGGAAAACCGTACGTGACCCATAATTAAAATCCTTTATTTTGAGTCCGGCGCGAGAAAGTGCGACGTTATCGACCAATTAGAATTCGGCTTACAACGATCTACCCTACTTGAAATCTCTTGAAACCAACTCGCTCCCAAAATCTTTTACCTGGTAAATAATAGTAATAAAAAAGGAGTCAAAATCAATAATGCTGCAGTGACGCGTCCTTCCTTCAACAGAACTGCAAAGTTCTTCTTTCCACACATATCCGGTATTCTCATCGTGTTTTTCGTTTCTCTCGTGCCCTCATCGTTCCATCACTCATAAGTCCCAAGAGGTCCTTTTGTTGATTTTATCGCATCGTATATCTCTTTTCGAACTTGTCGAAGCAACTGTAGCTGGCTGGCACCGTTATCTCATGATGAGCACAAACTAATGAGGAGGCGAAAGAAGGAGAAAAGAATAGAAAGAAGAAAGGTGAGATTTGATGACAAGTACAAGAAGTAACTAACCACTACGGAAGCCGAATGTACTAAAACCTAACCTTGGAAGAGGCAACAAATCGGTTAACCGCCACCCATCAACCAATGAGAAAATTTTATTCCTCATTCCATCATTTTGGTAGCGCTACGACTGATTTGCAAAATAGTGAATTCACCCTTGGCACTTAGCATCTTTGGGGCCTTGGGCTCTCCTTGACTCTTTGACTCTTTTGACTCTCTGACCTTTATCAATAAATTGGAACTCCCCCCATCCGATTATCGCTCCATAGTTCCCAAATAAAGAAAGATGATCGTAATCTGGATCTGGCCTTTTTGTTCCCTCTCTTTATCTTGAGATCGTTATTTCCATTTTGATTTTCATTTTCATTTTCATTTTCATTATCCCATTATTCTCTCTAGCCCATCTAGCCTTCTTGGTATTGTCTTGTTACTTCAAATTGACTTTTGGTTATTTCTGTCCTATAATTACTGTAGTAGGTGTTTACTGAGCCCCACGACGACATCATTTATTATATGTATAAGAATGTGTATCATTGATTCTTCGTAGATGTATTCATTGTATTGAGAAGGCTGAGATATTAATTATCCCTTAATCGATACATAATTCATATAATTTGAAATATGTTTAGTATGAGTCATAGTTAAATGCTATGTTGTACTGCAGCAATAAAGGAGGCGCATGCTTTTTCGATGAAAGCGACATATCAAAACCCAGCCTCGTTTGTACGCCATACTATTCCCAAAATATTCCAAATATCCTACAAGAGCGCCACAATCACATTCACATTTCCATCCCTTTGTTTGGAATGAAGGGTTGAAAGTACGTATCCTCCGTATATCAAAAACTCTACTGTAACACAAACATGATTGCTTCCGTTCCCGAGGTTGCTTATGATACCTACCTACCTACTGAAACTATACGGATACCTCGGATTGAATACGACACAATACGATACGATATCACAACCAAAACCCAACCGAGGAAATAAATTATGTGTCGGAACGGAATACTCTAATTTCCATCCTGTGCTCAGAATATGATGACCACAATTATCAATAATAAACCAAGCGAGGTTTAATTTTAAATCTTTCAACCCAGCTCAAACCTGCACAGTGCAAACTCAAGCTTTTCTCTAAATTCTCACCCACACTTCCCCCATCTTACGCCAAGAAAAAAGCATCAAACGATGACGGGCTTTTGTTTTTTTTTTGTTTTCTTTATCAACATCAATCAATTCTTCATTAATATTTCATGCACGCACGATACATAGATAGAAAAGCTCCCGAGATGATGGATTTTTATACTCCGTAATTAATGATTTAAAGTTGTCCCCCACGATTTCAATATATTTAGGTTTTTTTTATGTTTTAAATTTTTGATCTGACAGCTATTTTGTTTTCTTGTTGGGAAGTTTGGGTGACTGATTGGATTGGATTGGGATTGATTATTGGATTGATTGGACTGATTGGATTGGATTGATCACATGTTTATTTTTTGACACGTTTGGTTCTTGTGATGATTGGATGAGTTTTGAACTTTTGAACTTTTGAAATCCTGTACAGAGTAATAAGGAGAGGTGTCAACAATATTGGGAATCATGTCGAAAGGTGATGAGTATTGTATTATCATCCACTCATAATGCCAGCTGTACTTTATATGTAAGAAGCATGTTCATGGGCAATGAAGAGCGATATTGAAGAACATCGCTCGAACAAGTTAAGTTATATGTAATATTGCCATACTGCTGCTGCAAGACGTGTCTCCCTCCATTTTGTTATCAACTAAGAATCAATACTATCTATTGAACAATTAATCAATCAATTAATCAATCATGAAGTTACATTACCTACCTACCTACCTACAAAAGGTTGCAGAATAAAGGGTCTTTCATGAATCAGTTACAGCTTACCATCACTGTAACACTTCTCCATTTATTAATTTCATTTCAATCCATTTCATCTCACTACATGCATATCCTATCCTCCTCCCTCCAACCACCATCTGCAAGATTCCGAGCTTTCACATCCACAAAATGTCATTCATGATGCATCCCATTCATCCCATTTATTCATTCATTCATTTTCATTCCATACACCTCCATCGAACAATTATCGAAGAAATCCAGCTAAAGAATCCAATCAAAGCAGATGGAAAATTGAAAAATGACCGAGTAGCAAAATATCCTTGGATATGTATGTAGGTAGGTAGGTTAGTTGACGTGTCACTGCCTGCACTTTTTTCCCTCTTACCGAGTAAGCTGCGCATTACTACATACAGTAGAAACTATGGATTGTAGATTATGGAGTTCGAGTGCATATGTATCTAAGGAATTATAATGCATGGTGAGCTGAAGGAAGGAGGAAGAAAAGTGAAGATAAAAAAAATATCTACCCAGATAGGTAGGTATATATACTCCGTAGAGAATCTGGACTTGACTTTTTTATTAATTAATTGATTTATTTATTTATTTAGGTATATATATTATTATAGTCTAGTGTGTAATAATAAATATAATTTGATAGATGTGTTATGAGGTTTGCCGTCTAGATCACGTGGAAGTGCTCTAGGCTCTCGAGGTGGTTTATAACTAGGCGTCAAGCAGGGACTTAAAGTAATGACAATAATGCAATTCGTAACTAATGAGAGTTTATGGACCTTCGATTCGTATGGACCTACGATTTGTATCCTTGAATATGCAGGGTCCATCACGTGACTTGGATCAGACTATATGTCCAAGCTTGCTAAGGGTGGGGAGATCTCGTGAGGAAGTTGTCATACAATTTTGTATGTAAATTTCCTTGCTTTTCCATAGGGTCGAAGCTTATACGGACAGGTTGACTGTTACCTTCGTAACAAGATGTCTCGGGAATTTTTATAAGTTAAGATGAAGATATATATCTTTTTCGAGTATTTTTCTCGTTTCTTTTGTAATTGTAATGTTACGTCAGACTCCACAAGCCCATTACCACGTGATTCAATCACGTGATAGATCCCACATAATTTGCACGAAAAATAAAGGTCCAACATATTCTTAGGTCCAGGACCTTTCGGGGTCCTGAAGGTCCATAGCATGAAGGTCTATATAGTCAGGACGGATTTCCTTTGTGTAGAGCTTCGTGCTCAAGATCAATCATTTAGTATACTCTACTATTAGTTACGAATTGCATTATTGTCATTACTTTAAGTCCCTGCTTGACGCCTAGTTATAAACCACCTCGAGAGCCTAGAGCACTTCCACGTGATCTAGACGGCAAACCTCGTAACATGTAAGTTTTATAAAGTAGATGAAGTTTTATTTGTTTATGTTTTACCTTTTTGCAGTGAGGTTGATGGTGAGATGATATATCGTATCGCATCACAGAGCGGGCAGGTTAGGTAGGTAATCTTTAAGGCTGAGTGAGTTACTCGATTTGTGGTTTGCTGGTTATTTTATTTTATCTGATTTGTGGTTTGGGGATTTGGGGGTTGGTTTGCTTGGTGTTGAGATGACTTTGGATAATTGAATTGAATGATTGGATAGTTTCAATTGTGGAATTCGAAGAGCTGCAAATGTCGAAATGGTTATACTTATTTATACTTATGGATCACCAGATGTTGAGATCGGTTTAGAAGATTGAGATGGGTTTACTATATTAAAGTAGCCTTGGATATTGAGATGGTTACGGATATTGCAATAGCCTCAAGTGAAGTGATGAAAGAGCTGCAGATATATATTGATGGGGCCTTGGATATCTAGATGGTTATGGATATTGAAATGATTATGTGCGGATATTGATATTGGCATTGATTTTTTTCTTTTTATTCTTTTCTTTTATTAAAATGACTTAGCTATGGATAATATCCATAGCTTCAGACAGTGAGGTAGGACAGCCTTATATATTCAGGTACTCTCTCATATTGAGATTGTTATAGATAAATAGCCTGGCGAGCCTTCAATAATACAATGGCTTCAGGACATTGAAGTACTTAGTTTCCGTTGTTTTATTTCTAGGTTCGAAGGTTATCTATCTATCTATCTAGCATTACGAAAATATCATCATCCATCAGCTCTTCTCTTCGATCCTGGCGCTGTGCTATAACTCCCATCATCCATTCTTTTGTTCGCTCTTGTTTTTAAGACTCTTTTGGTCACTATCCGATTGTCATGCATGGGTAATTTATGTGTTAAGCGGGATAAATCTTCAGGTCAATGGTATATTATTGGGTTTCTTGAGACCAGAAAGAGCATCCGATTGAATTGATTGATTCTCTAGCTAAGCAGTTAAGCTGCGAGTATATATTCAAAAAATGAAGGAATAAGGTTAGATATTCAGCCTTCGGAATTAAAGTACTTTGAAATCAAAATATTGAAAGCAAACAAACAGTATACCAAAAAGGAAAGAATGAATTAAAAGTTGAGTTTTGTTTGCTCCTTATATGCATCATATAATATATATGCATATGCTGCCAAGATCCCAGGAGGTCAACACATATTATTGTGCATTTTTACTTGATCTTGAACAGTATTCCAAATAATAGAAGGCAAAAGTGGCTTTTGGTTTTGCTATAATCCTTTTAAACTTTATGAACTTTATGAAGTGTGTCAACTTGTGGTCAAGACATTTTATTTCAAAGGCAATGTGTAAAAAACAGGCTACACTCCCAATTATACGGTTGAAAGAAACTTGGTATAGATCTGAGATTGAGTATAAACTCTCTTCATAGAAATCAGACGCCGGGAAATTAAAGAACAAGCTCCTATCTCCATGAGACCACGAATTCAAAAGTGGAACACTTGATAGATCTAACTGGCAAAGTATGGTTGGTATAAAAAAGAACATCGGAATCTCTATTTCAGCAGAACGACTTTCTTTTAACTTAATGTTCTCTGGTTAAACTCGATCAAGTTTCTACTTCCAATGTCGATATCACGGAGGATATGACTATCAAGTAATTTTAACGATAGCTATCCTCTCTCTAACTTCACCCTTCTCTGCAGATCCATCTCCCAGAAAAGAAGCGAACGGCTCTTCCTCCCATTATATATATATATATTCCAGATCCTCGAAATCTAGACCTTGCACTAGCAATATCTCTAAGCTTAAGGTCACCAGTTCTAACCCCTTCAACGCCAGTAGGTAACAAATACCCAATATTTTCCAGGCGCAGCACAAGTTAAGATGTGTTGACCTCCTGGGATCTTGGCAGCATATGCATATATATTATATGATGCATATAAGGAGCAAACAAAACTCAACTTTTAATTCATTCTTTCCTTTTTGGTATACTGTTTGTTTGCTTTCAATATTTTGATTTCAAAGTACTTTAATTCCGAAGGCTGAATATCTAACCTTATTCCTTCATTTTTTGAATATATACTCGCAGCTTAACTGCTTAGCTAGAGAATCAATCAATTCAATCGGATGCTCTTTCTGGTCTCAAGAAACCCAATAAGATGTTAGTAACAAGACGAAATAAAACAGTGAAGAGAAGACGAGAATGAAATGCTGCACCGCTGAGTACGAAGATAGTCACGCCTTTCCAATCCTTTCAGAATTAGGGCTAGCAAATCATGTTTGAGTACAAGATATCGAGATCCATCTCTAAGCCAAGAGGAAGGGTGTCCATGTAATAAACGCGGTAATTTTCTCTACTTATATATTTTTTGTCAGCAATCAACATGAACACTCATAATGAGAATACTGAGATCATGTTGGGGGACTTAGCAAGTCCTAGCCTTTAATATCTAGCATTTAGCTAAAGAATATATGCCGCGGAGTCCGAGGCAATGAAGTTTGTACGAGGAGATGCGGTCGAGAATCTGAGAAATCATGAGGATGAATCTGCGGGGTATTGTGTCTAAGTAAGTTTTAACTCACCAAGTATTTCCTTCTCATACATCAACTTGCTCACCAAGAAACTCCTGTAGACTGTAGCTATATGTAGTCAAGAGAAATAGCGAGAGGAGTGAAATTTGAAAAGGGTTGAAAGCTTAATATAGATCTATACTTACAGGATTCTAGAGATTTTGGAAAAGGTAAGGAATACGAGGTTCTGACAGGTTCAGAGAGGATTCTAGAAGTGTTTTAATAATATAATATGATATGGAAAGGAAAGAAAAGAGTATCATCAAGCTGCGAAATCCCCGAACGAACAAAAGATTGATCTAATAATTTGTTAATAATTAATTAAAACTAATATTGATATGTAAAGTTTGTAAGATCTTTATACGATGATTGGATGGCTATGGGAATGGATAGGAGGTTAGAAAATAGAATTATCAACTGTTAAGATAAAATATATGAAAAGAAAGGGCTTCTCAGGATTTTGTATTAGATGATTCAGGGAATGAAGTGCCTAATCCGTGGATTTCTAATGCTAATGATCAACAACCAATTGGAATCTGGAAAGTCTGCGAATGCGAAGAGTGGTAGATGTAGATATCATAGTTAAATCTACATCATCTTACTCTTGATCTAAAAAGCCCAACATTAACATTAACAGGCAAGAATATTACCACAATTTCTAAAAAAAAAGCCCTTTACATACCTATTAATATATGATGACATTGACAGCGAATCAGGGAAATCCAATCTGATCTTTAAAATTAACCTGCAGTCAAAACCAGTATATATATACTCATCCTCTCTACCCACAACTACCTCGATGTTTCAAATAAATCAAATCAACTATTTATATATATATATATATATATAAACTCCAAACAACCCAAACCATCTACACCCTCCAACACCACCACTACCTCCAAAACCTCCAAAACCTACTCCAAATAAACCCAAAACCAAAACATTCCCCAAATCTTTAAATCCTCAAAATCATTAGAATCCACCCATACATACCCATACATACCCACAACAAATAAAACATCCCAAAACCCTTTTAATATCAACATCTCAATATCCATCTCAATCTAACTCCTAATCTAACTCCCAATCTAACTCCCAACTAACTCTCTCGAAATTCCATTTAACTCCAAGCTAAAATCCCAAAATCCAACTCAAATCAACATCATCCCATCCCAATCATTTCCAAAATCCATCCACCACACTAGACGTAAACATCAAATTATACAAATACAGATATCAACAGATCAACAAGTAATAACTTTGACATGACTTCCACCCTTTCAAGCAAAACATCATCACTTTAATGTGTCGACAATCACTACGGATTTGTATCATTACTATCTAGGATCGCTTGATCTCCAGAATACTTTCAGAATATTGTATATAAATATAGAGAAATAAAACGCCAGAAAGGAATAAAAATATTATATTTCTTTTCTCTGTTATAAATCATTGTATAATTACACATAACATGGTATCATATTCTCTCTCTACACTCTCCGTAAAACCCACAACCCCTTCGCAGCCCTCTTTACACTCTCCGTTCTCGTCATCTGTCTCCTCACGGGCACATTAGCTTCCTCCTCACTCTTTTCCTCCTCTTCACACTCTCTTTCCATCTCCCTCTCCCTCCTCGCTCCATCATCATCCCTTATTTCCTTCTCCCCATCACCTTCCCTCAAATTATCCAATTCCTTAATTTTCCACGCCCTAACACCCCACATACACATCGCAGCTCCAATATACATACATCCTGCGTAAACCTGTGCATGTAGATAAATATCCCCAGATGAAGCTCTCAACCTTAATCCAATTGGTTCTGAAAATGTGCAAGGGATCACTAGAACTAGCCAAGTTATAGATAGAGCCGAAGGAAGAACTTTCAAACCAACTACTTCTGCGCCTACTGGAGCGATAGTAGCCCAAAATGTACCCGATACAGTTCCAACAATAAGGGCAAAGAAGATGAGAACGCCGTAGGATTTAGCAAAGATCCATATGACAAGACAGAAAATTCCTGCAAGGAAAGTACACACGCCAGCCATGTTGATACGTCCGGTTACATCTGAGAAGCCTCCCACAAATGGCCGACCAAGACCTTGTCCAAGATTTAGGAGAGCACCAATAACTGAACCTTGCTTGGCTGAGAGACCTATACTCCTCGCGTAATTCGGTAAGGAGAAGAGAAGAACGATATATGCAAGCATACTGAAGAATCCCCATCCAAGCAAGAGGAGAAATTCAGGCCTTTTGAATAATTGCATGTCAAAAGCTTTTTGCACAGATCCAACAGCTTTATTTCGATCCTTAACCATGATTGTGCAAATGGTATTAACTCCAAAAGCCAAAATGGCCAATATCCGAAAAGCCCAGCCTAATCCAATAGATTGAATCATTGCGTTTGTCCCCAAGGAATATATTAACCCTCCCAGCCCACTTCCAGCTGCTGAAATACCATTGGCTAAAGATCGGCGCTTCGAGAACCACTGTGGGACGACTCCAACACTACCTACGAATAAAAATCCCATACCGAACCCAAAAGCGACACCTTGTGATAGAAACAAATGCCATATCTCATATGCAAAAGAAGCTCCCAGAAGTCCCGCCGTTTCGAACAAGATACCAACGGCTAGAGTAATTTGTGTCCCAAACTTTCGCGTACAGATGGTAGCTACTGGTGCCGTAAACAGAGCTAGGGAAATCGATAAACCACCAACGAATGCATATTCAAGTGAAGTTGCGCCAGGAAAAGTATTATTCGCGAGGTAGTGAGCAAGAAAGACTCCATACGACTGACAGGTTCATTAGCATTAAAGAAAGTATATCAAGCTTTCTCACTAACACTGTTCACTCCCCAGGTATGTCCATTGATTAAGAATACGCATGCGACACACACCCAACCATATCCGCCATCCGGAGGTACATCAGTCGGTTTTGAGTCCTTTATTCTTTCGGGGTCGTCGGTGTAATGTCCTTGGTCTTTCACTGGATGGGTCTTATCTAACGGGGCCCTTATATGATTGTCCACATTCCCCACCACATTCGCATCGCTGATTTCGTTGTCATGCTGTATTCCTGACCGCTCATCTTTTGGGGCACTCATCTCATAGAGGGGAGAAATGCTGGTGGTTCAATGCAGAAGGAAAAGGAATGAGATGAAAGAAGTATAGATAAAATATACTTGAAGAGAGGAAGAAATTGGTAACGATTATAAAAGGAAATGCATAGAGATAAGTAAGGCCAATAGCAATCTCCTACTCACCGTAACCGGCGCATGAATTCGAGATGTCATGGCGAAGGACGTGAAAATTTTAGTCATGAAATGGATTTTCTTTACCTGAGCTCTTCCCCGCAAAGCTAATGGGTACTAGGTAGGTAATCCGTCGAGTTATTCACTACCTATGGCTCTGGTTATGGTGTCTGTAGAATCCAATCGCTATAAACTCGGGAATAAGAAAAAGAAAGCTTCATCAAGACACCTACCGAGTACCTTGTTAATGGTTGATTTGGAGCCGAAGATCCGATGGTTGTCCTTCACCACCAATCATTTTGCTGGAGGAGATGGACATTTATGGATACCGGTGTCTATGTAGTTATGTGCCGGTATATTGTAATGGCTGTTGCCAATTGCGAGCAAGCCATGGATCAAGAATGGCTGACATTGATACACTGAAGAGGGCGTGAGATTCGGAGGTTCCTATGGGTGTGGAGACGCTGGTGGGTTGCGATGGAAGAGGTGAAGAAGAGATGCAGAAGAAGAAAGGAACAAAATGCTGGCACTGGATATGCCTCCACTCTACCTACAGAAGGGCGTGGTGTCATTTTTACATTTAGGTGTAGAAGTAGGTGCAGAAAGAGAGAAACAAAATACTGCTACCTAGTAGGTACCTACCTTAATCACCTTTAAAGTTTACCCCCTCTGTAACGTTTCCCGGGTGGTACCCAACCTCTTTTGATAAAATGTCATCTCATTCGTTCCCATGTATTTCTTACTAATCAGCTTTTCTACTCGGAATACAGCCGCTTCGGCGTATTCGTTGTTCTGGATGCGTTTTCAACTTAATATGCAGCTACCATGACCAAATCCCCATTAACTGGATCCAAAAAATGCAGATAAAAAGGAAGAAATTAATGGAACCTTCAGAAGCTTGGAGAATCTTGCTGGTTTATGAGAAATCAGACTTTTATATGGTTTTAATTACGCAAGTAATATATCTTCACAATTGGTATGATACGAATCAGCGAATGAATGAATGATTGATACATTTTCCCTTGCTGCTTGCATGTTTTCCCCAAGTGTTGTTGCTGCGACGACTGTTTTAGCCCCAGCCAATTGTTGACTGCGGCGCGATAAACGATAAAGCGAAATAGAAACATTGTCATTCATTTGTATAGAAGACAGCTGAGAGAACTTAAAAGGTTAAAAGTACAAAGTGATACAATTCATATTTGACTCACTTTCCTGTTACTCTCAAATTCACAATATCTCAGACCTATAACAAGTATATGTTATTATTATTACTTGGCACTCTCTGCTCCGTACAATCTCTACAATCAATATCTTTTGTTGGTAAACATTGTTTTCCCTTTACTCTCTTCCCTCTCCCCTCTATAATTTCCTCAATTTCTCTCCCTCCTTCACCATCTTCAATACCCAACCAGTATTGACCCACGAATCATACCTCGAATATTGTTATCACAAATACTTGGAACTTTCACATTGGATACAACCTCTGACGCAACACACACCGCCAACGAATCCACCTACACTGCCTACCATACTTAAAGCTTCTCTGCCTTGTCAAAATTGTTAGTTTGGAAGAGAACCAACTTTTTTACCTTCTAATATTCACCATGTTGTTAAGAGAAAAATCCAAAGTGCAAACCGACCGTAAGGTCTCTCCTCCTGGGCCGTCATATATGTCAAATGATCAATTTGGTGAGCTCGATTTTTCTCTTCTGGTTTACACCTACATGAGAAATTCGAGAGGTTCGAAAATGGTCTTGTCTCTCTGCTAACAATTCGCAGCGGACTACTTGGCAGATTTAAGAAATAATCGTGTTACACGCCCGAGTGGTGCAAGACCTGCCCCTCCAAGTAAACGCAGACAATCGAATTCACTATCGTCGATATTATCAGCTAGCACCCCGGTCCCACCAGAGATCCCAGCTTCTGTCGATCCTTCACCGCGACCCGAAAGTTCCTTTTCGCGCCGACCAGCTCGAAATTCCCTCGGATCATATTCATCAGTCAGCTCGAGAGCAGGTCGATCACTTGTTCAGCCACCATCTCAAGAGCCCCCTCTCAAACCCTCTGAAGTTGTACCTAGTGCTACATATATAGAACGTGGTCTGAGATGGATGGAAAAGGAAGAGGCAGTAGCTCTACGAGAGGCTATGGAGGACATGGATATGAAAGGAGAGGATGACGAGGAACTGCGAATTCACAATGCCGCCCAAGAGGAAGCATCCGAGTTAGTCTATGTCCACCAGTTTGGGGAAAAATTCAAGAACCCTGACGCGCCATATCGATATAAAGATCACTTGAGAAAGAACAGTTATGCACACGCGAGGACACAAAGCGCTGGACGCAACGGAGGCCTTGTTATGGCTACAGGACTTGCTAGGGATACAGTTCCAAGGACAAACTCAACCAGTAGCGATGATGAAGGACAAAGGAGCTCTGGAAGTTCAACACCTCCGTCCCCAATCAAGGCTGGCGTTACTGCAGAATCAACGTTACGTGGATCTCTAGATACTGGTCGAGATGCAATGGCTCAACAAGCGGCTACCAAAACTTACGGTGGTGTTAGCCGATTACAACACGGAAGAAAAATGGGCGGTGGTGGTAAGAGAAATATTAGCGGAGAGATCAAACGCAGCTTTACCGGTGAACAGATTTGGGAGGAGCCAGAACGAGAAACCACGAGCGACTCCGATCGTGGTCGAACTTTAGATGGTCGTCCTGCCTCTGCCCTACAAGCCAAACCCCGGAACCCTCTCAATCGTGTCCAATTTTCGGGCGATGTTCAACGATCGAATAGTTCTCCTCCTGAAATCACCAAGAAGCTTTCCACAACCGAGATCTATAAGAATCCACCAACGCAATCAAGAAATCCTGTATACACTGCAAATCCGCCCCCAGCGAACGTACCAGAAGCCGAGAAGGAAGATGTCCCAAAAAAGAATGGTGTTGAGATCAGAGGTGATGATATACGTCAAGCGACAAGTATGCGTCTTAGTGACCGCAGCCCAAAACTCCCCACACCCACTGCAGTCAGTGATAAACCTGGCCGACCTATTGTAAGCTTTGATAAAAATTGGAAGCCGCAAGAGGCTGATGACAAGCCAGAAGTGCGAAGAAGATCGCCGTTCGATCGCCGTCCAAATAGCCAAAAGCAAAGCGTACCTGCTCGACCAAGTCCGACGCCTATCGCATCAAACAAGGATTCTAGTGCACCGTCCAAAGTGAACGTTCCAGTGCCCAATATAAATGTCTCAGCAACACCGTCAGTCCCTACCATAAGCTTTCCTGATTCCCCTAAAATTTCCGTTTCGGCTCCTAGTGTTCCAACGATCATTGAACCAGGGTCAAGCTCAACCAAATCAGCATCAGCTGTACCAACGATAAATATTCCGACCATCAACGAGCCAGTATCTCAGTCCAAGCCTCAGATTCCCACAATTTCAGAACCTGGATCGTCTCAATCAAAAGCAAGGCCCCTCCCAGATCCGAAGACTGCCTCAAAACGTCCTAACCCACGACAAGCCCCTACGCCTGTTCCTCGAGGCCACTGGTCTCCTGCGGTAGGTAGTCGAGCCACTGCAACTTGCCACCAGTGTCAATTGCCAATTGAAGGAAAAGTAGTGGCCCTTCGCGGTATACCCGAGCGCTTCCATCCGGAATGCTTTATATGTTTTACATGCGGTACCGCTCTTCAAGATCTCGAAATCAGCCCAGAACCCGCCATCTCCCGCGCAGCACGTCTCGATCGTATCAAGCGTCGTGCACAGGGAGAAATCATCCCCGATACTGAAGGTGAAACAGAAGCCGAAGACGGAGATGCTAGACTACGATTCTATTGCCATCTCGACTGGCACGAACTTTATGCCCCTCGCTGTAAACATTGCAAAACCCCCATCATCGGTGAACATGCCGTTGCACTTGGAGAGCACTGGCACTATGGACATTTCTTTTGCGCCGAGTGTGGAGACCCTTTCGAACAAGGAATGACGCATATCGAAAAAGATGGATATGCCTGGTGCCTTTCATGCCAGACCAAGCGCACGGAACGCAAGGCCCCGAAATGTAAAAAATGCAAGAAAGCCGTCCTAGGCCAGTACGTTCAAGCGTTAGGTGGTGAATGGCATGATGAATGCTTTAGATGCGGGCACTGTGCGGGTGGATTCGATGATGGGCAGATTTTCCCTTGTCAGAGGGGAAATAAGGGGGACGGTGGTGAAATTATTGTGCTTTGTACGGGATGCATGGAGAAGGAATTGAAGCAATGAAGGCCTGTATGACTTATGCATCTATGTTTTCATCTGTATTTCTTGTCTATCGTTTTACACTTTGGGGCAGGGTAGGGTTTGGATTTGGATGGGTGGTTGGTTCTTGATTGATTTCAGCACTGAATATTCCCTTTGTGAGCATGAGAGCGAGCGCGTTGGGAACCTAACAAGCAAAGCCAGCATTTTCCTTATGTGTATACATACATTCCTTTTTCGAGAAGATGGGAGTAGTAAGGAGGAAATGGAATGAATAAATTGATTCTATATAAATGTGCAAGGTGATGTTCATTGTATAATTTGTATATCTTGATGGTAGTGCTTCTGTTGTGTGTATTTACTGATTAGTAGCACTTGCTGGTAATTCATAGATTAGCTCGGGTTAGAGGCAATACTTCTGTTATAAACTTGTGATTATACAGATACTTATTATAGACCTATTAGTACTCGGATAAGTAGATTAGATTAGATCGATCGAAGGTGTCACCGGAAAACGTTAAGTTGTTTTGTACTTAGACTGACAAACGCAATCACATGTAAATAATTAACGATTACCTAATTGATCTTAGTCCGCCTCTAGTGCGGGAACGCACCTTCCCGATTGTTGAGATTATGCGGAATGTTCCTGGGCCTAAGCGGAATAATTGTAAGGGTCTTCCTAAAAAGCACGAGACCCTTTTTGGAAAATGACAGGAAATTCATAATCCCCTCCTCTTATCTCACATTCATTCATCTTCTTCCTTATTCACAACCATTTTATTTTGTTCCTTACCCTTAGAGCATTATCCATTTCAAGTACATTGAGACATTGGCCAGAAGAGTTCAACCCTCAATTACATTGCAGCACTCCAAAACTACAGAACAAACTACTTTGAACAGGACGAACAATATTCTTTAGAGATACCCCTATTTCTCTTCGTCCAGCTACAATATTTGGGGATATTAATATATTCGAAAGTTTTGGTAAAGCTGGGGCATCAACTATCTGCCATCTGCAGAAATTCAACTGTCATTTGTCTGACGTTATCGCTGGGTCAATCGTGTAGGGTATTACTGAGTCTTCAAAGCTTCAGAGTCCTATCATCTAAAACACACCCTGATTCACTAGGTCAGTCATCTCATCCTATCATTTGGAAATTATTAATAGCTTTGAAACAGAAAGTCTACGTTGATTCTGCATCCTTTCGCTAGCGGCCGATTCCTTTCGTAAAACAAAACACAATGGCCACAACATCAACTCCAAATGCTTCCATTGGCAAGATTCGTTTCATCCCCCTCTCTTACAACTCCGCCGAGTCGCAGACATCAGCCCTACGTCTAATCCTGACACTGCGCCCCGATTGGGGACGAACTGATGGGAAGATAGAATTTATACGATTTACGGATGGCATAACAAACACCCTGTTGAAGGTCATCAACAAAAGACCTGGGCTTTCCGCGGAAGAGATTGATAATGAGGCAGTTCTGCTGCGGGCTTATGGTCAAGGAACCGATTTGATCATTGACCGAGAGCGCGAGACTCAAAATCACGAATTACTTACGCAATTCAATTTAGCACCAGCGTTGCTTGCCCGATTTAAGAATGGAATGCTATATCGATTCATTAGAGGAGCGGTCACCAGTCCTGCAGACCTCAGAGAAAAAAGGATTTGGCGTGGAGTAGCTAGACGATTGGCAGAGTGGCATGCGGTTGTTCCGTGTCTTTCAGCGGATCGTGAGGCTCAACCCACAGAAATAAATGGTAGTGAACAATTTGCTTTTCCAGCTACATCAAGCAAAATGGATCCTGCTCTGCAAACTGCTATTGACAACATTGCTCCTGGCAAGCCAGCCCCTAATGTTTGGACGGTAATGCAAAAATGGATATATGCACTTCCAGTGGGATCAGAGGTAGAAAAGACTCGACAGGCAACTTTGCAAAAGGAATTAACTCGCTTGGTTGCTGAGCTCAGCAATCGACCGGGTCTTGGTGAAAATAGCGTGAGTGACCTTCGTGAAACCCGATGCGACCATAGTTGTCTTTGCAGGCAATGTAGTGCTACCATAACGATGCAGCTCCTGCTGTAGCCTCCCCGTCGCCAAGAATCGTGCTAACATTCTCCAGCTTGTATTTGCCCACTGCGACCTTCTAAGTGGTAATGTTATTGTGCAACCTCAAGCTACTGGCATCACTACCCCGCCTGATGTAGAGACAGTCAGTTTCATCGATTACGAATATGCAACACCATCTCCAGCAGCATTTGATATTGCCAATCATTTTGCGGAGTGGGGAGGATTTGATTGCGAATATCAATATTTGCCCTCACGCGCGGAAAGACTCGATTTTGTTCACGAATATATCCGAAGTTACTTTGCTCATTTGAAGCAAACTTATGATGAGGAAGCAGAAGTTCAGAAAATGTTTACCGAAGTGGATATATTTCGGGCAGTTCCCGGATTCTACTGGGGAATTTGGGCCTTGATCCAGGCCACGATATCTCAAATAGATTTTGATTATGCTGCATACGCAGAGATGAGACTAGGAGAATATTGGGCTTGGAGGGAGGAGAATGATGGAAGTCGAGCGGCTTCTGGCAAGGAAATGCCCTTGAGAGAGAGAAGATGGGCGCAGGACGCATAAATATCAAATTCTTTCTAACACAAAGAAAAGTTTTGGAATTTGTTTAGAGCGATTTGCATATTCAGAAGGCTTCAACGCCTAAAAGCGTAGCCCAGTAGTAGAAGACTGGAGTCTTCAACGACAATAATTCGAGATACCTAATGAAGTTTTAAAAGTATATAGCTCGATTTTAATAATAGAACAAAAGTGATGGTCTATATTACTATATGTTTTTATGAGTAATTGTATGCTATTATTGCAAAGCAGTAGATAATAGATGTCTTTTTTCTGATTAAGATGAAAAGAAAAACAAGGTTGGTCCTTTTAATGACTTGGAAATATGGGATGTTTAGGGTAGGTAGAGGGGATAGATATGATAGATTTGATAGTAGTAGAGTCAGTTGGTATTTATGTAACCTTCAATAGTGATCTAGATGTCTGGATGTCTGGATGTGGAGATATTGAGATGTAGTATTATATATATATATATATATATATACATACATGAATCAGGGGATATATAAATGATAATAATCATGATAATAATCATGATAATAAAGGATGAAGAATAAAGGATTAGGGATTAAGAATTAAGAATTAAAATTATTTGTAATGGGGGAGGATGAAATGGGATAGTAGGAGAATGGACTATGGTGGATATATGTATGGTTTGTTATTATGATGTAATGTAGTGGAATGAGATAGTAAGAGGATAGGATAGGATAATGGCAGGATGGAATAGTGGGGGAGTGGGATAGTGAGGGGATGGGATAGTGAGGGATGGGGTGATGTTGGGGTATATTCTTTGCGTTTGGGTTTGTTTGTGCTGGTTTTTGGGTATGTATGTATATATGTTATGTTATGTTTGTATACTAGGGGTAGCGTATGGGATATGGGATATGGGATATGGGATATGGGATATGGGATATGGGATATGGGATATGGGATATGGGATATGGGAGAGGGAGAGATGGAGGAAGGGAGAAGGAGGGATAAAGCCAGATTCGCTGGATTGTAATAGCTAATCGTTCTACAATTGAAATTTCTTTCGCATAACGACTCATGGTCAATGGCGAGATTCATTGACTTTGAACCTGATAATTTTTAGTTTAATGGAATTGTATCGATATAGGAGGGTGCGTTAGTTGCTCATGTATGTAGTTGCACAAGAAAGCAGTTTTACGTAGCTAAAATGACCCGGTTTGGATGTCCCTAGCGAACCATTGGCGGACAAGATTGCTAGAGTTCGTAATCGATATCCGCTTGTGTTATTATAGTGTTAGTATAGCAGTATCATCGGAGATCCAATAGTACCTAGATATATACTTCGTACTTAGTACTCATGTCTGTGTCACCAATGACCGTACCGTCACATGTACATCCATAACCTTAGTTATGAATGTAAGCTTGAGATCCAAGGAGCTGGGAAGTAGTGATGAACAGATTGAACACACAATACTCCGTAATAGTAGCTAATAAGTAGTTTCGCACCATACTTACTCCTTTGCGATTAGTATCATCACTAAATTTTGATCTACAACCAGATGATGGGCCGTGTATCTTACTAGGGTAGGTACTCGCGTGCGGCGTCTCGAGCGTTACGCCGATTCTACCCAGTTGGTAACTGGCACTGCATGGCCTTATTAGACTTTTCATGGTAATCAAACTGTTAAAAGGCTGCCTAGTGATGCTAACCTAATCAAGGTCATGGACAGACTAGGTTCCCGAGTAGGTACAGCAGTAAAAGTACTCTTTACAATACCAAGTAGCTACATTTATTCAGTACCACGACGTTAGGTCCCTTTGGGTTATTAATACCGCAAACACAGCGATGCGATAGAGTAAACATTCAAGAAGCAAAAAACATTCACACGTTCAGCCCGAAAAATAACAGAGATTAACAATCCTATTTTGGGTTCTGACCTCAGAATCTGTTTCAAAACATTTACGCGTACAAGTATCATGTTTGCGTGACCTTTATACACGTACGAGTTAGCATCAGTTATTACTGTCGTTGAATCTGATGTGATGTGTATGTAAGCTGCATGGACATGCTTATATTATAGTATTACCACTATGCCATACCATACCATACCATACCAGCACTTCGGAACGATCTTCTCGAAATCTTAATCATGAGCGGTCGTGGCGATCTGACCACAGATCCATTTCCCATTTCATCTTGTGCTACTTACTCCCATCTCACTCACTAGTTATTTGATACTTGATACTTCTCAATTATAGACTTCATTACCCCACATCCATCTTCCATCATCACACTATTCCTACTGGCGTCAAGGCAAGGCTGACAACCCATTGCGCCCCTAAACCAGTCTTAGATTTTCGTCGCTCGGTGGCTTTGTGGGACGACTTTTCTTGGTGTTGTGTCCTTTCAATGACTCGACGCAATGCTAACTACAGTCAGTCAGTACTCTTTCTGTAAGGAGTACATCTCATTGCCTCCTTGAACATCAAAGTTGAGATCGAGATCGAGATTGCAGGTTGGATGGCTAGGTATACAATACACGAATAGCATCTACTAGGTAGGGTTGGTTATACATCGGGTATTTTGTAGGGTAGTAGTGAGGTAAATTCAAGTTAAATTCAGGTCCAAATTCCAGGAGCCAGGAACAATTTGACGAAATATCTAAAAATACCCGATGCAACTTTAGAAATTCTTAATTTTGCTGGGTTCACGACTTTATGTGGCGACAACGTTAATTCGACGTCAATATCACTCATCATTTATGCCAGCAAGAATAACCAAGTCGGTAATTTTGTTCCCATGTATTATTGCTAAGGTGACCTTTAATTGGGAATACCGTTGAGAATACGATGGATATACCGACGGTAATGGTACGGCCCCAGTAAGGTACTAACAATGGATATAGACTCTCGTAAGAATATAGACTCGGATGTACAAATAAATCATCGTTCAATAACTTCAGAATCATTTTTCGTTCCACAAAACCTTTTCAATGTTTAAAATGTTGACCCAAGGAACTGATTGATTACCCTAGTCACTCTCTTACTTTCCCTAGCGATCCAAAAACCAGCGGGATGCCCATACCAAGATTCGTTTTCCGATTTTTGACATTGAGTTTAAATTAGCTTCCCTTCAAAATGTGTGTGTAGGTTTATTAGTGTATTAAAATAATGTTATTATTGGCTGCATCGTTTTAAAACTTTCAAAGCTCTATGCAAAGCTGAAGCCGTTTCAACAAATCATCTCGAAGGATCATCATACTTTGACCCTGACGGAGCTTAACACATCACCGTCCAAATGTCTATCCTCAATGCTAAGCTTAGGATCAACATCAGTGGATGAAAATAGCACTACCTGAGCCTCCGGATTTGCAGCATGGCTCGCTATCATCAGCTATGGCAGTGCTGCACTATATTTCCAAAGTGTTACTGTGAGTGCGTTTCATGCCAGATGATCATCGACTGCTCCGTGGAAAACAATTTTAACGATTAATTAGATCTTGGTAAATCATACTTTCACCGCGGTGGTGGCACTACCCCAAAGTAGATGGTGATTAATAGTATGTCGGGACAATCTTTGTGATCAAAACCTAAAGTTGACATGAGAAAGCTAAAGCAAGCAGGAAGAGTGTTGTATCATTACGCGGCTCTTAGCTCCTGTCGAGATTTGCTTTAAATGAACACCAAATGATACTAGATGATCCGAGGGGAATGGAGCTGGTGAGCCAATGGCTTAGGAGCTTCCGTTTAGCCTCCTCCAACGAACCATGGAGAAAGTTTTGAATTTCTGACCTTCTCGCTTATATTTTAATCCTAGTCGAGTCCAATCTCAGGCGCATGGCATCTATACAGAGTATTATTACACACCCCCCTAATCACTATTGACGGGTGGAGCGTGTTGTTGAAGCGGTCGGGACACCCCACCTCTGGAAACACCAGGGATAGTCCTAGCGATTCAAGGCTGAGGATTAGCACGATGCCATGCCCCATTCCTGAATTGGTTACCATCCATGCGCCCGCCTAGAAGGCATATTTGGTAGGATGAAAATGCTAGTGATCAAGGATATAATGATCTCACTGAACTGCGGACCTGAAGGAACAGCCGGTATAACTCAGTGTCCTTTCCCATCAGACCGTTTTTGTTATATATCATCTAGGCATCACCCAACATAACCATGACCACCACATTCACATCCACTATTTACAACTCTGGGCAGTACTTTTACACAACATCAATGGATTCATCAGCGGATAAAGAAGAGCGCAAGCGCGAGGTATGTTGACTCTCTATTAGGCAACTACCATACACGGACTGATAAAAAGTTATAGTACAATCGTCTTGCACAAAGAGAATTCCGTATGCACTTTGTGGTCTACATTACCTTTATTGAAACTAATGATGAATTTACCAGGCCGAAGAAGAAAGGAACACCTCAAGAATCTCGAGCAAGCCCAAAAAGAACAGAGCTCTGAGCAATCGGAAGAGATTGAACGTTTAAGATATCAAAATGATGAACTCAGACGAGAGAATGAAGCTCTCCGAGCACAAATTTACGGTTCAACATCACAAGGTCTCCTACTCCAACCACTAGGACCGATTTCGTCCGATCACCGACAGTACTCTTTATCCCCATCCATTTCTGGTGCCTCTATTTCAAATGCTAGTAGTCCTCCAGCTTCTTTGAGTTCAGACATGATGTCTATGGGCTCCATGCCAATGACGACCGCCATGATTTCACCATCTACGTATGCGTATACCGATTCCGCGGCTCTATCTTCTCAGCCATATAATATGGTACATCAATCCGGCCTCCGTCCACATAACTCACAAAGCTCACCTGATATATCAGGGTACTCACCCCGAACTACAATGGGGACATCCAATTTTCAACACCCATCTCTAAATATTCCTCAAGCGGGCGGACGTGCAAACGTCACTGACCAACAATCGAGGACATCTTCTTCAGGACAAAAGTTAGTAGGCCCTATGGACGACGCAGCTTATTCGTGGTATTAACGGGTCTGAAGTATCTCCATGGCTATGCTGCCCTACGATCGCAAGAAAAGTCGCACTCAAATCCGGGAGCTTTTCCATCCGCTCCTTTCCGATCCTTCAATTTTAAATGGTTCCTCTCCCGATCGTCATCTCGCTCTTCTTCACTCCATGGTCGATATCCTCCCTCCCACTCTCAAGCCAAATAAATCGCAACTCGCAACCGCTCACTATTATGCTATTGATATGATTGCTTCTCCTTCTTTACGCGATCGTCTCATGACTTTAACCCAAGATGTGACGCAAAGCTTCATTAGGGACTTTGGGAGTTGTATTGGGGAAGCGGAGGATATTGGTCAGATTATTATCTGGGGAGAAGATCCTTATAATGAAATGGCGTGGGAAATATCGCAACCTTTGTTAGAGAGATGGGGTTGGTTACTTGGTCGAGGATTTGTTGATAGAAGTAATGCGTGGAGGATACAAAGAGGTGCTCTTCCTTTACCTGAGTGGTAGATGATTGTTTTTCTTTACTTTCTTTTTTATTATTCTTCTTCTTCTTTTTCTTTTTCTTCGTTCTTTAGGGGGATTTCGGCGTTGGTGTGCTAAGTGAGTGGGGATCAGATCATTCACGCACTCGGGGCTAAGGCTAACGGTAAAGTAAGGAAGGAAGGAAGGATCCTTACGGTATGGACTGACGGCACATTTATCTCAGCATAGCGAACGGCGTTCCGCGTTGAAAATTGGTGGCAATATATATATATGTATTATGTATGATGGTTTTTTCTATATATGCATTTTTTTGGGTTGGGAACTTGGGTTTAGAGTAGAGAGAGCGAGAGATCTTTCCTGGTGGGAATGAATGATGGGGATGAGTTTGAGTTTTTATATTTATATATATACATATATATTTATTTATTTATATGATATTCGTTATTACTTCTACTTTTATTATTCTTATAATTGTGGTTATTGATTGCTATTACTATGAAAAAAGTATATACATCTTAAAATTCAATAGTAATGTGATATCGAATCTTGCGCGAATATATATATATATACACATACATATAACCGGTACTTCCCATACCCAGACGTCGCCACGTATATATGTATAAGGGTACTATGTTGCAAGCGGGGAACTGGCTGTGGTGAAATTTGTTACGGTATGTGGTTTGAGGGAGCTGGTAATATAGGAAGATTTTCCTGGGGCCAGAGGGGGAAGGGGAGAGGAGAGAGGGGATTTTGAAGGAGGGTGGTTTTTGGGAGTGCTGGGCTGAGGTGTGGTGAGGAGGTGAGCTGGGCAAAGGGGTGTCTGGGCAAGGGGTGAGGTATGGAGTTGGGATATCGGGTTAGGATATGGAGTTGAGCTATTGACTATTGAGCTATTGATCCATCACAATAACCTTCTACCAACCCCGCCTGTAACCTTACATACATAACATCCTAAATCCCAAACCTCAACGATCAGATATCAATAACATTTCTTCCCCCTTCCCCTCCTTACAGTATACAAAAGCAGAATACTCAACCCTCTCAAATCCACAGATAGCACGCACATATATAACGCAAAACCACCAAATCAACATACCATACCATACCATACCATACCATCAAAATAATTAAGCTTAACATATATAGCTGGGGTAACATGCATACCACCTACCTTGGAACAGCGATCAATAGTACCTTTCCAAATGTAGCCTATATCTACCTAGGTATCTAGGTATTTACGTACCCGATTACATGGTACGCTAGAGATGATTGAATATCGATGGATGTTGAAACTTGGGTCGGATATTGATCGGATGATTATGCTTAAATGTGTGATGAATGGAATGGAAAGTGTATGTACTGCGAATATGTGTGTATATTTTACAGATATAGATAGATAGGGATAGAAATAGAAATAGAGGAGTTTATTTGATGTTATTCACATGCATATGAATATTTCTTCCATTTCTAAGCGGATACCTGCAGATGGCGATGAAATGAAATGAATGAATGGATGAACCATGCATAGGAAAACCCGTCCGAGGGTTTCGACGGTTAATGGTGGATAAGGTGGCTTAGCACACCGTTTACTGTGTTATTTCATGGAACCATACTTCCTAAGTTTCGATCACGAATCTTTAATTGTAGATCTCGTTCTTTAGTCTTTTGAGTTAATTAGTTAGCGTGACTATTAATCAATAATAACAATAACAAAAATGTTTGAACTTTGAATGAACGAATAAACGAACAACAACGATGAACAAACATCTCGGCAACCGAAATCAAAAAATCGCTCATTTTTTTTTCTCATTATGTGCTCACATATAGACAGACCAATCTAATCTACTCTACCTTCCCATACCGTCGGAGAGAAATGGTACTTTCCATCCTTGGCACATTGAGCACTTTCTTCAAATGGTTAATGTGAAAGTATAGTAGGAGAGTAGTTAACGCTGCTTACTCATCTGTACATATCCAGTAGCCAGGGGGATGCGCTAAGCACCATGCCATGCACTATGCGCTACAACACAGCACTCAAAGTTGCTGGGTCTCGAAACCATCATTTTTCATTTTCCCCGCGACTAGCTAGCTACTACCCAAGTATTATCCATACGTGAGTTTAAGAATACACGTTGTTGATATTGAGGTTACATTGTAAGGAATTTTAGTATTCTATTCCATTATTCGAATTTCGCATCCATATATCTATCCACAGGGAACAGACAGACAGCACAGGGTTCCTGATACCCAATCTCGCCCTTCGGCTTTATAATTATAAGTTATACATACGGACGGAGTAACCACAAATTTAAGAAGAATGCCTTACCGCCATACGGTACGGGGAAGGATCATTTCTACTCCCTGTTCTTCCGTGAGTGGATTCCTTTTTCATGGATTCAGTACTCTACCTCCGTACAGTACTCTAGAGAGGTAAAGTGAAGAAACGAAACCGAAACCTAAACCTAAACCTGCCAAAGTAAGTTCAAAAATTTCCAAGCCCCTTCCCGTCGCCACTAAGCGAGCTGGCTTTGTAGGGATAGGGATTAAGGTTATTTCTTTTACTTTCCTTTTTTGGGGGATAGTGTGTGATACTATTGTATTATAGGTAACAAGCGGGCTTTACAAGCATCCATCCTTTTTGGAAAAGTTTTTGATTGGTTTGCTCGTTTGGACTGGTGGGGTCCCGTTGGAAACGTTGGTTTCTATGGAGTATGTTGTTATTGCTGATTTCTTGTGGGGTGGTTGGGGGCTGGATTTTCGTCGGGAGGTACTAGGTTCTAGGTAGCACCGTTTGATCTTCTTGTCGCGCTAATCTGGATAATTGGAGTTTTGTATTTAATGATGGGAGGTGTGTATCTAAGTATTTGCAGAACGAAAGCGAAAGCGAAAGTGGGAGGACTGACTGATTGTTAAGTGAGAAAGGAGGATGGGAGATATCATTGAATGAACATGAACATACAGATACTCCTTTTCAAATTTTTCGTATGTATGGCTTGCGATTGCTTCTTGTACATTTCGCTAACTATGCTAAGGTTATTGTTCATCTACTTATCCATGATATACGTATATATGCAGTAGCAGCTGTATAATCTCAATGGATTGATTATTCTACCGACTTTAGTTCGCGCAGAAAATATACTTGCTACCAAAATAGTATCTACAGTTCGGACTTCAGAACCGTCATACTTCATTTTAATACCAAGCACCAAAAGACTCTCAATAAAATAACCCTAATACACATTCCATTCAATATCAGCCACTCTCTACGGAGTCCTGGATCAGCACAAGGAAGAGGGAGTCTAAAAAGATCTGACAAGTTACAACAGCATACAAGGTTGGTTGGCGTACTAACATGCAGCAGCCACATTAAGTGAGATTCCGGCCCCCAAATAATCAATCAATTTTTAAGTAAAGAATGATATAATAGATGATAAGCTCGAGCTCGCAAGGTATTACTTTACAGCTGAGGAAGAAAACTCTCCACGAACACAGTAAGCTACTTATTTACTCGAGACGAAACAAAATGTTAGTTCATGCGGAGACGAGGCGTAGGGCTGTATGTTTCGAAGCGGAAGTTCGCTGCGCATGCATGCTAGGATGTCCGGGTTCGTGGCTCACATCAGCTAACGATTCTATTGCTAGAATCATCGATTGTATCTGTAGATAGCTGAGGGATCTCCGAATTTTTATCCTAGATCTATTGGAGAGTTATGACGACGAGAATATTACTGAGATTTCTACAAGGTAGTTCTCGGTGTGCAAATGTAGATGCAAGTGCATTCAAGGAAATTGCTTATCTTCCGCATGCATCGAGCATATGTACATCTATCTATCATCTTATTCGACGACATACGATTTTCGAATTTCAAATCCTCGGTACCTACTAGGTATAGATAGATGGATATCTGCGAACGATGCGTTGTGTCATAATGGCTAATATCCGCAAGGCTGACTTTATATATCAGCTGTATGATGACGTGATTGTGATTGGTGGGCTCGTACGAGGTGCATACTCTGTGTGTATCGCGGATATCTCTGCGGCGCATTGCTATAGTTAGCTCTTGTAATTGATTTATGTATGTATGAATGTGGAGGGGATAAATGTTGGAATTAGCTAGTATGTGAGAATGGAATGGAATGGGATGGATGGGGATATGCGATGTGGATGGAGGCTTGGTTTCGCGATGTGTGAGTGTGTTAATTAACCTCACAGTATTGTTGCTACTGTACTTTTCGCCCCCAAAGGAAGTTCTTTCGTGGGTATGATGGTGGTTTCTATTGTAAGGGTGCAATGCAGTGAGGATGCAGTGAGAATAGAATGGAGATGTTATATTATCTCCGTACGTAGTTAAAGGAGATAGGAGATAGAGGTTAATGTTCTGATCTTCCATGATGCAACCGTTTTATTCTCCTATATGGTTTAACAGATGCGTACCAGTGGTATCATTCAAAAGATTATTAAGAATATATGGAGATGGAAGTCTACTCTATATATCTAAGGTGAGATATCTGCACATATGAAGCGGCATCTCAAGCCGAGAATAGGCACAGAATGATTTTTTATCGATGTGAGCTTTAAATTTATCCCATGATTTATTGAATACAGAATATAGAAATCTCCTCATTCTCATTTATATATACTTTATGATATTCCCATCTCAATACGATGGGGCCGGTAATCAGCGTCTCTCAATCCATATCTATCATTCAAATTAATAACCGTTTCCTTCCCAGCAGCAAGTGAACTTCTGGACTTAAATCCATACCTCTCCGTCCCGTTTACAGATTAGATACTGGTATCTCAATGGTAAATAAGAGATAAGAAATAAGATACAAAGATGATAGTCGATGAGTAGGTCATCCGTAATCGATAGTCCGTGATTCTCCGAGTTCATTTCATAACCTGAAGACATATATAGTATAGGTAATTAATTAATGGATATATTTCAGACACCTATCGATAGAATATCGATTCACCTTGATCAAAGATATCCAACCTATACACATTCCAAATTCCTTTGCCAACTTTATAATCCTGCAATTATGTAGATACTGTCTTGCTCCGAAATAGTGACTTTCCATCAAATATTCACTCAATCCCCTACTGGAGTAGAAGTAAAGTAAAGTACTAGGTAAGTAAGTGACCCTTTCCCACAATCCTATCATCCTTATCACATCAAAACCAAAAACCAAATACCAAATACCAAATACCAAAACCGTCAATTGCAATTACAAATCTGGATCTCTCTTCCTTGACTCTAAATCTGAGTACCAAACAGCATAATTAATATAAATATATGTACCTTCCTTCCTACACATAATCATTTCCGAGAGAAACTATTAAGGAGAGCATATCACCAAAGCAGCCTCTATATTCGAGAAACTTTAAAGAACTATTAATCGATAGATTAATATATATTCATTCTCCCCCCCTCCCCCTCTCTCTTCCTCTCTTCTTCTCCCCCAAAATTCCACCCTCCTTCCCAAAAGTTTATTGAAACAGAGACCCAAATAAGAACCTCTATCCTTGAACAGGGAGATATTGTTTAAAAATATAAAACTCTAAATGATAATTACCTCGCTTCCTCAAGTATTTCAATACATACCATCGCTATACTAACTCTCATCAACGATCAACTACAGCGATGAATACCATAGGGTTCCGGCCGAAGAAAATGTTTTGCTTGTTTATCTCAGAATCCTTCACTCTAAGAGACATTGCTGTTTTAACTTTACAGGAAGTTTGATGGTACTGTACTAGGAATCTCTGATCTATTTCTATATAAATCTATATTCTAGCTCAGATAAATGATAAGTATCGTACATTCAATACATTGGATGTTCTCCATCGATATCGCATAATAGGCGAACCGTCAAAAAGGAAAAACCACGCCCGGCTGGTTTTAGCCCAAACCGTTAATTATAATACAGTCCATATCAATTTCCCTTTCCTGTTCCTTTCCCTTACGAAAACCTTGCCAGAATTCGAAACCATATACCTGAACCTAGATCATTGACCATATATATCACATTATTCATCTTCCATATCATCATCCTCTTTACCATTAATTGTTCCTTCCCCCTTAGGCTTAACTTTCTTCCTTTCCATGCTCCTCAAACAACTAACAAAAAGATGTCTAGATGTCTTTCCTATGTTCTTTGCCCATATATCCAATGTCTCTGTTACCCACATCAATAACTTGCTGAAGAAGAACAAGCACACAAATGATGCAGATACCACTACTGCGAAACCGACCCAGTAATCATACAGTGAATACTTGTTCTCAATATCGCTAAGTTGGGTAGAGAAATAAGACGTCATAAGTGATACAGGAAGGAAAAGTACCGACAATTTGGCGAGTAGAGTAGCCGAGCGATTGAGACGTGCCGTTGCTTGTGAGTCTTTTTGAGAATTGATGCTGAAATACTTGAAATGTGTTAGCTTCTTCAAGGTTCAATTGGACGATAGAGAAAAAGAGGTCTTACAGTGTTACTGAGCGCATCTTTCTCAGCCAGAAATTCGCCGGTTTCGCTCAAAATTAATAATTGCAAACGATCGCCCAGTCTTTCAAACCTCTGACTTGCGGATGCCGCTAGTTTAACTCCACTTCTCCCATTTTGGGACGTGAAAGAGCCATCGGGCGTGCCGGCTTCCCATGTACTAAAGGGTTTGGGTTCCAATATACGTGTTATGAGGTTATGGTAGCCTTTATACAAATGCTGCATCTGACGAATTCTCTTGCTGAGGAAATGAAGATGAGGAATAATATTCATATCAGGACCTTTGTTGGAATTTCTCCTCATGTCTTCAAATATAGAGTTTTCCAACTGTTGCAAGCTTCTTCTGAAAAAAGCCACTGTTTTGTAGACAGCTCGCCAGTCATCGAATAGATAGTAAAAAAGGTTGCTTGCTCCTTCGATACCATTGTTTGGGTGAGTCGAGTTCAAATCCAGAACTTGTCGGACAGTCTGCATAGATATTGGATCTGCTGTCTCATGTCCCGACTTAGACAATTGGCTCAAGACACTCAGAGTGTTTCCACGCATTGATTTCAGATCCTTCTTCGTCTTCGCAATTGGTAAGGTATCTTCGTGTACAGCTATGACTGTGTTATCATCGCAAAGTATAAGCCATGACCAGAGCCTACACTGCGTTTTATCTCTGAATGAGTTCTGAATTATTGGATTATCGGTTTCCCTCATTGGTGGTGAGTCGATCTCATGCATCCAGTTCGCGCCAACACACATAAAGCGTGCCCCGACATCGACGGATTGATAGTTGATCATTTGCTGAGCAATGGTATAGTGGCTTGTTGTTCCTGGAGGCGTAAGTTGTGTTGCATGTACTCTGGGCACATTCATACTCGCTCTGCCTGTTTCGATATCATCCCTTTCGAACAATCTCTCCTTGTAACTAACCCGATGATCTTTGTGACTCGAGTTATTGACTGGTGGCAGAGTTTTGATGATAGCCAAAAGCCTCGGGGAGAAGCCATATCGACGAGCAAGAACATCGATTATATCCGTCTGTCGGTTTGGCCCCCAGATATTGCTATCGCATATTAGCAAACACTCTTCAAAATTTGACATCAGCACTTACATCCACCGCACAGGAGGTCGTTCGCGCTCGGCCGGCGTGGAAGGTTTATCTAGCAGCCTTTCCACTTCATCTGCGTTCAAATCAAAAGCTATCTGAGCCTCAAGTTTCCCAAACTCGACAACAAAGTTGCGACTCTTTTCGTGTCCCGCTCGATCGAGGCTGGCTTCGTATGTAGCCCGATCATCGAAGTCCGCAAATATTCCGTCTTTTTCCATGGTGTATAGGCTTCACAAGCATGATATGCGCAAAACTGAAGATTGAAATCATGATGGGCAACCTCAAGAGCTTATATGTATAGGCTGTGCTGTGCAGTGCTGTGCTGCGCTTTCGATGATGCCGGTGGGCGGCGCACAAGGCTGATTTTGGAGCTGTGAAACAAGAGGGGTACCTGGTTCGAGGTGGTATTCTGATGATTTCTGGTAGAATGACTGGTTGTCGTTTAGCTATAAAATTTGGTGTTCTCCCAACTGTTGGCGCTTATCTATTATCAGCTTCAGCATTTTGATTTTCAACCAGTCACGCGAGAGCATCAGCAGGGGTAACATTCAGCACAGCACAGCTTTCTTGTTGGTGTTTCTCTTCAAAGATTATTATTCAATCGAAACTTTATTACAGGTTACCAAGAGAGTGGTTCGGGGAAGCGCAACGCTTTTGTTGAAGTCTGTTGTATCAGCGTACCACTAATATGGCGCAACGTTCTTCTCGGCGCCAAGTATCTCTCAATAATAATACGAGTGGCTACATTGAACAAACTTTCTACAACGGTCTAAACTTAAGCTTCGTATACATGCCTTAAGACACCAAAATGACTTCCAAGATCATACACATATCTAGTGAAGAACTTGTGCGCTCTTACGTCGGGAAGTACAAGGATTTTAGGCTTCTATCACTGCAAGTCGCACCTGAAGCTTTTGCTTCCAACTACTCAAGAGAAGCCGCATTTTCATATGAAGTATGGTACGAACGTCTTGCAAATCCACACGCAGCAACTTTTTTTGCGCTTCAGGATTCTAAGATTGTCGGTACTATTTCAATCCTCGGTCCATTACTTTATGGCCCAGAAGAGATGACGGCCCTTGGAAATCCATGGCAAGCGATTGGTGATGGGACATCCAACAGACAAACAACAGGCCATTATCGAATCAATGGTTTGTTTACTCTACCAGAGATTCGTGGAAGAGGGGTTGGAAAGACGCTTATTGAAACGGCCTTAAGATATGCAGGAGGTGAAGTAGCCTTACAGGGCAGGGCGTTTGTATGCAGTATTGTGGTCGAGTCCGATAATGCTGGAGCTCGGAGATTATATGAAAAGTGTGGGTTTGTGGTCACAAAAGAGGTGCCCTATGGAGATGTGTCAGTCATTCTTATGAAAACATCAGGCTAGAAAGCTACAAACTGGACATTCGGCTTTCATTCTTGTCTCTTGAATACAGACGTCTTCGAGTAGCTTACTGGCATTGAATATGATAATGGACCAGTACCCTGTTTCATATGACGAACTTTTGGGTGTCATATGTTGAGACTTCGAGATTAGTAGGACCTAAGCTTATAGAAGTGATGTGGTTTAGATAGACTGAGGTAGAATTCTCCAGTGACATGTCCAAATGGGTTTACAGATACAGGCAGGTATCCAGGTGCCCTGCACACAAGCAAGCTATCTTGCATCTCAAACACCAACTCAGAATCTTGATCAAGCATCACTATAGCCTCGAGAATATGCAGAAGTAAACTCCACAAACTGCAGCCGATACAAACAGATTTACCTCTCTACATAGATAGAGCTACTTTGTCCTACCAGAGAGACTAAAAAAGTGCACCATGAAAACGAATACCAATACTTGAGTCGACAGTCTGATACTATAAAGTCCCGTAAAGTGTGCTCGATAGAGCTGCAATATGCGGGTGTTGCTCTCAAATCAAGTATTAGTATGTGTGCTCCGGGCCTCTTGATACAGGAATATGGCTAGGAACGATGAGTGGATTTGATATTTTAAGTAGGAATGAATATCCTAAACAAGTGAATGTTCCAAGGGAGGTGAATACCCCAAACAAAATAAATGTCCAAACACAGTGAATATTCTAAACACGGAGCGAAATATCAAAATAGATTCAATACACAAAAATTAATCCAGTTCGTCAAATAATATCATGTTCTAGTTTACAAAAGATGAGGTATCATATTTCCGGGGGAACCATATCCATACATCCTCCAACGCCTGAAGCAAAAAGCAGAGATCCACCATGTTATGTCGCTAAAATCATTTTTCATAACCCATTATGCATATGCCAACCATCATCTACCCAATAATTTACACTTCCACGGCCCCCTCGCTCTCGACATCTAAGCCATTACCTTCAGCATTAATCTTCACCACCGCTGTTTCGCCCGTCTTCAATTCTCCCCTGATGATTTTATCAGCCAATCCATTACCGATCTCCTTGGATATGAGTCTGTTTAGCGGCCGCGCTCCAAATTTTGGATCATATCCTCTGTCGGCAAGCCATTGGCGAACCTCTTGATCTACTTCAAGTATTATTCGTCGATCGTCTAGCCTCTTCTGAAGTTCTCGAAGTCGGATATCGACGATGTCTCGGAGAGCTTCGTTAGAAAGGCGTTTGAATATTATGAATTCGTCAATACGGTTGAGAAACTCAGGTGCATCTATTATCGTTGTTAGTGATATGTGGAAGAAAGTGAACGAACTGTGGTCTAAGTGAACTTACAATTGTGCTGAACAACATCCATTACGGCGTTGCGGACAGAAGGCGCAATATCACCATTTGGTTCTTCTTTATATGGATGCAAAGGATTGAGACCAACGAGGATGTCTGCGCCAAGATTTGATGTAAAAACAATTAGCGTGTTGCGAAAATCGACTTTGTGGCCTTGACTGTCTGTTAAGAAGCCTTCATCTAGTACTTGCAAAAGCAGAGCAGAGATATCTCTATGTGCTTTCTCAAATTCGTCGAACAGGAGAACTGCATAGGGTTTTCTTCTGACGGCCTCAGTAAGTTGCCCGGCATCATCATATCCAACATATCCAGCGGGACTACCTATCAACCGAGAAATTGTGTGCTTTTCTTGGAATTCACTCATGTCGAACCGGACAACAGCTGATTCGGTTGAGAACAAAAAGTTTGCCATCTTCTTGCAAAGTTCAGTCTTTCCCACACCTGTTGGACCGAGAAAGAAAAACGATGCAAGCGGTCTGTTCTCGCCGTTTAAGCCTGCTCGTTGCATTCGAACCGCATTTGCGACCGATCTAAGTGCCTCATCTTGACCGCGAACAGATTCTCGCAAAGTATCTTCCATATGAATAAGCTTCTCAGCATGCCCAGAAGTTAATTTCGTGACAGGAATGCCAGTGACACGTGATACAACGGCTGCAATATCGTCGGCCGTTACAGCATCATGGATCAAAGAGCCTTCGGAAGAAACGCCCTTCTCTCCATCTTTCGGCAACTTCGCTTCCAGTGACGGAATTATAGAATAACGCAGCTCTCCTGCACGACCATAATTATTTTCACGCTGTGCTTGATCCAGTTCAACACGAGCTTTCTCGAGATCCTCCTTTGTCTTTTTGATGGCATCAATTTCGGACCTTTCTGACTCCCACTTTTCTGTCAATACTTTTGCTTCTTCTTGACATTCTTTGAGATCATTTTCGAGCTTTTCACGCCGTTCCTTACTAGCGATATCTGTTTCCTTCCTTAGACTTTCAAGCTCGATTTGGAGCGTCATAATCTTTTGGTCAAGCTGCATTATGTCGTCCGGTTTGCTTTCTTGCTGTAACCTCAGGCCACTTGCAGCTTCATCCATGAGGTCTATTGCTTTGTCGGGCAAGAAGCGATCTGTGATATATCGATTGCTATAGGTAGCGGCAGCAACAAGGGCTCCATCTGTAATGCGAACTCCATGGTGCACCTCATACTTCTCTTTAATACCTCTCAAGATACTAATTGTGTCTTGAATCGTGGGCTCGTTGACTTGGATAGGCTGAAAGCGTCTTGCCAGGGCGACGTCCTTCTCAATTAGCCGATATTCATTGAGCGTGGTTGCTCCACAGCATTGCAGTTCACCCCGAGATAGTGCAGGTTTCAAAAGATTGCTTGCATCAATACTTCCTTCAGCCTTTCCCAGTCCCAGCAAAGTGTGTAATTCATCTACGAAGAGAATCACGCCACCATGAGCCTCTTGAACCTAAAGAATGTTAGAACAAATTAAGGCAATTACAAATTTCAAGCAAAAAATGGTAGGTCTTTAAGCAGGTATAATTTTAGTTCGGAAGGTGTAGCCTTGTAAGCAGATCTAACTATGAAGCCTACATCGCTAGTCGATATGTGTCTCAATTGTACCACTTGGTTCTGCGTACTTGAGAAACAAGCATGACAAGCCACATCCGCCGACAAGATACTACCGCAATCAAAATGAATACCCACCTCTTTCAAAACGGACTTAAATCTTTCCTCAAAGTCACCACGGAACTTTGCTCCGGCAATAAGCTGTCCAAGATCCAGAGATATTACTCTTTTGTTTTTCACACTCTCTGGCACATCGCCTCTGACTATTCGTTGCGCTAGACCCTCCAATATCGCCGTCTTTCCTGTTCCTGCACTTCCGATCAATACTGGATTATTCTTCGTTCGCCGTGACAGTACTTGAATGGTCCTATTAATTTCTCCATCTCTGCCAATTACTGGATCTAATTTTCCCTCCTTTGCTCGCGCAGTCAAATCGACACCATATTGTTCGAGGGCGGACTTTTGTTCTCCACCACTCATGTCCATGCGATGTGTACCACCTGGAGGATGTGGACGTCCATTCGCGTATGTGCGAAGGGCAGTAAGAGGTGCAAGTCTTCTGTAGGTAAATGCATGACTACTGCGTGAAGCTAAATTAGTCAAGGGACGTCCGGCTCGAACCTGTAGAGGGGCTCCTCCTAAAAGACGAGAGGAGCTCTCGATTTGTCGCAATACTTTCATACTCCTCATTAATCTTATCGCGAATGTGAGCTCTGTAAGTGTAAAAGAGAGAAAAGGAAAAAGGTTAAAAAGGAATTATATGAACATGTCTTTTAATGAAAGGGTTTACGGAAACTCTTATATATATGAATATGGGAAAGAAACTCTATCTAGAATAATCTCGAGCATTCTGAAGCTTTCAGATTCCCGAGGTTTTCCCATTAGCCATCTTTCTAACACTATCTTAGTTTAGGTAAGTAGTTCAGAGTTATGCCTTACAATCTAGCGGCAATCATTGGGCGTCTGAGATCAGGCCCACCCCGCCACTACCTATCCAGTTTAATTTCACTTTAAGCGATTGTAGACAGCGTCTAAGCCAATCAAATTTTCACACTCTTGAAAATGGAAAGCGACCATTTCTGAAGTTCCATTCCCAAAATTTGACTCACCCCACTACTCCTCATCACAATCAACATCACCAATTTTTGTTTGTTTTCCTCCTTTCTTAAAAGAAAAGAAAAATTCTTCACTTTTAAATATCAAGAAAAGGACTTCTTATATCTTTCAAAATGGGATTCACAGAATTTATCAATGATGCTGGCCTTACCAGTAAGCTTCTTCCCCCCGCCATGATAGACATAGTCTATCAAAAGAATTTTGGAAATCGCAGAAATTGACATTATTTAGTGCTCAACGGCTGGTTAGAGACCCGTTCATACATCGTTGGGTATGTATTTCTATTTGTTCCCGACTTTTATCCATTTGCATTCCTATCTGCAAGACAATATCTGCGATGTGTCTATTTGCGCATTAGTACCCCTCCTCGAGCAATTCCCAATATGATGAGCAACATTGGTCCGTGTTACTGAGCGGCCTCAAGAACCGCGTTATGGCGATATACCAAGCACTTTGTGCATCTCTGATTTCTCTATTTTCAATACAATCAATTGTTTTCCACATGATAGGAAGAAAATTAACCAAAAATCATAGATACTCCCCAAGTCAAGCTGATGTCGCCGTCTTCAAGGCTCAGCCATCCGCCCCAGATGCCGCAAAATTCCCTCACGCTGCTAGATGGTACAAGCACATCAACACATGGACTGAGGAATTTGCTACCCTTCCAGGTGATGCTTCCAAGGAATATACTACATACGGCCCAGAGAAGACTGAGGCTACCTTGAACCCAGCAAAGGCCCCAGCTGCCGAGGAAGAGGATGATGATGAGGTTGATCTTTTCGGAAGTGATGACGAGGAAGAAGATGCGGAGGCTATCAGAATCAGAGAAGAGCGTTTGGCTGAATACAAGAAGAAGAAGGAGGGCAAGACCAAGCCTGCTGCCAAGTCTGTTGTCACTATGGATGTCAAGCCATGGGGTGAGTTTGGAATTCGACTTAGGTGGTGAAAATAATACTAACCGATTTACAGATGATGAGACCGACATGGTGGCATTGGAGGCTGCCGTTCGTAGTGTCGAGAAGGACGGCCTCGTCTGGGGTGCTTCCAAACTCGTGGCTGTTGGTTTCGGTATCAAGAAGTTGCAGATTAACTTGGTCATTGAGGATGACAAGATTGGTCTTGATGACTTGCAAGAGGAGCTTGCTGAGTTCGATGATTACGTTCAATCTTCCGATATTGTAAGCTGCCCTCCGTTGACTATATTGATAATGGCTAATGAATATAGGCTGCTATGCAAAAGCTGTAAAGCGTCATTGTGACTTAAGTTTTACTTTCGATTCGTGCTCCGTCCCTGTTCCTGAAATGATTTCACGCTGTCTATGGGGGTTTTGACTACGACCAGTCAATAGATTATTATGAGAAAAAATAAGTTTTACGAAATGATGATAATCATGGACTGGGATAGAATTGAATTACAAAAAATCATAACAAGTACATAAATTTTATATGCAGATTACTCTTGTGATTCATGAATGTGTTAAATTCATTGTTTTATGCGACTATTCGATAAGTTTCCTCGTAAAAGATAAACCCGATTGCCCACCACTAGTTCTATCGCGCTTATACTATTCCTAAGGAGCCACACATTATTAATGAGGGACAAGCTGGGACCTTGGACAACCCACGACCATTAACAAAAAACACTGCATTCACCAAAGATGACTTGGATATCCAAATCAATTACGAGCCTTGGCTTGCTGTTTCTCACCCATGCGTATGTGTATGCCGAAATTCAAATGATGTTGCAATGACTGACAAATTTTACTCCTTCAGCTGTTATTCTGCCCACGAACACTCAGCCCTGCAATCTACAGGAACTGCCCATCTATCCTCTATTCCCTCTCACACTGCGACCACTGTTTCTCTACCAATCGACATATCTATTGAAACCATAGTTTCCGTTTTCATTATTTGCCTTGGCTTGGTATTAGGCACACCTGAATTACGACCTATACAATGGCGCGTCTGGGCAGGTAAAGTCGAGCGGGAGGGAGCGAAAGGTTTCATGAATGCCGATGGCGAGGTAGATAAAGATTTTGTCGGAAACCCATTTAAAGTTCTTGAGAGTCGACCAAGCTTCATAGACATTAGAAGGCAAAAATATGAATTTGCGGCGTGGGTTAGAGAAGGAGGGGAACAAACACCAGCACGGGAGTCATAAATGCGAGGAATATGGACGGAATACTTACTGTATGGTGCTGTTGCTGTGGACATTGTGAATTACATGATCTTGGTCGGGGACCATGTTGCACATAGTTGAAGGGTATGTGTGTTTTGAGTTGCGAATAAATATCACGAAGTGGCCCAAAAGCCCATGTGCCATGCCATTCAAAAAGAGCATTCCGAATTTTCTGGTGCTCAACATCTTTATACGTTTCGTCTATTTCATTCTTCTTTGGCTGGCTGTTTGTGCTGCCTAAAGACGTTAAGCAGAGCTGTACAAATGAGGGAGGAACATTTTTCGCTTGTTCAAATCAATTTTGAAATGCTCACGTTTCACTTTTGAATTCTTATCTTCACTTGTTCTGAGAATATATTCACCATCCGGTTCATATTCATCTATCCCTCTTCATTGTGCTATAGTCCCTGAAATTGTAGGAAGAAGAATCAATATGCCGTCCTTTAAGCGTCGGCGGATTGGCTCTGCTAGAGGTTCTAATCATCACCATTCTACCAGAGGACAATCATCAAGGTTTCGGGCAAGCTCTTCAGGAACGAGCTCTGTTTCCCAAGATGAGGATCGTTCGTCTTCAATGCAACCCCCTCCTGTTCCATTCAAAAAAAGAATATCAATGAAATCAGCATCATCACATGTGGCTGCACCACCATCAGTGCAAAATGAGGATAACCCTGAGAGTGGAGAGAATGAGTCAGATATTCAAGAACGGGAAAATGAGGACTCCATGGACGAAATTATCATGGCAGTCGAATTGAAAGAACGTGGCACCATTGGATGTGCATATTACATCGCAAGAGAAGAGAGATTGTGTATGATGACCGACATCAGCATGGCTGGACTTGACATGATTGATACTCTAAAAATTCATGTAGAGCCTACTAGTAGGGTCTCATGAGAATCTCTAGGTATCATTCATGCTAACATGCTATAGTAATTTTGATAAGCAATCGGTGCGAAGAGGCACTAGAAGAGTATCTCCAGAAAGATGCCAAGGTTATTGACAGAGGGGATGGGAGTAGGTCTTTTGAAAGGTATTACTTGCGTTGAGCTGACTTTGCAGGTGAAATATTTGGCTCATACACCCTCGATTCTCGACCAGCCGCGGAGTTCTATTATGAGGCAGCGAAGAATAGGTTGGCAAGCCTGGATATTGGAGCCGCGGGAGATGCGGGCATGATGTTTGTCACTCCTGGTGACGATTTTGCTGGAGATCGCAACCATATCCAGGCAGACTTAGGTGGCGCGGGTCGCCAAGGGGCATTGATGAGACTCGCAGGCTGGGTCGACTTGGAGAGCAGAAACTCGGTAAATTATCCCCTGATTTCTTCTCCCAATGACATTCAACGGAAATTTGAACAAGTGGATGGAATTGAACTACTATGACCATTAAAATTAAAAGTCCTAAGACTATCACACAGCTTTACTAACGAGCATATTTCTAGGTTAGCTGTGCCGGTGCAGTACTTAACTACCTTAGAAGACGACGAAGTATAGATTACTTACCTAATGACGAGGCTGCATTGATTGCATTCAGGATCCGCAAGATTGAGATGTTTTCATTGACGGATATGATGTTCATAAACGCAGATACATTATCATCGCTTCAAATTATCCAGTCTGAGTCTCATCCGAACTCGCATATGCAGGGTCCAAATAAGTCAACTTCGGGATCAAAAGAGAGCTTATCCGTCTTTGGTCTATTCTATCATTTGGCTAGCACGCCACAGGGAAAGCAAATGCTTCGGAAGATGTTTTTGAGACCAAGTATAGATGTGTCGGTAATTGAGGAAAGACTCTGGACAGTAGGTACTTTTCTAATTCCCGAGAATCGACCACTATTACAGGAAATCCAGAAGAGTCTCAGGAGTATTAAAGATATCAGAACTGTGGTAATACATCTTCAGAAAGGTGTAAGTGGAGGCTCCGGTAAAGCAATGGCGGTCAAAAGTGGAATCTGGGGTAGCATTCGTTCATTCTCCTTCCATTCGCTCAAAATACTTGAAGCGTTGCGAAATTTGGCAGGCGATAAGACAGTGATCGCTAGCAAGGTGAGAATATCTGCAATTTCCAAATTAATTCTTACAAAAGCTGACTTAATATCCTAGCTCCTCAACGAAAGTCGGCCCAATGACCTTCTTGGCATTGGCCAAATCATTACAGAGACGATAGACTTTGAGAGATCGGCCGAGCAACATCGTATCACCGTTAGACAGGGCGTAGACCCTGAGCTGGATGAAATGAAACGAACGTACGATGGCATAGAGAGTTTTCTTGCGGAAGTCAAGAGAAAAATTACTGATGACATACCTGAATGGGCCCGCCAATATGTTGAAAATTGCATATACTTTCCGCAGCTTGGTTTTTTGACGGTCGTACAGCTCGACCCCGATACAGGCGAAGGAAAATACAAAGGCGAGGGGACGGAAGATGATGAATGGACGCTGATTTTTGTTAGCGATGAGAAAATCTATTACAAGAACAGCCGTATGAGGGACATGGATGAGTGCATTGGTGATATGTATAGTACGATTGCAGGTAAGTTGTTGATTAGCCATTATTGTTAGCACGTACTTATTACTCCTGATCCACCAGGCAGGGAGATCGAAATCATACATGAACTTACTGTACGTGTACTGGAACAAGAAAAACTTCTCATTACCGTGTCAGATCGATGTGGTGAACTTGATAGCCTTGTTGCACTTGCTCTTGGGGCTATCAAATATCGTTTCAACCCTCCAACTATTACGCAAGCCAACGTAATCGATATTAAAGGCGGACGACATCCACTTCAAGAGCTTACAGTCCCATCCTACGTCGCAAATGACTGTTATCTTGCAGGTGGTTCAGGAAATGGGATTGGCCTTGACCAACAGTTTCCTTCAGATACCATCCAGGAGTCGAAAAATATCGAAGGTCCGAGTATGCTTCTTATGACGGGCCCAAACTATTCCGGAAAGAGCGTCTATCTCAAGCAAACCGCCCTGATTGTTTACTTGGCCCACATTGGCAGCTATGTCCCTGCTGATAGCGCAGTTGTAGGTCTTACGGATAAGATCTTAACGCGGATCACCACTCGCGAAAGTGTTTCCCGAAACCAGAGCGCATTCATGATTGATCTGCAACAGGTAGCCCTCTGTACAACCCTTGCAACTCACCGTAGCCTTGTGGTTATCGATGAGTTTGGTAAAGGCACTAATTCAACAGATGGAGCAAGCCTTGCTTGCGGCGTATTCGAATATTTCCTTGGGCTCGATTCTCATCGCCCAAAAGTACTCGGAGCAACCCATTTCCATGAAATTTTTGAGAATGGATTCTTGCCCCCAAGACCTGAGTTGGCCTTTGGACATATGGAGGTTCATGTCAATAAAGAAGCTGACCTAGCAGATGACCAAGTCACATACTTGTACAATTTTGTGTTGGGTAGAAGCACTTCAAGCTTTGGTACCTCTTGTGCTGCCATAAATGGAATCGATTCTGCTATCGTCGAAAGAGCCGAAGATTTAATATTACTAGCGGCTCGAGGAGAGGATCTAACGGAAGCTCTTGCCGCAAATATATCGAACAAGGATGCCCAAGACCTAGAGGATGCAGAAATTATTGGGAGACGCTTTTTGGAACAAAACTTTCCTATGCCAGGAGGGAGTACTACCTCCATCGACGTCCGAAGTATCCTTCGAAACATCTTAGATGTCGAAAGTGAGATTGAGATGTGAAACAAGGTTTCGAAAATTCGGATGTGCAGGACCTACCTATGTTGACCTTTCTTGCCAATGTTCGAAATTACGTTGATCAAAGTTGGTCGCTCCAAAATAGCTCTAAATTATGCAATTCTTGCTTTAGTCCTAACAAAACCACTAAACCCCGCAGAGAGTTACAATTTTTGTCTGATAGATGCAAGCTATGGTTCAATCTTCAGATTGATTTTGAGACACAATTATCTAACATTTCAAAGTCCAATATGTATGGATTGAGACATGGTGGGTGTCTATTAAAAGCCTTCAAGCACACTTGCTGCTCTTGCAGGGTTGAAATGAAGCATTGTCTTAGCATGTTATTTACTCTAGTACTAGGAAAATTTTTATTAATTCTTGGTCATCTTCATTCGATTAAACAGTCGATTGATTCTTTTAGTTCAGAAATTACGAATCTATATCCTTCAAAACAAGCTAGTCGACCGCCACAAACATGATACTCGTCTAGTTTCAGAACTAGCTTTTACGCCAGTGATACTGATACTCCGTGTCGTTTTCATCTATCTGAATTATGGTGAACGCGAACCCCGCTAAAGAAACAGAATTATGATGCACACGTTTGTAAATAAAGTCAGCAGAGACGAAGTCGTCTTTCTTCTTTTCGATGGGACGGGATTGAGATTTTGACGCGAATACACTAAGATTTCATGCAGGGCTCGAAAAAATAAGATCCCCACTCCTTTTTGGACATTGCAAAAATTGGATGAGGACAGAGAATTCCTCAAATAGGGTTTATTAAATGAAAAACTTGTTGACTGGCCGATGAAAGAGAGTTGGGCTTTGCTTCATTGCAGAGTCTGAGAGTAAAAGTACTCCTCATCGCGACTTGATCAGACCGTCTGTGCGAGACGTCAAGTAAGCAACGGCATCTATGACTAGCCGCAGTGCTGTAACTCCCGGCGTCTATTATTCTTTAGATAGTTACTAGCAGGGAAACTTTGATGCATATGCATAAACCTTCGCCAGCAGCTCGTTTTCTCTCATTGCGTAGACCCCCAAGAATAGAACATTCAATTAAGTTCAAAATGGGACGTGTGAGGAGGGGAAAGTCACATTAATTCAGATGTCTCTAGCTGATCAATGCTGCTTGTTGCGAATTATGTGGATATCTTCTGGTGGATATTTGAGTGTATGCTCTGTTTGGGGTAATGAAGTTGTCATTGCCGAGAACTTGGACAAGTTATAAGGCTGAGTGTCATCACTGTTGTCCTCATTCATTCTCATCATCATCATCCATTCATCCATTCAATTCCCAATTCGAAGCTGGTCTTTTCTAAAGCTGGACTTTTTCAAACCTAAGTTCTTAAAGCAGTTTCTTTATTTCCAAAATTGATCTTCTCCATAGTTGTCCTTTTCCAAGCCTGATCTTTGAGTCCAAACATATATATCTTCGCCATATTCAGTCTCCCGCAAGTCCAATATTGGCATCAAACTTCGCAATGCAGCTATCAAGCGCTTTCTTCTTGGCTCTTGCCGCCGCTACTGTCTCTGGCTCGGTGGTTAGTTCTCCCTTCTAGGATCTCACCCCAATCAACATCCCATCTAATACAACCCAGGGTACCTTGGGAAGCAAAAATGCTTTAGGAGCCGCCAGCGGAACAGGTGCAACTCCCGTTGTACGTGCCCGATTTGTACACGGTCCTTACCGACGCAAGAAGTCCTACGAGTCGACATATACAGAAGGAGCCGGAGCTGCTCAGGCTACTGGCGGAGCAAACTCTGGTGGAGGCTACAGTTCTGGCAGCGGTTCAGCCCAGCCCAGTGGTTCGGGAGGAGAGGCACCAGCTGAGAGTAGTGTGGCTTCACCCTCGGGATGGACGGGAGGATATGGAGGAAATGCCAGTACAACAGCAGAAGCTGGCTCTGCTATGCCGACTGGAACTGGGGATACTGGCAGCGGAGCCGCTTCCGCTTCGGGGGCTGGTGCTGCGTCTGCAACTTCCATTTCTCCAGGTTTGTCCTCCCCTGACCAGAAGTCTTGATGTCATCTCGCTAACTTGAAGACATTAGCTATTCCCACTGGTGGTGCCGCATCTCTATCTAATAACGGAGGCACAGTCGCTGTGGTTGGTCTCGGTGTCGCATTTGCTGTTTTTATGTAAAGGGCTTTGAAGTTCTGTAGTGGCGTGACCTTGTATACATTCAAGCCGGCATTGATATGGATGGAACTAGACTGAATGGCTTGGGTATACCTTCCTGATATATATAGGGCGGCGTACCGGCATTCATTGGGCCGGTGCATGGTTTTGGTATTTGTGACTTGAGCTGGTCTTTGGTGGCAGACGAAATGAAATAATCACTCGTTCTTACTTTTGATGTGTTTATCAGAAGACTATAAAATTGGTTGTTCTATTGTATGATGGGGAGGACCTATTTTGACCTGAAGATCCAGATAAGTTCGACTATGAGCAAAGATTTTGATCTGCTGATGTTTCTGTCATCGCTTGCCATTCTTGCCAGGGAGTGATTGGGACGGAAGATTTGTTCTATGTTTCGTTTTATTGGAGGAAGTAGTTTCTGTGGTTCTTTTCTTTTATTTATTGGGAACGTGGCAGAAGTGATAGAATGAAATACTCATTTCTGAAGGACAGCGTGTCCAAAGGGTCCTCTCTAATTCAATAGAGGAGACTCTTGGATCTATTGGCAATTTTGTTTACTTCGAACATTGTATCCATTTTAAATGTCAGTCTATTTGAAATACCAGATTCATTTTAGGCATCGAACCCACTTCAAATATTCAGCCTATTTCAAACATCGACTAAGATTGAAGGTACTTGAAATATCAAGTCTGGATTGAACTTTTAGGTACACCGCTCCAAGATTCGAAACGCCCAGGGAAATACGATGGCTACAACACTTGACATAGCGGATTGGTGCTCCATTCATTTCTTTTACCCTCGCAACCCGAATTTTATCCAAATGCTCAAGCTTGTCGACGGTAAAATATCCCTTCATATCAACGGTACTTGTCCACTGTGCAGATCAGAAAGAATGGGAAAAGTTCCAGGGGTGGGTGAATTGTAAATTATTTGAGAAAGAAGGAGGTCTCTGGATATCGAAAAAGTAAGATTAAAAATGGCTTGAGAGTGGATCCCACATTGGGAAGACGGGTAACGATGACTGTTCACCGGTCAGATAGTCATGACTCACCGGCCCGTATGTCGCTGAGTATGCATTTCCTTACACTGTAAAAGCAGTGAGTTTTACCGCGAGCGAGCAAAACAAGAGAAATATTATTGGAAGTTTTCCAGTGAGGGACAATGAGAGATATTGAAAGCTTTCCTTGGCACAATCATTTCGGCCGAAAATTCGCACAAGAAACTTTAGACTTCCTTCGGCAAACCATACCGGTTATGCATAATGACATTGAACACTTGTGCTGACGTGCGCTGAGATAGGACTTTAGCCTCTGCATTTTGTAAAATGGAAATGGCTACTGTTTCTCCAAAGACCCATGGCCGAGAGAACACGTTATCAGTGAGTATTTTGTTGCGTTGCAGTGGATGTGTTTATATGTTGCATTTCTCATCAATCGTTAGCCCGCAACACCCGCAGGGCAACGTGGAGAGATGATAAAGCAAAGTTGGAAAAATGATGACCAACCTGAGGTTGTTATAAGAATTTTCATGTCCACTTATAAAATGAAGGGGTCCCCGGTAAAAAGCTTGTTGGTATATCCGGGTCCTCGCTTGCGATTGGCTATAGTTTGTAGTAGCCTTGGATATATCCTTCCATTTTGAAATAAAAAACCCAATTCGGAATTAGGATTTAGGCTCGGGTTACTTGTGTAGGCTTAGGGTAGATGACGGCCGAGAGAATTTGGATGAAAAGAGTGACTCCTGCTCGATCCAGTTAATTCATCTGCCAATAATCTGATGAAAATTGAATGCGGAATTGTGTGATTTCTAATCTCATGCAGATCTTCAGCGCAAGACTTTCTACTCGTATAAAGAGAAGATAAGAACATCTATCTTATGGATTTTCGCTTGAGGATTTTCGCTTACTAGCTTTGTCTTAAGGTTATCACAGTCACCGCTTTCATCTCCCAACAAACGGGTAAGGTCGCTCCTTTTTTTCACACTAACTCGACTAGTGGCTGAGATTTCCACTAGAAAACGGGGAACTCTTTCATCATACATCAGGGCCACTGTGTCATGGTAGCTTGGGAGCTTATCGTCATCGCCCATGCGCTCAGCCTTCATCCTGAATCCACTCTTTCCATTCCTGAACGAGCCAGTCCACAATTCTGACTATTTAGTATTCTAGTACAAAGTACAAAATGAGGTACCTTATACATGTGAAGAATTCATACAAGGGTGGCAGGGGCTCTTAATCCTAAGGAAATCTGAATGAGGGTTAGGAAAATACTCGGGACTGCTTCGATACGCTCGTTGAATGACATAACCTTATAAGTTGTCTAACATTCCAGTCAAAATTCTAGAGTGCACTGTGTTTCCAGTTGAACAAGGCTCCAAGCGCCCCAGTCAGAAGCACCTGCACTCTCTTTGACCCCAATATTAAGCATCCCTGTCAGGATTGGCTGAGCTCTTTAGATGAATATGGCAATCTTAGATTCTGTGGGTATGATATTCCATTACCCAGGTTACACAATCTTTGTTATTTCTTTGATTGATAAGCTGGGCTACAGATCAGAAGCAAAAAATATGCAAACCCCCACCGCATCCAGGATCTGATACTATCCCCGCTGATCTCATACCACTGCACTTTTCCGTGGAGACTAAGCATGCATGTGGCCCGCTTGGTAGTGACAAGAATACCCCTAATTACCCTCCTCGAATAATTTTCTTTCGTCGATTTGTAATCTCTCTCAATATCTGAAGCTAACAGTTGACGCTAGCTCCCTAACGTACTTTCAGATGTATTTCTAAGCGCCCTTCTTTTTTTATTATATATCCTCAGCCTTTTCAAGTTTACATTTGCGTTTTGTAAACATTGCACCCCATCGCCCATCTTAGTCACGGCAATTTGCGTGCAACCACTTTCAAAATGTTTGATACACATGCTGAGAGGATGTACGCAGAGAGGGCGGCGGATGGTCGTGAAGGAGCTCAAATTCCATTGCATTCGGATAATTATCGCAGAGAAGCTGTTCCACCAGAAGAACGCTCGTCTTCCGGGGGGGAGGGAAATAACGATGGAACATGGGGAGAACATGATCAAGGCGGACCAGTCGATCGCTCAGCTGCTATGCAAGATTACGAACAACTGCGTCAGCAACTCACACATTTATCGAGAACTCGTTCACAGAAGAGTGCGGGTACTGCCCGAAGACCTTCGGCGCTGAAGAAAGTCGTGACTAACGCTAGTCGACGCTCACGAACGACTGCCGGTGAGGATATAGAGGCGCAAGAAGGGGAAGGAAAGCTCGAAGAAGAAGAAAAGCTCGAAGAAAATGAAGACACCGCGGCTGAGGAGGAGGATGAGGACGAATTCGTACTGGGTGACTTCCTCAAGGATGGCCATTTTGAGAAACGAAACACGAGGGGAAGTGCTAAAAAGGTTGGTGTGATATACAAGAATTTGACTGTACAGGGGGTTGGAGCAACTACAACTTATGTCAAGACTCTCCCGTCTGCTATCATGGGTGTAAGTAATTGTCTGTTCCAAAGTCACACAATGTCCTAGGCTAATCCGTACAATGTAGACTTTCGGACCCGACTTATACAAGCTCCTAGCCCGATTTATCCCTGCACTGCCTAAACCTGGAGCTCATGGCCAGAAACGCGATTTAATCCACGATTTTACCGGCTGTGTACGGGATGGAGAGATGCTTCTGGTCTTGGGTAGACCTGGTTCTGGATGCAGCACATTCCTCAAGGCTATTTCGAACAAGAGGGGTGATTACGCTGCTGTCCACGGAGAAGTCTCATATGGAGGTATTTCTGCTGAAGAACAAGCAAAGCACTATCGAGGAGAGGTCAATTACAACGAAGAAGACGATCAGCACTTTCCGAGTCTTACGGTTGAACAAACTTTGGATTTTTCACTCCTAAACAAGACAAAAAAGCATGAAAAGGGAGATATCCCCACGATAATTACAGCGCTCCTGAAGATGTTTGGTATTTCTCACACGCGTCATACCCTAGTTGGAGATGTGAGTTCTCACCTCTTTCCATTTGTGACTGCAGGAAATAGCATCTAACACATCTTTGTAGGCATTCGTTCGAGGTGTTTCTGGTGGTGAACGGAAGCGAGTTTCCATTGCGGAGACACTTGCTACCAAGAGCACAGTCGTTTCTTGGGACAATTCTACTCGTGGACTTGATGCGTCGACTGCATTAGACTATGCCAATTCCCTAAGAGTAATGACCGATATCAGCAACAGAACAACTCTTGTCACACTCTATCAAGCCGGAGAGCAGATATACGAGCTCATGGATAAGGTGCTAGTGATTGATGAGGGAAGAATGGTATATTCAGGACCGGCAGGTGACGCCAAGAACTACTTTGAAAGAATAGGATATTATTGCCCGCCGAGACAGACTACCGCAGATTTCCTGACGGCTTGCACGGATCCAGCCGAACGCCGGTTTCAGAAAGATTTCAGGGGTCCTATCCCAAAAGGCCCTATTGAGCTTGAAAAAGCATTCAGAGAAAGTGAAGATTACAAGCTACTTCTAGAAGATGTTGGATCTTATGAAAGGATGCTACATGAAACCGACCACGCGGATGCACGACAATTTAAGGCCTCCGTGGAAGAGACAAAATCCAAGACTGTTGGTACCCGATCACCTTACACAGTCTCTTTCTTTCGTCAAGTCCTTGCTTGCACAAAGCGCGAAATTCAATTGACTCTTGGAGACAAGACAACTCTATATACCAAATTCTTTATTATCATTTCCAACAGTTTAATTGTCGGTTCCTTATTTCACGGACAAGCATCCAACACACTCGGAAACTTCTCTCGTGGCGGTACTCTATTTTTCTCTATTCTCTTCTTGGGATGGCTTCAACTATCTGAACTCATGAAGGCTGTCGGTGGTAGACCTATCATCGCCAGACACAAAGATTATGCTTTCTACCGTCCATCAGCCGTTGTAGTTGCTCGAGTCGTTCAAGATTTCCCGCTACTACTGGTACAGGTTGTCCCGTTTTCTATTGTAGTGGTATGTATATGGTCATTCGTAGCTGTATGGAGAGTATACTAACAATCATAGTACTTCATCACTGGACTTGACGTAGATGCTGGAAAATACTTTATCTATGTTCTGTTCATTTACCTTACGACACTTTGCATCACTTCTTTATATCGCATGTTTGCCGCACTCTCGCCATCGATTGATGATGCTGTTAGGTTTTCGGGTATTGGACTGAATCTTTTGATGTAAGTCGCACTCATGATTTTCAGATGACCCCTGTTGACAACTTAAAGTATTTACACCGGATACGTAATTCCTAAACCACAATTAGTATCTGACTATATTTGGTTTGGATGGCTTTACTATATCAATCCTCTATCATACTCATTTGAAGCTGTCATATCAGACGAATTCTACAACAAGAATATTCCTTGCGCCCCGGAACAAACTGTGCCCAGTGGTCCAGGCTATACGAATCCCGAATTTCAGGGCTGTGCCTCTACCGGCGCTGAGGTCGGAAGCTTGAGTGTTTCAGGATCTAGATATCTTCAAGAAAGTTTCGATTACACAAGGTCGCATCTTTGGAGAAATTTTGGTGTCGGTCAGTATTAGTAATCCTTCGTTTAACGTTCCGTACGTTCCGGTATCTAACGCGTTCCAGTTATTGCTTGGACTGTCCTCTATATCCTCGTCACTGCTATTGCCACTGAAGTTTTTGATTTCACTGCTGGTGGTGGTGGTGCACTCGAATTCAAGCGTTCTAAGGCTGCGAAGAACAAGGTCAAAGCAGAAAATGCTACACCCGACGAAGAAAACTCCCCGTCTTCCAGTCAGCTTCCCACAAGCGGCGCCTCTTCCAGTGACACGTTAGAGCCACCTCAAGCGGAAACACTCAAAGACATCTCTGGCTCGGAAAGCGTGTTCACATGGGAGAATGTTGAGTACACTGTACCATATCTTGGCGGTGAACGCAAGATTCTCAACAAGGTCAATGGATATGCAAAACCTGGGCTCATGGTGGCACTAATGGGAGCCAGTGGAGCTGGAAAAACTACCCTGCTGAACACCCTTTCTCAGCGCCAGAAGACTGGTGTAGTGACTGGAGATATGTTGGTTGATGGACGACCATTGGGTACTGAATTTCAGAGGGGTACTGGATTCTGTGAGCAAATGGATCTTCATGATGGCACGGCTACCGTTCGAGAAGCCCTTGAATTCTCTGCTATTCTTCGACAAGAACATACAGTTCCAAAAGCCGAGAAGATTGAATACGTAGATAAGATTATTGATCTTCTCGAGCTACGGGATATGCAAGATGCTTTGGTCAGATCTTTGGGCGTGGAACAGAGAAAGAGAGTTACGATTGGTGTTGAACTAGCAGCAAAGCCTAACCTCCTACTCTTTTTGGATGAGCCTACTTCTGGACTCGACTCCCAATCTGCTTATTCCATTGTTCGATTTTTGAAGAAGCTTTCTGCAGCTGGTCAAGCAATCGTCTGTACTATCCATCAGCCTTCCTCGGTCCTCATTCAAGAATTCGATATGATTTTAGCCTTGAATCCAGGCGGAAACACTTTCTACTTTGGGCCCGTTGGCGAAAATGGTTCTGCAGTGGTGAAGTACTTTGCCGATCGTGGTGTGCACTGCCCTCCACAAAAGAACGTCGCAGAATTTATCCTCGAAACCGCCGCCAAGGGTGGAAAGCGCCGTGATGGCAAGAGACTCAACTGGAACGAAGAATGGCTTAATTCCGAAGAAAATAAACATGTTATGCAGGAGATTCAACGCATCAAGTCTGAACGTAGCAAAATTCCAGCTCCAGAGGCTAGTTCCCAACGTGAATTTGCTTCTCCGGTTACACTTCAAACAATTGAATTGACTAAACGTCTTTTTACTCAATATTGGCGTGATCCATCATATCTCTATGGCAAGCTTTTCACATCTGTTATCATTGGTATCTTCAACGGCTTCACATTTTGGCAATTGGGCTATGGTATCATTGATATGCAGAATCGAATGTTCTCCTCATTCTTGATTATCCTCATTCCTCCCACGATCGTCAATGGTGTTGTACCTAAATTCTATCAGAATCGCGCACTTTGGGAAGCCCGAGAACTCCCTTCGAGAATTTATGGTTGGGTTGCATTCTGCACTGCGAATATCGTCGCCGAGATACCAATTGCTATTGTCGGAGCAGTGATTTATTGGGTTTTATGGTATTGGCCTACTGGTTCGCCAGGCGACTCTTCCACTTCGGGTTATGTATTCCTCATGACACTACTTTTCGTAAGCTCCCCTCTTTGTAGCTGATCTCTCTATCAAAATTACTAACGCCTTCACAGTTCCTCTTTCAAGCCTCCTGGGGTCAATGGATCTGCGCCTTCGCACCCTCCTTCACCGTTATCTCAAACGTCCTCCCCTTCTTCTTCGTAATGTTCGGTCTCTTCAACGGTGTTGTCCGTCAATACTCTCAGATGTCCGTCTTCTGGCGCTACTGGCTTTACTATGTTAATCCAGCCACATATTGGATCGGCGGCGTTATCTCTGCTACCCTCTCCAATGTCTCAGTCGAATGCGCCTCCAGCGAAGCTGCTTATTTCAATCCTCCATCGGGCCAAACTTGTTCCTCGTATGCTAGTAACTTTGTTACTTCGGCCGGAAAAGGATATTTGACGAACCCAGACGCCACGGCGAATTGTGGATATTGTCCATATGCCAATGGAGAAGAATACATGGCGACGTTAAATGTTAAACCGAGTGATAAATGGAGGTATTTTGGAATTTTCTTGGGATTCTGTATTAGTAATTGGGCGTTGGTTTATTTCTTCATCTACACGGTGAGGATTCGAGGATGGAGTTTTGGATTTGCAAGTTTGTTTGGAGGATTGGGGAAGATGATCGGGAAGGTCAAGAGTGTGTTTAAAGGGAAGGAGAAGAAGAGCCAATGACTGAGGCCAGGCATTTGGCAATTGATTGGTTTTAGAGGATGAAAAAGAGGCATGACATACCAGAGAGATGTTCATATGATTTGATCGAGTTGGATTTTGGGTTTAGTATTGGTTCATATATTACGACATATGGGGGTTTATCAAAAATACCCAGGTATGAATGCATTAGAGCGGTAACATTTAAGGAGTATCATGATAGATAATGATTAGTTTAATAATGATGGAGGGATACATACTTTAATGATACACTTTCATCTTCTATTTCGTTCATAGCCCGACACTACCAAGTTTAACACTGATTGTAATCGTTTTGTTCTGCGAAACCACACGAGAAGGAATAACCGCATATATTGGATGGCAATTTATTGGGCGCAGGATGCAAGATCTCTACTTCAGAGCCAAGGATAGATATTCTAGGAATGAATGCTTTAAATATAAAAAATGGTAGAAGATATACACACATAAGAGATCAAACCCGACCACATAACCTTAATTGCCTCCAAACCAACCAGAGCGCAACCACCACGCGAATATCCTCATTTCATTCATTTCATCTATCTTATCCCCTCAATACTTAAAACTTAAAACAAACCCCCATCTCAATCCATAGACTCAAAATCTCATCCAATATCTCATCCCCAAACTCCAACTCTTCATTCCTATCGACATCAACCACTCCACACTATGATCTAGATAGACACTTCAGAAATACCCATTCAAACACCGGCACAATAAATACCTAGGTAGTAAGCACTCTTATAAAACATACCTATCTTCCCTCCATCCACACTTTCCAGAGAATGAAACTTTGAGAATCTCATCTCGCACATGTAAATTGGCCTATAACCCATATCCCAATCCTCCACAAGACCTAGCACCCGCACCCACCCATAATAGGATATCATCTACCCATCTCAAAAAAGACAAAAAGAAAACCCCCAAAAAATTCAGATCATACATATATAATATATACTATATAACTCCCCTAAGCATCCATCCATTCCATCACCCATCCCACAAAAGTCAAAAAACTAAACCCCCTCCAAAAAATCCTCTCCAAAAATACCCAAAAAAAAAAAGTAAACGAAGGGAATTGAGCCCAACGGGGGGGTCGAACCCCCAACCTTGTGATTAAGAGTCACACGCTCTACCGATTGAGCTAGCCGGGCAGGCTATTTACAATGCTGTTGCTTTAATTGTTGAAAATTTCGTTTCAATTTGTCCTATATTACTAGTTAAACGTGGAGCGGGTAGAGAAAATTCTTTAAAGAGTTTGAGGCTAAGCGAGGGGGGTTGTGGAGTTCGTTTGTGGGGGTGCTAGTTAAGCGTGCTACTATGACATGATGAAATCACCATTTGGAGAATATTGGAATGGTAATATTTTCGTTTTGGTTGCAGGTATTGGATGAGGTAAGGTGGATTTCATGTGTGTATAGGTATTCTACTCTATCAAGTTTCAACTGTAGTTCCCAGTTCCCTCTACCATTCCATTCGTTCATCCCCGCGAGGTATGAGGTATGAGGTGATGTATTACCCCCCCTTTACTATTATTCAACCACAAATTCACTCATCGCCCATCACTGGGGTACCCTGATTCCATGAAGTCCTTATTCTCGTCCCATATTACTCTTTTAACAACACAAGTACCAGCACCTCTCTTTTGAAAAGAAAATCATAATGCAATTGCTTTCCGTTCATAAAACCATACTCTTGCCGCTCAAACGCCACGCTTCTCACTAATGTCCTTATCCCAAGTAAGCAATCGCAGAATAGAAGAAAGGAAAGCGATTCAATGTTTTTCAAAAACACTCTAGAGCATTGTTAATCTTTTGTACTCGTATGTGACAATATGCACAAATCAAGCCGTCGGGTCACTTTCCGGCAACTGTTCCTCATTTAGACGAGGTAATCCTTCCACGGGTATTTCTACACCCTTCACCGGATGTAATAACATAGGCGGTAAGCACATTCGACCTTCTCCGCCTCTCATGTCATTGACATGTTGCCCACTTCTGCCTTCATTAACAGTTGTTTCAAATTCTTCCCCTCCTTCATTATCAACCTTGAAACCGAGCCATCTTCGCCATAAATTGGGTGCAAATCCAGTGTTGTAGAACCAAGTCATTCCACGAAGGTTGTGTTCTCGGTCGCCAAATACGGAGGTTCGTGCTCCACCGGTGGCACCATTCCTGCCTCCATTCATAATGCTTGCAAGGTACTCGGTTGGCCATTCACGATCAACAAACATTGGGTGAGGCACAGAGACAGCTTTGTAACCGTGATGTAACGCAGTCGTTGGAGCCCACATTTCCGTAAAAGCATGATGCTTCATAAATGTGGTTTCACGATGCATAGTATTAAGTAGTTTGCGAGACATCCTCGCAGCTGCAATGATAGTCGCTCGGCGAGGTGGTAAACCTCCAGTGAGATTATAGCCTGTGACATCTTCTGCAAGAATCCAGGTAGTCCCATCCGGATCAAAAAGTGGGTTAAATACAATAAGGTCAGCATCTTCACCAACACCCCACGTATACTTGTCCTTGTCGTAGCTAGTAGGAGGCACGGGATCATTCTCAGTCTCAAACCAGTCATCCTGATTTGAAGGACGCTCGGGTCCCCAGATTGGCTTCTCGCCTTTGCGCACCGGTCCGCTCTTCTCGCCCTTTTGATTTCCGATGCCTGACCACATATTGTTTGGATTATCGGTCCCAATCTCGGTTTGTACACGAACCATTTGTTTGAAATCTTCCCATGTGCCATGAACCTCTGGGACGTAGTATCTACTATTACGCTCCCAAAGTCCTTTCCGAGGCTGCTCCTTTGTCCAAGCATCAATTTTTGATAGAAAGTGATACCAGTGGCCAGTATATCGAATATCAACTTCCCATTCCCAGAAAAAATCATATTCCTGATGATTATGAGCAAACCATTGCATCGCCATTTGAAGTCCCCGATAAGATCCATGAACCGGTAGACCACGAATAAATGTGTCAAACAAGCCTTGGTAGAGCATAAGCATTTGAGTCTCACTCCAGAATGTTGCAATCCCAGCGAATTCTTCAGGTAGACAATCTTTTAAATGCTGTTGATATGTTTCTTCATCCGCGAAGACGGGATGCACGGCAGAGTCCTTGACTTGAACCAAGAGATGAACATCGTATTGGCCGCCTGAACCAATAGAAACCTCGGATATCAATGCTCTCAGTGCCATAATGTCCTCCTCTCGCCACATATATTCATCCCAGAGTCGAATGACAAATGCAGTTCGTGGGAGATGTTTTTTGGCTGGTGTTGCGACGACCTTAGAGGTGGTATCGACTGCGCTTAAGGTGGTGTTGGAAACGGATTCGACCAACCCATCCCTTTTCAGTAGAGCACCATCTTTCTGTTCAGTAAGAGTTGAAAAGGTAGTGGGCTTCTTTACGACCGGCTCAAATGGTTGAAAGCGTGCCGCATTCCTTTGATAGCATCTCCTCTGAGCATCCGCCCAATCAACCTTTCTGTAGTCGACCTGACCAGAATGCATCTTCTCAGCGTTTGAATTATCTGCCCAGACAGCGTCGGAGCCTTCCATCTCTCCATGCTGGCCCGTTCCAGTTCCCCCATATCTCAAACCATATCCATAACCGTAAGGTCCTAATCTGCCATATCGCTCGAAACAAATATCTTCTGGTAAGCCGAGAACTTCATAAGAACCCATGATATGGTTTGGGAACCCGCTTGGCCTGCCTTCGTAATATTGTAGTCGTGGCGCACGAACAGTATTCTCGCGATCGAGGAAGCACTCCTGGACGGGCGCATAGTCGTCGTTAAAAACACCGGATGTTATGTCAGTATATGGCTGGAATGGTTTACTAGCCGGAAGACTGCGCGCAGGTGTAGCCATCTCCTCAATTGAGGTCTTATTCTGCAGAGGCAATTCATCCTCCTCACGAGGATACTCTGGTTTATTCTCAGAAAGCGGGACCAATGTCCTTATTCCACCGTAGTATCGCGATAAAAATGGGAATGATTCCCAAAGCGGAGGAGGTGGTGGTGCTGATGCATGACCATCTTGGACTTTTTGCGTTGATATATGGCTCATTCGCACCAGACTCAGCATAAATATAACAATGGTAGATATCATGGCTAAACACAGATATCTCATAACCTTAGGAGGTAATCTTTTTGGAGCTGGTCGTGGTGTACCTGTATTTGCTCTTTTCCGCAGTATCGGAGCATTGGAATGGTATGAATTCGAAGTTTCTCTTGAAGAGGAGGGCGATGATGGATAGGAGGAACAGTCCGTATCTTCTTCATCGGATTCGTCGTGGTGCCCATACTTCTCAGCATCATAGTCTCGAGGCGGCTCTTCTTGGGCAGGAGGTATGCCTGAATATTGCGTATGTCGTTTGGTAGCCTTAGGAGGATTAAAGGATTTGAAGCCCGCCATTATGGCTCTGGCCAATATTACAATTGAAGAAACTCGATGGGATGTGTTCAATTTGTTACCGCGAAACTAAATATTATGTCTATTCAGCAGTATAATTGATCAGTAACATTTCATGCTTGCGTATGCTTGCCCGAAATATTTACTCACTCATTGAAGGTTATCTCATGAAGCGATTGTGGGAGATTGAGATGCTTTTGTTCAGGAATCGACGAAAATATAGAGGAGATGTTGAGGTTTGGTTGAAGTTGTAAATACAGTATGATGTACTGTTGTATGTTCTATTTTGAACATACTGGCAGCATAAGATAAATTACATAATATTGCACAGAATAATGATAGCGGTATCAAAACTTGAAAAAGTTCCGTTGCACGGCAACCAATTCCGATTATCCTCGCTGGTCCATGAAATATGGATAAATCAAGAAAGCTTCACAGCCTTCGCCCCAGCCTTGCATTTAGCTTTAATGGCTAATGTATGTTAGTGCAGCATCATTACCGGATAATGAGGATACAAATCTTCAAGACAACCATTTAGCGAATGAATGGTCGGTTTCGAGAAAATATATAAATAATCAGATCACCAACCTCAAAGAGCCAAATAAAAGTTAGGGTTTGTATTGAAAGGGAACAATGAGTCCCGGAGGAGGGCCTGGCATATATTCATCATTCAGTTTTTATGAATCCAATCTCACCATCCGTTTGATTGTTACGCTTCTTCAGTTGAGCCTAAATTCACGCGGCATCCAACAGTTCCTGAGGAAAATTCATCGCTCGACATGATTCCGTCTGTAGAACTCCAGGAAGACTCGAATGTAAAGGGAACTTCGGGATATTTAAAACTAGGTCAGTCGTACATTTGTTTGTAGACTGGTTCCTATTTACTATCCACCCAACAGTGGATGAAATACTCGACCGATTGTCATTGATTGTACTAGAACATTTGCGGTGGCCGTTGATCTTTCAACCTTTACGATAGTGCATCGCCCAAGATCTGGAACCTCTGACTCTGCCCAATTTACTGAGATAATGCTACGGTGTAGTAGTGGCGAGAACTGTATATACACTACGCTTACCGTAAAAATGCGGCGATGATCCGACCAAAAAGATGGAGCCGATGGTAAGAGCTTCTTCCAGATGCTTTTGTTTTTGGATTCCGAGCCTGTCAATGTCTCTGTCTCAGTTCCATCGGATGGCAGCCTACTCCGCATTACTGCTAGAGAAGAAACAGAGAGCGTCCAGAAGCAACCACGCCGATAAGCTCGTACAATTTACTTCCACTATCGTATATGAAGTGACCATTCCTTCTGACGTGTCCATCTGTTCTCCGTAATTTTATGTTGGATTAAATGTTGTGCGACGTGGAATCCTCGGTAACATCAAAATGGCGGTACGATGCTGCTGCTACTGTACATACTTTCAACTTGAATGATAATTTTGAATTTGAGGATGGCAGCTGAGACGAGGAGTTTTATCTTTTCCCCAAAAGCTCTTTTGGGGTCATGGGTGTGCATTTTGACTTTTTGAGCATTCCCCACATCAATCTAGTCCCAACTTTTAGTAAATCGATATTGAGGGGAAGGCCGTATGGAGGTCTTTTTCGCTACCCCTATAATCCAGACTTCGCAACTAGCTAGCCATCCCCGGTTCTGAATTCCAAGCATCTTATCGACGATACCGGTCTGAAGGAAGAAGTATGCAGATATATCCACCTGACTATAAAATTCAGGGTCCAAAACACTTTGAATTAAGAAGACTCCAAGTGAAACCGGGAGGATGGTTCCATTATTCCCACTGGCTAGGTATACCAGCATTAAAACTTCCATATTGAGTCATGCAAGCCGTGCATAAGCGCATTCATTATCTTGGGATTTGCTCAGCTGATTTACCAAAACCTGAGCCCTCGGAAAATCTCCAAGGCATGAATAGCCACATATATCCGGGGTAAATTAATTAGTATAAAAATCGAAAGCGTTATTTTCGGTAATCGAAGTGGACGACAATATCAAGAAGAGATAGTATAAGTCATAGCTAATAATGATATATTCCCAAGTAGACTTGTTGATCTGATATTAGGATTCAGTTGTCATTTATTGCCTATTGAATATACTATTGTAAATGGATAATGATAAGCGAAACTACCCGAATGTAGAACCTCATATTCGCTAGCTTACTTCTTATTAACTAAAATCTCCATCTCCAGATTACACGAAACGAAATGGCACCAATTTTACATGAATACGATTCAGTAACTCTTTGAAGCAAAGCCTTTCTATCTAAGCTGTGGCGAATGTTCCCCCATGGCGCACATTGAAGCAACCATTCAGAGAGTGCATGAGGTAAGGAAACTCCGTTCCACGTCAACTGATATGATGATCTTGGTGTCCCAATCAAATCATGTCTGTGTTACAAGCTCGTGACAAGCATCATTGCAGATGGCGGTCAAATTCAATATGTTGATGCAGGAACAACACTTTCCCTCTGACTTCATATGAATTAATATTTTGTTGGGTTCCATCGGGATTGCATCGAATTGCATCAATGAGATAACATTTGCATGTTCTTTCTAATCAATGAGCTCACGTCAATTAGGAATCATGGCAATACTTCTGGCATCTACAATTACAGTCACCTATCAATGCAAACAAACCGTTGTATCAAAACCGGTACCAGTGCGTGCTATTCCATTAGTTTTTGACTCTCAAGGGGTTATCTCCAAGACAATGTGGGCCCCTAAATAAATAAATCCATCTTTCAACGTCAGCTCTTCTTGGTAGCCACTACTGCAATACATTCCATACCGCTGCAACTGCATTTTTTGATGCTATGTATCTACGAGACACTTTCATACTTTTTCATACTTCGCCCAACGCTTTCAGGTTTAAATCAAACTCTCTCTAGTGGGAAAGTACTTCTCACTATCACTTCTCACTATCACTTATCACTATCCACTTCATATCTCTTTACGCTCTTATAATTATCAAACCTTTTTTTCTCCCCTCCTTTATCCTTTCACATACCGAGTAATCAACCTCTTATTTTCATAAACCTCAAATATACTTTTATTATTAGCTCTACATAAAGTGTTGAAAGTTACAATCCGCAGCAAACCCAAACCAAGGCTAAGATCAGGAGACCAGGAAGCAATGCAATGTTGATGCCGGTCTGACGTTGATTGATAGGTCATTTGAAAGACCTGATAATGAACAGACAGAACATTCCCAACTTTAAATAAGAACCATATCACCACTTCAAAATCAAAAAGTAATAAATTCTTTCAATCCTCAAGAACACTTCGAATTAAAAATACACCCTCTCCATCAACATATTGATAATTTCGTTGAGCACTTCCACATTTCTCTTGAATTATCCAACAATATTCTTCCGAACTCCTACTCATCGATTGTCAACACCAACTCCAGTATCATCAACTTCATTCCAACTACCCTCACGAGATCACCCACGAAATCATTCACCTCATTTCTGCTGTTCCACACGTGATTATTAGATCGCATCTCCTCTACTTTATTACTTCCGCATAGCATTGCTGCTACTGTCTTTTTCGAAACTTAGAGCTTTATTTATGGTTAGTTCTTTCCTCACGGTTACCAAATATTTACTAATTATATTCAGACCATGAATGGCTCTGCCACAACCACCGAGGCCGCTGTAGCCATCCGAGAACATCATCCTATACACGATGTCCTAGAAATACCAATGGGTCTTACACAACAAGACATCATTCAGATCACTCTTACTGGACCAGGTCTCATCCTCACCATCCTAGGTATCATCATCAGCATCAACCTTTTCCAGCCATCCCTAACCTGCACCCTCATCGCTTTGGCACCGATACCATGGATCATCTACAACGATTACCACAACTTCATATCCTTAGGTCCAGGAGGAACTCCCTCTACTCTACTTGGATACGTCAAAATCACCTATCTCCGCATCTTTGCTCTTTCCGACCCTTACAGCCCGCCAAATGCCTCTGATGATACAAATCCCACGATCGGCTACATTCAACGCGCTCGTCCTCACCTTCCCAGCCGCAATGGTCCACGTCCCAAAGTCGCCGGTATCGCTCCTCAGAGACAAATAAGCCAATATGGTTCTCGAGCCATGTACCGACTTCTCCGCACCAGCCTCAACAATCTCGCACATCGTCACTCCGACAAATTGAAGACAGACGTATCATGTTTTGAAAAGAAAGGACTTGCACTCTTCGCTCTCGATCCCATCAACGCCACCTGCAAGGGAGAAATCTGTCATGTGCATCATAGCGACAATAGTTTCCACATGAACCTTCACCCCCACGATGCCAAAGTTATCCTGGAAAAGGGTTGGGGAGAAAGACATCCGATGGCTGGTGCTTCGACACCAAAAGCCATTTCGAATTTCCTGTCTTATCTTCCAAAATCTATATCTGCGTGGTTGTCACCAAGAGTTGTCCCCGATCAATTCGTTCTGATATATGCACCGAGGAATAGAGAGGAGCTACAAGTTGTATGCCACATCATCGAGGCGGCTACTTTTTGGGTCAGTGGCGAGCAACTAACGCTTCCTATTGAGAGTGTCCCGTTGGGCGAGGAACCTGTAGGTGCTTAATGCGCTTTGCCTGAGAGTTGGTTTGGAGAATAAAATTACGATTACAATGGGGAATAGGGTGGAGGTAGACTAAATGAAATGGCAGTCCGGTAGGAAAGAAATGATGCTTAGGTATATGGACTGCACGAAAGGAAATTGGTAGAATTAACGCGGGAGTATGGGGTCAAAGTCGCTGTTTTTGCATACATCAGGAAATACCCTTAAATTGTATTCCCTCGCGTTGACTGGTAGCTTACTCTATTGCTATCAATGCACCATACTAGCTGCTAGCTCATCATTTAGAATGGTACTATATCAACATCGCGTGGTGTCAATTTTTCTATAAAGCGGTGATTCAATTTCTGGTATGTAATTTAAATTGGTATAAAAACTGTAAAGAAATCCTAAATCCCAAATTCAATGCTTAAGGAGTGAGTGTATATCATCATCCATCTTTGCACAACTCACGCTCACGCTCACGCTCAAAACGCATCCTCAAATATCGATGACCCAATATGACAAAAGGAAAATAGGTAAGTAGGCGGCCGGTAGAGAAGTAGTAGGTCCAAATTTAAGACCTCCGTGCATCACATTCTTCAAGGAACTTGTATATTCCTTCTAGGCCCTCATACTCCTCCGATACAGATTCATGTTCGCTGATTTTTGTAAAATATGCCGAACCGCTTTCGCTGATATCTTCTTCCATTGTTCCATAATCTTCAATCCAGGGATTTTCAGAGAATTCTTCCAGAATATCTTCATATTCATCCTGGTCGGGTGAAGGGGAACTAGTTTGTAGACAATGGGATTGAGGGTGCGAGGGCGATTCTGCTTCGGTAGGGGCGAAAGGAAATAGAAGAGCCATCTGTGTTCCAATGGCGTCATCAAAATCGGCATCTTGATATATGATTCCTCGTTGCACGCCGACTTCGTCGCAGAGGCGTTCTACAGATTCGGCATCGCAGCCAGGAAACCGGACACGCAGGGTGTGATTGTTTTCAAGGGTTATCGGAAGATCGCCAAGAGAGGACAGTTTTTTAAGGTCGTTCATTGTTGCCGCGAGATCTTTTAGAGCACGGGAGAAATCGACGGAGAGAATGTCGAGGAAGCCAGATGTGTTGAGGGATGGAGCAGCTTGTGACATCTTTTGAGTCCCGAAGGGAAGGGCCGCGGCGAGAGGGGATAGAGCAGTGACAGTTGGGTTAACAGAGAAATCGATATATGAGCCTGGTGTAACTTTGGAAACAGATTGGATCTTGCGGGCTGTTTCTTCTTGAAGCGAAGAAACCGCTCGATAGCGTTTCTCGCCCATGAGAGTCATACCATCGAATTGAGCCTTTTGACCAGAAAGGAAGAATGCTCGCACAGCTTGTGAGACATTGTTAATGACTTGAGCTGGGGCAGCAGGTGTATGGGAAAAGTATCGAGCACCTGCTCTTCCACCGCCTATTGTATAGCCTCCTGCTGTTCTAGGGAGAGCTCCACCAGTTAAGTTTGGTCGGAGAGTTGAGGCAAATGGAGCTCGTGCTGTAAGACGTGATACAGCAGTTGCAGTGTTTGATTTTGGGAATGAAGCACGGTCATATTTAGTGGCTTGTCCGCTGGTGCTCATAAAACGACGTACAGCGGAATTGACGGCACTTTGGGTTGTATACCATCGTCCCTTGTTCTGACGGAGGAGGGCCGCTGGATGAATGGGGTGACGAGGTGAGCTTCTTACGAAAATTGGTTGAAGTTCTGCTGTGACAGGTTTGTTGGTAACATCTTTGAGTCGTAATTTAATGAGTTTCGTAGTTCGTTGAACTACATTCCTGTAATGGATGTTAGAATACTATATTGCATTGACGACAAGGGGGTACATTGGAATTTCCCGTGAAGAAGGTTGAATTTGGGAGTAACTTACTTTAGCATCCTCACGGCTACAGGTGCCCAGATGCCTCCGGACGACGCCATGATGAATACTGATTTATGAAGTTATTTACACTTTTTGATTGTTGTAAATGGGAATTGGTTCGTACCTTGAAGTCGAGACGGATCTTATCGGGAATGTTATCGCCACTGCCCAGCCACACCAGTCATTGCGTGGCTTAGAGGCTAACTAATTTCAGTTTTAGCGCCATGTGCGCGCTAGTGATTAGCGCGAGATAAATTTTTAATCTCGAGCTTTAAAACTTTTCTTCCTCAGTTTCTCTCTTCCAATTGTAACTATCCAGCATTTGCAACCCAAACATTATCTTCACTTTCTCGTGAACTTGTTTTCTGTTTTCATGACGGATTAATTTCTTTTTTATGGTAAGAGATCTCTTCTTCTTGTCAGCTACAATTGCCTCAATGATGAACACAAACACATATTGAACAATCCAACTCTTACACCACAATGGAGATTTGTATTTTCTATCTGAGCAATCTTGATTTAATCATTCAATTCGAATGCGATGTGGTTGAGCAGACAGCTAACTTCCATCTCAGACATATTCATTCGCTGTTTTAATTCTTCCCGCTATTCGCACAAATTTTAATTCAAAAGGTTCGTACATTCGCATTATCCTCTCTTCTTTCTATATACACCGTTGGGGGTGATGATGAAAACACATTGGAAAGGCATTCCTCAATCCGAATTATACTGTCGAATCTTTGCATTTAAGTTTCAGCCTTGTCTGACCCATCGTCCATTACTACTTATCATTGAAACATCTTTTCTGTGCCAAAGCTAACCACATATTGGCAATAGGTACATACACTTCCTCTTAGCATCAATTTACTTGCATTACATGACGAACTTTGAACGAACGGGCGGACAGACTGCGCACTCCTGCTCCTATCTCTCATTAAAGCAAGGCGTACAAACCTTGTGAGGGGTAGACGGTTAGGAAGTGCTTGTTGAGAACTCGTCAGCTGATCTAATGCTCAATTGCTTCTGGATCATTTTGATATGCCGCTCGAAATAGAAACATTGATGCTAACTATCTTTCTTCTAGGTAAATATTGCAATTTTCTCTCCGATCGTTACAAAGGGCCACTGCATTGAAATGATGAAACTTATTCACACTGTTTGAAGTGGACTATGTCCGCTACTGAACGCACTATAAAAATCTGATTTAATGAGGTATGCTTTACTCTGGTATGACATCGAAGACCAACACTAACAATACTATAGCCTGACATTTGCCTTATGGTTCCTTACATTTTGATTACATCAAAACGATGTTCGATTATGGATGACAAGCGCTGACAAACATCATTTCGGACACAGAAAAACCATTATTCTGAAGCTATTGGTAAAGTTGTGTAAAACGAAATGTAAGCTACTTCTTTTCATTCACCTCCACACTCTTTGCTCTGATGAACCCAAATATTCGCTGTGTTCTTTCCGAGTCAACCTTTGACGAAACACATATTTCACCTTGGAGAACTGAGATAGTACCCATGTTATTCATATTCAACCTTCTGTCAACGATAGTTAGAACATGAAACTAACTTGCACAGACATTTTGAAATTCGGAATCGAATTTAATTTAAGTTGAAGCAATAGAAGTTGTAGATGGACATAATACAAAAGATTTTCAGAACATTACCGTCTCCTGACATCTCCTGCCATGTGAAAATCCTTCATCTTGTACCCAAGGGCCGCCTGTGCATCCATAATCATAACATTTCCAGCCCAAATCGACTGAACTAAGGAGCGAGCTTGCGTTCATCTACTAGTACAGCAGCACTCGATGATCTTCTTTGAAGTAGCTTCATATTTGAAGATTATTCAACAGATTAATCAACCTCCGCGTCGAGGTATTTCGAGCAAAGAAGGGTCTGCAAAAGATGTGGGAAATAAAGCCAAATGAGCAACTTGAGTTTAACTTGCTAAGAGCAGGTAAAAGCCCAGAAGCTGAATGACTTCGTAACCAAGCACACGTACGATTACAGCAAAGATTATCGACAGCATGTCCAGAGGCCTTATCCATATATACTTCTCATTTTCTTTTCCACTCGCACATTTCCTTGAACTATCTTGAATTCTACTCCCTTTTTTGTGCTGCGTCTAGCCGTGAACCCTCCTCAAGCTTCAACCTTGATGAGAAATCGTAACGATGTGCACAGAATCTATCTATCAAAAAAGCTAGAGAAGTCTCTAAGCGGGTGTTTTTCTTCGTCACTATTATTTATCGTGGCCTTTTACTTGTAGTTCCTCAATACCAGGAAGGTACATATATCATATAACCTTACTTGTGATTCCTCTATGCAAATCATACCTGCTAGGTAGTATCTTCCCGTATTTTTACGTTCCTCAAAATCTTGTATAGCTCACTGGATCTTGATTAATAGATGCATCTGGTTTTAGCAGCTTCTGTCTCGTAACATAGAATGAGGACGGAAATTCGATGATTGGAATATATGAACATTTCCATCTCATGGAACAAGAGGCTCTCTTTGCAAAAGTCATTTGTCCTTAAACTACCGCTGTACGCATTGTGCTAATAAAAATACACTTTGGGATTTCCGTAATGTGGCATACTCGGCTTCCTGTAGACTTCTTTCTGGCGTGGATAGATATTTCAGGTTCATCCAGCTCTCCACCATGGCTCAAAGTTCACCTGAGAAGATTTCACGTTTTATTCCCAGGACTTGTGTGGGATTCACTGCTTATCCCGCCTTATCTTCTCGTAGAAATACAATTTTCATGTATAAGCAGGTGCAATTGTTGAAATCAGAGAGGTTGAGTACATATCCTCCGTATTGTTGACCTTTCTCCCCGTTTCTTCGGGATTGGAAAGTTAGTTCCCTTGGTATGGGGATAATAGATCGTGAGGTCGCTACTTGCTGATGCTTTAAGTATTTCTTTAATCGAGAGACATACCGTACACATGTGTACACATGTTTATAAATCCGGGGTGATTTGTTCATAATGCTGATATGCTAACAACGACAACGATGGAGGTAAACCACAAAATTGCTTAATCTACCTTACGATTGTGTTGCATTTTTTTACTTGTACCTTGTCCTCAAAAAATCATCACTATAATTATGATAATTATACATGAAGCCTCTCCCTAGGCTGATGATTCAAACATGTACAAATTAACATATAGTATCTCGAATCTAGATCAAGATCAAAAGAAAGCATAAAGTGCAATATTGCTGCGAACATCAATCGGAAGGAAAAGCAAGGGAGGCGAGGGGGATCTAACATACATGCATATATACACACATACATACATCTATATATAATCTATAACTTCTCCCACAACACAATATAAATAAAATGACATACAAGTCCCTTCCCTCATCTCTCACTTCCCCAAAATAAGTGTCCTTCTAAAATATCCCTCGCACTCAAGCTCCGTGACATAGCATCTATATCTCCATCTCCCATCGTACCTCTCTGGATCTCACCACGTTTGCCTAAAGTGTATTCTCTTTACTTACCTACCACCTACTTATTACCTTACTATTTCCGGTACGTATATACTCACTTCAAGTACCTAGCTACTAACAGGTATTTACTGCATAACACTACCTACTTAACTTTACAATTTCACCAAGCACAACCACAGATGCCCTCCCGAAGAAAATACGCAAGAAAGTGGACGAAAGGACGTAAAAGTCAAAGAGTAAGAAAGTATCAAAGAATTATGAATAAAAGGGACAAGAGACTAGGATAAAATTGTTACAGAATTTAAATATATATCTACAACTTATCTACCTACCTATCTCAAAGTAATCTACATCTTCTTCTTCTTCTTCTTTTTCCTCTAAATCAACAATAAAACCACAAGCCAATCCTGGTGAGAAGTTTGGGCCGATCGATCAATAATGTCCATTCATCCATCCATAATACTAGAAATACCTAGTAGTTAACCCGCGAGTGAGAAATGAAAGAAATAGACGGATGAAAATGTACGAATAATATCATGTTGTGGAACACTGGATGGAGGTTTATCTACCTACTACCTATCTACCAGGTACCTAATAAGTAAGTAAATCGGTAGATATATGATAAATACATACCCAGAAATGGAAACAAACTAGAAATAGAAAACTAATCAGATTTATTACAAATACAGATTTTAAGAAGATTATGAATATCCATATCCATATCCATATCCGACATCACATCACATCACCTTTCATTCATAACAAATCTCCCCCTCCCCCAAAAAACAAATCATATATCACATATCATACATACATTCATTCACCACCAAAACCATAAAACCACCTATTGTAACACAGTAATCATATAAAAAAAAAGGTATTCTTCATCTATTAAGCTAGTAACTAACATCTCGATTCGATGAAAAAGAAGAAATGCAAATGCATGGTAGTAGACTAAGAGACCAGCAGCAGCAGCCACATCATATCATATAACATCATATCATAAACATCACATCACAAACATAAGAAAACATAATGAAGCTCTCTCACCGTCTTCTTCATCTTCTCTCTTCTTTCCCTTTCAAATTTTACAAATCCATTGATTTTGTCCCATTCACTAGTGAACTCAACTCAACCTAACCTAACCTAGATAGATCATAGGTAACCACACCTGCTCATCCATTCCTCTTACTCTCCATCTACTTATTTATTCATCCCGTTCATAAAGCAATGAAATCATTGGTTATTGCGAGATATCAGGAAGCAAAGAAGAGAGATCAGAGATGTCAAAGTTATATGGAAGAAAAAAAAAGGAAATACAATCTTGAAAAGTCCATCCTAGTTCACCTGTTGTTCCTAAGATTACATGCATGCATGGAGATAACCACCAAGCAGTTCTTCGACTACTTCGCTGTAGCAATCGATCTTTTTGAAAAATCTCCAACCAAACCCTTGATGGATATTTTGTTTTTGATACCACAATCTTTCAAATGTGTTGCCAGCCTGCCAAAAGAGAAGAGAAGAAGCTACCATTGAAAAATTTCGCAAAATAAAGGGGAAAAAAACCTGTCCATCCACTTTTAATGCATTTGATATCAATTGCAAAAATAACAGCAATGCTTCTGAGACGCCAGAAAAGTCAGAGAAAGTAAATTCGTTCAATAATTTTATGAAGAGGAGCCGTGTCGACTTATTTTGGGATAGGTACAAGAGGTGCCGGAGTTGTCCATGTGCGTGTAGCAAGCTCACACAATCTTCTAATAACATTTGTTGTTCCTGAACCACTTGCTTCATCTTGGACGAACTTCTTTGCAACAAGAAGCTTGCTGCGATTATCACTTTCATCAAAGTGAAGTGGTGTGTCGCTTGGTGTATATTCAGAAACACGTTGTCCAATAGCTCGAATGATGGCGATTGAGTACAAGACATCTCGATTCTCCCGGCCATCCAAGAGATTTCTCAAGGTAGCAAGAGTATCATCAACATCCTTGGCACAATTTGGGTCGTCTTCTCGAAGGCATACAAAGTTTGCTAATGAGTACCAAAATTCCAACTCTCTCAATCTGTGGTGATCTCCACTTCCTTGGACAGGAGCAGTGAGCTGATTACTTTCAGCAACTTTACCTGTCAAGAGACATTCAAAAACCGTCAAACGGTGATTGGCCTCCACTGCATCATCCTGGGCAGGGAGCACGCTCTTAGATTCTGCCCTGGCTTCTTTCTCTTCCTCAGCACCAAGCTTGACCATACAGGCCAAAGCCCAAACAACTTTTGCTTCAACACTTGCAGTATGTGCTATTGCGACAGGATCAGTCACAATTGTCTTCGAGAACTGTAGGAGAAGTGTTCCAAATTTTTCGAGTAATGGTTTATCGCTCATGAGTTTTGCAGCACCTTTGGCACTGAACCATTTCGATTCGAGGAAACTCTCTAGACCTGGAGAATAAATGCTATAGTATAGGTGCTTTGCTTCTTCGAGTGCAGATGGGGATTGTGAAACATCGGGAACTTGGCTGTCAACTGGCGCAGGGGGATTACCGAATGCTAGAAGATCATCGATGGATCGTTGTGCTGGAAGAGAAGTCGTGTCAGCCGCTTCGTCTGCAAAAGATGTAACTGGAGGGGAAGAGGGGGAACCAGCGCCACCTCTGAGGTGGGTAATATCGGATACTTTAAAGGAATATGGAATTGCACTTTGCATGTTTTTTTGGTGGAAGCGGAGGTTGAGCATACCTGGTGGAGCAGAGTGAAAAGGGTTGATAACAGGGATTGGAGCAGATGCCTCCAAATTTGGATCAATTGCAGATGAATAGTCATAATGTTGAGCAGCACTTGGTGCAGTAAGGGCAGGATCATATGACATTGTAGCTGGGACACCGTAACCAGTCTGCAGCATCTGCGGTTGGTTTCCGTAAGGATTCGCGGTCGCGATCGATGAAGCTTGCGAAGGAGCAGAGCTAGGTGCTGGTTGTATGGCAGCAGGGCCTGGTTGTTGCTTGAAGATGGGATCGTAACCTAAACATTCACGTTTTGACTTTTGGCAATTTCGGCAGGCGGGGTGTTGTTCGTCGCACTGATGAGTAAGGTTAGCAGAATTTTCAAAAGGATAGTGATGATGATGATGATGGTCGCGACAATGAAGGGTTTTATTGATCTGCCAACGAAAACAATGGTGAAAATTGATAATCTCGCTCTACTCGTGGGTCCCGGTATCAAGGTCGCTCGTCTCGCTCGCTCATGTGCCTTCGCCTACTTAGGTGATTCGCTTGCATATAGACGAAAAGATTGCCATCGCGAAGAAACTTAACCTCAACTTCAATCCATTCTTTCGATAATGCGACGAATTTAAAACATCAAGAACTGACCTTAATTCTTCTCTTTCTGCAGGTCAAACAACCCGTCTTGGTCCTACGCTTGATCTCCTGATGGAAATAATATTTCGTTAGCAAGATGCGATACTCGAATGACGCGATGACACGATTAAATCGATAATAACGATGATTTACGATATTACATACCTTTTTATGTCGACCTCCACTCATGACTCGAGAATCTACTGGAAGCGCGTATCGCATATTTGGATCCGATGTGACATTTGGGTATTGGTGTTGATGTGACGGATGAGGGAGTTGGTTTTGATAATAAGGTCCGCCCATTTGAGCAACAGGTGGAGGTAAAGGTGAACCCATATGCTGATGTTGTGCGGCCTGCTGTTGCTGTTGCTGCTGCTGCTGCTGCTGAAGAGGATCTAAAGAACGCATACTTGGAAGAGATAATGATCCGTTGCTTCCGGTCGGACTCGCGCGATATGGCTCGTTTTGATTACCTGGTGGCGGATAATTATATTGCGAAGTCGACAAAGAAGGCGATGGGTATGAAGTCGGACTTGGATAATTAACTGGCTGCCGCTGTTGATTACCCTGTTGCGAACCAGACATCGATGGAGAAGAAGGCGCTGAGCCGTTTTGTTGCAAATGATTTAGATGCGGACTATTCCTATTATTGTGTTGCTGTGCCATATTTTGGATTATGACACGGTCGCGCGGTGTTGATTATTTGATGTGTGTTTTTTTTTTTGAAACCTTATCTAAGTCAACCACGTTAAAGGGAACACGACGAAATTTTAATTGAATTGGAAATATTCAAGTCTTTTCCAAATTCAATCGATCTGCAATTAATGATTTGATATATCCTCGGCTTGCCGTATAAAACTTAAGGAGTTCCTAGCGAAACTCGTTTACGGAACGAAAAGCGAGCTGTACCGGGCAGGAAACGAGTTAATCGTTAATCTTTGGGAGAAGATAGAAAGTGTGGAAGGGTAAGGTAGAGTTTAGAAAAGTGGAAGGTTTTGTTGTGGAGAAAAGAAATCGGAATGGTTTTTGAAAGGGAGCCAAAATTTAATATGATTTGTAGATTAGATTGTACCTTAGGGAAAGGCTAGGAAGGCTGGGCTGGGTAACTCGTATGTGGTCCAGATATAATAAGACGAGATTTCCCAAGGGAGAGAAAATGTTTGGTAAAAGGAAAGTTAATAAGAATAAGAATAAGGTAAAAGGTAAAAGGTAGGCGGTAAAATGGCAAAAAGATAATAAGGTAGGTGAATAAAGGTAAAGAGGTAGGTAGATCCGGTCGGGATAAGAAGTTGCAGCTGCAAGTCCTGGCTTCTAAATGTTTTTGAATTTGCTGGGACCTTGAAGTAGGTAAGTAAGTAGTAAGTAAATAGGTAAATTAAAATATTTGCCCGATTTTCAAGGTATAAAATAATTATGAATTCACTCGATCATTCGATTTCTTTTCTCCGTACTTTCATTCTACTCATAATAAACATAATTAAATAATAAATATTATCGATAATTCATTCTCTCTTTTTGCGGGGGATTTGTAGGTAGTAGCTTAAGTATATATTATCGACTTGAAAATTATTACCTTAATAGTATTTATTATCCATTTGCTCAAGGCTAGCAAATATTATATACCAATAGCCCCGAATAGTTACTGACGGCTTAGTGTTTATCTTCAAGATCAATCAATTGTCTGGTCCGAGGGAACCTTAGTTTTTAAGTTTACTCGCAAGTTACAGCTTCCATGGCATAGACTAATCCATGATGACATCGAGTGCATCTAGTGAATTTAAATGCACCTACCTAGGTAAGGTTAGTATCTGCGTATATGTACTCTACTCCTCAGCTTATTTTATTAATTAATAAATTGGTAAGGCTGTTTCTCCTTTTCAAATTCACTCATACATTCCAACCACCAAAACAGGAAATGTCTTTCTTCATCATCATTTCTATCGCATCTTACTTCTTACTACTTTACCTTACTTCAACTAACATGACTGTACGCAGCTCGCCTTTTCCATTCATGCACGACACAACACATAAAGATCCCCTGTCGAAGAAACAGCCACTTGAATGACCCCTTCACTCGGATGATGACCGTTTATTTCATCTAAGAGCGGTACGGCTTGACTAAAAACAAGCGATGGAACAATTATGGAACATTCGATGCATATTGAGACCTTCGCGAGCTTCGCTATAAACCGACGGCAGCGAAAGAGGTAGCACGCGCGAAGATCGTCTCTCCGAGCTGCTTGGGCTGTGTCCTAAATTGGAAGTAGTATCCTTTCCACCTATGAGATATGGTTGTTTTCAAAGTCACTTTCTACTCCTCCATGGCTTTGAGAATAGACACTCAAGGTAGAAGAGGATACTGGGTTTCATCATCGGTTACTCGTTCTCCATAAACTCAGACTCATCCCCTATGATATTGGTAATGTCAGACACATTTTTCAAAATTATGTCAGAACATCTGCACCAACCAACAGCCCTTTTATGGGGCCAAGGAAGAAGGATCTCCAGTTCCATACACGGGGAAAGAATTACCTTGTTTTTACTCCTCACAAGATCTAATTGGATAGCCTAAGTAGATAACCTAGAAGCCACTGCAACGTCAAAACAAACCACCTTGACCGGCTGAGAACCGCATACAGTAACCTCATAGGATAAAAATACAGGATATTCTCATATTCTCTTCAACTTGCCTAACTAATCATCACTTGCACTTTTTCGACCTAATTGAATCAGAAGAAGACTACACTGGTGGCCGTACGGGACAAAGCTTTGAACGCGACCCATTTTTCGATTTCGTCTCCGCATTATTATCCCCGTCCCTTCCAAACTCTAATCTTAGATCTCGTACACGGAATTTGAGCAAAAAGGAGGTCTAACGTCCAATTGATGCATGCCATCTCCCGCAACCCCCTCAGCCTCGTGGTTCATTATAACACAGGATTAAGTGTCTTCGGAATCAAACGATTACACATGAGATCTTCAGTTCTATTCTTCTACGGTGACATCCTATTTCGGACCCAGGCTTTGGCCATGTACCCAAAAAGTATTCTTGCAGTATTCACATGAGCAAGGAGGATGCAAGAATTCTCATGCAATCCGTTTCAGCAAATATTCGAAACGGGATATATGGGTACCTGCACCTGCCCTACCTAAATCGAAGCATGACGCTATCCATGCTGGCTTGCTTGCTCAAAAATTGCTTGCTTCGGTTCTACCTCTCTTTTTACCGGATGTGACCGAGTGTGTGCATGGTTTATTAAAGAGTTGAAAGGCTGAAGTGGGAAAATACCTTGTGGAACTTCAATTCTAGGATCTAGGGTATGGACAAGATGTTAGAACTTAGGATGAATATATCCATTCATCTACTACAATACAACACCGTTAAACTTCTTCCGCGCCTTTGACGCCAAACCTCCAGAATGAAAACCCCGAAAATAATACTAATCCGCCCGAATTGCGCTCTCTACTTTCCTTTACCCTCGGAAGTATCGCCAAAATAAATGCAACAGAGTACGAAAACTGTCACAACCATGCTGTACCCATCGATACCATACCTAGCGGACCATATCCCCAACGGCCAAAACATGAGACGGCGTACTAAAACCGTCCAAAAATGCTGTACTCCTCCAGTAGTACCTTACACGTTCAATTACTATAATCATCAGGAGGTAAGATACATATACATGCACACATACATACATATGTGCACAAACTTAACAATCCATCTTCTAGAATCCTTCCACGCGATGCTAGGCTATCTGCATACATCTTGTGAGATTCGTCCCCTTGTTGTGCTACGCTTATCCACATTATATTTATATTTGTATTTGTATTTGTTTTTTTATTTATATATCTGGGTAGGTGTGTATAGGATATACCCAATAAGAAACACCGATATTGCGTGTATGTGTAACCTTAGCATTAGATGCTATGCATCTTTGCTAGCTAAGGTAACTACTAGGTAAGATTATTATCTATCCAGTCCTCACTCATATCACTAAAACAGTTTTCCGAGCTTCAAACATAGATGCTTATAGGTACTTATGGATATGGATATAGATATGTAGTTTGGGGAGATGGTAATCTTGTGGTTTTGGTTTTGGTTTTTGGACTGTTGGTATGTTGTTCCTAGTACGTAATATACATAACAGATAGACAAGATATTGTGTATGGAGGATAGAGTATAGAATATAATGCCATTGAATCAAATCGAGATTATATTTGTCTCTTTCTCTATCTATCTATTTATTTATCTATCTGTTATTTATACATAACGTATATACTACTCTAATCCTATCGCTTGTATATATCTTTAAATATTTAGAATATATATCCAGCAGACATCAATCCCCCCCCCCCCCCGAAACTTTTTTAAAAAATATCACAAATCGAATCGAATCAAATCAAACAGATTGAATATCAGATTGGTAAAATAATAATTAGATACTAGATACTCTATATATTCCAATTCCATCCCCACGACACCCCAAAGAAATAGGCGACGAGCAAAAAGTAGAAAATTAGTTGGGGAGGAGAAGCGGAAGATGGATTGGTGTATGTATCTTGGGGTTTGAGGTGAGGTGATGGGAGGGAGAGGGAGATGGGAGATAAGTTATAATATGACGGGATAAGACAAAATATGATACATATACTCGTAAATTTACTCGTCAGTAAGTACTTTCGTCCAATCAAATTTCTTCCAACGATTCCTAAAACCCTCTAATCTTTTATCCCCTCCTCGACTCCATCGACCTTGTCGTTTAATAACATCAGGCTCAATATCCAACATACCGCCGATGATTTCCCTCGCGAAAAGATCTCCCCGGGGCCAACGATTCGCATCTTCTACTATATGTCCCAAGCCACCATCCAGATCAAACCAAGCGTGGAAATAGGGCATTTCCTTAGCGATGGATCGGCGAAAGGCTAGTTTTCCAAGACCGTCTCGTGCGCGTGCTGCTGTGTCGATGAGTTTCTTATGCTGTGTCCATTCTTCATCCGAAGTGAGGATAGCTTCTTTGAAGAAGGCTGGAGCGGTTTCTCCTAGGCTATAGGGCAGTGGTACCGCTTGCATGGCTGCGTGCATTTTTCGGTGTGGTGTTGCGGCATTTTCATAAAATACTACATCTCGTCCTTGATCATGGTACATGCGTGTTAGACATTTCATGAAATTTCTAATCTCCTCCCATTCATCGTCATCGCATTCGAGGAGGTTTGTCCGGTGCTGAATGGGTACAATTACGGCTCCACCATCACTCAATTCCGGCTCGGTCGGGAGCGTAAGATAAACTCGTGTAGCCAGAGAGACGATCGGCGCAACGGGAGGTTGATTCTTGTCTTCGTGGTGACACAATTGGCAGGAGTCCAGAATGCGATTCATCTTTTGGAAATCCCCTATGGCTGTATTCCTCAAGTTGATTTCGGACTTTTGTACGCGTTTCGCAAGCTTGTTTGCGTTGTCGTCCATGTAATCGAGGTCATTGTCGAATTTAGCATCTTTAGCAATGCGTTCAGCGGCACGCATACCATCACCACCGGCTTGCCCTTTCGTTCGTCGTTCTTCACGCACCATATCTTCAATAGTCATATCTTCATTTTCTTCCACCAGTCCTCTCTCGCGACCCCTCTTGTTATCAATCGACTTCACTTCTCCACGAGTTCCAGCTAACATTCTATTATCCATCTTGCCCAATACTACAACACTAGGTTCTGAAGTAGTTGCTGATGCGGCGGAAGCTGCAGCGTTATATTCTGCCTCGAGTCTCGCAGCATCGGGTGACTTCTTGAGCTTTGCTTTCATCATCCGAGCCTTCAATCGGTTCAGAGCCGTGGCATCGAGCTGAACGGAAGGTGCACTTGTTTCTTCCATAATCTTCCCCTGTGGTAACTCTGCTGGCTCATCCTGGTGTGGTACCGAACCTCTCCTAGTACCTAAATTCAACTTTCTCTCCTGAAACAACTCTCCGCTGGGCTTCTCTTTCCCCACATAACCTTTCCCATATAGTCTTCGACGGTCAAGCTCTATTTGTTCTTCTCGCGCATCATCAAACTCACGCAAACCTCCAAACCGTGCTATAGCTACCTCGTCGATGGGCTTTCCACTTTGTTCCGCCTGGGTATACACTGCCTTTAATTTTGTCATTCGCCATTGAGCTCCTGAATCCCCAAACGTGTAATCAACTTCATGTCCTGCCTCGATATCATCCAGTTTTTTGACTCCTTCATTTAAATCCTGCAAGTGGTGATTAAGCTCCTTTTTATGAATTTTCAAATCGTAATCAGGTCTAGGTGCAACTTTTGGCTCGGTAGGCTTCTTAGATCCTTTTTGGGTATAATCGAATTCGAAAGCTGAAGGGTCCATCATCCAAGAATCGCGAATAACTTTTGGTCGAACTTCTGCTTCCTTTTCATCTGGAATTGGTAGATCTTCCTTGGGATCTGATAACTTTTCATGTGTGCGCTTCCTTCTATCATCGTCTTCTTCATCGTCGTGTTTTGAATGCCTTGATCTTTTATGTCGGTGATCGTCTCTGTCTTCACCATCGTCCTCCTTGGACCTGTGATGCCGCGATCTATGATGATGTCTATGCTTCCGATCCTTATCTTTGCGCGAACTTCTTTCACTCTTCTCCCTCTCTGCCTTTTCCGCCGCCAAACTTTTCTCAAATTCATCCAAACCGTCCATTGTTGTAAAGTTTATAAATGTGATGCGATTTGATGTTTTTAATATTCGGTCGCCCAGTGCCTGGTCTTCCGGTAGCGAGAAGCCGAGTCGGGACCTACTTTAGCTAGATATGAAATTTATTTGAAAGACATCCCACTTCGCCCCGCCAAATTCCTCCATCTACATCTTATACATACAACTCAAGCTTTTTGAAATCAGTCTACAATACCTACAATATGGCAGATTTTAAGAAACCACAGGCTGGTAAGCCTGTTTCTATTGTATGTGTAGGAATGGCTGGTGAGTTTTTCCAAAATTATATTTGATGAATGCGACCATGAATTGACCTTCAACAGGTTCTGGTAAAACTACCTTTATGCAACGAATAAACTCCCATTTACATGGCAAGAAAGAGCCTCCATATGTTCTCAATCTCGATCCCGCTGTACGAAATGTTCCATTCGAGAGTAACATCGATATCCGCGACTCAGTCAACTATCAAGAAGTGATGAAAAGTTACAACCTCGGACCAAACGGAGGAATTCTCACATCACTCAATCTCTTCGCCACAAAAATCGACCAGATATTAACTGTACTCGAAAAGCGCACTACTCCCGATCCTGAGAAGCCAAATGCGACTCCTATCAAACATATTTTGGTCGATACACCAGGTCAAATTGAGGTTTTCGTTTGGAGTGCTTCAGGAAGCATTTTATTGGATTCTTTGGCATCAACTTTTCCTACAGTTATCGCATATATCATTGATACACCAAGAACATCTTCTACGAGTACTTTTATGAGTAACATGCTGTATGCTTGCAGTATTTTATATAAGACAAAATTACCAATGATTTTGGTATTCAACAAGACGGATGTTAAGGACGCCGAATTTGCCAAGGAATGGATGACGGACTTTGAGTCTTTCCAGGCTGCTCTAAGAGAAGAGGAGGATGCAGGAAGTTTTGGTGGTCTAGAAGGGGGTGCTGGTGGATTAGGTGGTGGTAGTGGATATATGGGATCATTACTCAACAGCATGAGCTTGATGTTAGAAGAGTTTTACAGCCATTTGAGTGTGGTGGGTGTCAGTTCCATGACTGGTGCTGGTATCGATGAGTTTTTCGAAGCTGTGTCAGAAAAGGCCGAGGAGTTCGAAAGAGATTATAAGCCAGAACTGGAACGACGAAGAAAACAGAGAGATGCAGAGAAAGAAGAAAATCGAGAGAAGGAACTGGACAAATTGATGAAGGATATGGCCGTTTCGGGAGAACCTTCATCTAAGGCTAAGGGTCCGCCAAACGCCAAACTCTCTACCGATTTGGATACGCTAAGTGATATGGAAGACTCTGATGACGACTTGGCAGCCGGTGGAGATGATGATGAGGATGGTGGGGATAATGTTGAAGGTTTAAGTTCAAGGTACAAGGCAGCCTTAGCAGATGGAGGAGGCCCATCTAATGCGGATGATCACAGCTTTACTCGATATATCAGGGCAAGTCAGATGAAGAACATGCAATAAAAATGTAGCAGGGCCAAATTTGGGATATGGACAAAGGAGTTTTAGGCCTAGGGGGTATAGCATTAGTGGCGCATCTTGATACCAAAATATAAATTTCAGTAAAACAAAAGTATTTCAATATACACTATATTGCTGCCCTGGCCCTCTATCATACGCCGACAATTGAGTAGTGACAATCTTTTTTGTCCGATGCGCCTCGAGATATGTCTCGTACCATAACCATTACCACTTTATCAAAAATCGTATCAACATTCCCCATTCCCTTCATTTCGCAATCCCCCTCTATATCTCTACGTCCCTCCATATACAAGCCCAGAAGCATCTGCCTCTAATCCACCATCCACTCCGCCCACTAAAAGCCAATCATCTCGCCTCAAACTGCACCATCCTACCTCAAAATCAGCATCTCCCCCAAAAAAGTCTCAAGACTCCACCCCCAGAAGCAAAATCACACATACCTAGAAGTCCTCTCCTTGTACAAAACTCGATGACCACACTCCTTACATCTAATAGGATCACCTCTCTTCAACATAACACTGGCGTTGCAATCGCCGCAGAGATATTTGATGGCGGGTCCGTCACCTAGGATCCCCGATGCGCTGTAGGGATTGGGGGCTTGGGTGGGATTTGTAGAGGGCACTGAGGTGGGTACTTGGTAGTCGTCGGACATTTTGTGCGGTGGGTTTGTTTGTTTGTGGTGTTGGTGGTGGTGGTGGTGGAGGATGTGGTGTGGGAAGATTTTTGTTATAAAGAGCTATATAGAGGGATGGACGTATGGATGGATGGATTGATTAATTTTTGGAGTGGAAACTTGAAAGGCTGATAAATTCTTATGGGTCTGGTTGATTGGGTGTGCTTTAGACTGTTTTTGGGTTAGTGGAGTTGAATTACTGACTAGGTGTAGGTATCTGCCGATATCTTTCAATCTTAGGTAAGCGTCGTTCAATCTTTATAAGGCGGGAGTATATCAAGCACCCTTGTGAGTGTATTGAAGTAAGATCTTACCTATTTGATTCGTTTATTTTCCATATGGTTTACAATTAGCTGATTAATATGAGAGGGATAATTTGAGCATCATTAATTGGTAAATGTGATCACTCTCCAAACATATAGACTTGCCCATTTAATACCTGAAACCAGGAATAGAAATGAGAGTTCCTTCGCAAGAGAGTTTTCTAGTCCTATTATGACCAACTAAATCGTGATATCTCTGCATGAAATTCAAGAACGGGAGGGGTACCGGCTAGGTGCCGGTTAAAGCATGCAGTTTCGTTTAGAGATAGAGTGAAGTTTGGAGTTTGTTGGTCCTGCTGTAACCTGAGCAGCTGTACTGTGTATTATTGTTGATGTGTTGTAGTAAGGAAATTGGGCTTGGCATTTGAAATTTGAAGTAATTCATCTAAAGGTCCAACGGTTTTGCTTGAATGACACACTCATTAATTCATCCTAGTTGTTTCTGTGCCTGAGTATGCGTACTGTCAACCTTGGGGGAGATCAAATTGAGTGATTCTATGATTCTTTGATTCTTCAAGTTTGTGACAAGGCCTTCTACTCTGTATAGGTACATGCTCAGAACTCTTTCTTATATAAAATGTATCAAAATAGGTAGCCTTACGTAATGCATGATCTTTGATTATGTCTAAATACCTACTTTATATACCTACTAGGAACTTCACCCTCATGTTTGCAAAAGATGAGATTAAATTCAAATTGATTGATTCTCCAAGTTTTGCCATTTAAGCTTTCTATCTATTTGCACGGACTCATAAATCCCTTTCAAAATTGATTATCCACTCATATCCTTGTCATTCCGCATCTAGCCCTTACCAGACCAGACTTCTCCAACTTCTTACAAACTTTCACTCCCTCCAACTCGAACATCAGATCATCCCTCCACCTTCCATATCTTTGTGTTTGTACTCTTCTCCAACAGACTTCACCCCAAGTACAAATATTTAATTATATGCAATCGTCAACTTCTGTAGTACTCAATCATGGAATAATCTAAACTTTCTCTCTTACTCTCTCTTATACATTATCGTACACCCATTCGTTCATCCGCATTAATGATAATTTCGGTTTCATGATTCATCAGGCTGTGGTAATCTGATTGTACCCCATCTTCTTTTTTGGAATACCCTCAAACCTTCATACACCTTCTTCATTATTTATACATAATTCTACACAGTTACTTGATTAGTACGTGCGTGCACCTTGCAACTTGATTAACATATGATGCGCCATGGTATGTTCTCTCTTCACAGTCTATTCAAATATACCTTTCGTATTCTACGTATGACTCTGTTGCGCCAACTTACGAAACTAACATAAATCTTTCACTTAGGGTTGTTGTTTCTCTCGTCCCCGCACTGAATACTCCGCAGGAGCTGGTGCATCCTCTTCTCAAGCAATCGCATCCTCCTCGCGACCTCAATCACGATCAGGACTGGCTAGACCATCAACCAATGCCTCCACTACTAGCAATCCTCCACGGCATCGCCATCGTGTTCCTCTCGATGAACATATAAACAAACCCCTTCGATCTCACGTATGGATGAGTGGAAGTAAACTATGGACACGGCGGGAAATTGATCGAGCACGAGCAGAATTCTTTGACACTCGTGTTTCGGGTAGACCTGAAATATGGCAAGCCATAAAAGCTGCATTGGAGGTAATGTGGAAAGGCGGGGAGACTGGGGAAGAAGATGGAGGGTTGGGGACTGCGCAAATGATTTTAAATGCGGCAGAAATCACACTACCTGATGGAGATATGGCGGTTAGAGGATGTTATGATAGTTCAGGTGCATTATATCGAGTACCTGAACATGTAGTTTCTGATCCAGCGAATCTGTTAGATGATGATACGACGGGAACGACAGGGAAGAGTGATGATGAAGGAGGGATGGCGGAAGAAAGCGAAGAAGTTGATGAGGAGGTTCTAAGGAGGAGAGAAACAAAAGGCAAAGCCAAAGCGAAAGAAATGATAGCAGTAAAAGCGAGGTTCCAACATGGTATCAATGGGGATATAGTGTTCAAGATTGGAAAGAATGATTCGGTGCGCTCACTTGTCAAAGTGATTGCGCAGAAGCTTGAGGTTCGTATTTTTCAGAAGCTCTCTTCAAATTTAAAGCTAATCAAGGTCAATAGGTCTCTCCACCCAAGTATGTCAAAATCAACTATATGGGCAAGCTACTTAAAGAAAATGCATCATTAGTAGCACAAGGCTGGGTGGAAGGTCACATTGTTAATGCTTGGATACTTGAATCAACCAAAAAGCAATGACAAAGTTGACATCCATAATGAGATTGTATATAATGCCGGCTCTCGACTCAGCGTTTGGCGTTGGTTGCATAGGAGATGCATCAGATCTCTTGAAACGACATGACGAACTATCAACAGGCTCCTAATTTTTTCTTTGGGTAATACCCCCATGGTTGGCGTTCTAGGAATAGGCTTTCAGCGAACGGAGCAAATCTATGCTGAAATATCTTGGTTGGTTTTACCTACCTGCATTCATTCATCCATTAGCGATTTGTTATTTGATGTTCTTTTAAAGCTATACCCCCTCCTCTTCTTACAGCAATTAGCGTACTGGTCTATATAATTAATTAAATCAAATATTACAACTATTTACTATCTACTTGGATAATGTTTATTGACTTGAGTTGGTTTAGACGAGGTATCTATACATCTCAAGTGTTACGAGGTTTGCCGTCTAGATCACGTGGAAGTGCTCTAGGCTCTCGAGGTGGTTTATAACTAGGCGTCAAGCAGGGACTTAAGTAATGACAATGATGCAATTCGTAACTAATAGTAGAGTATACTAAATGATTGATCTTGATCTTAAGCACGAAGCTCTATATAAAGGGAAACCATCTTGATTATATAAACCTTCGTATTCCAATCATTAGAACGATGAAGCTGGGGAGCGAGATTCGAATCTCGCTCCCTCACAAGACTATCCATGTGATCCTATAACAGGTGATAATAGTTTATAATGTTACAACGTAACAATAGGACAGGAGCGGATGAGCAAGAGAAGAATCTCGTTTAAAATCCAGGACCACCCATTCTTTCCTCTCCACTCCACTCCACTACACCGGCCGGAAAAAATAAAAGACTCTTCTTTAAATCTTTTTCACACTCCGCTTTTACTTACTTTTTACTTCAATACTCATGATATCTCATTTTCTTCTTTTCTAACTAACATAACATAAGCATATGTGAAATCTTCCCATGGCTAACCAGCCAGTGTACTAATTAATTCACCAGAAGAAAAAATTTTCCAAAAAAAAAATCATATGTAAAAATGATATATATAGAAATGGAAGGGAATTGAGCCCAACGGGGGGGTCGAACCCCCAACCTTGTGATTTATTAATACGATTAAGAGTCACACGCTCTACCGATTGAGCTAGCCGGGCGAGAGACTTGTTTGGTGCTTGGTGGCTTTTTTTTGGTTTTTTTATTTATGATTCTGTGCCTGTGTGTGTGGTTGGGTTCTATTTTGATATTTTGTATGGGGGAGGATGTAAGGATGTGGATGTGAGGATATGGGGAGGGGAAGGGAAAATTTTGTAAGGGATAATTAATGATTAAGCGAGGGGGTGATTGGTGGAGCTGAGCTGAGCTGGGATGGGATGTGTTGGGTAGGGATTTCATGTATCTGGATTCTGCTATGAGATACATATGTATATAGGTACTCATAATTATCTGTCTTGAGATGTGAATATCATTATCATCATCATTTTCTTCTTCTTCGTTTTCATAAAAATATAATTAAATAGGGAATATGTATTGATATTATCTATTTATTATTATTTAATATCTAATATGAAATTAATTTAAACAGGAGGTAAGATTTATATCGGGTGTAAAATTATAAATATTCCAGACTAGAATTTGACGGGAAGGTGTCGAGTGAGGAGGAGGTTGGGTTGAGGGGATGGTGGATATTGTGAGTGTATTTTCGCTGTCTTGAAAGGAGCGAAGCCGTTTTTTTTGGAGGTCTAGGACAGATGATATTTTATTTATGTCTTATTGCCTACTTAAGCTTGGGCAATTTGAATATTTTTTTATTCTTTTTTTATAGGTATAATTTTCATCTTGTATAAGGTTTTACTGGGTCTATGCCAAAAAGTTATTAAGGAATGATATTATGTAAATTTAACACCTTATAGACCGTATTTCATTGTTCTATCAAGACTTCTTTCTTGATTTATAAAATTTTATCTATTAGACTTTACATCATAATGGATGCGACCATTTTTACTTTGAAACATCTGGGTATATGTGTATGTGTGGTCTCCGTACATGCATGGAATCTCTCATCTTAGGAATCTGTCATATGCATCGTCTCTCTCAAAACCACCATGCATCTACAACACGAACAACGCCAATTATAAAACATCCTCCCAGACACAAGAAAGCCCACATCCAAATCATAAATGAGAAGTATTATCTCCAAATCAACCATTAAGCCGCAGCAGCAGCATGATCAATATTCTTCCCCTTAGCACTCTTCCACTCCAAAAAACAGGCACAAATCGTCACGATACCACTAACTGCAATTGCCAAAATAAATGATTCATCCAAAGCCTTACAATATGCGATCAATACACCCACCAAATCAGCAGGACGAATAACATCTCTAAGACGTATAGCGCCAGCCTTGTAAATGACTGCAGAATTAACTTCCGGAGCGTATTGAGGAACATATTTGACGAGTCCATTACTGAATACATTCTGAGCGATAGAAATAGAAATTACTCCTCCGAGGGAATTGAAAAAAATAGCAATGGCGTTTCCATTAGGCATATCCTTTGCATTGAGAACAACTTGAACGGCGATAAATGGTATTTGTACTCCCATACCTGCGCCAAAACCACAGATCAGTTGATAGCCCACCCATTTTCAGACGCTGGAGCCTACTTGAAGCGTGTAGATAAGTCCTGCGCCAACCGTGAAAACTGCACCGGTAGCAATCATGAAAGGTTTGTAGAAACGGAGAACGATGATACTAGCTCCTGCTAAAATGGACGATACGATGACGGAACCGAGGTATGGGATCGTACGGATACCGGAAGCTTCTGCATGTTAGCCTTGACGACCTGGAAGTAGAACGGGGGGTTAATACATGTGAGTGTATAAGCCCATCGAAAGAAAACAGGAAAATAGACAGCAACTAAGGACAGTTCATTGACTGAAAATTCTAGGTGGAATGGTGGCACGTTCACCGCGGCGAAATTGTTCAACAAATTAATGATGGCTCCCAGGAGAAATATAGCTCCCAGGAGATCAATTTCCGTGAGTCTTTCCTCAACAGTCATGCCGGATATTTTCCTTGGAAGGGGGGCTTAAAGAATAATGCTACTGCTTCGATAGCAATTGCACCGACTAGAAGAATTGAGGGTTAGTATTGTTTAGACAGCTCTTTTGTGCAACCATAGAACGATAAAGTTGTCAGAAAGTACAAGAGGGTAAGAGGATCTGCTCAGTCGAAGTGGCATATGGTTTAGGGTGGAAAAGTGCGACAATAAATAACAGAATCCAAGAGCCAAAACCACTTACAAGGAAGATTTATCCAAAAATACCTGCATTTGTTGATGAATCAGCTGAAGCCTATGAAAAGGATCATGGACAGAAGTATGTGCTGTTAAAATGTGAAAGATGAAGTGAAGTTGAAGACTTGTTTGGAGTTTTGCATCAAGATTCTCAAAATCATGGAAACGAGTATGTCCACCATCGCCATGAAGCTTTATCACTTAAAGCACCACCGAGAAGAGGACCGATGACACTAGAAATGCCAAACATTGACGATAACATGGCATTATATAATGGTCGTCTAATCAAAGGCATTGAGAAGCCAATCTAGTCCCAAATTAGTTGAGGTAACCTTTCACATTAAGAGAAGTAGACAGCAATTCAACTCAGTACTCAAATCAAAATCAACTCCCAATTGTCATTCCGCCAGAAAATAAAGCAGAAGCTCCAGCACCGGCAACTGCCCTCCGCACAATAAGCGTGACTGAATTCCTTGCAGCAGCACAGATGATAGATCCAATTTCGAAGAGGACAAGAGCAGAAAGATAGGCCTATCTGACGTCAAAATAGGTATATACACATCCAAATAATGGCTGGAGAGCGGTTGTTGTAAGTAAGTAGGAGGATCCATACCATCCGACATCGCCTAGAGTTAAAGACAGATGTGATTTTTGGAATAGCTGTGGCGATGACATAGATTGTTAGTATCTTCTCTGAGTTACCGTGCAATAAACCTGATGTACGATAAGTTGTAGAAAGATACATAAGTGGAATCATGGAGTAGATCTTCCTTCAAGACGACTGAATGTCTAATAAGGTTAACACATCCTAACAGTGCCAAGATGTCGATGGTCCCATTTACTAGACGGCCGAATCAAATGTAAATACTTACTAGTATATCCAATGCCACGGTAAATGTAGCCATGCAAAGACCAAAAGTCAAAAGTACCAGTGGCACACCAGAAATATAATGGTTTTTATCATCATCTTTTCCACTTGATTTTTTTGTTCCACCAACAACTCCACCTTTTCGAGTGCCCGGGCATTCGTTTCTGCAGATGAATTTCCATAATAGCCTTTCTCCGGATCTAAAGGTGCATGTTGATGATCTGCAGGAGTCTCACTTGGATGGTGTTTAAACGAGGTAGCAGCCGTATCTGCCTTTTCCTTTGTCCTCATATACCACGCCAGCACCATCGAGACAGGTGCTACATTAGGTATTGAACACGAGGGACGAGATGTTGATTTATGGTCGTCATGCTTAATCAGATGGTCATCGGTAGTTCCCTGCACTGGCGCAGCAGACTGGGCGGCTTCTCCCGTCTGTTTCTCAGACATGATTGGGTTGGAGTAGACCCTTTAACGCGATTTACCCCAGAAACTGTGCTAAACTTTATTCAATGGGTTGATATAATTATGGATCTTGTTGAGACACTTGGTTTGACATCAGATTGAAATTGCCAAAAGCTTCCCCTCAAGAAAAGATACGTAAATGATAATGTAGAAGAAGATGAGACTATTAAATATCGAGTCAACAGAGCAGGTATAAAGGTATGACCTTACGAACAGAGAACTCTTTAAGGTGGCCAACTGCATCTCCAAACACCTCTATGAGGAAAATTAACATCTTACGCCTAATCAGATAACCTATACTCTTCCATGTAAATCGATTCAAATCCAGGCCAGGATTGGCCATCGGCTCAAGAGCTTTCCGAGTAAAAAACAAGTCTCAATTCCTTTTGGGATGAGAATTGACAGGGTCAGTTATAAACAACCAATGATATACTTGTTTGATCAAATTCCGAAGCCATTCTCGACCATCCCTTACAGCACAGTGCATACGCCAATACATACTTCCAAGCGAACTATAGCTCTTACTTCAGCTCAAGGGAAAGGGAACTCATAGAAAAGTGATTTTCTGGAAGAGAATTTCCAACGCATGTTGTGGTCACAAATATTGGTATGAGACATTGTACTTTGTACCTGTGTACAATGGAATTTTTCTGTACTGAAACCATACACAAAAACGCCGTTGAAGCATGGTTGCTTGGCGTTGTGCTGTTGATACAACACAATCATGGGAAAAGGTTTGAGGCGTGGATAGTATGAAAATATGAATCCGAACAAGATTTTGGGTCGAATTCTGCACGAATTTAAATAAAATAGCCTTGCAATTTAGCCGCTAAGGCTTTGGTTGGGATGAACGTTAATTGATAATCCGTGAGATTTTGTAATGGACCATCTGATACTACCAGTGACTTTGATGCGTGATATCCCGTATAAGAAAGTTACCTTCCCACCTCGTGCGTTGCCATGATACGCAGAAGCGACCAAAAGTTGAAAAAAAGGTCGCGCCTGGCCAATACCTCATAATAACGCGTATGAAATACAAGAAGCCCCAGTCGGAAGTTCGAATCGAAAAATGTTAGTACATCGCTTTTCCAATATCAAGCCCAATGTCACACTCCATTGATTGTAAAAGTTGCGCCGAACCAGTTGAACGAAATATGCAATGTTTGAGTATTCTTAAACAACGCGTTTGACCTACGCAAGTCAATCAGTTACCGGCTTAAAACATCGAAACGTTCGGTACTGTAGCTATTTTACCTCGAAGAATCGTTTCAACCACCAGACTTGGAAGATACCTTCACCAACCAGAACTAACATCTGGAAGATGCTCCACCACTTGACTCTGCCGTTTGTGCTCTCTGCTGTGTTTCGATGAGTTCTCTCGCGCACTACAATGTATGATTGTTCATCCTTCACTTGAGCAAGGAGCTCGGACAATTGTCGAACTATCATCGATGGTAAGCTTCAAATATTTTTGATGTGACGAATGGTTTAACTACCTTCTGCCTCTAGAGGATCCGATGGAGCTTCAGCCTCTGGTACATAGACAATGCCGTGAACATTGAAAGATACGTCCTTGCTAGTTGCCGACCAATGCTCATTGCTGAAGCAGTATAAGTATTTGCCATCGTGATTGGCAGTAAAGGAGTGATCCCCATTAGATACAGCTCTTTCATGTGCCTCATATCCGTTGGCAGGGTTTTGAATCTAAATTCCAATTAGTACCAGTACCACAACAGAAACACGCCAAATGTGCGAGCTTGACTTCAGCCTTACTCACCCAAAAGTCAATATCCAAATTGCCAGCACTGCCAAACTCTCTATCTCCAACTTGGAATGTGACCGTCATTTTATCATCTTTGTGAAGTTGTTCGTGAAAGCACTCTCTGCCATGAGCTGCAAGTTGAATATTATGAGCTACAGCAGCCCCAAAAAGACTGCTGACTGTCAAAAGGATCGCTGGAGTTGAGAAGCGCATGTTGACTGTGTGAATAAGAAGGTCGCTGGTTGAAACTTTGGGGATTCGTGATATGGAGAAGTGAGAATAGGTAGTTCCGAGGACCTATATGAATGAATATGGTGCTAATAATTCACCAAATCCTGTTGTACTAAGGTAATTGATTCACAATCGAAGTCGCAGATGAATAATTGTTCTGTATTTCTCCTTTATTCAAAGATTCATCAATCTATATTGATATCACAAGCTTTCCGACTTCTGGATTACCCCAAATTAAATTATTATTGCCAGATGGTCAATTGCAGGTGGAGAGCAATAAAGTTAACAACAGCCTTAAATATCTGGATCAATCAAAGTTATTAGAGACTCTGATAGGCTAGAGTGATTGCTTTTAGCGTCAAAACTTCCGAAAGAACAGAGTCTCTAATCAACCGCCCGCCGCTGTCCCCTTCTCCTTCCCAAGCACACCCCCATCTTTTTGTCAACCCAAAAACATCTCGCTAATAACTTCAATTCCATCTCCACTCGGTCATTGTATTGATCTCAACAATAAGGGAAATTGTAAGTATTGATGCCGTCCTTTTCATTTATATCTTCATCAATCCAGATAGCCTTCTTGGTAGCCCTTGAAAGTGTGGCAAGTCTTCTTCAACGGCGCAGCGCGTGCCCATTCACCGATCCAGTTCCAAAGAACTTCCAGAAATATACCAAAAACGCAGGTGTCCTTTGTTCAGAACGGCAGCCTATTCTCTATTCGATCAAGGATCTCACACCGACATGTGGCTCCACTAAGAAACTGTCCTTTGGGTTCATATTCATATAAACAACTTGCATCTATCGCGCAGTCGCTAATATCTGTGCTTCCCGATTAGAATCATTTTCCAAGCAAAAAAGCCAAATCCATATCCACCCTCTACACACAATCTCTAAATCGCAATCATGGGTTTGACATTCTCGAAGTTATTTGACCGTCTCTGGGGAAAGAAGGAGATGAGAATCTTGATGGTCGGTTTGGATGCTGCTGGTAAAACTACAATTCTGTATAAGCTTAAGCTTGGTGAAATTGTTACAACTATCCCAACCATCGGTACGTACCCATTCATCGATTTTACTATCACCAGCAAACTATGAGATCATCACTAACTCTATTCTTATAGGCTTTAACGTCGAGACTGTCGAGTACAAGAACATTCAATTTACCGTGTGGGATGTTGGTGGACAAGACAAGATTAGACCTCTGTGGAGACATTACTTCCAGAACACTCAGGGTATCATTTTCGTTGTAGACAGCAACGATCGTGATCGTGTGGTTGAGGCTCGTGAGGAATTGCAGAGAATGTTGAATGAGGACGAACTTAGAGATGCTATTCTTTTGGTCTTTGCCAACAAACAAGATTTGCCAGTCAGTACATTGGAATTCGACATTTGCATACGATGACTAATCTGAAATTATAGAATGCCATGAACGCAGCAGAAATTACAGATAAATTGGGCCTCCACAGCTTGAGACAACGCGCCTGGGTACGTATAATGACTGTTTCTCATGGTATCCCTGCTAATATATTCTTAGTACATTCAATCTACTTGCGCTACATCTGGAGATGGTCTGTACGAAGGATTGGAATGGCTCGCCACGACTCTCCGCAAGACTGGTCACAACTAAGTACAACATCGATACTCAACCTTTATACCACGATTGTGTTTGCAAGATACTACAAAACCAATCGAAACGTCCATATCTCCACCGCTTCTCCAAATTGGTCATTGGTGCATCCCTCAAACTTATTCTTGTGTCTTCAGCGGTCCACATCAATGAGAGGCGCAAGGGTGGTAACTGTATGATGATTTAAGCACTTAACGTCTTATCATGGCTATGAATCTCGTTTACGCTATGATTCCGCGGGGCTTCCTCTTTGTTTTTTGCGTGCGTTTTCTGGTGTCATCCATTTTCTACGTTCTGTTTCTTGCCATCTCTTGTGTGCAGCATGGTATACAAAAAGCAGAAGTTAGATGGGAGATGATGGTAGTCTAGTCCGGAATTGATCTCACATTAGAAGATAATTTTTTGATAATATTTGATGTTACGCATGGCCCTTTATATAGTATGGTGATTTGGTGATTTGATTTTGTGTACTTTATGATATATGAAACAATTTTATGAGTGAATACAAAGCTGTGTTATATTGATCAGCCAAGAGTCAAGAGTAGATGGAGATAGCAAGTGCTCAAAGTCAAAGATTCTGTAGGAGGATTTGGCTTGAAATCATGGATAAGGTTGTTATTTAGTATCTGAGAGTCGGGGTTGGTGTTAACTGTTCAGTAGGTGTTTGGATAATTAAGCAGTACAAGTTCCATGCCTTGGTAGGGCCATACTACGTACTTTTGCGTGTGTTGAACAAACAACACGACTGACTCATTAAATGACGTGGGGGTCAGAAAACATGACTCGGATATTTGAAAGTCTAGGGAAATTTTGTCGTTAGATATCTAGGTAGGTATCTAGGTATGTATTTGATGTTGATGTTGATGTTCATGATCTGGATAGAGGTTATCTATTAATTATACGAAGCTTGATAAATCGTAATCATATGGAAAAGAAAGAAGGGTATGGGTTTGTGTAGAGTGGTGCAGTGATTTCCTGGTGGTATTGTGTATGGACTGGTGGACTTTTACCTCGGCGCTGTGAGTAGGAAATTGTTGTTATACATACCTAGGTAGGTAAGATAGATGGTTTTGAATCTAGAATTTCATGTTTTGATATCTCTATATTTATATCTCGATAGTTTCTCCTAGAAGATGAAAATTGCCCGTATTTCTTCTGTTGAGAAGTGAGTAGTGATGGGAGGGTAGATAAGTTAAGGAAATTGTAGTATCTTGATCTTGATTGTTTATTTGTTATATATATATATATATGGATATCAGACTAATAATGATATTACTCAATTGCAAATCCTGGGCATAAGATTCTTATTTCCTTGTAATTTTCTGATCTTGTGATAGGATCTTGTTATTATACCCATATCTGTCTATACTTATATCTTTACCCGCTTAAACATATCATTTCATCAATAATTTACTACCTACCTAGGTATATACGATTATCTCGAGTTCTGTATTTATTTTAGAGTTGTAGGAGCAAGGGCCCGCGGAGGAAGATGTGCTTCCCCGGGATTGTGAAATTGAATTTAGAAGAGGGTTTTTGTTATTCGAGGGACAATACTGGGATAGTAGTGAGGAGCTGCTAGTTACTAGGATATGTGCGGACAAGCATGATGAAGGGAGAGGGTTTAGTAGATCGATTTGTAAATGGAAGGAAGTATTATCTATTTTAAGTTCTAGAAAGCATTGGTATCAATCCAGGAAACCAACGGAAGCCCATCCAATATCTAGAATCAACACTCCATGACAGTAAGGCTGCGATGTACCAAATATATCGTACCAATGCACACATTGAAATTTATTTCAATAGTATCAACTTCCCAATTTTATAACCTCTATGTCGTATCTACATATCTTTTTGCTCTCCTACTGGGCTCATCAACTTGCCCTTCTCAATTGCACTTCGTACGTTGTCGATACACCAGACCTCCATCTTGGTTTGAGTCTCGACAGTATACTATGACACGAACATTAGTCTCATGTGATCTAAAACAATAGAGGAAGAAATATGACTTACTGTTCCCATATGTGGTATCAACATGACATGTGGGTTGTCAATCAATCCTTGATGAACCTTTGGCTCCTCTTCGAAAACATCTAAACCTGCTGACCAGACTTGACCAGATTCAAGTGCCTTCACCAAAGCATCTTCATTCATTACTGCACCTCTGGCTGTGTTGGTGATGACAACACCCTTCTTCATTTTCTTGAATTCCTCAGTGGAAATGATGTGGCGAGTGTTTTTCTATTATACTGTTAGACTAGGAACCTTTAACCTATGACTACGCTAAAAACTTACGTTCAAAGGCAAATTCAAGGATAGAACATCACTGGTAGCCAGTAATTCATCAAAGCTAACGTATTTAGCACCTCCGCTCAATTCTTCCGAAAGTTTTGTACGGTTGTGATATTGACAGGTCATGCCGAAAGCAGTTGCCTTCTTCATGAGATTTCGTCCGATACCACCCATTCCCAAGATACCGAGGACTTTGCCTTGAGGATCGTGACCAAGAGGTGGTGCTGAAGTCCCCTTCCATTGGTTCTTTCTCAAAGCCATCATTGCTACGCATCGTTAGCAAACTATTTTACTGTTTAGAAGACTATAAACGAACAAGTATTAAACCCTCTCAATGCTCCCAAAATGAGAAACATGTTGGTATCAGCCGTAGCATCACCCCTACCCAGTCGGAACATTCGAAACTCGAATATCGCGTGCGGTACATGCA